AGACTGAGGATTCCCCCAGGGACCAGGAGAGAGACTGCCAGTGCCTTCTATCAGCTGAAGCTTGGCCATGGATACAACAAGGCCTACTTGTTCAGGATTGGCAAGACTGAGCACCCCTTCTGCAGCTGTGGAGCCAAGCAGACTCTTGAGCACCTGCTCCTGAGCTACAAGTGGCTGAACACAGACCGGGAAATCCTGTAGGACAGCCTTGGGAAGGTACAGCTGACTCTTCCTCTCCTCCTCCACACCAAGCAAGGCATCAAGGCCACCTTGGACTTCATCAGCAGGACCAAGGTGGGCACAAGGAGGTGGCATCTTGGGTAGTCTTCAGAAGGCCTGGCATAGTGTTGCTATAACATCTGCTCTTTCCTTTGTTTGTTTGTTTGTACTTCTTTTGTTTCTAGCATGTTTGCTCTGGGCCTGAGCCCTTACCATCCCTTGTACCTCCATTGACCTTACTCTCATGTAACTAAATCTTTGCATTACCAGAGGAGCTACTGCTCCTCTCGTCTTCCATAGTCTTAGACTCAGATAGGACGTTAAACCAATCAATCAATCAATCATTCAACTGATTGCTCGGTATAGTTTTCGAACATAGAGATGTACAAGGTTGTACCAGAGATCCTCCGCCGCTTCACCGTGAAGATGGCCCGTGATCAGCCCTGGAGTCCTCTTAGCGCTACATTCATCATACAGAGTAAGATCATCTGCAAGCTGGACAGGCGAAACAAGGCGTAATGCGACCGACATCCTGTACGCCTTGCTCAAACATACTTGTCACGATTTCAAAGGCAAGGGAAAAATTGAAAGTTTCATGACATCAACTTCATTACAGCAACTCGTAACTACAATGGGTATTACGCTAAACCAACACTCTAGTTCTTAAGAACATACCTGTACCTTGGCAGGCCCTTCTCGAAATCAACAATAACCTGGTTAGCCTCGCTCATAGGCCTAACCTGGACCCAAGCCTGGAGATTGGTCTTCTTAGCCAACTCCAACATATCGCGGATGTGCTGCCTGGTGCCGATGAACGAACCAACGATCTTCTGGTTCTTAAAGATCAAGCCCATAGGGCTGAAGCTAGGGAGCGGGTCGTCGGGCGCACCGACCTGTACGAATGTGCCGTTGACGTCGAGCAGGTTGAGGTACTGATCGAGCGGGAAGGAACCGGAGATGGTGGAGATGATCAGGTCGAGGCCGTTGGCGTTCTTGGTAGCCCACTCAGGGTCCTCGCCGGTAGCGATGAAGCGGTCAGCGCCCAGCTTGAGGGCGTCATCCTTCTTGGAGGAGGAGCGGGAGATAGCGACGACTTCGTCGGCACCGAGGGCCTTCGCAAAGAGGAGAGCGAAGTGGCCGAGGCCGCCAATACCGACGACACCGACGCGCTTGCCGGGACCGGCGCCGTAGGAGACAAGAGGGTTGTAGACGGTTACGCCACCACACATGAGAGGGGCCGCGAACTCAGAGGGAAGACCCTCAGGGATGGGAATAGCGAAGGCAGCAGGTCCGCGCCATGCCTTAGCGTAACCACCGTACGCCTTATCGCCGTTTAAGTGCTTGGCGTTGTAGGTCATGGTGACCTTGTTGCAGTTGGACTCCTGCTTCGTCTTGCAAAGGCGGCAGCTCTCGCAGCACTCAGACTGCGCACCAACACCGACGCGGTCGCCAACCTTGAGGTCCTTCACGTCCTTGCCGACCTTGGTGACATGGCCAATGATCTCGTGGCCAACAACGAGAGGGTAATCGGAAGGACCCCAGCCGGAGCGGAGTGTGTGAATGTCGGAACCGCAGACACCGCAGTGAGAGATATCCATCTCAATGTCGGTCTCCTCGAAGGCCTTGGGCTCGAAGTTGCCCCACTTCATGTTGCCGTCGGCGGCAGAGGGGTCATGGGCGACCCAGCCGTTGAAGTCAGGAGTGGAAGACATGGTTGTGATTGTGGTGATGATGGGGTCTGTAGTTCCGTTCAAATGGCTGAGGGCCTCCCTATGTATCTCCGTCTTCTGCCCCAAACATCTTGAACACTCCACAAGCTCTACGCTTTGGATTTGTCAGGCGTGGCCGTTGCGTTATCGCAAAGTCGTGAAGTTTTTGTGCTTCGCCGATCGCTCGCCGTGGACCAGGGCCCGCTATCGTGTCTTCATGGTCTCTTTTGAAGGCGTGTGCACGTTGCCATCGCTATCATCAGGTACAAATGCTGCTAGCACCGAGTCCGATCCGAGGAGGAAACTCTTCTAGACTTCGGAGTGGAGATGGATGTTGAGACGGTGGAGGACCAATCGGGCCGCACACGTGTGAAGAACCCACTGTTTCTATGTAATATCTCCGCCACACCCGTTGCAAGGTTTAGCTCCCGTACGAGGTAGATCTTGACGTCCGTGGAAGATACTAGATGCATTGATGTTTGTTGCAGATTTGGTGGAGTTCAACCAAGAGATGCCGAGTCCATGGCATCAAGCGGTCGTCTGTTTGCCGAAGGCAACTTCTCGCCGTAATGCCGCACTCGCCCGACCGCACCTTCAATACGGTAAGCGAAGAGATGTGTTGCTGTTGTCCTGAAACATGCGAAATTTTGAATTCAGGCCAACTCCGCACCTTCTCTGTTGACCTGTGCTTTCATTGCTCCAAATCGTTCACGTGGAGAATGTACCCTTTCTCTCGAAAGTTCAGATCTGAAAAAGCAGATAGAGTTTCTGACTGCGTTGCATATAGATACAGACTGTGCCCGCGTCCTGATAAGACGTCATATTCCAATCGCAGTCTCGCTGAGGGCTTTCCACTGAAAATGAGCGTTCAGTGGCTGCATGACACCCGTGAAGATGAGCCTGCCACGATTTGTTCTTTTTTTGGAGGCCCTTATGAACAGAGCGTTGTTACCAAAGTCTCTCTCTAGCGACTCGGCCCGACCCGTGGACCATTAGGTGAGTCCGGAGTCGCTTGCGCTTGACTGTTCCGGAGACAATGGAGGTCATCTGAGGTTTGTGTTTCGTCCCAAAAGTCTGTTTTGTAGATTTTCGAGGTATAAGGGAAGATGCAGAGACCTCAGTACTGCTTGACGTTAACAAGAGTTTCAAATCGGCAGTGTAGGACCTACGAGTAATTTGGTGTAGACGACAGATTGTGTCCCTCAATTTCACTCGAGGATTTCGGAAATCCATTTGATGCCCTTTCTCAGAGCGAGAGCGACCTCGTCGTCATCCTGCCAACGAAACTTGACCTGGTAGAGGTCGACTTTAGGTGGTTTTGCGCCGACCGAGGTGATTCGCGCAAGGAAGTCGTGCGCCTGATCGAAGAAGATAACCCTCAGCACGCTCTCATCTGAGATGAGCTTGCAAAGTGTTGACCACTCCGATTTGGATACGCTCCGGGTGGAGAGAATAGGTACGTTCTCTTCGTAGTGGCAGACAATAGGCATCTCGATGACGAAACCAGATTGACCAGAAGTCATGTAGAGCTTTAGCTTGCGCTCTCCAAAACCGTACGCCGAGCTGTAGAGGGTTCGCCAAAGAGCTTTGTACTGGGAGAGTCGCATGTAGGCAACCAGCTCAGTGGTCATGGTGTGTAAATTTTCGATGATGGGTAGTTGTGAGATGCTGAAGATCCGTGGGTGAGTACATCGATATAAGTTACTTCATGTCTGACAGCAGTTTCCTGCTACCACCTGACCAGGTGACGATACATGCTACATGTTGGTGACTCGAATCCCGATCTGGTAGGTACGTTGAGTGTGTTGTCTTAGCGCGGTGAAGCTTTGGTGTTGGGCAATTGACCGCTATTCCTGGGTGAGTGGGTCCCGGCATACATATGATTGGGGAATCGATCGATCATCAGATACGACAGTCCATGAGTTTGCTCCGTCTTTGGCGTTGTCAAGAGCAACGCCATGACGGCACCTGTGCATGCGCTGTGACAAGACCGTACGCTTGAAGCAAGTCATGCAATGGATGATCTAACAAACAAAGCCTGCTCTTGAACAGCTTTAGCAGACATGATGACAGAGCGCGAGGCTGTTCGTGAGGCTGAAACTTGAAGCTCTGGGCTTTCGACATGGCCAACGCGCCTCACAGATCGGAAACGCGAGAATGACACGTCTGTACCTTTGTAAGCAATGCTGAGTTTCCATCGTCTGACGGTCAAGCATTGGATACAACCCGTCAGGAGGTCAATATCACGGTTACATGCATTGGAGGCGATATCGGCTGCTGATTTGAAAGTGGAGTAGAAGAGTTGTCAATAACGGGGTCGAGCACGTGCATGCTATCTACATTTAGTTTAGTACGTCGCTGAGTGCACGTGATGGAAACGTTCCCAATGTCCTTTGAAATCGACGATAGTCTTCACGACATTCGAAAGACGCTTTACGATTCGAGTAAAATGGCTCACGTTTATCATTCGTTTGACGACTATCGGTTAAAAGGGGCTGTAGCTCTTCGTCGGGGCTGAGGCGCTCTCAATTGCCTGAAAGAGCAAACACAACATGCCACCCACATTTGCCTCAGGTTCATGATACGAACAACGTCCTTCACCCTTCACCGGCGAACGCATCTCACAGCCTCGATGCGCGCGCGACGCAAGCACAAGATGCGACCAAAGGCTGATCCACCTCCTACAGCTCAAGGTGCACGGGTGACGTGGCGCTTCTGGCCCCCAGATTTATGCAGCTGTGCTCCGCCTCCATGCAGAGCCGCAAGCGCTTGAAAAGTCGTGCCACCCGCGAACGGCTCGCTCCATCCCTCCCGGTTCCGAATTTTTCGTTCGTGAACGTGTTGAAGTGAGACATCGATACATTCGCGACCAATCCTGCTTGTCGTCTTTTTAGCTCAGATGGCTACCGTGGTCACCGAGGCAGCAATGGAGAATCTGAACAGGGCCTTGCCAAATGGTAGAACATCAGCTCAAACGACTCTGGGGCACGGAACGCCTAGACAGCTCGCGACCCCGGAATTGCAAGATGAGAAACCCATTGGATCGTGGTTGTGTACTAAAGGTGATCATCGACGGTACTCTCTGCAGAACGATGTCGCTGATCGTGCTTAGGGCCGTACCAGGAGTACATCGCAGCCCTGAGCGACTCCAACCCCGGTCTCAGAACTGCAGATCCAAACAACTTGACTGGTAAAGCCCCACTGATGACTGCTGGCGGCGCCCACGTGGTGATGTTAGAGAACTCTGCGATTGACGAGCGTCAATTCGCAAGGACCGAGTTCAGAGACGCAGCGCATCTCAAAACGCATTTGAGAGATTCGTCTCGTGATCATGGACGACGACGCATCTACATCATGGAAGGCCTAGCAACCGATTATGTCGACGCGATAGGTAGTCACTTCTGGATGGATCCCACGTTTTGGTTGCGACAAGAAAGGACTTGTGTGTGGAGTAACGATTTCACGCCTGTCAGCGACGCATTACCTCAGCCAAGCTTAATTAACCCTGAGGAGAGCTTCCATGTGCAGTACTGTGAGCTACGAGAGTTTAACAAGGCGCTGGAAACTTTGCCTTGTTTTTGCGCTAGGACTAAGCGGCACGTGGGTATGACTGCACCACGTCACTTCAAGAACAAAGATAAAGGCAAAGGCAAAGGCAAAGGCATAGGCAAAGGCAAAGGGAAGGCTGCAGGTCTAGACGAGTGCAAGGAGCAGAGTAGGAATGTGGAAAAGAGCAAAGGCACAGGAAACACTACAACCGCCATCCTGAGGCGAAAGGTCAGTTGGTGGTGTCAAAAAACTGACACAAAGGGTAGTTGGGATGGTACGCTTGTGCTACAGACGCTTTTTGTTGTACGCTGACGAAGGCTTAGTGGTGATCCTTTGCGACCCGCAACTCACACAGATGGATATCTACCCAAAAGAGAAGATATACAACGAAAAGACTGGTGGTTATGACCTTTGCGAGATCAAAGATCCTGATATCACCCTTCAAAACGAGCCTTTCCAGGGAGGCTATACAGATTTCGTCCCACCGTTACCGCTCAAGCCTGGCGAACTTCCATCTGCTATCCGGCATCCTCACAAGTCCATGCTTTACGACCTCGTGTATTACTACGAAACGAAGTCCAAACTCCTCGGAGATGAGGAATGGAAAGAGCCCAGTAATTCCGCAATCTTCTTGAAGAAGATCGTTGCTGCACACTATCTTCAATTGGCCGACTACATTAAGGTGATGCTGCCATCCCTGGAACTCAAATTGACAACGGCGTGGGTAGAAGAGCAGGAGCAGTGGAAAGCTCTCCAGACTATCTCTCGACGCTGCGGCAATTACCGGGATGATATCGAGGATACTTTGCTAAGTTTGGGCTATCCACTGGATGGACCGGGGCAGAAGGAGGAAAAGTTGAAGAAGAAGATTTACGACTGGAAAGACTGCGAAATCGACTACCAATATGTGTATCTCCGCTTGAAGATCCTTAAAGAGCGCGCAGATAATCTCATGACATCCATGACCGGTCTTGCGAGCATCGCTGGCAATCGCCAAAACCTCGAGGAAGCCAAGCGTGTCAAGCGCCTCAACCTGCTTGCGCTCCTGTTTATCCCACTGGCGTACACGAGCAGTCTGTTCAGCATGCAAGACAATTATGCACCCAATAAACCCCAGTTCTGGGTCTACTGGGTCTGCGCAATCGGCGTTGTCATGTTCACCTCTGTCGTTACCTGGGTCCTCGACCGTGCGCTCAACGATGAGGCTCAGTGGACTCTAGAATTCTTCAAAAGCATGGTCGGTTGGCCTACCAAGGGCACACCGACACCAGCGATAAAGAGGACAACTACGGCAATCTGGCCGAAAGCTGGATGAACGGTGATGTCTCGTCCCTGAACCAGCGCTACTTACGAAGCTACAGAATTACGAACATTGACGACTACATCATAACTTGCATTTTGCATTGCAAGCGAGTGGTTTTTCTTCAAGCTCTTTCTTCGGTCATTTAGCTATTTGATATATCAATTATTCTAGGTTTCAAGCTTCGTCCTTCGACCTGCATGCGTGCTGTCATGAAGTACACCGCTATGGTTCTGGAATTCATAGCTAGCCTACTGTCCCTCAACTTTATCTTGGGTCGCTTGTGGATGCTTTCCCTCGAAGCGTGCCTGTTTCCAGTACAAACCTCTCACAATTTCGTCGGCAAACAAGCAGCACCTGACAACTTTGTAGTGGTTCTTCCCCTCCTTCGCGCCATGCGAGACACACGGGATGAGCCCCATATTGTGGTACTCATTGAAGGAGTACTCGTTGGTCTTTGTTTACTACCGCGTTGCATTCACCCAGATGATGTCCCGCAGATTCGTGGGGTCGATGTCGTCGCCTACGAGATACAGGATGGGAATGTAGTAGCCAGGCTTAGGGCCAAGAACGGTGTGACCCACAAGCTCACTGAAGTCGTCCCATGTTCGTCTTCATGGCCCGAAGCTTTTCGCGGTCCACTTGTAGGGCGAACCACAGGCAGTGTGACTCGAATGGGTTCCATACAGAGTTTGTCAACAATCAAGCAATAGGCAGATTGATTATTGGATCATTGATTATTGGATCAGGCCTGAAACGGGCCTCTCTATGGTCTTTTGACGCTTAGTTGGGCAATCAATCTGGAGATCGCTTGATTGTTGACAACTCTGGTTCCATACCATCTTGCCAGGGAGACCGGCATCCTGGCAGATGGTGAGCACTTCAGCTGCTTCAGTCAAGCCCCACACTGTGTCGATATCTTCGGGTGCCTTTCCTGTAATGCAGATGGGGAGGATCGGATCCTTGTGGAGAGTGATGGCGTTGACATGGAAGAGGGCATATGCAGATGATGAACCACGCTAACGACCAATCTAGGAGCGGTGGGCGGCGGCAGAATGTTGGCTCCACCAAACTTTGACTCCACAATAATCGCCGCCCTTACTCACTCGCTCTTTCCCAAACTGCGGCATGTTATGCTACGTACTCTGTCGCGAACGATAACACGAGCCATGGCCTCCTCCGAGCCCGTACGCGTCCCTATCCCGAAGAATGGCGTCGACTACCGCGGCACCGTTGTGCTCGCGCCCATGGTGCGCTCCGGCGAGCTGCCTTCACGACTGCTTGCGCTGAAATACGGCGCAGATCTAGTGTGGGGTGAGTCGCCCACCAAATTCCCCCCAAATGCTATACTAACAGCACCGCAGGCCCCGAGACCATCGACCGTGCAATAATCGGCACAACGCGGCGCCTCAACCCACACACCCAAACCCTCGAATGGTCGCGCCTGCCAACCTCGAAACTCAAGAACCCGCACCTTGACCCCGAGAACCGCGAAAGCGTGCTGTACCGTATCCATCCGGAGCTCGAGAAGGGCAAGCTGATCTACCAAATGGGCACCGCGAACCCCGAACTCGCCGTGCAAGCCGCCAAAATGGTCGCCGCGGATGTCGCGGGCATAGATGTGAACTCCGGGTGTCCGAAGCCGTTTTCGACTGCGGGAGGTATGGGCGCTGCGCTACTCAAGACGCCGGACTTACTCTGCAATATCCTGACGAGCCTGGTGGAGGAAGTTGGTAAGCCGTATGAGATCGGTGTTAGTGTCAAGATTCGGATTCTGGATGATCCAGAAGATACGAGGAAGTTGGTGGAAAGGCTGGTCAAGACGGGTATCACGGGGCTCACAGTGCACTGCCGCACGACACCCATGCGGCCCAGGGAGAGGGCTATCCGCGGCCAGCTGAAGATGGTGGGCGAGATTTGTCACGCTGCAGGCGTCGCGTGTGTTATGAATGGTGATGTGACGAGTCGCACCGAGGCGCTCGCGCTCATGAAAGAGTTCAATGTCGATGGTGCTATGATTGCGACCGAGGCGGAGAAGAACCCCAGCTGCTTCAGACCAGATGCCGAGGGCGGGCCGCACGAGTGGAAGAGCCAGTGGAAGACGGTGGTGGCGGGGTATATGAAGCTCGCCATTCAAGTCGAAAACCGCTGGGGAAACACGAAGTACCTGCTTGGCCAGATGATTCCTGGGCGAGAAGAGGCGTACAAGGCCATGAACAGGAGCAAGTGCTATGCCGACGTTATCAAAGCTCTCGAGCTTGAGAACGTGGACGACTTGCTGGAGAAGGCGAAGGTTGTTGATCAGCACTTGGGCATTCCGAAGGAGGAGTTGAGTAAGGCGCAGAAGAGACAGAGAGTCAAGGAGAGCCTGCAGCAGGGGAGCGGCGAGCAGGAGCAGCCTGAAGCGAAGCGTGTGAAGGTCCCTGACTCGGCGGTCGTGGATGGGAGTATGGCGTCTACGGCTGAAGTGGCTACGGCATTGGCTGCATAGGTCGCATTCAAGGAAGAAGACCACGGTGGGTATCTGTTTTGCATTGCGTGGCTGGGGATAAGGCAAGGCGTTTGAGCATTTACAAGGAAATAGGATGCACAACCCGCGGTCTGGCGCGAGTGCAAAGTGTAAGGAAATCTAACAGCAGTAATCTCGAAACAGACGAAATCACTGAACGTGCCGTACTTTCTCCGCTTCATCCTCTTCCCTCTTTCATCACCGCTTGTTCTGTGGGCGTCCTCTTGGCCCTCCAAACAATATCTTTCTTCTTCTGAATTTTCATCCTTCTTTCAACAGATGCTTTGGGTCGTAGCATCTCCTCCCCAGTATTTTCTCCTTCGCCGGAAGCGCGTTCAGAAAGATATATTCATTCCATTGGCGCGCCTGGATTGAATCCTCCATGCCCAAGGGTGGTGAACAGGACAACGATCATCCCCATGAAAGCGATGAGCTCGAAGGCTGCGATGGCGATTGTGCTCACACTTGTGGACATCTTAACGACGCTGCGTTGGTGTTGAGTTGAGGTGCTGACGTCTGTAGGTCCTGGCAACCGATGGTTTGGTCCTTGGAGATATTGTACGCAGGAAGAGCTCGCTCAAGGAAGCGGCGAGATGTGCTTGGTTAAGGTTCGATGTGCCTGGGTTTGACTAGTATGACCTATGGTGAAAGGCCAGAGTGCCGAGACGTGGTTCTGCTGTCTGTTTAAGACGGTGTTTGGTGAGTCCGTGGAGGAAGGAAAGAAGAGTGGTCTGCTCAATCTGTATGAGCGAGAGTGCGGCTGAGGTAGGATTCGAGCTTTATCGGTATGCTTTGGCGAGCTGACCTTTTTGGGTTTAGCAATAGTGGCTGCAGGTCCTCGTGTACGAGCAATCTCTTGGTCACCGATTCTCCTTTGATTTCGTTGCCAGACCTGGGATTTGGAACAATAACGAGTTTGGCTGATAACCGGTGCGATCTTGCAGTTGAGCGTTCTTGAGCAGGTGTGCTTTGGTTTGAATGTGGCAGTGACAGTGGTGGTATTTGTGGCGCCTGCGCGATGTCGGGCCGATTGCTGTGGCCGTCTGTCAAATGTCACTGGCAGCGAAAGCAGTGGGTGAACTGTAGGAAAGGATCGTCAGAACCAAAGAGAGAAAGAACATTCCCATGCTTAATTATTGCTGGTGGGGTTGACAAGTTTTACAAGTTTCACGTCAAATTGTTTGCTGACGCGGTACGTGCGAAGCATCTTGAGATAGATTGGTCAGGGGCGCCCTGTGCCGTAAGCGTGCTGCAGCCACCAACATTCCTTAGCCCTAATCAGCATGTCACTGTCGTAAAGTCTTGTGGCACAAGATTGTGGGATTTGTTTGCTGCAGGATAAATGTTCTTCAGCTTGACCAAGGGGTTTTGAGTTTAGTCTGGACAGTATCGTATCGGTAACCTCGAATTTCTGCTTAGCCTTCACCATTCGATTTGAGGCTAAGCGAACAGATCGTGCGGATATACGGCAAAGCTGATACACACCAAAACACAACGCACGAGGTCTTTCGACTGTGCGATGATTTTCCAAACATCAAGAAAACAACCAAGGGAAGGAAGCTTGACTCATATCCTAGCCTCCCTGCCGACGGTCTGCCTCGTCCCTCAAAATACTAATACTAAAAGTGCGGAAACAGCCGAGAAGACGCATCTCAACATCACTACTACTACTATACTTGCGGTAAACACCTCCACAACCACAGGCGTGGCAGAGCTTGGGCCGGACGTTGCAGCTGTAGTGCTGGTTGCTGTAACAGCCAAAGTAGGAATGGTCAGAGTGAAGCTCGACGCAATCGAAGTTGACGGAGCTGCTTGTTTTCGAAGGGGCTGAGGCAATCGGACTGCTGGATCTTGTAGGTGTGGTTCGTATTGCGGATTTGGTAGCAGTGGGTAACGAGGAGGACGATCCTGTGTCCTGTACATCGACAGTGGCGTTGTACACGCCTTGCTGTCATCCCGCGCTTCTCTTCTTTCTGCACAGAGCATCGATTCCCGTTCTTCAGAAAACTAATCAAAAGCCTTGCCAAAGTTACAAGAGCTGCAAAGGTAGAGCTCTATACGCACACATCCACATAGCAAACGAAAAGTCACATACCGTTTGTTTCCATTCAGCAATCTACCACACGCTCACGCTCCCCTTCCCACCACCTTGCTGCTTTTCATCGCCAGTAACAGGCTTATCGCACAATGCCTGGCCGCCCGTGACTGCAAAAGGCTAGATCGTTCGAGCATCGGCAGTCTCGACCAAACTCGATGCCAAGGTACTTGAATGGTGCGCTATCCTGCGTATCGCAGAACGCTAGGCACGATTCCTGAGTCAGATTGCCAACGCGGTTCCGGCTAAAACCCCTCAGCGGTCGGTCACCATCGTCCTTTGTAGAAGCGTAGCAGCCGAAGGAGGTGTGTGGTGGGAAGTCTATGACAGAAAGTCTGTGGTGAGGGCTTTTGGTATCGGCGTGGAGGACGGTGAGTCCGAGAGTGTAGATGCGGCAGCCGGTTTGAGTTTCTGGGAAGAGTCGGTGAAAGAAGAGGCGGAGATGATGGGTCTAGCTGCGGAGATCGTAGAGCATGGGGATGCGGTTAACAGATTCGTTGAGGAGCTCTGAGTAGACTTCAGCAAAAAGATGCGCGAAGGTGTGCAGATATGTGCGTGTGCTCAAGCTCTAAGGCGAATCGAGGAGAACCTATGGACAGCTATATGGAGAAGGAGTGAGACTGTCTGTCAGTCCTATGCTGATGGGGCTGCGAAACGTGTTAGGTGTTGATGTATATCCACACTTTTGGAGCGACCCGATCGGCACCTTCCATTTCAATTCTATGAAACAGAGTCGCCCGTGTTGCGGCTTCCAAAATTCTTGGGCTCGAGGAAGGGGCGCTTCTTAATCAGGATATCCCCAGCTTAGTGTAAGTCGCAACCACCATTTTGTGGATGTAATTGCTTCCCCTTCGTCTGACCGGTGCCCGATCTCTTCTCTGCTTAGATTTTTGGGTCCTCTTTAAACACCCGCCATGCAGGCTCCCACCGTCCAGCAGCTACCAAGCGATCACACAGCCTTGGCGGGCCAAAGTCATCGATCTCCGCAGCGCTAGAGAGCGCCCGCAAAACATGTTTGTTGGGGAGTGGGGGTGATTCCTCTTTTCTCACCCCTTTTCATATGTGTCATCTCAATAAGGTTGATTTCCGAGTTTGAGACGCAAAATCTTTGCGTCCAGCGGCTTGATCACAGTGTGCTACATCTTCCAAGATGAGGTAGTTCTAGTCCCATGTGATAAAAGAATCGGTTATCTGGATCGTCAAAGTCTCGATATTCCGGCTGCACGGCACGTCACAGTTGAGTTGAGATGAAAAAAAAAACAGCAATTACACCTTCTTACCCTCTATATATTCCTTCACCACACTCTGGTTGTGTGAAATCACCTATTACATCATAGCCAGGGGGGGGGGGGTCACAAACATATGCACAGCACCGATATCATAACCATATAGTATGCAAATGTTGTCATTTTCCCACATACATTTCTCATTCCAGGAGAGGATGGCAGGCTACCACGATCGTTCGACGTCTCGGATCCGCCACAATATTATAAGACACTGAACTCAGTTCCTTCGCCAAGCTATTCCGAGAGAGGTCGTATTCTACTTCAGGCGGGGCGCTGTAGAAGCCTATGGTAAATTTGGTGACCCACGGAGCTAGTCCTTTATGAGTAGAGACAGCCAGTAAAGTGTTCAAACTCTTCCTGGAGTGAAGATCAAAAATTGTTTCGCCGAGTACCTTGCCGAACGATTTCCATGGTACATTGTAGAAAAGACGACACACGAATCGTGTAGATAGGGGTTCCACAAGTGTGTTCTTTCCGGACTTAAGCTCTTGCTGCCAGCACAGGATGCGCTTGGCGGTCTACATATCGTTTGCGACAGGAGGTTTCACCTTGCTGACAACCTCCAACAATACCATCTCGAGGATCTCGAGTGGCAATCTCGAAATGGTGCCAACGGTTTTAAATGCTTCCTTTAGAAGCAACAACATGAAAATCTCATCTTTCTCCACCAGACTACTTCTCTAGACGCGAACAGGTCTCCCATCTTGTGCCAGGTATCACCAAATCTTGTATCCTCTCGCCTCAAGGCCTTCCATAGTCTTTACAAAGAGAGATGGTTCGCAGACGACTTTCTTCGCAATCTTTTGCAAAGAGTCGATCGCTAACCCTTGCAGGATATCTACACAGGATTTTCTCTGCGCTTCCTCAGTGAGCCTTTCCTACTTAGCATTCGACCCCTGTAGTACGCATAATGTATCCAGCTCTACGTGTTTTATGTTGTGATATGACCGGATACGATATCAAGGCTTTTGAGGTGATTGCCGTACAGCTGAACGAAGCACGGTCGCTCGTTACATAGTTCGATCACAGTAAGCTGTATCAATGCCGGGACCTTGAATGGCTTTGGTGGCGGTGTCCGGAAATGTATCCTACACATGCCTGAGTACGGGTCGACCTAGGCGACAGTCAATGATTGTAAGGCCAGAAAGAGTGTATTAGTGATGAGTCATCGGATCGTGATGGCCGAAGAAACCTTTGTCGTGATAGGCCAGTATGAGTGCGTCAGACTGAGATTCTCCACTTTTTGACAGACCTTTGACAGCGCGGTTGGAGCCGTATATATGAAGATTGCATATTGCGAGTCCATCCCGATCGATGATCTGAGTTGTTTAGGTGTGATCCCTGCCTTCGCCAAAGCCTTGATGGTGGCTTTTAGGCCAAAATGGGCACCGGAACCTCCATGGTAAGGCGAGTCCTCGCAGTGCCAGAAATTACCATATATGCTTACTGCGAAGCCAAAGTGTGGGACCACATTCGTGTAGCGCGCGGGAAAGATCCCCTTGTGCCAAGTGTAGTTGACTTCCCGAATGTTGGAGAATTCTTGCAAGCAGCAGACGAGATCATCAATGAATAGAGTAGCGTCCGGCTTATTATAGGACCAATGTCGTTCCAGAAACTCACCGTTGCGAAGCTCATCAACTACACAGTCGGGTTTTCAAGTGAAGATGCTAGGAAACCAAGATTGATCCTCTCGTTGGATCCGACCCAGCTCTTCACGATGATCTTTCTCCAACTCTTCCTCCTCTGGTTCCTCGTCGGGTCTATAGATGAAGGAATACCACTTCGACGTGACGAAGTAGCCAACCGTAAGCCTTGCTACTCACGGCAACAATCTTGCACAACTGGACACTTCTCTCAAGTTCTCGTAGCTTTCGCGAGATCGAATGTTCAAAAAGGGTGTGACCACAACGTGTCCGAACGCTCTCCAGGACAAGTCACAAAAGTGGCGGCACACCAGCCTTAGCTGTCGAACCCGAGCCGCTAGGCTCACACCATCTCTTAGCTTTTGGTGACAGCGAAAACGCGGTTCGCAATCGATAAATTCTCAGAACCATGGGAGCGCGAGGTATCGACCCACTGAGAACCAAAGTTGCGACCACTCAGCGCAGTGTATTTTTCAGTGATGCGAAACAGCCAAATAAAATTGAGAATTGAATGTAAGCCAACGATGACTATTATTATATGCCATTGAGTCTCAAGAAGGAATGAGAAACTAGGCAACTTCATAATGTCTACAATATAGCCAGCTTCCGTTCTGCAATTGGCAGCATATCGAACTGTCGCAGAGACGATCCTCTGAGTTCAGTCTTTCGAGCCTCTCATTACACTGCGGGTATTCGCAGCATTTCGATGGACCTAGTCTGACGATTCTCGCGGCGCCAGTCAAAACCTCAAACGGAAATGCATCCCTGCTTGATTCGTCCAAGTCCCACTCTTCAGCAAGCGTTTTACTCCAGTAGTTATTTAGTTCTAACAGAAAATCCGGGTAGTCAAGGTCTAAGCTTCCGATGGCTTTGAGCATTTGCGCAAGATCCGACTAGTCAACCTCATCTTCCTCAAAGTACGAAGTAGGTACCCTAATTGTCAAGGTTTCCAGGTTCCTACCGAAGTGGCCGATGAAGCCTCGCATGAGCAGATGGTTGAGGAGGCGTTAGAGCAATAAATAAAGCTTTAGTCTCGGCAAATCGGACAGGGCGTTAAGTCGCCCACCTAGGGCATGGCCCATGATCCGGCTGTGGTCGATCGTGAACGATTGCAGCGCTGGAAATGTAGATTTAAAATGGCTACATTTGTGTAGCATGTGGCCCACGTACTATACAAGTTATACTCGTGTCTAAGTGTAAGATGTTCGACACTCTTGCAGAGCTCTCGGACAGTCGCCGCGGGTGCCCAGACTTTAAAAGAACTGGGCATCTGGAGTTGCACTGCTAGACCAAGGTCTCGGGGAACGATCCCAGCGATGTCCAAAGGCATGAAAGCAGACGGTGAGTCCAGTATGACCGTACCAATCGGAGAGACGATTCTCGCCCATGTCATTTTGATTTGTGTTGGCGAAATGTTGCTCAGCCAGTCTGTAACGTGCGGGCATGATGTTCCTGCTGGACAGATAACAGACTCCTTGGACCTTGGTAAACTCATTCCAACAATGAGAAATGACGTCTAGGAACAAATTCTTCTGGTCTGTGGTGGGCTGGAGCTTTTCTGGTGGGATCCCCTTCTCGAGGCGTTCTAGATCGAAGTCAAAGACATCTGGAAACCATTGCCTCTCGATGCTCTGAACCCGCTGGTATTTATTACAGAGTTCAGAAATGCGGCCCGTTTTGATCAACACCTCAATATGGCTAATAGACCACTGCGGCGTTTCGAAACATCCTATTGTGAGCTTCGTCAACCACGGCGTTTGGCGTTTGCAGTTGGACACTGCTTTCATGTGTTCAATGCTGTCTCGGAATCGAAGATCGAAGATGGTCTCTCCAAGCACCCTGGCGAAGGCTTTCCATGAACAAGAGTGGAACTGGCGAGAAACCAGACGAATTGACAGGACCTTGACTGTTGAGCTTTCGCCATTGTTCAAATCTTGCTCCCAGCGCAACTGGTGTGTGCACGTGACATGTCATCGCCTGAAACGGGTATTGGACATGTACGGAGTAGTGACCCATCATGAACCATGGTGGGGTTTGTACGACAAGAACCGCCTTCTTGAAGCTGCCCGACTCGAGACCTGACTGGCCACTGCAAGATAGCAGGCAAGAAGCCTTCCAGACCACCACGTGGGAGTTGGCTGCCTGCTTTGTTCGAGAGGTGTAGGTATTCCATAAGCGGAGATTTCGTAACAGCGGGTTCTAAATGTCACTTTTTCGCAGCCGTGGCGTTTGCCTCTTTCTGAAGGTCTGACAATGGTCCAGAGTTTGAAATGCCATCTGTAAACCCGTGATATGTTGACTGGACGCGAATGACGTAGAGGCCGTCAGGAGGGCGGTATTGTATATGGTTTGCTTGAGGCCAGCCTTTTACCGACCGCGGACTTGACATCAGGCGCGGAAACGGCGGCCTCGAAAGTGTAAGTGGTTGGAAGCGGCGACACGTTGAGTTCGGAGAGATGTTGTACAAGTATCTTCAGCGAAAGATATCGTAAGAGTGCACTTGATTGCCGTTTGATTGCTAGATTTGCTGAACTGTAACTCAGAAGCCCTTAACTATCTTGTGAACTGGACCACGCTGATACTTGCACCGTCCAGATCAACTGTAACGTCTTTGCGTGATGTGTAGAGTCTGTATGTCCGGCCAGCTGATGTATTGATGCAAACTGCTCTGTGAAGATCACTCGCAGTCAGGACGCTGATCTGACAGCATTGTATGCAGGCATTACTGATTACAGTGCATGACTGTCGCGAATCATGATCCAAGTCAGTTGCTAGCGGCAAGGCACATGCCTTGAAGCATGGCTGTTTCCTAGTCTGTCTTGCTAGGCTCGTGTGCTCAACTTTGCTCGATGTATTGGTATCGTTCTGATCGTTGAATCCCTTTCATTGTCGTTCGGTCGTGATCTAAGGTCGTGTTGATAGATGTGTTACTCGCACGTCGAGAGCATCTTCCTCAGCACACCCATTAGCGTTCCGTTCTCCAACGCAGCAGCCACTCTTTCCTTGTCCCCCAGCTGCTTGTTGACGGCCTCATCTGTGCTGTGTGTGCCCTTCTTGATGCGTACGTCGATACGGAAGCGGGGAGGCAAGGCCTGTTCGAGTCGGACACGTACCCCCAGACCAATGACAGTGGCTAGTGAGCAATGCGTAATAGTCGGCGTGATCTCAACGACAACCGTGCTGACGGAGGATTGTGGAGAGATAGGGGGAAGAATGTGGATGTCCGGAAGGTTCACTACAGCTAGTGAGCCTAGTGATAGCGGATGCTCTGGATCAGCAATGGTGGAGATGAGGTCTGTCATGCCACGGTTAGCCCACAGTTCTCTAGATGTTCTGGCATGTGACACATACCATAAATCTCCTGTTCGTCGATGTTCTCAACAACGTCATCGTTAGAGTCACTGGCCGATACAGGATCGTCGAAAGGGTCGCTTAAGTAGTTGTAACGTGGAATCAAATTATCAAAGAGTCCTGAACCTCCATCGTCGCGCTTGCCAGTGTTCGATTCGCGGCGGCGTGAAGGCAGGTCAGAGGGGTTCAAGATGGTGGGGTTCGCGTTATCCTTGTCGAGATCCATGGTAGCTGCAACGGCTTCTGTGCCAAGCAGTGAATGTCTACGTGTTGGATGTAGGGATCAATCTAGTTGCAGACTGTTGTTACAGAGTGTGGCTGCACAGAAGGCGCGTCGTTATGGTCGCAATTTTTGGGGAAGGAGCCACTGCCAAGACCGAGACACCCCACTAAGCAGCAGCTCGTCATCGCTTTGCAACATGCTGCATCCTATACCGGCAAAGGCAGGCGAGATATGTCAGCTCACCACACTGATTGGCAACCTCTCCACCACCAAACGGCCGACGGCAGCCGCCAAGTAAGCCAGTTATCAATACGAATGTTAATAATTTCCCGATAGATTACCCGCTGATACAGGGGAGCATTCAACGTTTGTGGGGTTCGACGTTGTTCACACCCTCAGCACGCCAAAGCTTGCCTAGCGCTTCCTTCGAGTATCACCAGGAACCTCCTGCAAGTCATTTATTGCTCTCGCTTCTCACACCGTACAATCTTGCCGCTCTGACGGTTCGTAATGGTCAATAGCAGCCAAGGGCAACTGCAAGTTCCAGACTGTCTAGCGACCACTTTGAGCGGTTGACGCGCAAAAACCTGGTGTCGAGCCAACATCTGAATTCCTCTGCGACCCTCATCAAGAGGTCGAGGATACGCTTACCCTGGGCTGTGTGGCTTGCTGGGGTCTTCAATTCGGAAAAGCATTTCATCAGCGTTGCCAAGCTCTTCCATGCACTTCACGCATCAGGGACGACAGTTGACAGCTTCTGCCGCTAGGTGCAAAGAAGCCTACCCGTGTCTTCCGCGGCAATGCGTGGAACCGCCTCGCAGTTCGAGGGTGCAGCGGCAAGACAACACAACTGTCGACCTGTTTTTCGATGATCTCTGCAACCAGGCTTCCCTGTGCACGTTCAGGAACGCGGCCTCGCCGAAGATACCCCTGCCCAAGTACCCGGGTTTTCAGTGCCAACAATGTGGTTGGCCGCACACGTGCCGAATGTGCAACGATTCCGTCATGTTTTGGTCGCGGGAGCAGCCGACCAGATTCACATTCGTCCTACGAGATATCACACCAGATCACATGCTCGTCGAACAGAAGGTTTTTAGAAAGGGAATCGATATTGAGATGTCAGCGTGACCTATTGAGGGCGTTCTTAAGCTCATGGAACAACCTTGTCACTCCAACCATGCTGTCAAAGCATCTTCTGGACCAAGCAGTTGTCGCCCAAATCTCACCCTTTAGCGGGACACACCGGTTGATCAGCCGCAGCGTCGCAAACAGCAGTCATGAGAGCAAACCCGGCGCTCTGGTACATACACTGTCAGCCTTCGCCAACAACTCAGCAATTGCGATTTGAAGGGTTCATGCACTGTTATGGTCCCGTGTTCGGTTCATGCAGTCCCGTTCTAACACAATGTCACTACCAAACTTGCATTCGTGGAGGCGCACAGCAAGTATCCGTTAAGAAGAAGCTGTGACTTCGAGAAGTATCGTTTGTGCGGGCTATCCTCGATGGTGAGGCGCCTGCCGTCTGAGCCCTGCGTGCATGGCCGCTTTTAATCCGCCGAGGTAACATCACGAATGCATCCCAATTCAGCCATGGTTCTGCCACAAGTACAGGCGGGATCATCTTCATGCCTAACCAGGTGGAAAGATCTGTCAAACACGACATCGAATCTCAGATCGTGGAGATGTGACCGACGGATGCGGTGAGAAGCCGCATTTGTAAGGCAACGTGGACGCCATCAGCATCTCCTGCATGGACCTGTGTCAGTCTCGCCTCAGTCCATGCTGATGGTGCAAGACACAGACATGCCAAACAACGTTCCTGCCCCTTTACAGATCTGCCTTGATGATCTTTACAAGTTGTTAAGGGCTGGGTAGGGCATAGGTATTCGTCATCGAGGCTAGCACCAAGCGAGGTGCAATTTCTAGGAACAGGCCCACCATGCCGCTCGCAGTGCTGTCAACCATGGTCAGAGCCATGCCATGTGCAAAGATCCACTTTGAAGGCAAATGGCATTGACACCTGAGGAACAATTAAAGTTGTTGGAGACGCGAGACCACAACGCGGGACCTCGTAATCGCCTATCAGACGCTGGCCCTCTAGCCCGCGTGTGTGAGACGTCTAACGGGCGTCAATATGGCTCTGAATTTCTTGCTGCACGATCCAATCAGCGCACCCGCCACTACTGTCTTGGTCTTCCAGACGTACGTACGTTGAGAGGGACAGCTGCTGAGATGTTTTGCGCCTAAAAGTGCTGAGTGAGAGCTTTGTGTCGCCGTGCGACGAGAAAGGCCACCAGCTGTCAGACGTCTCTCCTTCGGCGTCTTTAATGGCAGCGACCTCCTCCAGCACTTGCGAGCCGCAAGTCTTTTCCGGAGACTCTTCTTCGATCTCCACTTTGCCAGAAGAAGAGAGCCAGCACACCCCTACGGCCCAGCGCCAGACACCCCCACAGCACCCTAACGGCAGTTCCCAGGTGCTGCGGCACGCTCCTGCAAGTCGCGTCCATCATCCCCTCACGACACGGCGTTCGTTTAATCCTCGCCCGCCCGGCCTGCATCTGCCCCTTCAAACACTCGTAGTCTGCACACAGGCGCCACTGCACGCGTGAACCACGCTGCGAACCTGCTGTCCTCGATCCTCGAAACCCCGGCATGCCAGACGTCGACTCCACCTAGGTCCCTATATGCCTTGATCTGCCGTATAACCTAACATTGCCCGGCGCTGCGGAGATTTCGCTCCCGCTGTAAGAGTGTACATTAGCAGCTTTGGGCGGCCTCACCACAGCTTTCCGCTGAACTTTGTAACCACTCGACTTTGTCTGTCCCCGTCAGCGGACAGAGGCCTAGATTTCGCACAGGATAGACGCGCCCTGCGATTGGCTGGCCACGGCCAATACCTCGTCCACTTAGCGGTCCGCCGCCAACCCCGCGATCGCAACCACCAACGCCAGCAGCACTGTTGTACAGACCGACGGCATGCCAGAGACGTCAGGACGGCCATTGCTGCCTCATACGGCACAGATGCAGAGTTTCACATTCGCGCCGCCCACGCTGGCGCCCCGTGAGAACCAACGCAGTGAGTTGCGCGCGCGTCGCATCCTGCCGAAGTGGAAGGTGTGACTGACCACACTGAACAGACTATGTCTTTGTCGACGAGCACAACAGGCACAAACGCCTCAAAGGTGCGGAACATCAATGTGAGACATGTTGCGCTGCTGACTTATGTAGTAATGAGAGCATGTGAAGGCTGTCGCAGGCGCAAGATCAAATGCGACGCTGCAACGACCAATGCCTGGCCATGTGCCGCTTGCATCCGTCTGAAGCTCAATTGTGTCCCTCCCACTGTCAGCTACGACAAAGATTTCAATGGAAACTCGCAAACGTTCGAACTGGAACCGAGGCCCGAAGAGTATGCGCAGCCAGGCGCACCTTCCCAACATGACTACCAGCGGCACCAATCAATGTCACACATCATCATGCCTCACCAGATGCCACCAAACTTGCCAACGCCAGTTTCTGGAATGTACCAGTCTTCGCCCTACCCTGATCCGCAAGCTCAGGATGCCATGCACTACCCCGCCATGTCTCAACCACAGCAGAACATGAGTTACCCACCCCAGCAGACCTACTCCCAAGCATCAGCCGGAGCGCCAGCGATGGTCATGACCCCACCCGAAGCTGAGCCCCACTGGAGAAGCGAATCTGTCTCAAGCCTTACGGATGCCTTGGGTGAGCTCAAGATTGACCATACCGCCATTGCGCCTTACATCACCAACCAAAAGAAGGCACTGGCAGAAACGCCTGCGCAAGAGGAGTACGAGGTACAGCTACCAGCCTCGGTCAGCTTAGACCACATTGTTCGTATCCCACCGGAGATGATGCCTTCTGAAGAGCAAGCGCTACATTACTTTGACTACTTCTTCGCCAACATCCACCCTTACGTTCCGGTCGTCAACAAGTCCTACTTCTACCAGCAATGGCAGAGTGCGCGTGACTCCATTTCTCCGCTCATGCTCGAGGCTATATTTGCGTGCTCGACTATGATGCTAGGTGATGTTGACGAGGGCAACAAGTGGCTGGCCCTTGCATCCAGTTAGTTTTTACTCCTGAATATCTACTAATTGTACTTGCTAATCTTTATCAGAACATGAAGAGAGCTTCAAGGACGTTTCTCGACTGAGCACTATGCAAGGAATGGTCCTTCTCCTCAAAGCAAGAGAGGGCTCGCCGAAACGCGGTTACTTCTGGCGTTCTTGGATGGCCGTCGTTAGCCTTACGGCGATGGCGAAAGACCTGGAGTTGCATGAGCATTACGATACTCACCAGATGGGCAAATCCTGTGGCTCTACAGATCATGACTGCGTTGCCAAAACACGCGTCTGGCAGATGTGCCTCGTGTACGAGGCCATGATTGGTGGTCCTCAAGGTGAGAACAGCCCTACCATGAAACTGGGGCCAACACTTACAAGACAATAGGACGCTACGACTACAGCGTTGATCTGGACACAGTAGATTTTGACATGCCAAGACCAGCACCTGGTCAGGATGCTACAGAATTCCAGGTTGCCCGCCAATTCATCCAGTACATCCGGATCGCAAAGAACGTGTACCTTTCAGCCTTGATGTACGGTAAGCTGCGGAAGAAGACGGCAGATTGGGCGCTGGACCCATCATTCATTGCCCACAACGCGGATTTCTCTCTCTGGCAGCGAGAACTGCCAGAGGACCTCCAGATTTCCTATCCACCAGACAACTCAGCTCCCTGGATTCCATCACATTATCTGGCAAATTTGCACAGCTACCAGGCCCTCGCAATCGTTATGCATTTCAGACCACAAGTCGACGCAGTAGCAGAATCATATGATGGAATCTGGAAGCAGCACATGATGACGTGCTACTCGGCCGCAAAGACTATGTGCAAGCTGCAGGAGGCGATCCTGAAGACCTACGGTATGCCTGGCTTACTGTGCATGCTACGAGGCATGAGCTTCACGATCTACGCAGTCCTTACCTGCACTATGCTACACCTTGTAAGTTCATGAACGTTACATTGTATGCATCAGCTGATGATTTAGGTCGCGATTACCTGCCCTGACCCAGACATCAATCGAGATGCACGGGACTTCTTTGTGAGGCACATGCGTGTCCTAGAAGCTTGTGCTCCGTCTTGGCCAATGCCTGAGATGCAAGCCCAGGTGAACAGCTTGCGCCAAGCATTCTCCGCAGATATTACGAAACCGTTCGAACTCAAGGCTACATTTCCTTTCGGAAGTCCCCAGGTGGCCCCTCAATCAAGCCCTCTAAGCAATCAAGGCTCCTACCGACCTCGTCACCCAAGTCATCCTTCGCCGTTGGAACAACCAGGTCAGATCAACTACCATGCCCACCCCATCACTCCACCAATATCGGCGTCCGACCTCGGTTCGAAGACTGACTCTCCTGTAGCTCAGTCTCTGGTCATGATGGCATCCGGTCAGCGTGCGCCTCAAACAAGTGCGGGTATGCAGATGCAGGAAAACGTGCAGTGGAACCCGCAACGCATCTTTGAGTAAGCTGTTATTATATCTCGACCTCTCAATACACACACTAACATATTGCAGTCAATGGAATGTAGCCTTTGGTACGCCTCCCCCTACCGCGTCCTCCTCGTCATCCCCGCCGCTAAGACCCCCACCTTCAGGCACGAACTACGACATGCGTCCCCAGGACTCAAATTCGCCGAACTACCAGTTATCGAACGTTTCACCCCAGCAAAGCGGTATCCAAGGAACTCCAGGCCAATTACCTCCGTCCTCGAGTTATGCAGGTGCAAATCCATCTTACGTCACCCCAACCATGTGGCAAGAAGTCGTTGCTAGCTCCTTCCAACCCGGAGTCAAGCGAGGATGGGACCAAGGCAGCTCCTCGATGGTGGATCAATCCATGTACAAACGGGCACGATGATACACGACGAAGAGGCGAAGCGCAACGCAATGAGTAAGGCTGGAGTGGTGCCTCCGTGTCAAGGACACGAAGCATTACTAGGAACCAGAGTTGGCCTTGATGCTGTGCCCTCCTTTTGACCCGGATCAAAAGCACCGGTCAAGCTGGACATCTATACGCTGGCAAATGTTGCATCTCGCAACTTCAAAGGCGTGTGATGCGTACCCAGGTGCATCACACTTTGATGCCCGGCCTCCAGGGACGAGGATACTGTTGTCAACTGACCACATTCACGAATGTTGAGTATCGATGGGACTTTCCTCGCCACGAAACTGCACTTCGTATATGCTGCACGTCAGCACTCCGTGTGGATACCTCAATACTGGATGATTGAGCATTACGGACACTACTGAGAATTAGTGCAACTGTACAGTATCGATAATTCGCCTTGCAATACAGACAGGGAACGACGAAAATGACGGACATACGGGACAAGGGTCATCACCATCTGGAATGGTCGCTACTGTACAATGTAATGCACGACTACTTCTGGCCGACACAATTGCGGCCTTATTTCTTATCGACCTTCCTTTTTCGTACATCGCGTCTTTCGATCTGAATAGCGGCCGCCTCCGACTGCGATGATATCTGACGATCAACTTGAACAGCATTATATCCAAGCTTGGTAGTCCTTGCGTTACCTGCCTTCGTGGGGGGCAATTGTCAATATACACTCCCCCGCAGCGATGATTCGACTTCGGCTGCGAGCACTTCACAACGCGCCGACTGCACACGAATTGAATTAGAGACAGATTGTAGCTCGACCAGCTTTCGAATCGTGTAAGCTCGATATCTTGAGCCGTCGGAAAATGTCGCCAGTTCACCGATCTCGGTATACAATGCCTGCATAAATATTCTACGAAATCAATAGTTATCCACCTACTACAAGCAAGCGCTCTTTCCACCCAGCAAGCACACATATATTGCAGTGTTACGCACGCTCGCAAGCCACACGCATCACAGCAACCTGATCAACCTTGACTAACGGTGATGAATCGAGGGCATGTCACCAACGGTCCGGGTCGTTTACCGGTATTGCACCAATGAGGAATTAGCACGTGGGTGCGTGAAGCACGCGCTTGATTGTTCCTCCCTTCCACAACCCTTGTCATCGTCAACGGCAAGCAAGACAAAGCGGAAACGAAGCACCCATGTCCTTGACATGAACAGGCAATGTCTTCCAAAAATCCCGCCAGGTACCTGCATGTTACGACATTGCGCACACCCTGCAATTATGATCAGGAAACCACACAACACAAAGCGGACTGCAGCCCGCCCACACACCACCTCCTTCAATTCTACTGATTCAATTTCCAGCCCGTGCTCCGGGCAATATCCAGCACCCTTGCAAAGTTCCCGAGGCACAACCGGATATTCTGATTGGCCCGCGAAAAAGATTTGCATGTGAAATCTCGCACGGGCGCGCTGCGATTCAAGGGTAGGCTTCCGTGCGGTAAGGCCAACGCACGGGCACCTTCGTGAAGGAAGACAAACGCTTGTCCACCTTAGGTCTGGCGTGGGCGCAGGAGTGCAGCATGCGTCACTGCACGAATTCACCACACTGCAATGTGAAGGAGTAGGCAATGAAATGGGCTCTTGGCCTCAGAAGCATGCGTTCGATGCAGGAGGTGCAAGCTTGAGTGCCGCACATTCTTTCTCAACATCATCACTGCCACGACCCGCCCGAGCTTTGTTGGGCAGGTAAGGCTCATCCAGCCCTGCTCATCAGTGATGACCTTGATACCGCGCACTCAGAAACAACACCATTACGGTTCCCATACCCTGCACAACGGCAGCCACTCCCTGTCTCACATCATGCGGACGGACAGGCAGCCAGGTCCACACAATCCTCCCAGAATTCCAGAACTTCCACGACTTGCTGAGTCATGCAGCCGCCGAGCAACACCCTTCCTTTCCCTCGATTTGCGGACGTCGTTTGCCGATTCGAGGCAGGCTGCAAGTGCAAACTAGGCTGATCTCGGGGGGTCTTGGATGGACATTGAAGTAGCGTTTGATCCTCCTGGAATCTTGTTGTATGAAGGGGATTGTGGGGAGGTGACGAAGCAATACATCGAACTGTTGCAGAAGGATTCGTTAGGGAGTCGATGTTGTAACTGTGGCTGCACTGTCTCCACGTTTCATTGCCACTGTGGATGCGGTGTCGACCATTGCCTTGAGCCCTATGTAACAGTCCTCTCGACCTTTCCTCGACCTCCGCCTAACGTGTACCGAGCCCTCGGGATATCAATGCATTGCCACCTCTATTCAGTAACCGACAGAGAGAGCTGCTACACGACTCAGACAATCATACCATGCCGCTGGACTTCACACACCATGCTAGAGAAAACTTCACCAAGATGATAGTCGCAACACACATCAGCATCTACCGGTTTCCTATCTTAGTGTCCCGGATCTTCCAAGGCGACACACGACAGTTTATCCTGAGCTCGATTCCACCCCATCACGCGAGACATCGGCGAACGCACGTTCTGAACCCTGCGGGTACCTGACCCCATCGTCCCCACTTTGCCGAGACATCAGGAACCTGACGTGCGGACCAATGTGGATTTGGCAGTCGCAGATGCCAATAGCCTGAAACATATCCTCTTACATTGTCGTATGATGTCTTCGGTATGTTCGGGAAGATAGACGCGACGTGCGAGTGTGAGAAGTGGCATCGGGCCGAGGGGATGGAGTGATGTGATGTCGGGGAGAGCTTGACCGAAAGTGCTTTGTTAGCATGACGATTGTGTGTTATTGATACCAACGGGCCTTGTTTGTAAGTAGCTCCATTGAAGTCAGACCACGTCTCTGAAAGTGTCGAGATGCTGAGAATGGGCGCGAATCATCGCAGCATTCCTAGGTCATTACGGCGAACTGGTCTTCTGCAAACATGTGCAATAAGCCATCAATCTTATTCGGGCCCTGAGGTTTAAACACTCATTCGAGGCTGAGGTGGCCACGGTCATGTCCTACCATTTTTTCGGAGAGGAGAGGCTGTACCTGGTCTCTATGTCTTTCATATTGTTATTGCACTTCACGTTATTCATCTGCGCTCAGTATGTCTATTGAGTTGTCTTCTGCGTAGCTGTTGGATGCCGTTTCTTCTTCTTCTTCATCACAAAAGGTACTCTAAGTCCTTTGGATACAATTAGGATCGGCCTGCTTCAAGGAGCTTCAGCTCGTTTGCTACATGGTCCCTGTTGGCATCCTCAAGGTTGCGCTCGAGGTAGTGTCTGTAGACATTCTGCACAAAAGAGCACGAGCAGTCAAGAAAGTTCGTCATCACATCACTCTTCTCTTCTGTGTCAATATCTTTGAAGCCGTGTCGGTGAAGATTGACGTCACTGCCTAGTCGCTCTTGCCTTCACTTCACTTCGCGTCCCGTGGTCAGGCTTGGCGGACTGTTTGCACAACAATATGCCCCTACCAACACCCTCCCTTACCTCCACGCACCATTCGCTCAAACGCCCGCGACTTCGCCCCAAGCAGACTCGATTGACGCCACGTCCTAATATGACGGTAACGTCACCACCTCGAGCGGCGGCTCCGCATCCCACCGAGAAGCTACCCGCAGAACTCCTCGAAAGTATACTTCTCGAAAATGTCCGCGGGGTCACAGCGCCTATGCATCACAACAATGATTTCAAAAAGGTCTTCCGTTGGCACGAACAACATGATTATAGTGAACCGCCACAACAACGATGTTCGCTTTCTTCCCGACTTCTAAGCTACCCATCTGATCCAAACCCAAAGCCTTTGTTCCATTGATGGTAGCGAACTCGAGGACCTGGTATGTAGTGACCAAGCCAACTTGTTCGCGGACGCCGCCGTGAAGGGTGGATGCCAGATGCATCTCGCGAAACATATCGTATGTGTTGTTGCACGGCGCACCATCTGTGCCTAAAGCAACGTTGACGCCCGCGGCTAGCATGTCCGGTATTGGCGTTACTCCCGAGTTGAGCTTGAGGTTGCTTGTTGGGTTATGCGACACCGTGCTCTTGCTTTCATAGAGGATGTCGAAATCGCCTGTTGCGGAATCTGGGTGCACGCAGTGTGCGAACACGCTCTTGGGCCCTGTCAGCTTGGCGGTCTGGCAGAGCTGGAAGGGGCTGCAGTCGTAGGAATTTCGCTAGATAGAGAGGCCTTTGGGCGCTTCGGCGCAGTGCATGATGAGGCCGATGTTATGACCTTGAGCTGCTTCGCCTATAGCGGTATGTGCAAACACAAGAGATCCTCGCGGTTTGCCTGCAGAGAACCACATGTGTATACGATCGTCGTAGGAGCCATAATGCTGCTGATAAGCTTTAGGTGCGCTAGCGATCGACATAAACTCCACATCGCGATCTCGGGCGTCTTTGAGACTCAAGTCGAGGTTTCTTTCAACAGCTTTGATTAGTTTGCCCTTCAGCAAGTCAGAGATGATCGGTAGACGAGATATGCGGGCTTAACAAACAAGCTCTTACGCGTCTCTTCCGCGGCTCTCATTATATTCTCGAGCCCACTTGGATACGTTAACACGGCCTCGAAAAAGCATGTTGTTCTAGTCTTCAACATCTCCGCAACTGTAAGCATAGCTGCTGTGTAACCATCTTCTTCTGCATAATTGGCTTTCAAGGGCCAGATGGCGTCACAAAGCCAGCTGTGGAGCGGAAGATCCTTGGCTAGGTCGCGCAACAATGATTGCGCCAGATGTGCATGTGTGCATGTGTGCATGTGTGCATGTGTGCATGTGTGCATGTGTATTGATCAAGCCTGGAAACGACAATTCTGTTCGTACAGTCGATGATCTCAGTTGTATCATCAACGCTTGAGATCAAAGTGTCGGTCTTGTCGACGGTGGCAATGCGATTATTGTAGACCAGGAGTGCTCCGTCAAGGAAAACATCTCGATCTTTGTTGACAGTGATTATGGTAGCATGGGTGAAAAGTCGCGAGTTCCCCTCGCCAGCGGACTTTTGTATCATATAAGAAATGCACTTGCTCTGGACCTGAATGAGAGTCGGTGAAGGACGGTCCACTTGAGTCGGCTGAGCAGCCGTTGCTGTCCGCAGGTTTTTCGAAAAAGAGTGTAGAGATCCAACTGTGGTGATAATTTCGTTGACTTCACACATGCAATGAGAATCCTGTAGCCCCGGAACATAGTGTGGGTGGACATCGGATTCAGAAAGGGCTCACTGGTTCCACAATCCTGCACGGCCGAGTCCTCGGACTGAGCGTTTCTGCTCCATTTCTTTTGTACCTGAGTTACTGAGGTCGATGGATATTCAAAGAAGTAGAGACGCTTTCAGATTACAGTGTCGTTGCGGTACACCGCAGCGCCGCTGAGCACCTATTTGGAGATAAGCGGGGAAGGTGAATCGTAACGACGTAGGAATCGTCCAGGGTCCTCGCCATGAGTCTATATATGGTCTGTATCTTGGTGAAAGTGAGCTCCTCATTTATCAGCGAAGCGATTCCGTAGCAACAGTATGGCGATGGACTCGAAGTTTCTGGAGGATACGAATACATACTCGCCATCTACCGGCCAGGAGGAAACGATCGGATGGCAGGATGCCTTTGTGGAGCTGAGATATGCTCACGGCGAAGGACGGCTAGGTAGGTGACTATGTATGCACCACGTCTCACATTTTCGTCTTTGTTGATGACTCGCCGGGACAGGTTCATTCTCACAGTAGCGCCCGGTATTGGCTTCATGGATATCTGTCTGCCAGACTGGTTCTCCTCGATTCTCACATACGCCGGGCCAAATCAAAGCTTGATTGGTATCAAGTAGCAGGCAGATTCTGAACCGTGGCGTCTCCCTTCCATTTCTGGCCGAAGATTTAGATGGGTGTCAGAACTGGAATGACAACAGATCATCGAACAGCTCTTGAGGTTCAAGTGTAACATCAACTGGGAAATGATGAAAAGACGCGTCCCATCTATTGTCTTCTGGACTGGCACCAAGCCTCGTTATAGTATGTACTGTGCTTTCAACTGTTAGATCCGGTTGAGCCGGGCGTGAAGTATCGTGAATTTGAGTCGACATGCGCGTAATCTTTGCCGGCCTAAAGTAGTCGGTCTCTCCGACATCGCGATGTCTCTTGCCTAAGCCACGGAATGACCCTTGTCGAACCTCCTTTTGCAAAGTAGCTAAAAGCTGTGCACCACGGGCAGCTATCTTACTGCCCTGGAACTTCTTCAAATAGTCAATAGTATTGTTCATCATGGCCGTGTACTGTTCAAGATCATCTTCTTTGGGGTCTCTGTGGGCGGTGTCAAGACTGAGCACTATGCCGGCCGCCACTGAGAAAGCCTGCTCAATCCAAAGGACCGGACCGTTCTGATCATTTGTTGACAGAGCCTCCTTCAGAATAGTGTTTGCTGCGGCGACGCATGTCCGACGAGTGAACGAGAATGCCGTATTCGTGAAAGATAAGCCAAGGAACCTACGGTGTATCATGATAATTTTGTGTGCAGCGCATATAGCCAACGATCGTCGAGCCCAGCCAACCCAGACTGGCCAAGTCGCATCGATCGTTGCGTTCGTGAACAGAAACGTTGGCATCGATGCAGTCGCAAGCTTCCGCATCTTCTCGTCATACTTGAGAACTTGCTCATATCTAGTGAACAACGTATTACACCCCGAGGTTGCGTCAAGCAATCGCGGCATGAGTGCCGCGATCTCGTATCGATAATTGCAGTAGCTCGATTGCGTTGGAACGGAGTGAGGCTGACACTCAAGGTCGTCGTCGTTGCAGTTCATGGGCTTGTCGGTCGTGATGAAACAGGGATTTAGTGAATAAGATTCGGAGAATGGGATCTGAAACCAGTCCTGTGTACAAAGCTGATTGAAAACACGTCGTCCAGCCTCTCTTTGACGCAATTGCTCAATAGAGACAGGTTTTGTCTCTGTGCTCAATCGGTGCAAGCCGAGACTTTGCGCGATCCGTCCAGCCGAGGACAGAAGGACGGACTGACTGCTGGATCTACCCAATATGTGGGCAGCTATGGTCAAAGTGGCGATCGCTTCAACGGAGTGAACGGTATGCCTTTCGATGTAGTGGCCTGTGTTGAGACATAAGACAGACGACTCGTACCAATGCAGAGCTAAAGTCGAGCTCTCGGTATCCATAAACCCCCACGAACGCCGAATATCAGGGGGTGCACAAGCCAGGCTACCCGTAAGGATCGCGAACAGAAGTGCCAGCCATTGTACATCCAGATCAGGGTGTCGTACACTTCTACGGTAGCTGTCCAGGAACTTGTTCAGATCATTGTTGAAGATCCATGACGAATAGGATCCATGATACCATAGAATGTACGTGTCGTGGTAGCTGACAAGCTGGCGGATTTGGGTCCGGTCTGGTAGAAGTGTCTCGAGCAGATCAAGGGCTGCATGCTTACTGCTCTCGAATATGGCATTAGTGACGCTGTAATCGTTCTCTTGTATCAACAGGAGCTGACTGGGTTGCTGCGGCATCGTTCCATACTCGACATCTTTGCTACGGCCCCATGCGAGAAACTCAAGGACTGTCGCTGCGTGTTCATTATCAGGCGCAACAGAACCCAATGCTTCATGAACGGGACTGTTCGTGACATGCTGTGGGCGTGCTCGACCATGGGCTGGGGTAGAGTTTTGTTCCAACTGATCTGGTATCTGAAGCGTGTGCGGAGAAGGCTGATGCGGAGAAGCTGAGCTATTGATTCGCGCGCCTTTTTCGTGACCTGACAGTTGGGCCTCCAGCTGACTTACACGATCGAGCAGAGTTCGAACAAGATCATGAGATGCTGTCGATTCGCCATCTGCATGTGTGTTGACTATGATAGCTAAGCCGTCATCCTCGCGAGTACAAAGATAGGCATAGCCTCTGCACCCCAGTCAGTGACTACTTGCGTAGAAAACTGCAGATATTACCTTTTGACGCAAGTGCTACATGGTATGGTCTTGTCGCACTTGATCTTGCGTCGATAGCATTCGGTGCAGGTCAAACGAAGCCGTTGGCCTCTGGCCTTCGATGATTCCCCCATTGAAGCAGCGAGAGATGATCAGTCTTTGCGTGGTCGCATTGGACTTGCGACGCGTGACAGCTTCGGATACCAACACGTGTGTGCCTGTGTAGCTAGCGGCCTTCACGTGACAGAAGTTACGTTGTGACCTCTCTGCCGCCGTGTAGATCTGCTCAGGCGCGTAAGTCGATGCCAGACATGATGCACAGCGCGCCTTGATGATTGTTGATGGCAGAGGAGGTGCGGCCGAGATAAGTGGAAAGCGGAGATCTCGGCCGCCCCTGTCAATGTTTATCACCCACACTAGCGTGCTTTCCCCACTACCTCCGCCGGGCGTGATTGCAATCACCTCACTTGCCTTCCGGTCCAACACGCCTGTCAGCGTAAGGTAGATCTCTACTCGGTAGTCGCCAATATGCTCGGCCGCTTACCGCGGGGTCAGTGTTGGCGACATGCTCAAACCCGGGTGGCCTTCAAATCCCTCGTATTGACATCGAATGCAGCTACATGGACATGGCTGAGTATAAGAACGAGTAAGTGCAGCAGCCATGAAGATTCACAAGTCTCTCACTTACAATTCTGCTTTCCCCGGTAGCTTGCCTAGTGACCCTGGTCTAAAAGCTCTTGCAATGGCACCTACCGAATATGTCGACCGTCCGGTGCCAACGATCTCACTCGAAGACTTCGACGATCGTATCGATGCGATAACCAAGGAGCTAGTCAATGCAGCAGAGAATGTTGGCTTCTTCTGTGTCATTGACCACGGCATCTCATACGAGTCCGTCGACCGAATCTTTGATCAGTCTGCTCGATTTTTCAGCCAAGATGACAACGTCAAAGCACAGGTTCCTTTCTCTCCGCAGCACAATGCTGGGTGGGAGAAGAATTCGCAAGTACGGCCTTCAACTGGTGTGGCTGACCGCAAGGAGTCTTATCAGATGCAGTTTGGAGAGGGAATGAATGGTGAGTACCAAGAGACGCCACTCTTGCTTGTCCATCACTGATCAAAGTCAAGGTCGATGGCTTGCAGATGAGGCTCTTCCAGGGTTTCGAGAGGAGGCCCTCAGCTTCATGCAGCAAGCACAAAGTGTTAGCGAGAAGCTCATGATTTGCTTTGCACGGGGCCTCGGCTTTGAGAATGATTACTTCGTCAGTGCACACGATGTCAGTCGTCCCGAATCTCAAACAGTGTGTCGGCTACTGCACTACTTCGAGACACCAGAGCTGCCAAACCCAACCGGTGAGGTATATCACCGAGCCGGAGCACACGCAGATTGGGACTTGTTGACTCTACTGTTCCAAAAGGCTGGTCAATCTGGTCTCGAGATTTGCCCGGGCCGAGAGCTATCTACATCTTTCGGTTACGGAGACGCTTGGACAAAAATAGAGCCAGATGTTCAGAAGAACGCCATTGGTGAGTAAAAGAGAATTCCATGGCTGCTGTCCTTACTTACCACGGAACAGTCTGTAACGTTGGCGATCTTCTTATGTCCTGGTCAGACGACCGCTTCAAGTCAACGTTCCACCGCGTGAAGGCACCTTGTGAGCCCGGAGACTACTACGGTGAGCGTTACAGTATAGCCTTTTTCAACCAGCCATGTCGAGATGCGCAGATTCAGGGTCCATTGAAGAAGTACCCTCTGATCACCGGCGAAGAGTTTACTAGGGATGCAATGAGCCGCAACTTCAAGAGTCTGAAAGAGAAGCTTCAAAACAAGGAAGAGGTAAAGTCCAGAGAAGCTTCGAGCATCGCCGTCATGTCGCAGCTTAGTACAATGGCCTAGCAACGGAGATGCCAGGACTAAGAGACAAGCAGGGAAATCGAAAACGTACATTCAAGGAGGCATTCCCCTTATGGGAAGCGTCGTAGTAATGTTCGCAGATGATCATGATGCCTACAGTATAATCCATGTCGCATTTTCTTATCGTTTCGAGCTCTATGTTGCCTACAATACGTTCAGACAGTTTGAGGAAGGCGAGATCGTCGAGAACTGCCTGGGTAAGGATCTGAGAAGCAACAGCATTTGGGTCATCGTGACGTTGCTGCCAGAACTCAAGGGCCTAAAGCGTCGATGATTTCTTCCTTGGCAATCCGGACAACCCTGTCGGTCTCAAAGTCAGGGTGTTGAGCTAACCACCCACGCAAGTGTTTAAGCTTGTTGAGCCCATGGAATCAGTCAAGAGCGTTCATGAGGGGAACGCGAAACTTTTGTCTGAAGTCCTGCTCTTCTTGCGATTGGAACATGATCTTCGCGATGAACATGGAAGCTGCAGCCTTAACGCAGTAATTACGGGTTGACAAAAGACAGGCGACCACGTTTGGGGTGGTATCAGGCGAAGTGTTCAGAGGGTTAAATGATGGAGGCATGTATGAGGCGCTTTGTTAGTGCCAATTGACACGTGTGACCTGTTGTGAAATCGTACGCGTCCTTGCGCAGAAAATGTTCACAGTGGTTGACAGCGAAAACGAGACGCTTGAGCACTCCAGACTCGTACTCGAAAATTCCAGCGATATCGTGGGTACCGGAGATGTACAACGTTTCCACGCGCAAAATGGACGAGGCGGCGACGTGGGCCTGCTAGATATTCACTAGGCTTCTGCCGACAAGGACATCGAAGTGTGTGGTGCAGGAGTCCCACTTCCTGAAAGCTCCAGCTTCCCAATGGTGAACAAGGTCCATCGATAAAGCACGTCTGAGTTCAGTGTACGACTCTTGCGATGAGCCTCTCTTGAGTCTGTCCACTCGGCGTGCGGGAAGGCCCATCATTGCAATTGGCCGGCTTTGTCCAGCATGCCAGAAGCCAAGCCTCGCGGCAGCCCAGGCTATGCAGATATTGCTAGGATCTCGAGTAGTGCCGAAATGCTTGTAACCAGAAGTTATATATGTAGTGTAGGTCGATAATACTGCGAGAGGTGCCCTCGTCGTAGCATATATCAACGAAATACAGTGCAATGCACACGTGTAGCTTGAGGTCATTACTTGTCACATCGAGATCATTCCTGTCAGAAGAGCAGTGCGGGCTGCCTGTTCAGCTTGCATGCAGAACTACGAATGACTTCCGACCTTAATGTGTATCATCTGCTTGATGGTGGCAAGGCAATGATCTTGGATGATTGTGGATGGTCACTCAAGTGTTCAGTGAGGTGTTAGCAGGTGGATAGACTGACCGAGGGCCGGCTCTGTATAGCTGGAACACCCCGAGAACATCGGGAATCCTTGGACCTCAAGGTTGGTTAGCGTGGTTGTGGACAAAGTTGGACAGGAGAACATCATGATGCATCTTTGGTGGTGTTGTCGTGCTCTGTGATGATGCCGGTGAACAACCTTGAATAGCCTTAGTGAGTCTTGCAGCTAGACCTCAAAAGCTACTAGCACCCTCCGATCCCACCGCTTTTCCCAGACCTCCTTATACACTACAGCAGGGACCTCACGATGGTGGCGAACTTTGACAGTAAGCCGCCCGCGTAAGCGTGTAGTATCGTAAATCAGCTCTCTCAATCGTGTTTCGCGTCCGCTCTCCCATCGCCAAAAGCGAATGCTAAGTGTCTCAAGCCCCGAGTCTGGTTGGTCTACAAAGGTAGTCCACAGGTGGCAAATTGCGCAGTGGGCGTGCTTGTTGACGTACATGAATAGTGAGCACTCGCTAAATGGTGCTCGGATGGACAACTGAACATTGCGCAGTGATGGAAGAGGTGGAACAAATGAGAAATGATTCGATTCCTATTCAAGTCAGTAGGTGAATCAGTCGATTGCTAGAGTGCAGCGTTGCTTACACCCCATTGATAGCCTTCGCAGTCAGGACACCGATGGTAGCTTCGGATATCAGGAAAATCCATATCTAGAGATCGCAGGTTCGAGAATTTCCACAAGAATTTACGAATGTTGCCACAGTACACGGGGCCCTCAATATGTTCCTGTCTCGCCTGCAGGCTTAAATGACGAAGATTAGGTCCATGTACATCCGTTAGCATCTTAGGGAAGTCTGCGCGCAAATCCAAATCGTCGCAACGGAGCACCAGCTCTCTCAGTGAGGCAAGCGCAGCTACAAATTCCGAACATGCCTTTAGGCGGAGATGCGACGAGTCATCTTTGAGTGATGCGTATGAGATCTCCAGATTTGTCAAATGAGGCAGGCTTCCAAGGAAGACTTTGAAGAAGTTTGTAGGATTTTGCGAGCCAAGCGTGAGGTGCTGAAGTTTTTCGTTATCCATACTTGCAAGTAAACGCTTGCAATGGTCTTCATCGAAAGCGTAGCTCCTGCTGCGTAGTTTGAGTGACACCAGGGATGGCATTCTGTCTCCAGGCTCAAATGGAACCTGCAGACAGCCAATCACGGCGCCTTCCATTCGATCAGTATTGACATCGCGATGCGTGTCAAGGAGTAAATGGCGAAGACCGGAGAGTTGGAGCAGTGCTTGCTTGAGGGATCGAAACAAAGAGATGCTATCAGCGCCAGAGAGGTCTGTGCAAGGCACCGAAATCTCCAACCGATGAAGTTGTGCTGTGGAGAAGAGTGTTTGGTCGACTAATCTGACATTGGCGCAGAGCTGTGCTCTGGGGAAGCATTGCTGCAAGACATCCAGGATCCTTGGTGAGATCGGTGCATCACAACTCCAGCTGAAAGAGTCGAGCCTGTTGATATGACTGAGACAGTCTGCGATCAAGGCTACATTCAGACAGTAGCTTTTTTCGTCGCCCTGGAAGTTGATAACACGAAGGTCGCGAACATAGTGACATATCTTGTCAGACGCGTCTGTCAGTCGCTCGGCCAGTCGGTAGGTAATTTGTTCGTGAACTTCATCATCGATCAACAAAAGATTCCTGTGAGCTACAGCGTCGGCAAAGTCTTTCAAACGTAATGAAGTGAGCCGTAAGCTTTGAAGAATAGTAACTCGCTCCAAGTACAACTGCTTGCTGTCAGTGACCAATCAGGGCAATCAAAGAAGTGCTTACATAGTCGAGAATCAAGTACAACACATCGTCGTCCAGGTCCTCGAAACTAGTCATGATCGAACTCCGACAGCATACTGAAGACGACGTCTAGCCTATATATACACGTGAAGGAAGAGTTACAAGGCAGCCGCAGGTGATGAGGAAGGTGTTCCTAAGACAAGCTAGTCCGCATTCGGCCTTAGCGTCCGCCCGGCAAGTTCCACCCTCGAAGCTCATCATTGCAAGCTCCGTCACGACCACCGATAGCAACCCCACACACAATGCAGTCGCTTCGCAGGACAGCAGTAACTGCTGCCCGGACGAGCCGAACCACCCTCTCGCGCCAGACGCGCCGCTATGCTCACGACGAGCACGCCCACGGCCATGCAGCCCCCGCAAACGAGCCCTTGGGCGTACGTCAACCCACCCATTGCCCTTCCATAACGCGCTCTCGAGCGCTGTGCGACACCGGATGTTCGTGAGAGCGTAATCGCTAACTCAATTGGTACATAGAAAGGCTTTTTTTGGTCCACCATTTGGATCCCCGCCGGCATGGGCCTTTACCTCATTTCGAAGAACTCCGAGAGCGACCGACCCTTCCTTACCCGTCTGATGGACAAATACGCCGAGGCGGAGGAGAAGCGCACAAAGAAGAACGATATTCACGTACGCATGATTGAACAGGCTGGCGAGGATCGTGTCTTGTTCCTGAAAACCAAGCCCCAGGATCACGTTGACATGAGGTTCCCCGAGTACGTACCGACTTGAGGAACATCTACCTTTCCAGCAAGCCGCAAGAACCCGAGAAAATTGGGCACGCAGTGCTTCTGGTGAGCGACGGGGTACAGGAGCATGGCTAACATAACACAGGATCATGAACAACGGCTCTCCCTACAACGTCCCCGCCGGCAGCCAAGTCCCCATGACCTCCGTGATTGAGAAGTACAAGAAGCTCGCAAACGAAGACAATGAGCGCAAGCTCGAGGCGCTTGCCAACGACGAGATCAAGGGCGAGCAGCCCTTCAACAAGAACCACCTGAGGAAGTCGCCTTACACAGCATAAGTGCGGGAAATGAAAGGCATGGCTTGTGTATATACTGAGGAATGATATCCGTTTCATTTGTTCTTGGAATGACTGTGTAGTGTCTCTTACTTTCCAAGCTTGACATTCTCATCAGCTTCCCTCGCATCTCTCCTCTCACCAGAAAGATGCGACACTCCCCTCGACATCTTACCACTGTTCCTCGCCACTTGGATTCTCTCCTTCTCAGCATCTATAGACTTCCTCCCCCCGTCCCTCTCTCTGTCAATGACAGTTATTACCCGGAAAGTAGACTACTTGATTTCCAAGAACGTACACTTCAAATGGTCTCTGTCCGCTCCTTTTGTCTTCTTCAACCACTTGACCAACTCCTACATCCACCTCTGGTTTCTTAGGTCCAGAAAGCTGTCTCGCGACCTTCGAAAATGCAGAACGCAGCCGGGATCGAGGCGGTTGGATGGTCTGCGCCTCTTCTTTCATGTGGGCGATGGAGTCTAGCGAGTCGGTGGAGTCTCGACGCTGCATCGTCTCGCTTTCGTTTTGGAGGCGTAGGCGGGGTTGGGGAGGAGAGCGCGCGATGGAGGGGTGCGAGACGATGTATTCGCCCGGCATGCCGTTCTGACCTAGGAGGTAGGTGCGGTTAGGCTCCATGTTGATTGAGTGGTTTGGGAGAAGATGATACCTTGAAATGGGTCAGGTGGGAGGGTTGATATGGAAATGGGTTCAGGCAACAACGTTTGTAAGCTTGCGTGGAGTGGACCGATCAGGTATCTCAAGAAGTACAAAGTTTGCAGCGTTTGTTCACGCAGCCAGGTTCGTGGTGTTGCGATTGGTAGGTTGCTTGGAGCTTACGATGTTGCGTTGATCGACGAGTTTAGGCAGCTTTATACTTACGCAACACTATGATTTGGTCATGTACAGCTTCACCGATGTTCATGTTATGGCGGTATGAACCGGATATAAGAACGTCTTGGTTGCTGCTTGGTAATTGCTTGTGGCTCATACTTGCAGTTCACGTAAATAGGAGCGATGTTGGCAGGTAGACTGGCAAGCAGATTGAAAAGGGCGGTGCTTATCGCAGCGAGTCGAAGTTGCGCAGGTGATTTGGATTATGCAAAGTACACGAAAAGTGGTGGTCAGCAACCAACATATTGTATCAACGATTGGACTACTTCACAGGACAAGGTGAGGTACAATGCTCTGTTGCTGTGGGTTTACATGCTGGAGATAGGATTATAGTTGTCATCCGTCTGCAGCTACCGGGTTGATGTCGTCACACGTTGATCTCAACATCCCTCGATGAACTTCTAGCAGCCCTTTAACTAAAATCCTGGTCGATAGTACTCGCGATCAATTGTTTCCACGGATTTCCTCGCCTATTCAGGCGCTCGCATGATCTTCAGCCCTCGTTTCACCTGCCTCCAGCGACGAACCCTGAAGCAGTTCACGGCGCTTCGATGCTCAAAACTGATCGCTGATTCCAGGCCTGCATAGGCGCCGTGGCTCTTCGATGTCCACTGGGCAGTCGTCGTTGTCACTGAGAATTGATGACTGCAGGTCGTCAACGAGAGTTCTAATAGTATGCTGTAGGCACACGAAATTTGAAAATTGCCAGTCGCACACGTCACTGCTCGAAGGCTCGTTGCTGGGGTTGCGCCCCGCTTTCTGCAGAAGCGAAACGGCTACTCGGCGCTGATTGGCTGCGTGCTATTCACCATCAAGCATCACCTGAAGATGAATGTAGACTGCGTGAAGATGAAGGGCATCTGAGCAGCTTCTAAGCGGTACTCACGATGGCCAGGTCTCAGCCTGATGCAGTCTTGCTCATCAACTAACCACTAGCCACACGCAGACAGCAGCAGCAGTAGCAGTAGCAGCGACGGCGACAACAGCGACATAATTTTGAAGAAGCTAGCAAGCAAGCAAGCAAGAGTAAACGTCCAGGCGCGCCAACGCGTCGGTGGCAAGCAAGGTAGGTCGCGGTAACAATGTTTAATGAGTCTTGCTTTTCGTTGGAGAGGGATGTTCCTCGGCGACTGCTGTCTCAGCAACGCATTGCTTCTGCGCTTCCTCGAGTTTCATTGACCCGCAAGTCTTTCTGGCTGCGTCCCTTCTTTGTTCTCGCTGTCTGTCAAGATGTGGATTCTCACAAACCTACAGATGTCGGCGCAAGATGATCGTCAAGCTAAGCGGCGTCCGTTCAGCTTGCCCGCTGTCAAGAGGCAGGGACGAACCCCTGGCGCAACGCCAGCGCTAAGCCAGATCGGTGAGTAAGCGGCTTTCCTTCCCAAACACACGGCTTCGCATCACCCGTCGTCTTAGCTGCGCATAAACAGCTCTTATACTCACCACACTTGCCTATTTCTGCGCGCTTCATTCTTCGCAGCGCCCCATCGGTGAAAGAGCTTCGATGCTGGAGCTTCGATGCTGACATTTGTGTCCTTCCTTCAGCACCCCGACTTCCCGAGCTTAATTTCCGCATCGTCGCGCAGTACAGCAGTGGGAGTGACATGAACGGCACTCTCGGTACCAAAGACGACACCCACCGCACGAAAGCCGGCGCACCCATGTCCTACACATCACACCGAAACTTCTCTGGACCGCTGGCCGTCGAGAACCCTAATATGGCCGCTGCACCAGTCTCCCCAGTCTCGCCGGGCAACCAATGGGCTCGTCCAAACCCTCACAGCAATCCACAAAGCACACCGACCAACTCAAAGACCTCGCAATATATTGATAAGATCACATCAGACAACGATCGCCTACGGAGAGAGCTGCGAGCCGAGAAGCTCGCACGAGAGGACGAGGCCACACGCATCTCAGCCGCCAAATCGAAAGCCGAAGACTCTCGAGCAGAGCTACAGCACCTTCAGGTGCTTGCCGAGACAAATGCACGGGCAATTGAACGAAAGGACAGGAAGCTGGAGGAAATGAAGGCCACGCTCGACGCTGAGATACAGCGGAGGAAAGCGGCAGAGCAGAGGGCAGAGGAGGCACTCAAAATGCTGGGCGACACACGATCAGAGACACAGCGCCAGCTTGCAACCGCATACGAGATGAAGCACATGGCAGACACCCAACTCGAAACGGCGAGAGACGGCTTCAAGCGCATGACCGAAGGCTATGAGAAGAAGATCAAACACATAAGTGAAAGCATGAACGAGCTGCGACAGCAACGGCTCGAAGACGTCGACAAGATTAAGCGACAAGCAGTCGTCAGCGACCAACTGCACCACGAGATGTCACGAACCACACGAACCGAAGGCGCCCTAACAAATATGATGGAGGAGTACAAGAAGGAACACAGGAAAGAGATGGACCACATTGTTCAGGAAGCACAGAGACTCAAGTTGGCGCTGCCTGCGAAAGAGCGGGAAGCAGATCGGTTGGTGCAGTCGTTGGAAGAGACAAGAGACAAGATGAAGTGGGTCATTACGCAGCAGCAGCGCCAACACGAGCAGCGTCCACTGGAGCAGCGTCAACAACAGCAGCGACAACAAGGGTACAGATAGGTTAGGTCTCCAAGCTCGTCGCTGCACCCACCACAAGAAGAGAACATGAAGGCTATTGACACGAAAGAGGAAGAAGGGCTGTGGGGCAGATTCTTGATCACCAAGCGAAGGCATTGAGAAGGAGGCAAATAGCCCGTGTGTATGGACACACAATACGACTGTCACGACACATTTTGCATTAGAAATAGGGTCTGGAGAATACTCGGACAGGCGTTTACGGCATTGGGTGCAATGCGAGGCGCTCTGGGCATCAGGTTACGACTGGAGTTGAATGGCATGTTGCTTCCTTGCTTACTTCGAGTACATGGTATTGGGTGATCTGAGATACCCGCGAACATCAAGATGCTTTGTTTTCTTCTGCTCCGCTCGTCTCTTCCCTGCATCGTGCTCTCGTGCTTCCCTACCATTTTCCACCGTGCTTACTCGGCGCTTCAGAACCGAGCCTAAGTACGTCGCTGTACCTTCCTTTACAACACTCTTTCCCTCCATCGGCACCGGGACTAAGCGGAAACGATAACGCCAGCTCAACTCTACCTTCTTCCTCCGGTCGTCCTGCCTCCGTGTCCCTCGTCCATTAACCCTCCGCTACTCTTGAGCACCCTATGGCTCCAGGCATCTCGATCAGCCATCACTGCACTCCACCATACACTGATGCTTACTCTTACCCAGCACTCGCTATACGACCCTGTGAGTGGACCCACGCTGCCTCCTTCGTCTCATCTATACACGACTCCTCCTTTAACAATGCCCCCTATTGTTGAGAGTCCGGAGCTCACCAGGTGCTCCCTACCAGGGCTTCCACCGCATGGCTTCGTTCGCTGCCAAGGCCTTAACTGACACTTGGGTTACTGTGGGCAAAAGGAACGACCTGCAAGTCGATGGCATCAAATAGCAGCTCTTTCTTGCACAATTGCCCACCGCAATGGCTTTTGAGATACGGCACAGATGGGAGACAGAAGTGTGCGAAAAATGAAGGCGTGACATGAATCGTTTCTCTATCGTCTCATATCCTACAATATCAACTTTTGTCGTAAGCACGCGCTGCCACAGATGTTGCCACATCTAACTCCGATCCAGTGAATGCAAACAATACTCCGCCCGGGCTGAAATGCAGCAGATCCTTCAAATCATTACCAATATTCGCCGATGGATCCGAAGTCATGCAAGACCCGAGTACAAAGAAAACGTGTTCGTCCGAGGACTGGCCAAGAAGTCAGCGAAACGTCAAAAGTCGCACAGCAACATAGACATACCGGACAAGGATTGCCAGTCTAATTGACAGGTGTGCCACACTGTGGGCAGCATTTGCCGGGGATGACCCATACTGTATCTCCACGCTCCAGGCAGGCGGGGCAGCGACGACCAGGTACCTGTCACAGTCAGTCCTGGTATCCAGCGATCGAGACTGGACCACGAAAGGACAACATACCGGCATGGTGGTAATACCTTCGACTTCGTATATGCACGGGATAGCGAACCTGTCGATAGAAGAACGCAGGCACATTGCAGTTCGGTGTATCGAGGCAGAATCCGATAGAAGTCGGCAAAGAGGATCGAGCGTGCTTGTTATGAGCGAGTGACTGACGATGATGGTGAATGAAGTAGAGTTGATTGATGGAGTATCGACATGTGGGAGGATGGTACTTTATACGAACCGCAGCTGCCATCGAACCGCACCGCCTATTGCGAATCTGGTTCTGCACCCTGCAGCACGCACGCTTGTGGCGCCTAACCCTGAAGCACAATGCTGGGGTTGAGAAGTCATTTCCTCATGTACCTCCACCATGCGAAGGAAGAGGATCTTTGTGTATCGTCCTCCCGTGAGTCAGGGACGTTTGTACCTTGTGGTCCCACCGACTTTCGCAGAGCTTGCGGCCAGATACATGTCAACAGGTCCTGTCAATACAAGCGAAAGTGTCCAGTTGCTTTTCCCCCTCCCAGAACACTCCGGTATCCGACCGACGGCTGCAGGTGGAGTCTCTGAGATTGACAGGGATGTATCTGTGTTACCTGGTCCACGGAGCTTGTAGCCGGCGCATTCTCACATCTTCACTGCATCATTCGACAACCCTTACCGGCTAAACCTACTGTCAAACTCAGCTTGCGACTACACAGCAAATGCATCGTTGGGGCCCATTTCGAGTCTCGATGTATGATCGCCATACCAGTAAATGTGTATGTCTCACTGTAGGACCACCGCGATTGCTCCTCGGACGACTGCAGATCGTTCCAAGCCTTATCTGGATCGACCTGCGGTAGACTGAGTGGCTATAAGGCTGCAAATTCGATGAAAGATATCTATCACTTTCTCAAAGTTGACGCTAATGCAGCCACCAAACTACGCGACTTACTCCCTGCAAACTCCCTGCACGTACACAAGGGCCCCGCATTCATCGAATCAACCATCAACAGGTCTCCAAAGTAACACCTTGCGTTCAGACTGAGGTGCCGTTCGACGTTCACCCGATCTGAGTTCGTCCTTTGGGCAAGATCCATTTCGCTACATCTGGCGCATGTGCATGATGGTACCACAGGCTGCTCACTCGTTGTACCATGGACTTACAGTTTGTACAATGGTACCTCGATCTACCATACTAGTTGAGCTTCACAACAAAGACTCGTCATTTTGGCCAGTTTCGAGCCCCGGCGCATGTCATTGCGCACCCGACTACAGCGCATACAAACGGGCTGCAGTGAACGTTTCCATACGAACCGACGTTGACGCCCTGACCTTGCTAGTCTCGCTAGCATGACGGAAGCCAGTCCCGGGTCCGCGCGTAAACCACCCGCTTTCCCCGAGACATCTCTCCGATCGAATCTGCAGGCGGCAGATGAAACTGCTGTGAGTGTTCGCAAATTGCAGGTAAGCTTGCAGACGAGCGGGTCTTGAAGCGACTACAACCGCAATGGTGTCATTCCGGAAAGAAATGTTTCTATTTTGATCACCCATCTGTCGCACGCCTCACATCGGTGACTGGCAAACGAGCGCATCGGAGTTAGAATCAGAGGTTGCGATCAAATTAGCACGAATCGCTGATACCATGCTAACGCCTAGTCTCAGCTACTGCCACAGCACACATATTACTAGCCAAGTTCTTTCTCCCCCCTTCTTTACACTCAACCCGGTAGTTGGTACTGCAACTAATGAGCCGAGCTGACATGTTAGTGTCTTCCCAAGAGCCGGGTCTCTGCAGGACATCTACCAAAGTCTTAATGGTGACACGAACAACGATATCTTCTACAGCCCGACTATCTGCATATCCTCCAATCCCCTCGATCTAGACATGCAGACCGCTCTTCTGATATTTCGGATAGTGGAGTGCCAACGGTCCGATTCGATGTGCTATACGCTGGATTCGTTAAGACGATCTGTCCGAACGACATCGGCGTGTTTCTGCGTACCAGGCTCGTGGAAGGTGTATGGAGGAAACAACGAATGAGCGTCGACAGTTGCGAGCTAGTTGCACCATGAAACTGGCCTTGCGAACAACGTGGCGTTACCGTTCGCTAGACTCGGTAAGGCAAGGGCCGTTCCGTTCGCAAGACCTTACCTCGTAACCGAAATACACACCCTTCATTCACTGACCTGTTTGGCGAGAGGCAGCCACTCAGACGGTATCTCCATCTTTGGGCAGTCCGATCAAGCGCCTGGACAAACTATCAGCTAGCCTGAGATGAGCCCCCTTCACTTCATCGGATCGACTTGGAAGTCGGAGCAACGTTACATGTTCGAAGCAGTTGTCGGTGTGCGTCGTAACAACAAAAACGGCAGTACACTTTGTCACGCTCTATGCTTCGTCGCCGCGTCTTGAGATTGAAAGAGAGGAAGTTGGATGGCGTACATGCAGCTCGCCTTCGGACCCACACTTCCTGGAAGTAGTCAACAGTACCCGTTGTTCAGCACAAAATTCTCAGATAGCACGCGTGACCAACACACCAAGCTTCACGTCTTTCCCCATCTGGAAAAGGAGCTGTGATACTGTACGACAGCAGATGATACAAGATATCGAGAGCGAGGCTGAGTTGCACCACGCTTTCGTACCGTCCAGACAACATGGTTTGGCTGGAAGAAACATTGATTCGAGAATAACCGCTTCATGGTGATCCCACGGCTCACATGGTGACTGGCAGCTCAAGAGGTATCCGGATCTCGAGGGCACACAGCTTTTTTGCGACTCAAATGTCTTCAGTAGACTGCTGTTGGGCTGATCAGCCGTTACACTATATCAAGGGCTGCCGGGGCAGCTGAAGATTTCTCGGTTGTACTACCCCAGTTTTTCATGACACGACTCTCCTTTCAGGACGATAATCACAGTGTCGCTTGAGAGATACCTTTCAGATCTACCAGGTCGTATATGCGCCACATGTTCGCAACCGAGCTGACACTCAACGTCTAACAATACAGCTCACCCTCTCGTTCATGCTCACCGCCATGTTTAAGTTTCTTTCCACAACACTGGGTTCGGTCTTGTGCTACGAGCAACTGTGGCTATTACATGTCCGTCCAAAGGAGATAAACGCGATCTCCAATCGCATCCGCTCGACATCCACTTCGTTAAGTCGTTGTTGCCGACATCCATCTGAGGGCCGTCGTCATCCACTTGTTGAGATGTTCGTGTCACGCGCCATTCCAGCTCGAGCTACTTCGAAACGTTAATTCACTCATAGCAATGCAAGCTCCCAGCATGGACTGGCAGTCTTCCATCTTTGCTGGCGGAAGCGTGCAACCTGCATATAATCTAGCCCTACGGCCTGAAAATTAGCATCTCTGCCAGTTTCGGACAGGATCGCTCGGACAGCTGGATCGAATTGGGGCTAACAAATCCTTCCACTTTGTCTGTTAGTCTGTGAGAGGAGTGCGTCCGGCTGGTGCCACAACTGAGAAAGACCAGAATGCTAATCTTTGTCTTCTTAACATAGATTCGGTTGTTCGCTGGATCTACTTCCAGTCACATCGCCTTGCGCTACCATGGACAAACCTCTGGAGAGTCATCCTGCATCAATCTACATTGACTCGCGGCTCATGGCACCTTCGAGACTCAGACGCACGCGATCGTGGCGTACGGCGTGTACTGTTCTTGTGGAAGGCGAGATGCATGGCTTTGATCTGGGCTTGAGTGGCACTGAAGTCATGGAAGTCTCAATGAAAAGACATGGAGTCGCTGGGACTGGGGAGAGGCGCATCTAATGTGTTACGATTGACAAGTTGACTCGTATTCGAGATCGGTGTGCAGTTGCCGCGTCCTTCACCGCTCTGCGATATTAACGCTTTCGTGTGGCGCAGATCTGGGGGGCTGATCAACATTTGATCTGCGCTATTGATCACTAAACGACTACCAGGCCCAGAATGCCAGAATGGTCTGGGTTGGAGCGACGTCAGCCTTTCTGCTCACCTCAAGCGCATACAATCTTAGTTGCATGTGGAGGCACATACAAAAGCCTGACGACACTCTCAGCAAATGTTTTCGACTTGGAACCACTACCCCGGCTGCTCATCCATCTCACGTATCAATAACAGTTTGCTTCACGCAAACCCTTGCTTTGAATAGGACTCTACTCCACAGTGCATGCATTCGATCCTCAACATCCCTATGTACCAACCACGCTCTATTGAAATCCGCCTAGCACCTTTATTCCAGGTCCGATTGCCAAGCAGATGCAAAACCCTTGCCGCAGAAAACCAGAACAATGCCGTTTCTGCGCTCCCTCGCATCAACGTGACCGTCCCGACGCTCTTGTCGCTCACCTCGTATTTCTACTCGCGATGTACTGCCTTCTTTCTGCTCTTTTACATGCACACCATCGCGTCATCTTGGTCTCGCAAGGAGATGCCCCAAGGTATCGTGCGAGGGCTACATGCTGGCACGTGGCAATAGAGTTCTCAGAAGCTGCCACTTATGCAGCGACGTGTTGTGCAAAGTGATACGGAACGTTTTGGTGAACTTGGTTCGAGTCCAAGAGCGCGTGACAGCGAGAAGGGTGATGGGTTTGTTGTCGTGTGCGCCATCGTCGGTGTTGCTGTCTCACGGTTCCTGTTCCAAGGTCAGGACCGAGAGAGCATTGATAAGCCGATATGAACGCGCTGTCCATGTAGATACGAATCTCGTCATGGGGTCGATGCAGTGAAAACAGCATCGCCGGGGTCCAGCTCAAGGCGATGAATTTGTGTCAATGAGCAATGCTGGTCATGGTGGCTCGTTTGCAGGTAGGCTTAGTCTGAATCGATCATGAGGGACTTTGGGACGTTTGAGCAGTGAGTCTATGTATTGATACTGAACTCGCTATGTATGCTGATGATGCTATCCACAAAGATTCATCAAGTTGCTACTCTTCGCTCAAGTCATAACGGTGACGATGACGCGAATGATGTGGGTGCTGATGGTGTGGAGCGCACTGCCGATGGTCGTGGTCCGGATGTAGGAGCTGTGGAGTGCAATCTTGATGGTCATGCTGCTAGCGACGGTGGTGAGAGTCATGCCGGAAAGCTGTCCCTCTTGTCATCCTACGACCGCTTGGGAAGAACTACGCTCGCATCAGCATGGCCACCGTCAAGTCTCAAATGGTCTTGTCGACACGATGCCAACGAGAACGGTGATACAGTGCCCATGCCAAACATGCTAATGATAACACTTCTTGCGGAGTGAGGAATATCACGCCCGACTAACCGTCTTCCCAATCCTGACCAACAGCCCACCCTTTGTGATAACCCCATTGCTGTCGTAAAGATGCAGAATCCGCAGACCAGGCTGTAGGCGGTCCAGCCGGTAGCACGCCCATGCTGCCAAGTCGTCTGACAGCCTCTCGTCGTCCATGACCTTAAATCTACGATCTGATTAGCAGCTGCTCATCAGCGGATAGGGCAAGATGGGCAACAGTTCGTAGCGAACGCAGGCCAGGAAGAAGACGGGGGCTGGGTGTGACATGCAGCCACAGCAGGCATGTGGAGACGCGAAGGGCATGTGGAGACGCGAAGGGCATGTAGAGACGCGAAGGGCATGTGGAGACGCGAAGGGCCTGTGACAGATCGCGAAAAGCAAAGTCCCCGATCGTCTTCTCGCATCAAGAGATGAGAAAGTGATGAGAGCTAGCAGCGCCCAAAACGGCAATGCCGGCGACATGCATCACCCCTGCACCCCGGCCTGCCGCCTCCGCTGGCTGCATTGGTCGTCCGATTGCGGCTTGTGCTACGGATGAGTGTCTCGAAGCAAGCAGGTCTTGCGCGCGCGTGGAACGTCGGGGTTTGCATCCTAGCGCACGCTGCCATATCGGGTGGACGGGATGTACGGGGACGGGTTTTGGGACGCCGCCGAAGATTGTCGGATGTTGAGGGCAGGGGTGCTGGCCAGCCGCATCCTCTTTCCTTGGGAAACAAACGAAGCAACGAGAAAGAGCAGTGACAATGGGGTGAGATGAAAATGAGAGAAAGAGATCCGGAAGAGGGAAGGCCTACCTGACGAACGTCAACTCCTCAGTGACACCGTACACGCCGTTGAAGCTGACGACTTCCCGCCCGAAATCAGGATCGGTAGTCCTGTATGTTCGTGTCTTCTTCTTGTACTCCGCCTTGCTCCCCCGGCCATTCCCAGGAATGGGCTGTCCTTCACGCTCCTCATGCTTCTCAACATGCAGCTCTACCTTGATGTACGGCTTGAAGTCGCTCGGATCATCCTCCTCAGGCGGTAGCGGGATGTTCTGACCTGCAAGGAACTCGATGCTGAGGTCGAGGTTGTGATGTGCGATAGCGTGTTTCTGCGTAGGAGCCTCGCTGATGCTGCGGTACCCTTCGGGTTTGAGCACCCAGCCGCCTGTGCCGGCGAACATGGCCTCGTTCTGCATCATGCCACCATCCCAGCGCTGCCAGTTGAGAGCTACGATCTGCACGCCGGCGCGCCAGAACACGGAGGGATTGAGGTTGCCGGAGTTGATGCGGAGTCCTTTGGGGTAGGCACGCATGAAAAAGTGCTTGTTGTGGTGGAAGAGCACATCGGGCTGGGTCTCATGGACCTCCATGAGCGTTTTCTCGGAGAGAGAGAAGACATGAGTTGGTATGCTCGCTTCAGGTGCGGAGAGGCTCTTGTAGGAGTAGCCGCCGCAGTAGACTCCGAGTCTGGCCAGAGACTCGATAACCTTGGGCTTCGGTGGCTTCTTCTGGCCGTTGGGCAGCTCATCGTCTGATGCTGCTGATGATGCTACCGAGTTTGCACTGTCAGTCTTGTGTAGCTCCGGCGCTGGAGCCTGAAGGGTGGTAGGGTTCGCAGTAGGAGTGACGGCAGGCTTGGGGTGGCCGCGCTTCACTTTGACCAAAATCTTGCGCTCCAGTTCCTTCAGTGTGGGCAAGTTGGCGGTCTCGGCTGGTTGCGATGGATCGAGAGGAAGATCGACGAGCATGTCTCTCCAGTACTCGGTCATGAGCTCCACCATGATCTCCTGCTGCTCAGCGCTAGCGTGGACTTCAAGACTGACGATGAGAGGATGGCTCGATGCTGCGAATGCGTAGTCTCGGATGGTAGCGCACACCTCCCGGAACGTCATCTCGCTCGTCAAAGTGTAGCCGTGGTACACCTTGGGCTCGGCTCTGTACGCGACATCCCCTCTCCAGGGTGTCGCTCGCTCCTCGCCTTTGTACGCAGGTGCAGCCTCCCCCTTCCTCGGCTCCTCGTCCTTGCCGACTGACTTTCCTCTCAGCCGCATAGCAAGTCTCTCGCGGATGCCTAGCTTCGACTTCTCCTTGGGCACCTTCGCTTGTCCCAGCCTCTCGGCCTCGTCCTCAGAGCTCGAGCTCGAAGGGGGCTCGCCGTCCCATACATCGACCTCGACGCAACGGCATCCCCTAAGCAGCACGTTCTTGTACGCGTCGGTGCTCGATTCACTCGACAGCTGGTTGCCGGTCAAGTAGGTGTTGTGGCTGGACGAGATGAAGTAGTTGGAGATGGGGTAGGACTCGTCAATAGCTGGAGGCGGTCCCATGACATTGGCTGAGCCTGAGAGGAAGTAGTCGGCGAAGTGGGAGAAGGAACCGTCTTGCAGCAGCTGTGCATCTTCGCCAGAGCATTGCTGCTCCTGGGTCAGCCACTGTATCTGACCTTCTGGCGTAGCTAGGTTGTATCGCGTGGAGATCTCGTCGTAGATGGTCCGTAGGTACTTGACGACAAGTGGAGAGAGGGTGTCGACTTGGCGTGCTTTGGCAGCTGCTGCAGCAGTACCTCCACCCGCTTGAAGGTGTGGTTGGTCGGTCTTGGGCGCCCCCAGCTTGGGGTCCTTCGAAGCAATTTTGGCCTCCATTGTGAAGGGTAGGCCTGGAGTCGGCTTGGATGAGGTCTAGTGGGCGTGTATCTGGGTGGGCGTGTATCTGGGTGGGAATGTATCTGGGTGGGAGTGTATCTGGGTATGCGGGTATAGGTTGTAGGGAGGTGTGGAATTGAGGCGGTGCAGGTGTCTATCGTGGTAGGCTAACGAAGGGGCCCCGGGGTGACAGCTCAGCTCTGCTTATGCACGTCGGCACTGCCCCTCAACCAAGAGCGTCTGAGAAGATGCAGTCAGGGGCTAGGACAGAGTGCACCTTACAATGGGGGAGGAACTTCTCACCAGCTTCATGCACGCGCTGCGAGGTCTGAGAGCCTGGGGAGAAGCGTGAAGCAGTTAAGTTGTCAAGTGCGTGCGGGCCGCCGCGTGCACGTCAAAGTGGGCGCAGGCGGTCTGCAGCCCTGACCAAACCGCCAGGAGAACTTGGCAGCCGCATACCCGTGTAATCGACCAATCGAAACATGGCAACCGTTTCAAACACTTGTTTGTCTGCTAAATTCGACCTTACTTGCGTCGTTGATGATGTTTGCTGATACAGCGCCCTGCTTCTGGCTGTGTTGATTGTGTGTCGACAAGCAGAGCGTCGACGTCACAGCTGTTCAGGGTCCAGTCTAGATTGACCCCACTTGCATCCGCCACATGAGGCGTTCACAACACGGAGTGTGCTCTATGAACGGCATCAGAAACTTTACATCTTTCATCTCAAGTTCGACCCAGTGTTGTTTAAAGCTACGGCTGCTCACAAGGGTATCCGTTTGACCGCTTGCGCAACACCGCAGATCACAATCCACAATCATGCCAAAGTCACGCAGAGAAGCTGAGGCCGAGGTGCGCTCATGGGGATTCACTCACGTCTTCACATGGACGGATGGACCGTAAGCTCAATCACTGCGCTGGAAGGGGATTATGTGCTGATGCAGTCCAGTAACGCGCACTATCCGCCACACAAGCACAGCGGCAAGACAACACATCTCATCCTCGACGGCTCACTGACCATGACATATCCCGACGACGCAGACGCGAGGAAGGAAACTCTTGGCGTAGGCGAACGATGGGATGTTGACGCGAAGAAAGTCCACGAGGTATGGGTCGGTCCATCAGGCTGTACATACGTGATTGGCGAGTGATCCTCATTACAACACCAGATAATAGTCTTACTTCCTTCATCACCCCAAGAACCCATTCTGCCCCAGATACTTGATAACGTCCAGCGCCATCCGATCCGCCTTCTCCAACTCCTGCTCCACCATCTTCTCAAACAGTCCCATCCGCTTCTTGACTTTCTCCTTACCTGGCCCTGTGTCCCGTGGGGGATGCGCCCACCGACAGCCCTTGCCGAACTTGCATCTCCCGTCTTTGCTCCAGTTTTTGCATACCTGGCTTGGTGGTGCTGAGACAGGTGCTGGTGGCGCAATGTTGACGGGCGGGGGTGCGGATTTGGAGGATATGGTCTCCGGTGCGGCGTCGCTGTCGCTTTCTTCCTCCTTGTCTAAATCAGAGTCAGATGAATCTTCCGATGAAGACGATACGACGGACGACTCGGACAAGACAGAGCTCTCGGCGTCCGAGTCTGTGTCGCTTTCGTAGCCGAGACCGAGGAGACTGGTGGGCTGTTGCTGTTTCTTCAGCATGCTCTCGTGGAGTTTCTTTCGCAGGGCTGCGAGTTCTTCTTGCTTTCTGACATCGACCTCCTTCGGCTTTCGATCAGGCTTTGGCGGTTTGGCTTGTTTGGTCCCAGTCGCAGGTTTCCTACGTTTGCCTTGTACTCGGTGCAGGAACTCGAGCTCGTGCTCACGCTTCGCGGACGCTTCTTGGGCCTTCTCAGTTATCCTTTGTTGTGTAGGGAAGTTTCGTCGCCGGTCTTTGATATACGATTGGACATCTGCGGCAGTTTGTAGCGAGATCATCTCTCCGTTATGCTCGAATGCAACACCCTCCACCTTGAACTTGTTTGCGAACGCCGCTTCCTCGTCAATGTCCTCTTCCTCGCTGCTGTTCTTATCTATCACATTGTGCTCGCTAAGACCAAGATTTATCCGCTTCTTCTGGCCTCTCTTGATGTTTGGTTTCGACGCCGGTGCTGCTGGTTTCGGCAGAGAGAAGCCAAAGCTTGGTACCGGAGGGGGCGCGGCCGCCTTCGCTCGCGGAGGCTTTGGGCCTGACTGCGGTTTCTTTTGCGGTAGAGGTGACGCATTGATATCGTGTTCGAGTTTCCGCTTCTGACCTGCTTGGTGTCCGGGCGAATAGCGCGGCACTGCTTGCTTTTGCGTCGTTGGAGGAGACTGTGGGTAGTCTGGAGCGCCATTCATCGTCGAGGACATGTGGTTCGCAAATGCAGCCATGGACTGCATTCCAGCCGGTGTAGACATGGACGACATGGCCTGCGCGAAAGCTTGAGGGTTCATCTGCGGCGGCGGCTGCGCCTGTCCTCCTTGTTGCGGCGGAATAGAGAATGCAGGGTTGCCGTACGCGGCCGACGAGCTAGATTGCTGCTGCGAAGGCTGACGTTGGTGCTGATTGTTCCCTCCTTGGCAGTTCTGAAAGCCTCTTGGGCCCCCTCTCCCCCCATGCGCATTTCCACGTCCTTGGCCAAAGTTGTTACCACCGCGGCCATGACCACCCCTTCCTCGCCCGCGATCGCCTCCTCTCCCTCTATCACCGCCTCTGCCTTGGTTTGGTCCGCCTCTTTGGCTTGAGTAGCTTGGCTGGACATTGTTCGAAACAGCTTTCGGCGGTGGTGGAGGAGGTGGTGGGAACTTGAATGATGTCATGTTGTAGGATAGTCAGTGAAGTGGAGCACTTCGGCAACTTGTGTTCTCACATGCTATGTCCTCAATAATAGGTGAGCAGGACTTTACAGGAAAATGCAGAGAGACAAGTCGCTGTGAGAAACAAGACGCAAGACGCGCCGGAAGTCCGCACCTACATCTTTTCTTATCGATAACACTAGCGCGCTTTGCGGAGGGAAAGAACCGTCATTCGCCGAGCAAGCTCTCACATTTCACAGTCACCACCGAAATGTTAAGGTGACATAACGCCAAATTTTCCTTTCGTCAAAGACACATAGCATGAAGCCTCGACTGTCGCCATCATGTTCATTCTTGTAGGTATAGGTTGCGTTGTGGACTGCGCATCGCGTGTGCATTTCTTTTTGTCCTCCTGCATTCCAATATTTTGAACATCTTTCAGAGCGCTTGAATCAGTCTATTTCGCATTATGATCGCTGCAGCTTGCGATTTCAACCTCTTCTGTTTCGCGTCTTCTACCTTTACCTTCACATGCTGACACCCCACAGAGCACGATACAAGACCTAATCCAGCTCAAACCCCAAGACTTCGGCAAGCCCTCCGCCCAAGCCATCAAAGACGCCATCAACACCAAATACAGCAACAAAATCGTCCCCGGCGTGGGTCTCTGCATCGCGCTCTGGGACCTGCTCTCTGCAACCGAAGGCCTAATCGGCCACGGCACCGGCCTTGTCAACATCAACGCCGAATTTCGACTTGCTGTCTTCCGCCCATTTCGCGGTGAGATCGTCTATGGACGCATTAAGAGCAGCAACCCTGAGGGGATTGTGATTGATCTGGATTTTACGAGTGAGATTTTCGTGCCGTATCAGAATCTCTTTGAGAACAGCAGGTTTGAGAAGAGTGAGAATGTGTGGGTGTGGAATTCGGATGGGACGGAATTGTTCTTAGACAAGGGGGAGCCGGTACTGTTCAGGGTGGAGCAGGAGGAGTGGATCGATCAGAGGCCGACGATTGAGCAGAGGAACGAGGATAACGAGATTGTTGACGAGAGGGGGACGGCGTGGAGAGTGATTGTGAGTTTGACAACTCCATTGGGAGATGTACGGTGCTAACGATATGCTAGGGCTCAATGAACCAGGCAGGTCTGGGACCGACACTCTGGTGGGGCGAACAGGAAGAGGAGGAAGGCGACGATGGCGACGTCGAGATGGATGGCACAGAAGAGTGAATCCCAACAAAAACAAGACTCAGCATGGGATGCGTCAACCTTATATACCAGGTCAAAAGCACAAACAATCATCTCATATTTCATACACCCCCGAACGCTTACTACCACCGACCCAGAAACAGCGCTTAGGAAACGAGCACATCCATCCCCTTCCTCACTACCGTCCACCCCTCGCTCTCCGCCCCCGCCGCATCAACAAAGAACTCACTACTGCTTTGGTTCCCGCCCACCATCCACTGCGCCCAAAATCTTCCCGCTCTGCCCATCTTCCCTGCACTCCCCTCACTCAGCATCTCCACGTCCGTGCCCGGCAACACGCCATACCAGGTCGGCACGCCCTTCGCCACGGCGTTAAAGTCTGCTCTTACGCCTGAAGCGCCGTGGTCTAGAGACACAAGACCGGTGTCTGTGGAGGCGGTGGAGAAGTAGAACACCGGCTTGGTGGTGTTGGCAGCCATCGCTCTGGTCTCCGCAGTGCTCGAGGTCTTTCCCGTATCCAAAATTGCCAGACTCAGGACTCGAGGATCTTCAGCCGCGGTGTAGAGGTCTGCGCCGGCGCAGCTAGTGCCCAGCATGCCGACCTTCTCTTTATCGACCTTCTCCCATGCGTCCTTTCCAGCTTGGCTTTCCACAGTATTGAGCGCGGACGCAGCCTCTCCACAAGCCAGCACCATCATACCCCAGCTCGCTAGCTCTTCGTTCAACGTCTTGTACGGATCTCCAGACATAGTATTGCAGATGCTGTTGCCCCAGATAATGACTGGCACCGAGTCGGCGACGACGAATAGGTTCGCGGGTTGGTAGATGGTGTGCATCGGAAGGAGAGGGTTGGAAGTCGTTGTTGGGGCATAGGGACCTGTTCCTGAGACTTGTCGGGCTGTCAGGGGAGAAGTGGCAGAGGTGCTGTTGTAGGGAGCTGAGATGGCGGCTATGATGCTTGAGGTTAGATTCAGGAATTTGATGGTGTCCATGTTGAGCGTCTTGCTGTTTCAACAAATGAGTGTGGTGCGGTTGATCGTCATCGACAGAATCTGTGTCGTGTCCGTCGTCTATATGTCCTTCCCATCTTATTTCATCACATTCCATCACCAATCTCCTTCATTTCTTCGACCTCTTGCTGTTGTGGGTCATTGTGGTGTCACAGCTTATAGAAGGTCTCTTGCACTATACATGTTTCCGTAAGGTGTTTCATAGGCGCGCATTTCAACATCGCAGCCGCGAGAACCCTGCTATCACACCAGATCAGTGATTGTGAGTGGTTGAAAAATGTTTTTACCGGCTGGTGTCCATTCGCGTAGCCGCTGAGATGAACGGAGGTACATGTCGGTATGCAAAGATGATGAGCGCGGTGTCTGGACGAGTGACATGCCTACAGTCTGGCAGGAGGCTTGTCAGGGCCATTGAAACCTCCGAGTGCTTGGCACATGAATCTTTACAAAGCTGCTGGATCTTCGGAGTGTCGCTGGATACGAAGCGTTACGGCGTGCTCAGATGCGCTGAGTAAGTGACCCTCTGGTTGACAGACGCTGCCTTGCACAGCACGCTCGAACATATGCTTCCCGAGCACGGCCTTACCGCGTCTCATCGGCATTCGCGCCGACAGTAATACACAATTCCTGCTGCAAAAATCGCTCTTATGAATGTTCGACTAATGTGTGCACGATGGTGTTTGAGGATGGAGGAGGCTGGGTGCGATTTCACGGCGCCATCCCAATCGGGCAGTGACGCCGTACCGAGGCCTCCGAGGCTCGACTTCTCCGCGATTCAACCCCACGAACGGCGCTGCCGGCACGAGTAACGCAATCCGTTGATACGGCCGAAACCTAGAAAGTGTTTTCATAAACCGCAGGTATCCTTAACTTGACTGTCTCGTCACTTCTAACTTCTCCTCCTCCCGTGAACGTCTCCGCTTGGCAAAGTGAAGCCAGCTCAGCATATCGTTGACAGCGCATCACTTTCATCTCGAAACAACTTCACAATGCCTTCTTACACATCCGTCCACCTCAAGGAGAGGCCGCAAGATGCCATTGTTGCAGGCAAGACCTTCGAGACAAAGCAGCAATCCGTGCCCTTGGCGTCCTCTCTCCAAGATGGCGAAGTCCTCTTCCAGACACTCTACCTGAGTTTAGATCCCGCGATGCGCGGCTGGCTGAACCCGACACGATCGTACATTCCCCCTGTCAAGATCGGCGCTGTGATGCGCGGCAGTGGTATTGGTCTCATCGTCGCTTCGAAGAGCAAGAAGTTCCCCGTTGGCACATACGCGAGTGGTATGTGCGGGTGGTCTGAGTACGCGGTATTGAAAGAGAAAGATGTTGAATCGCTGGATCTGCCGAACGGTGCTGTGCCGACTGATGCGCTGGGTTGCCTTGGTATGACCGGCTTGACGGCATACTTCGGTATCATGGAAGTTGGTCAGGTCAAGGCTGGCGACTTTGTTGTTGTTTCTGGTGCAGCTGGTGCAACAGGAAGCGTCGTTGGCCAGATTGCGAAGTTGAAGGGCGCGAAGGTGCTCGGTCTGGCTGGTGAGGACAGTAAGGTTTCGTGGCTGAAAGAAGAACTGGGCTTCGACGAGGCTTTGAACTACAAGGATCCACAGTTCAAGGACAAGTTCAGGGCTGCGACCAAAGGCCTCATTGATGTCTACTTTGATAATGTTGGTGGAGAGATCCTCAATATGGCGCTCGCGCGAGCGAAGCCCTTTGCTCGCTTCGTCATGTGCGGAGCTATCAGCGAGTACAATAACAAGAAGCCGCAAGGTCCATCGGTGCGTATCTCACCAACTATTGAGCGGTTTCGATATGCTGACAAACACAGAACTATCTTATGATCATTTCGATGCGCATCCGAATGCAAGGCTTCGTTGTCTTTGACTATGCTGACAAGTACTCTGCAGCAAGGAAAGAACTTGCTCAGTGGCTGTCGGAAGGCAAGCTCAAGAGGAAAGAGACCATCATCAAGGGTGGTATCTCGAAAGCAGAAAGTGCGTTAGTGGGTTTGTTCGAGGGCAAGAACACTGGCAAGACCCTGGTAGAAGTTGCAAGGCCGGAAGATGCCAAGTCGAAGCTATGAAGCTGTAATGCCGGCAATGAGACGGTATTGAACATAGCTGAAAGAAAAATACAGGTGTCGTTACACATCAAAAGGTGCGCATTGGGCGGTGAGGCGCTAAGCCTTGCAGTTGACATGTGAGCGCGCGTCCATGCGGTCAGCCTTGGACAAAACGCTGTGCGACTGTTGACAACATTTTCTTGAGTCCGTTTGTGATACCACCGAGAAAATTATTCACGAGACAAGCAACAAGTGTAATAGATACAGCAGACTGACACCATCCTGGTATTGATTGATGCCTGGACTTGCCTTTTGATGCCCAGTACATGGGTGTTGGGGCTGACAGTGACAGTGCAAAGCCACTTCAAGGTTGCTTCGCGGGTGAGGGTGTGCTTCAGGCGGCGATGATACGCTGACAGACATGCAGAGTTTACTTCATCAGGACTTTCAGGCATCCAGCTCATGTACTTCGCATCCGTCAAAGCATCGTGTTGTTGTGAGACTGGCGCAAGATGAAGCAGGGAGAAGCATCTGATTTCGTCTGGTAGGTCGGGTACTGTCGCATTGTCAATGCCCGACCAGTTGATATAAGTCTAGCCGTGTGCTACACCCTTACCCATTTCCTGCGAGATACGCCTGTAATACTTTCACAAAGGCTGCATGCTTACGAGACCGATTGCCTTCTTTCACTATGTCTAGGGCTACGTCAGACGGTCCGTTCCTCAGAACCACGTCTTTACATTCGCTCGGTCTCAGAAATGGCCGCATGCCAATCTGTATGTGGACGCGGTTGATGCCGAGCGAGTCCTTCACACAAGCCTCCGCGCTAAGCGCAGGTGGGGCGACGCAGCGCTGTGCGCCCGAGGAAGTAAGGCTCTCCAGGATGCGGAATTGAGTTGAATGATGTGCAGAATTCTTTCGACGCTCACTCAGCCATAGGGATACCCAGAGAACAGCTGCTTGTATAGCTTGAGCTTGTGCGGCTGGTGCAACGTTCCCCTGCTTTTGTCCGGTCGTGGCGCCTGGAGTGGGGGTGGAAGGAGCGCAGCAACCACACCCGTCAGCAACCCGTCGTCCTGTCACTTTACATCATCGCCAATCGTCAAGCCCGGCGGTCGTGCCACGGAAACCGTCAATGTGTTGTACAGGACAATCGCATTTCGAGTATTTTAATGGACAACATCACTGGCAGCCCTGACGGCTAAGCTTCTTTCAGGGTTTCGAATATCGCAACCTGATTTGGTTAATATAATGGTTGCTGAAATGTACAGACCCCTCTGAACTTGGTTCACTACTGCGACAGGCTTACGTTATGTAAGAATGAAGGCTTCTAAGTGGCTGTTTCTATCTTGGTTGACAGAATTGACAGTCCGGTACATGTCCTGCAGGGCAACAACGTTGTGAACGGCCACCCACAAGGCTGTCCGCCCTCATGAACCACAGTACTTACCTACTGTACGCATCACTGTACCAAGGTCAGGGGGGTCTGCATATTTTTGCAAGCACCGATAATAGCAAACACAGGATTTTCGCAAAGGCAACCCTGGTATGGCCATGTGATTTGTACTTCAGCCCGATCCTCGACAAGTAAGCCGCATTCCAGCAAGTTGAGCCACCGCAGGGTTTTCATCGTCAACGTGGCTTGTTCAGGATTGCGCCTTTTATCCTCGCCATAAGGTTCATGGCGCTGTCGAAGAGGCGCTAGCCGCAATTGAAACCCTTCATTCAGCCAACTGCGGCCTCCCAGGAAGTGAGGCACACATAGCATCCTCGCAGTTTCTATGGTATGGAGTATGCCACGACTACAGCATGGGACGGTTCGAGCCATGGATTGCGGATAATATTTCAGTATACTTGCAGTCCCCCCGACGCTGGTCGTTCTGTAACAGTTTCAAAATGTCGCATCCAGTTGCCTACACATATAACGAGGAGCCAGAAGATGACTTGGATCTTGAGATTGCCTGGACCGGCGGAGACTTGCACATTACTGAGCTTGGCAATAGCCTCGATGCTCTTGCGAGGCAGAACGAACCGGTGAGTAAGCTATCCGGGTGTTTCCATGAGTCACCCGACTTCCGGCGATGTGGCTGACGGTGAGCGTAGCTTAATGGAGGTGACCCCGAGCTCAGCTGGTCTCGTACAGATCCACCTCTTGACGTCCCTGCATCAATCGACACTCTACGAAATGAGAACAACGACTCAAATCTCGAGCACCTGTTTTCTGTCGACCAGTCTCACTTACTAACTCCTGCTGGCCCTCCAACAGAAAATGAATCAGCTTGGCCAGATCACAACGGCACGTTCTCATCTGCACCATGTCCAAATGGCCATGGCTGGACTGGCGGTTCATTGTCGTTCTCTCTAACACCTCAGAATCCTTCTCTTTATTCTAACGACTCAACCAGAGAGGTCATCAGAACGGGTCGACTGCACGTTCCAGCTGCTCCATGGCCTCCTCTAGCACTTCGATCATTTGCGACAGAGGGTGCCCACCATACCGGAACTCAGATATTATATTCTGCATATGACCGGGAAGATGTTACTGTACCGCCGTGGAAGCCTTCCGAGGCCGGAAAACCTGGGTGTTCCTTCAATGGCCTGGACCTCAACAAGAACTCTGCCTATCATCCGGAGTCAATAGGACTATACAACTCTGCTGCTGCTCGTCAACATCGACATGTTTCAAGATTTTCTCATGGCCATAGAGCAACACCACAATCGGGTTCGCACTTACTGCCTGGTAATCCGATTTACCAACAAACAGACCCAAAGCGATGTGTCACTATGGGGCGGAGTCTGTCGTCTCAAACATTTAAGTTCGTGTCTTTGGCCGGAGAGGAGATGTCGCGGAGTTCATCTCTTAGTCAACTGAGGTATGCCTTCGAGACCCATAATTTACTATGCAGGCTGACATGGATTAGCACCAATCGACAGTTCGTGACATGTACCGTTTGCGGCCGTACCTACAAAGGCAAATACTGCAAACGGAATTTGCGACGACATGAGCAGGGCGAGCATAGCGAAGATGGACCTCCCATATACTCTTGCAAGATTCTTGGCTGTGGTCACACCTACAAACGCAGTGATGCGCTTCGGGTGCATCACAGGAAAACCCATTCGGAGCCATATGATCACCGCTGGCCTGACGTAGAAGGACGCGTGAAGGTTAGCGAAGGCGCCCGTGACGCTGCAGTCAGTGGCCTTCATTCCGACTCAACATCGCTTGCCAGTCGCAACTTCGGTGGCCATTATCACCCACATGTACCATCATGAGCCAATGCATTCCGTACGAGCAAAGCCAGTGAAGCGACGGTTCCTACCGAGTTTGTGAAGCTCATCGTTCTGAGCATGTTAGCAAGGACCCATATCTGGCCTGCGGTGCAGTCGAAATAAGCTCGAACCAATGACCTATCCGCCGCTCACGAGCCAGTCAGATGCACTGAAAGACAGAGATCCTACAACGATTTGAGGATGGTGAGGTGGACGTGCCCATCCGTTGATCCACGCATGCGACCAACATAACAGATTCACGCAGCTCATCAAGGATCACAGGCGCTAAAAGCAGCAGTGGGCGTACAATCCGACCTCGAGAAAGCTCGATATTTGTATTTCTCAAGATCCGGATTGGTTGGGGTTACATGGATGGTGCTTTGGAGGAGGGCAAGCGCTTACTAGTCGTCCAACCACAGCCGAACACGACTGCAGCGCTTTGTCGGGACCACTTTTACTACGCAGAACACCATCGAACCCGATTTTCGACAAATGTTTATTCGCGGCTACAAGCCGTAGTTCGCATGTTAGGCGGCCACCTGGCACTGTTACGCTGAAGCGTGCGAACAGGAGGTAGGTGCATCTTCACATACAAAATGCTTTCCTTATCTTTCATCTGCTCAACATCCACTTATGGACGTTGAGCTTTACTTTGGTTTTGAAGATATACTTCAAAAGTATCTTTCGTATTACCAGCTTACGTGCTCATCATACCTTTGTATGATCTGTGGGCGTCGGTCTTATTTTCATACAGTGTGTGATAGATTAGTTTATTTTCCAAGATCATTTTTGGCAGCCATCATGGTTATGGTCTTTCTTTTGATGTTTACAACTCAGCACTCAAGCACAGGTTTATGCTCACGCTTATCGAGAAAAGGACAGTAGCCATGCGAGCATGAACTCAATATTGTAGAGACACCAAAAGAGGGTTCTTCTATGTTCTTCTGTTGTTCGCCGATCTTTACAGCATTCTTTGGTAACCAACTCCACTTACCAAGAACGACAAGACCAGGCTCTCGAGTTGCAGGAAAAGCTAGCCGCAACATCCCGGTGACAATCTCTTCAACGTTACTGCTCGAGGCTCTCAGCACAAGTACAATCATTTTACTGCCCTTGTACCTATAGTCGTGGTCCTAAAATGCCTTGTTAGGTTGCAAGTCATCTGAACTGAGTACCTCGTATGACTTCAATACTCGTAGGCTCGTAGCCTACTTTCTCTGCTATTCAAGGTTTAGGTATAAAGAACGCGAATCAACAGTCCATGCGAGATACTCTCTGGAAGGTTCGATTGGAATATTGGCCCGGGCGGTGTCCTCAGTGAACCTTACTCTCGAGGCAGTGGTAATCAGCGCGTCCAGACTGCATTTCCATTGGACCTACCGACCTGCACCTTGTGGAAGCTGTGGACTCGAATCATGTCGGTAGATACGTTGGCTTCAGAGCTCTGCAAAGACCACGTGATCGTTCTGGTATGCGGCTAGCCTTGCATGATGTGTTGTTCGATGCACTGCCTGCATCTTGGGTGACAAGCAGCGCAGATGTGATGTGCGTATGCAGAACCGATGCAGAACCGATGCATCGCCCTCTGACTCGCTACAGGGTTGTTGTTAGGGTGCTCGAACAATAATCTTGAAATTTCCAATGCCACGTCGAACTGACTTTCTGGAGAGGGGTGGGGCAATTACCCCGGTGATACGCCAACGCTTCTGCAGCCTCGCGCCATTGAGAGCTTAGTGTTGACAGATTAGACCCTACTTTGAGTGGAAGTGCGATGTGTTAACGAGGACCTGGTGGGCTTTGGAGTTTCTTGCATGTATTGATCACTGAGAGTTCTTTGTGGCGCCAGGCGATGCTCTGAGTTGTCGCCCGCGATGCGGCCATCTCTGGTGTTTTATCTCCCGTGTTGTGCTGCATGTTGTCGCCTTTGGAAGGTTATGTATTGAGCCCTGGGATGAGGGGTGTTAGCCTCTCACTCTGGAGATCTTCTTGACTGCACTTCAGTGTAGATGCATCGAGCTGGCCGGCTCACGACACGATCTGTATTTGGTAAGCATGCCTCACAGCGTTGTTGTCTGCCAGCGCACAGGTGTCGACGATTGGTGTTGTTCGAGTCCTTCATGCTAGGCCGCCGCGCTTGACCAAGTTCAGCTTCTTAAGCGATGCGCTAGTCTCAAGGATGATGGCTGCAAAGATCATCGTGGACTGCGCTGTGCCCCCTCGTTCTTTCTGTCGTGTGTGTTGGCTGCGATTTGGGGTGGGCTTCTGGTCGCAAGGTCGACTGAGCGTAGCGTGTTGCTGCTGCTTGTCCTCCTGGGTCTCTGTTGGCAGCACGCGCTCGTCGACCACACATCTTTTTCTCTTTCACAATACCAAACAACTCCTTCTCTTCCTTGGTGCTTTTCCGACGCAATCGAAGTTTTGGCGAGACTGCTAGAAGCACGACGGCTAGTGTGCAGCTTCCTCTGAAGCAGCCACGTATTCGAAGGGCGCTGCAAGGACCTGCCGCGTTGGCACCAAGCTTGGAGGCTCAACCTTCGATCGTCACAGCGCCGTACTGTCATGAATTAAAAGTCCCTTCGGCAGTCTCTCATTCGTCGGAATTTGCGACGGGTAGGTGTTCGGGAACCATACTGCTTGCCTGATGTTTGCCTGCCACGACAACGCTGCAAGCGCCCTGGGGCTTAGGTATGTCGCGGTCCTCAAGGATATTGTATGATACTTCAGAGCCGGTTGTCGCTGGTTGAAGGGATGCTGAATGCCAGTCTGCCAATGTGATCGAATATGTCGGAACCTCCTCCCCTTATACTCGGTATGATGCCCGAAGAGATCTGGGATTTCACCTTTCCATATCGTGTTGACTCCGATACTACCGGTTATGACTATCTCGGTCATGCATCAAACGTGATTACAAGCCCTTCGGTAAGCAAATCTCCCTTGTTGGTGTCATGAGGCTGGCCGAAAGTCAGCTGATTAGCAGCACAGTCTTCCAACACCTCTTTCGATTCAAGGAATTCGATTCCACGGTCGACTTGTATTCAAACATGGTATTCCGAGCCACTAGGCGACGCGCACGCCTTTTCTGATGAGCCTAAGCTCTTTAGTCGGTCCACTGGCAATACTGTTGATCCCTCCATGTTCAGTGTGCCGTCTGGCTCGAGAGAATCAGAGAGGGTAAGCGAGTCTTCGAGAAGGACGTCTGGCCTCTCCAAGTAAGCTACGGGTTTGATTGGGATGTTGAACTTACTGACACAAGTTAGTGTTGGATCTCCCATGTTGGTATGTGATGTTTGCGAGGAGCGGTTCAAGGGTGATTATCGTAAGAAGAACCTGACCCGACACATGCTCAGTATGCATGGCGATAACAAGCTCATCGTCTGTGAGGTACCGGGCTGCCAACGCTCCTACAAACGAAGCGATGCAGTAGGGGTGCACAAGAGGAAGGCACATCCAGACATCGCACCGCCGTTGCTGCCTCGCAAGAACGCAGTGAGATAGTAGCGTAGCGGAAAGGGAGAGTGTATACATACTAAAAGGAGGGCCACCCCGTCTCTATATACAGGCGAAGTTTCGTCTATCGTTGGACCTTTCCATTGTTGATTTGGTGTGAGGTTGACCGGGGAACGGCGTTTGTGGTTGTAACCTATCATAATTTGCCTGTACAGTCAAAATTGGCTGGATTCATAGAACAAGTTTCGTATCACCTACTCACAGAACCTCTTCGGATTCCCAGCGATGGCATATTCCACTGCCTGAGGGCTTCCTTTCCTCTTTTACCAACATGAACTCCCGGCATTCATGGTCTATATCGCCTACAAAAGTGAGGCTGCAGTTGAGCACCACGCTTAGTGCTCAACCAATTACGATGAGCCACGAACACTGGCAGAGCCTTTCGTCATGACACCGACCAATGAGGACATTACAACGAGTCCTAAGCCCGGCCTTGTCAATGCAAATTCACCAGCGCTTGACCGTTCTTTCTTACAATTTGACAGCAGTGGTACCTAGTATTCAGCCCAACGCGACGCACAGTGTACCCGACCTGGAAAAGCTATGTACATAGTACGAGAATACCACACATCTATCTTGAACAAACTCGACACCACTGTGACTACACTTTGACTGCGTGATTCATGTGAGCGAATTTTGCGGGGCACTGCGGAAGCAGCAAGACACGATGTTGTCCTGGGGAATGCATCGCAATTGCTACACCATACACATGCATTGCTGCCCTATCTAGCAGCCACTACCTACATACTCATCAGTTCGTTCAAACCCAGTGCATGGATGATGAATGAGTGTGCAAAGTTACTGTGAACATTCCTCGCTGTGGTCTTGTTGCCTTGTGGAGAACGGTAGGTATTTGAGCGCGTAGGCCTTGTGACTCCACGGGTGTAGTACCCAAAAGAATTCGGAACTGTTTAGTGCACTTTTAGAATGTGCCAACGGTCACCGGAATCATGTCCTTGGATGCCATCGAATTCTCAAAGGACAAAAGGACAGACTTTCAGTACATTCACCATGTCCAACGCTTCGACAGCAGCCCGGCTATTTGCGCTCCACCGCTCTCGATATGAGAAGCGACGCACTTTTTTTTGATACCAAGCTACGATCACGTCTCGTCTGCGTACTTCTAACTTGGATATTGCAGCGTTTTCTCTAACCTAGCCATAGGAGGTACAAGAATGCGTCGGTTGCATGCTTTTAATGAAGTGATGAAGAAGCGGATGTGCTTGGTGGAATAGTCTTCGGCATACAGGCAAGAGTCTGAACAATAATTGATGCTTCTATCGAATTGATGATGGCATCGTGGGGAAGGAAAGTGTGGGGAAGCCACCCCCACATCTGCAGCCCTGCGAAGCCTCATCTGCACGATGACCTGCCATGACCACGACTTCGTCATCAATGATCACATATCTCCCGCATCGAGCCTGTATCGAAATCCATCGCGAACCGCGCCTTGCACGTCGCGGACTTCCACTTTTGATCTTCGAGGCCGAAAGATACGCGAATACGCGTCCCATCTTTACCTCTTCAAGGCGCTTTGTGAGTTGGTGAGAGGTAACGGAGCGCTTCCATCCGCCCACTTTACCCAAGCCGCTATCGAAGTCGACAAGGCGATACCCACTCACACCGCGGGTATAAACGATTTTCAAATCTTCTGACAGATCATTGCATGGGCAGGCATGGCAGGCCTACTCTACATCGTAAATGACTTCTGTCTTGAGGATCGTTGTGAACAGGACAATCTCATGAGTTCATTGCAATACCCGCCTGCAAATCATCGCGTCCCACGCCGTCAAAACCCACCTGTACATCCTCGCTCACATCGTGCTTATCGAAGAATCTCTCTTGCTTGTACCGCGCGAAGCAAGTCCGTGGAAGGTTGAACACGCTACCACCTCCCCTTTGCGGAAGTGCGTGCACCTGAACCAAGATCCTCCACCCTCGATGCTGCCGCCCTGATATCGCATCATGGTGCACACAATTCTCCACATGCGCATCGTCTGCACTTGCACGTCACCCACATCCCTCCAGCTTTTCTCGTTCGTGATGTTGTTGCCATGCATTCCCGCGAATCGAATTTTCGTCTGCATCTGTTGATCACCAGGCTGTTCGTTTGAAAATCCCGCTTGTGGCGTAGACTTGCGCACAGAGGCAACAAGGCGCGTCAGATGTCAGGTGGCCAAGGAATGATCGGGGTGCAGTCGCAGACGGATTGGCTGGCGATTGCGTCTAGCGAAAGAGCTAAAACTTGGTGGCGGCAAGCCCGCAATGCCCAGATGTGGGGAGCAAGGCTTTTCTCGATGCGCTTGATGGTGGATGGGTGCATCGTGTTGTGTAAACAATGCCATGGTTATGCAAAGGTCAAAATGGAGTGAGAAGGTAACAAAGAGAGCATAGAAAATAAAAGTCACAACACAAAGAAAGAATTGTAGAACATGATTCGTATCGATTGATTATATACATTACGAGGTTGCAATCAACAACCCCTGAGTAAAGCCAAATGGATATAGCAAAACACACCAACACCTTGCTCATTCAGCATGCACCATCATGCATCCCATCATACACCATTACTCGTTACTCATTGTATGCTTAAACAGCGGAGTTCTTCTCATTGTAGGTTTCGTTGTACTGAGCAGACCTCTTGCGAGTAGCCTGGGCCTCAGCGTCTGTCAAGCTCATGCGACGGTTGTCAACAGCAGCGTCCTGAACGTCCTGGAAGGAGACAGAAGGAACGAAGCCAGGAGACTGCCACGCCTTGGAGATCTTGCCGTAGAGCTCGTCGACCTGCTCGAGGGAGAGACCCTTGGTCTCGTAGATCATGGCCCAGACGAAGAAGATGCAGATGAAGCAGCAGCCACCCCAGACGAAGAAGACCTTGGCGCCCATGTCGGCATTACCTGGGCCAGAGTCGACCATGTAGGGTGTGGCGTAACCAATAGCGAAGTTGAGGAGCCAGTTGGTGGCGGTGGTGAGGGAGAGGGACTTGGCGCGGACCTTGAGAGGGAAGATCTCACCAGTGACGACCCAGGCGACGGGACCCCAGGAGCAGGCGAAGAAGAAGATGTAGATGCAGACGAAGGCGATCAGAAGACGCTGGACGGGGAGGTTGTCTGTGCCGACGACGGTACCGGCGATGGCGACGATGAACTGGCAGACAGCCATACCGATGGCTCCGAAGAGCAAGAGCTTGCGACGACCCCACTTCTCAACGAGCCACAGACCAGGGATGGTAGAAACAACGTTGATGCAGGAGGTGATCATGGTGATGACGAAAGCGTTGCTGATACCAGTGTTTTTGAAAAAAGAGGTACCATAATAGAAGATGAAGTTGATACCCGTGAGTTGCTGGAGAGCCTGGAGAAGGCAACCTGTCGCGAGACGCTTGCCCAGGTTGCCCTTGAAGCAGTCGAGGTAGGTGGCCTTGCCGAGGGACAGCTCGTACTCGTGGTTGGCAGTGATCTCAGAAAGCTCTTCAACGAGGGCAGGGTGTTCGATATCAAGCTTGCGGAGCTTGGCGAGAGACTTGGCAGCCTGCTCAGGACGGCCCTTCTTGATGTACCAACGAGGAGTCTCGGGGATGAAGATGCAACCGACGAACATGATGATAGCCCATGCGAACTGGACAGCGATGGGAATGCGGTAGGAACCGGTGTCATTGCGGTCCTTGGTGGCGTTGTCGACAATAGCAGCGATCAAGAGACCGACAGTGATGGCGAACTGATAACAACCGACAACGGCACCACGGATCCACTTGGGGGAGGTCTCAGACTGGTAGAGAGGGATTATCGCAGAGATCATACCAACTCCGTAACCAGCGAAGAAACGACCTGCAACGAAGAGGGGGATGTCAGTGGCGACGGTCTGGAGAATGACACCAACGCAGAAGACGACGTTGGAGACGACGAGACCGTAGACACGGCCGAGCAGATCAGCAGATGGGGCGGCGGTAAGAGCACCGAAGAAGGTACCAGCGGACAGGATAGAGACGATTAGGGACTTCTGCGACGAAGTGATATCGGGGAGGTGGTCATCGGCGTTCTTGTAGCCAGTGGAGAAGAGTTCCCTCCAGTGGTTCATACTCATGATACCACTAATGGTACCGGTATCATAACTGTGAACGTTAGACTGAATCCCGAAGGTAGGGAAAGTGTGACGACATACCCGTAGAGAACACCACCGAAAGCGACGAACAGACCGATCATAATGGCAGGCACCGCCGAACCAGGCGTGCCCGCAGGGGCCTTGAGCATGAAACCCATAATGGCAGATGTCTTCGTAGAAGAAGCTGTGTAGATGGGTAGTGTAGAGCGGATGAGGTTCACAGCAGTGAAGATGAGATTCCAGGGGCGGCAGGCAATCTACCTTAAGTACTCGTGCACCTGTCTGTTTACACGATATGCGGAGTCCCATGGGCAGCTGCTAGCCTGAAGGCTAGAAGCATGGAGTTTTGCGCTAATGTATTATTGGATAGTGGAGTATGGTCCGAATGTACTGGAGAGCGTCGTACTCCGCCCGACAGGTCTAGCGTTGGAGCTGGAGCGTACCAGACGGGCCATTATGCAAACCAAATTTGTGATTCGCAATCAAGACCATCGTGAACTAATTGTGCTCAGTAAGCTTCGAGTTGAAGCTGTCGAGGGTCATTCCACTTGACTCGAGGTACGGCTGTGGCCATGAAGTCGGTGGCGGTGTTCCAAATGCGAACTCTGTCATAACGCTTTCAGCGTCGGAAAGCTGGTCGCGAGGAATCGGTTTCCTGTGCAGCCCCGTCCGCAGAGAGGGTCAGACGGCAGGCCGAGGCAAAGACTGAAACTGTGATAGGTTGCTAGTCAGGTAATGAGCGTTTAGTGTGCATGATCGTTGAACCAGGGCCGTGCCAGTCAACATGCCACTGACCTCATTTTGGCAATCATGAGCTTGGAGTGACTTGTCACTCTTCAGTCGATGCAGCATGTTGCTGCTGCCATCGAGAGTAATCTCGATGGTGTTGGCAGATGGCATAGCAGCCCAGATGCGCGACCACCTTGGGGCCGACTGCTTCACCCACAATACTCACTTCAAGGGTCTCCGCGTGTTGCTTGTAGCACAGGTCTCCGACTCCGGTTGACCCATGCTGACATGCGACAGCGATGCAAGGCTCCCAGCAGCTCGTTCGAGCATGACCGGGAAAGTTGTCTGGAATGGCGCAAGCGCAGTGGATATCGAGAGATAGCGCTGTTGAGGCTCTGCTCCAGACGCACGCTGGCTCGAAATTGGCTGACTCCATGGGGCACGATAGTGGAGCGTGGTGGAGTGAGAAGGAACGCTGGCAGCAAATTTTGCTTCTGGCCGTCAATTGGTCATGTCAAGGCTGATAGACAGCGGGGTGCATTAGTTCCCTCCGATGTTTGGAGGCTCAACAAGCTCTGCGTGGCACTGGGCGGGTTAGCGCGGTCTCGCCCGCAGAGGTGGGTAAGCTTTCGGTAGCTTTGCGCCTCTAGGCTGGAAGGATTCGACGCGCTTGGAACAACTTACGGGAGGATTTTTCCGCTAGTGCAACACACCAACCCAGTTCAACCCAGTTCAACTTAGTTCAATCCAGGATCACGTCCAGGCGTGAAGGAGAAGTGCCGGGTTCGCCGCTTCCTCGGGCGTCTATGAGATTGTCACGAATGGTTGGCTATGACCACAGCAAGCTCCATGCTTCGTCTCCACTTGGACTGACAATTTATAAAATTGCAACAGCCGCAAGGCGCCCACCAAGCTGGAGAAGGGTCGCCGGTCGTGTACCATGGGGAGGCATCTTCTCCGCGGGTTGCAAGAGGATCTGCGCAGTGACAGCTGCTGCGGGGTACTGGCTCGTGGGGATCGTGACTGCTGGAGGTGGCTTCATGGAATGATGACATGTGCAACAACAGGCAAATGCTGATCCAGCTGCTCTGCTTGGCATCGTCACGATAATAGGACGTCATGTCCAGTGTTGCGGCGAACATGAATACGCGCTTGACGCTTGCTGTCGTGGCGAACCAAACCGTCCAAGCCGTACCAAACCTTTTCGAATCGAGGATCACCCGATCAGATGCAGCACGACGACAAGACATGCGCCGAGGACCCGAGATGGGATGGACTTGAATGATCGTCTGGAGGCCTGCAGCAATTGATACACTCATCGCCGCTCAACGATTGTGTGCGACGACTGGGCACCGATAAATGCGCGCACGTCAGCATACCTCAAGTTCAAACGACTTCAAGTCGGCGCGACATTGATTTTGCCGGACCGAGTGACATTCTCTGAAGAGATGGAACAACAAGCATAGCGAAGGTGTTGATATGCAGAGTTGTCAACAATCAAGCGATAGGCAGACTGATTACTGGATCAGGTCTGACACGGACCTTTCTGTGGTCTTTTGACGCTTAGTTGGGCAATCAATCTGTGAATTGCTTGATTGTTGACAACTCTGCTGATATGCCGTGCGTTAAAAGCTTGACCGTCTAGCATGACCGGCGGCACGCGAGGATGCCGATGCAACCACGGGACAGGTGACACTCCAACGTCGAATGTCGACAGCGACTGAAGGATTGTGGGGACACGGAGATTGGGTCGCCTTACGTGTCCACTACTGACGAGCCGATGAGGACAATCGCTCGACGTTGAGCTTCAAAGAAAAGGGGGAGACGGCCAAGATGGTGAAGTTGTGCAGCAGCAAACAAGAGGCAGGCACGACGGTTGCCAATTGCTGAGAGAAGCTTGGACGCAGGAAGTAGGATCAGACAACTACCTTCTAACGCATTCGACCCTTTTGAACCTTCTTCTTCACCTCGACTACAAGCTTGACTTCTGACAGACAGACCTCACTAACGCTCAGGAGCACCGCCGAACGCGTATCAACCAATCAGACAGCTCGCGCAAACGGCAAGCTCAGCAAAGCAAACCCTGGGAAGGAACCGTGAACACCACGTAGGAGGTAGTCGCGCATCTTTCTAATCCGTCAGGTGCAGCTCTTCTCCGGCCTCATTGTCTGCTGTTTACCATTACATCGTCATCTCATCTCTGCAGTCACGAAAAGCAACCTTCTCAAGCCACGCGCCTTGGCACTTGGAAACGCGTTGCGTATTCGCGCTCGCGTCCCCACTGCCCCACCCAGAACCTCGTCCTCACCGCCCCAGTCACAACCTCCCCAAACAATGTCAAACGAAGCCAGCACACCCGCCCCAACCCACGAGCCCCCATCCCTCCCCAGCTCGCCCCTCCCCAAGCGCACCAAAGTCATCGACCCCGCGCCGCTCAATCAGGCCTCCGCACTGCCGCGTAACAACGACTCAGGTACCGCAACTCCGACACCACTAGCAAGCTCCAACATGGCCGCCTTGCAGCCCCCTGCACCAATTGCTCCCAGCATTGCGGCTGGTGCCGCGGCAGAGCAGGCCCTGCAGGTTTTGCTGCTGAGTGAAACTGCGAAGGCGCCGACGAAGGGGAGTGCGTTTGCGGCAGGACATGATTTATATAGTGCGAAGGACACAGTGATTCCTGCAAGAGGGAGGGCTATTGTGGCTACGGACATCAGCATTTCAGTGCCGGTTGGGACCTGTACGTTCTTGCTGCATGATCACGCCCTGGGTACTTGGGCTGAGTCAGCTGATTGGAAGCAGATGGCCGTGTAGCACCGCGCTCCGGTCTCGCAGCCAAGCACGGCATCGACACAATGGCTGGCGTGATTGATGCAGACTACAGAGGGCCAGTGGGCGTCATACTGGCGAATCTGTCAGATACAGACTTCGAAGTCAAGGTTGGAGACCGGATCGCGCAGTTGATCGTCGAGAAGGTGCGCGAATGCTTCCAGGCTACTCTAAAATACAAAGTATGGCTGACTTGGACAGATCGCAATGCCCGAAGTCGTCGTCGTAGAGAAGCTCGAAGACAGCGTGCGCGGCGCTGGTGGATTCGGCAGCACAGGAGGCTTCGGTGCAGGCGCAACACAAGGAGCATAGGAGCCCACGTTTGACGTCAACAACTGGCCGCCCGGTATCGACTTCCCCAAGACCTTGGCTCCGGGCGCGGTCCCTGCGAGGGCTGGAGCTCTTGGATACGACGTTCTGGGGCTGCCTACTGCGGACAACGGACAGGTGGAGGAAATCGAAAGGCGGGAGGCGTTCACTGGGTTCGACTTCTTATGAAGCGCATGTCTGAATGTACTCCTCATGGCAACGCTAAGGAGACACTTCTTGTTGAAGTTTACTGGTGGTACAACTCATGTCCTTTATCTTGATATATCTACAACTTGCCTCTCTCGCAATTGAAACTCTACAGCAGCGGAGAGGCTTAGCGGAATAGTCTGGACTCTTGGCACTACTGAAGTACTTCAACCTCAACCTCTATTGTATCACGGCAATCACATTGCAACCCATTGTTGCCAGATCGCGACGGTGACTGCAATAACGGTTCAATGTAACTGCACATTGAGCCGACCAGTCGCACAAGTGAACATGTCGGCATGAAGACACTAAAGTGTTCCATGCGCGACCTAAGCGTCTTTACAATCCAAGTCTGAACGAACTGAAGGCAAACATCGAATAGCGCAGGCGAACTCAAGTGTATCTGTGATCGCACTGCATAATGAGTTGATTTTGTCGCCGTTTGGATATCGAAGCACCCGTCAAAAACTACATGTCGATGAATCGATCAAAATGCAGAGCTTTATTCTACGGCAACCACAGCACATAGACCGCACCACAAATACACAAAGAAATCACCATCAACTACACAGTACCGATAGGAGAGTACGTGGTTGCGTAATCTAGCACAGCATTGTACGTCTGTCAAACGGCACAAAAAATCCAAGACGAAGAACGCATACGGTGTGATTGCCAAGTTCGGTTGATGGGCTCTGTGTCTATGTAAGACTGCTCGTCCCAGGATGGGCTCAGTCCTTCACGCTCTCGCCCGCCTTCGACGCGTCGCCTGCGTGCTGGGCTTGTGTCTGCTTAGCTTCGGCCTTCTCCCCCCTTCTCCTCTCTCGTCACATCACCCACATCCCTCGTCCTAACCTGCGCTTTCCCCGCCCCCTCAGGCCTCAGGCCTCTCCAACTTCTCAAACCCACTCCCCTCGCTCTCATCAACCTCGACTTGTACTGCACCCTCCCCTTTCTTCCCAATCCCAAGATGTAATACGCCGAGTTCGTTGCTTTCTTTCTTCACCCCACCCACCTCTGCCCTCACCGCGCGCGGCCTAAACCTCTCCAGATCCGGCGGGTTCATGAGTGAATCCACGTGTCGCGGTACTACGACTTCACTCGCATTCATCAACGCTAAGTGGCGCTTCTTCTCGCTCTCCTCGCCCCCACCTCCGCGCGCAATCCTCGCGTCGTACACGTCCATAGCCTGCTTACAACTTTCCGCCGTCTTACCAAGCACCGCCTGCATGCTAGCCAGCACTTTCTGCGCCGCCCTCGCCAGCGGCAAATCCTCTGCCGCCACCTCATCCCGACTCCGCCAGCTGCTCGTCGCCCTCAGATTCTGCTCAGCGGGTGCCTGCTCCACAGCCTCTATGAGCCGCGGCACCGTGAGCGCGGCGAACATGTCCCCCGTTCCACTGAAGAACAGCGGGAGCGCGGGCGTGTCAATGCGGAATAAGCGCGGTTTGAAGTCCGAGGTAGCAGTACTACCGATGATCGTTAGGTTCTCAACGACTTCGTCGTTTCCTGGTTGGGAGGCTGCGGGCTTGTTCTGCGGCAGTGTTGAGGAGGAGGAGGAAGACAGCGGGTCTGAGGGTTCAGTGGAGGGCGTGTGCGGTTGTGTGACGGGCCGGGAGGGGGGGATCTGGTTGTCTCTCGTCAGACGCAGAGAGGTTATGATGACGTGTGGGACGCGGTAGGTTGTGTGCAGGACTTGGATGGCTTGGGCGAGGGAGTTGAGGTCGTGGATGGGCGTTTCGGAGAGTGTTCTGGATGAAGGGTAGGGTCAGCTTGGGTCGTTCTTGAAAGTGGGGAGGGGGGGGGGGGAAGGGCGCACTCTGCTTCGAATTGGTTGGGCAGGATCAGATCGGCTTCGCGGAGGAGCGCTTTATATTCTGGTACTTCGTCTTCGGGGATATAAAGCTTTCCGTTGTCACCCATGACGGGGTCGAGTACTGTCTTGTCAGTACTCTTCCTATTTTTTTTTCCCCCACTGTTATATGACACTCACCCCAAAAGAAGCTCCCCGGCTTTGTGCCAGAATTGAACTTGATATCTCTTCCAATCTTGCCCACCGATCGGACTGCTTCCGCGCTAGGAACGTAGCCCGTCAGGAGGACGTCGAAGTTGGTGAGGTTTGACTGGCGGAGGCCTTCGTAGAGCTGTTCGAGTTCGGCCGCGGTGGTCTTTGTGCCTTTGACCTGCTTGTAGGCTGTGTGGTTGCCTGTCCTGGTTAGTCCTATCCTTGGGCGAGGAATGCTACGAAAGGAGCGCACTGTAGTGGACGGTGTTGATGGCGGAGACGTCGCAGCCCATGGCTTGCATGACACAGGTCGCCATTTTGTTGCCGACATATCTTTGGATATGTCAGCCGGGTGCTTGTTTGGACAGCTATCTGCACTCACCCATGGACTACCTGTCGCGTTCATTAGAAACGCGGTACAACTCGCGGGTGACTCTTACATGGCTGGCGATTGCAAGCACGCGCGTTTCTGGTACGAGCGCGTCTGAGGCCATGACCGCAAAGTTCAAGCTGTACTTCAGCTCAACAAACACGAAACGAAAGGATCAACTGCAGCGCGCGCGGGTGTAGTGGATGTATTGTTATTCTTTGTTTGAAATTCCACGCGCAATGACGTGGGGCGATGGGCGGGGCAGAGCCTCGAAAGCCCTTGCAAACGTCCGTGAGTCGCCAAAGCGCCAAATCTCACGCGCTGTACATGAACTGGATAACGCTCCGTATGCAAACCGTAGACAGTACGCCGCCTGTATTCCCACATAAATCCTGAAAACACATTGCTCGTTACAACAAATCGCTTACTCCTCGTCGCCAATCTACCCAAGTCAGCAACAAGGATTAAAAGTGAAGTGTATGGACGACGAACCTTGGGCGCGAGGTAGAACCTCAGGTAGCTGTTGTTTGACAGGCCGTACTCGACAAGCAGAGGAACCTCGCTGGACAAGCTCAGCTTGACGGTATCGGACAACCCGCTGGCCTTGCAGAAGTTGACCAGGTACTTGAGGGAGAAGGTAAGGGAGACGGGTTCGCTGAGGTCGATCTCGACGTTCTCGCCGGGCTTGTCGACGTTGGTGTGTTGCCTCAGCTGGACGGAGCCCGAGCCAATGTCGCCCTGGCAGCTGAACTTGACGCCCTCCTTTGTGCACTCGATCGAGACTGGTGTCGTCAGTATAAAATGCTGGGGTTCGGCGGTTGTGTTGACCACATACCCGACTCTGACAGCGCAGTCAGATCCCTGCAAATGCGCTGGAACTCAGCAGCAGGCATCGTGATGGTCGCCGCGTACTCGGTCTCCGGGATGCCCAAGTGCTCCTGGTCAATGTCCATGAGCTTGATGTCGTACTCGCTGATCCTGTCGGACGCGCTGTTCTCGAACACCAGGTTGACGACATCGGGCGCGTCCTCGGCCTTGAGTGTGAGGATGTCATCGCTCTGGGCAGCGCGGAGCACCTTTGTGAGCGAGCCCAGGTTGATGCCGAGCGCAATGTTGCGGTCGCAGCGGAAGGGGTTGAAGGCCTCAGACCTCAGAAGCATGGAGACGAGGGCGACGTGCGAGTTGTCCATAGCCTGCAGCGCGATGCCGGAGTCATTGCAGTCGAAGTTGCAGTCCTGGACGAGGTCCTTGATGGCGTCGACGACCTGATGGCGTTGTTAGACGGTGCCTGGCTTGTTGTGGGAGCTTGATGCGTACCTTCTTGAGAAGGTTGGCCTGTTCTAAGCGTGCCTCAAGCACTGGGAATTGTTAGCAGCAATTCGCTAGTGTGAGTCTCATTGACATACTGTTGGCTGTGTATTATTTAGATCAAGTGAAGAAGAGGAAGAAGAAGAAGGGGTATAATGCAAAACTGGGGCGTCGATGAGTGCGTGTGGTGTTGGGGGAAGAGGCAGCAGAGCGAAGGTGGGACAAAGTAGAACGCGTCGCTGATTTTAGCGCGTAAGTTCGCGTAAAGTGCTAGACCAGCCACAGATGGACGCTTGGCGGCATTGCTTCTCGATGTGCAGCAACTGTATACAGCAAACATGCATTTGCTCGTACCATCTGCTCGTACCGTCTGCTCGTACCATCTCACAATTACTCGGCTACGCATGCGACAGTTGGGTTTGCTTTGTTGTTTTCATTTCTATGTGCGCTCGAGCTAGCTTCCTCACGCAGCAAGACAATCTGTGCTGTGACGAGAGCTTGGGATATCACCCACGAGACTTTGACCAAGACAATAGATCTTGCGTGTGGAAACATTATGCCTCCCAGGCGGAATAAGGCTGAAACAAGACGATGCGATGTGGTATATGGTAGATGACCAAGACTTGTACCCAATGCTTCAAACGGAAAACGCCGATAAGGAAATGAAGACGAAATGCGACGACTATATATGGTTTGTTAGCTTGATTTTCGACATAGAAAAGACGTCATAGGCTCGTAACTCGTCCAGCCGGCAGCGTATGACGATGCGGCCTGAGATTGATAACGCTCTCGAGCTCTCTCAGCATAGTGTTGCTCGCCTCACGCTGTTCGCGCAACGAAGCCTGGCGAGCGCGGTCTGCCTGCATCTTCTGCATGCGCTCTTCCCGCGACATGGTGACGCGCGTCTTGGGAATGGCGATGGCTTCGAAAACTTCGTCGTCGGAATTGCTGCCTTGGTCGCTCGGGGGAGCACTCTGCTGCGGACTCAGCGTCTCTCCATTCAAAGCGCGTAGGGCATCAGACGGACTGCCTTCATCGACGGCTGTCAGACCACCTAGGCTGAGGACAGGAGAGCGGAGACCGCTGCTGGAGGCTTGGGAGATGCGGCGTTCGTGGCGCTCGATGTTGAGGGCCAGGGCATTTCTGCCGGCTTCCCACGCCTGAATCAGGCTTCGCAGGTCGGCGCCGATTGAGTCGTATTGTACCATGAGGTGACCACCGAGTTCGGTGACGTCTTCTGTGTCTTCCAGGCTCTTGTTGGTCTCTTCGCGCAGCACCTGCATCTTCGCTTGCAGGCCACGGATGCCCTGTGAGAGACCGGACAGCTTTCGAACTGAGTTGCGCAGGTTCTCGCGACCTGGTGTGGGTTGCAACTTGTTCGGCGACGGTATCACAAACTGCTCCTCCTCGGCCAGTACTTGGTTGAACTTCTCACTCCTCTCTCCAGCCGGCGCGGCTACAGTGATCATAGAATCTACGACGGTTGCCCATCTTGAGAAGTCTGCCTTTCCACCGTCGGCTTGAAGTGCCAACAAAGAGCACAAGTAGACACGACGGAGCGTTGACAGCCGGTACTGCCAAGTTCGAAGGGCCCTAAGGCTTTCGGTATCCTCGAATTCCGATTCGTTGTACCCAATCGCGGCTTCCTGCAGGTCTGGGTTGCTGATTTCGTAGACGTCGAGGTACTTCTCAATATCGTCCTCCTGGACTTGTCGCCTCAGCGTTTGACACTGTTCTGACAGGATGGGGATCATCGTAGCATAGACGGCCCAGAGGCTCCGGCGTAGACGTTGGCAGCGGCGAGCTTGTCCTTTCTCCTCAATCCTGGAGATCGGTGGCAACGGCATGGAGCTGGATCATGTCAGTCTAACACCTGACGGGGACAGGGATCGTACATACAGCCTGTAGCCCCGGGAGACGAGCTCGACCTCTTGTATCAGCGCAAGCGCAGAGGACGTCGACGCTTCGAACGCCTGCAAGTTGGTGACGAGGGCCGATGCATTCTCGACAGCCTGCTGCCTCAAGGTCTGCAGCCACTGGCGGCGGATGTACGCATAGGACGCGGTTGCGACAACGGCGAAGACTACGAAGACGACCACGAAGCGTGCTTTGCTGAGGCCTGACCTGCGCCGTGACCAGTGGATGAGCCAGACGAGTGTGAATGCAGTCGCCGCAGTGAGGACCGCGCCGGCGGGGCTGATGGTGGTAGTCTTGAACTCAGGGCCGGGCCCTCCGCCGTTCGCATGGTTGGGAAATGTCGCGGTTCGTATGCTGGACTGCTCGCCTAGCAGTTGGGAGGCGACTATGAGGTACCGGAAGTGCTCGAGAAAGCGTTCGTTATCGGCGCGTCCGAGGCGCGAATTTACCGCCTTCTGCGATGCTGTTAGGAGCTATGCATGGTAGGCTCGCGGTGTTACACACCAAGCATGCGAGATGTATGCGCGCAACCGAGCCATGGCGGTTTGCACGTATGCGCAGCGGCTGCGGGAGCTTGTCTCTTATCCTCGACTGGAGCGTGGAGGGGCCGCGTGGCGCAAAGCTGTGGACGTCTGAGGAGGTGGATACAGCAGGCGACGGTGGTGCAGAGAGCCCTCCTTTTCCCTCGCCTGGTCGGGCTGTTAGTATGAGTTGGCTCATTGCTGGCGTGAATGGTGCAGCGCATACCCTCTAGGAACTCGGCCAGAGGCGAGTCTTCGTGTATCACGCTCTCCATCGTGTCCGCTACTACCGCATGTTGCGGGTGGTGTGGCTTGGTATGGAATGTCCGGCGCGTGGCGCAACTCGTGGGGGTCGCGTTCGAGGATCCTAGAAATGCGGGGAGGCGTGCAGGGGCGGTGAGGCGATTGGCGGTTATGAGAGTCGTAGAGTCGTTTGTTTGTTTGGAGTGTCGAATGATGTGTAGGAGGTATACTAGGGAGAGCCACGGTGGTTCAAACTAAGCCACCCGGGACCAGGAGATGAGCGGAGATGAGGTTGCGGAGCTGGGCCCACAAGATTGGCGCGACCTGCGGGAGTTCGCTGGTTTGGGGCACCGTTAGGCTAGGACCCCTGCTACAGAACGATGACTTGCAGGAGAACGCAGGTCTGGGCTGTGTTTATGTCTGGGGCAGCTTTTGGATGTCTGAGGGTTGCGAACGTTGATGGCACTCCACGTCTGTAGCTTCCAAGACGTACAACTCTGAAACAGGGTCTCGTCCGAGTGACTTCAGCGGGGACCTGCATTAACACGACGGGCTAAGTCTACACCAAGTTGCAGCCTCAAAGTCCATCTCGAGCTTCAAGCCCCGTCTAGGCCGCCATGGTGCCCATACACGCCAATATCACGCTTCAGCTCGTTGTGGTACGTCGAAGAATAAGTCACTGGGGTGTCCAGGAGAAGGGAACAAGTCCACATCTGCCGATGCGATGTACAGCTTTTGACCCGTTCTACAAATTCATGAGACGATTGGGCAAGCGATTGAGAAGCTGGAGACCCTCTGCAATCGCGACAAGGCTCAAGATTGAGCTTCTCGACGCAAGAACCGCCCACATGTGAAGGATGGTGGACCCCTGTGCACGGACGAAATGTGGGGTGGTAGCGCAGAACACCAGAAGACGGCCTTGAAGCTCTCCAAACGGCATCACCGGCGTCATCAGCCCATAAGAACAGTACCACTCACCCGCAGTCAACCCTCGCAACCAATCGCATACCCTTGCAGCCGAAGGCCCGCATATCGTCGACGACACAAGGCACAACCGTTGGACACTCCATCGATACCAACCTCTACCGACACAGGTGTTATCGACTCAACTTAGTCAACCTCGATACATCCACAGATTTGTCATAATACCCTAACAATGGCGACTGTAGACGAGCGAGAGCTCCAGATCAACCCCATCGTTGCAACCAGCGTCCAGCACAACACACAGGTACTGCCACACCTCCCCCCCCCTCCCCCCTCTCCCCTCCCCCCTCCCACCAAATACCTGCACTAAACCTGCGCCGTGTCTGTCCGTAGAATCATTGATCAACGTATTGTCCAGGTAACATCCAACATCCGCAACCTCACCGCCTCCCTCTTCGGCGTCGCCGCCGGCACACTGGGCCTCGAATCCTACCCCGGCTTCATCTTCTACCTCGTCGCCTCTTCCGTTGTCTCGGTGCTGTTGTTCGCGTTGAAGGCAGAAGGCCAGCCGGGGAAGTACTTCTATAAGCCGCTGGGGGATATGTGGCTGGGCGATGTGTTTGGTGGGTTGAGTGGGTTTGTGCTTACTTGGACGCTGTTTTATGGGTTGGTCAGGGCGTGAGAGGGGCGAGAAATAGATGAGGATGATGTTGGGCAATTGGAGCGATAAGGCGATGATCCCGGGCGGACTGCTACCGTGCGTGTGGTACATGGACGCGAACCACACAACGAGCAGTCTGGGGCGCAAGGCTGGATGTACGACGTAGGCTGTTAATGAGGTCTTGCGTTGGTCGGTAAATGAACAGCAGGACGAAGCAAACCAGGTTCCCGGGTCCCCAGAATAAGTGGTAGAACATGGACTTGCCTGCAAGATACCCAAAGAATAGAGCACATAAGTCAACCTTCGCAGCCGGCAGAAGCAGCTTGACTAATCCTAAACATAGCACGGCAGGATAGCAGGAGAACATAGGAGCTGGTTAAGAGTCGAAGGGGATCTGAAGGGCTTCAGTGCTAGATCCTGCTACCATCCTTGCAACGTGATTTCTGGAGTCGACGACGACTTGAGTTTCGTCAATTTTTAAAGAGCGTGGGAGTCGTTGTTGCGGTTACGGCGATTACCATAGCTAAGACAAAATCGTAAGGCTGATTAAAGAACCGCATGTGAGACTCCAGGTCGTGCTGGCCTCGAGTCTAAGATACGCGTCATGTTTACTGTCGACTAGCGCGTGCTCTTCGGTCTCACTCCGCCAGGCCCTTCTCCGCATATCACATACCACCAACTTCGACTCTACTTCACAATCTCATACATCACCAATGGGCTCAAGATAACGCGAAAAGCCCCCAGGGTAATCTACTCTCTACCGCCATGATGATTATCCTCAAGCCAAAGGTCGTATCCCCGCTGCATTGGTCGACCAGCGGTCAGGGACAGCACATCACGTTTCCCAACTCCACCTTTTGCCAAAGGAACATCATCGACACAATAAGCCACAATGCAACACACAAAGGCGCCAATTCCGTAAAACCAAAGAGCGCTAGATGTACAAGAGGAACACCCCCGCGAATATCAGAATGACCATTTCAGCACCCGCCCATGACACGAACTAGATACTGAGCAATCTCATATCAGCTGTACTCGTACTCATTCTCCTCACACTCAGAACTGCCATTCCTGTCAGGCGTTTGCGAGATGTTGTGCCGCTTCCGGAGATGGACCTTCAACCCATCAGATCGAATGTACCGCTTGTCGCAGCCTTGCACAGGGCAAGCGTATCTCGTCTTATCTTTCCCGGACGCAACGCAGTTCTGGGACTTGAGATGTCGCGTCATGTTGCCAACAGCATGTACGCCAGTCAAAACTGTTCCGCAATTGTACGGGCAAGGGACGACGTACTCGGCACTACTCTCCGTGGACCGTCCGGTAGTCGTTTGGTGTCCAGTCGACGACCCTAGCGCTGAAGAGACGCCATTTGACCAGGCGTTGGGAGAACCGTAACCTGAGCCTGCATCCACGTTTCTGCTCAGTGTTATCAGCATCCTGGCTAGTTCTTGACGATGCAACTTACGTCCTCGGCGCAACAAGTGGCAATTGGGGATTCCCATATCCGACTGGTGATGTAACGAAATGTGGCTGCATCATTCCCTGGCTCCCAGGTACTACCGGACTTGGTTGAGTATGGGGCCACACTTGGGGTCTGTGATCTGTCAGTTATCGACTTAGACCCTGTGCTCGACAACACTAGTACATACTGTTGGCTGTACTGCAGTGTTGCACTGTCGTATTGACTTGGCTGGTGACCGCCTGCATATCCGTTTGTCGGACTCAGAACAGTGTATGCACTACTCGCGGTAGTTGTGCTCTGTACGTATGGGGCTCTGGGTGCACCTTGTTCGCTGTACGAGTACTGTGGACTTCCATCGCCGCCGTGTGGGTACTGGTAGTACGACGTATCAATACCAGGCTGTGGGTACGTGTGCCTACCGCGACCGGAATACCCGCTGGCACCTTGTGTGTAAGCTTCGCTGCTCTTTCCATAGTTTTGCTGTGTCCAGGCACTATGGTAAGTGCCGTCCGTGCTGTCGTAACTCATGATGCTAATGTAAAGGTCCAGGAAGTGGAAGGGTGACGGAAACGATCAATCGATGTCCCAACTCGAAGTCGCTCCTTGTTGTTGCCCCAGGGCCTTCAAGTCCAGGATAAACCCTTGCAAACGTCACCACAACACCGGCTGTCGACTGTAGGGAACAAGGTGCTGAAACACATTAGCTTGCCGAACATAAAAGCAACCGCGCCAGATTCTCACCTTTGCGGAGTCAAGTTACAAGCTCGGCTTTCTTAGGCAAAGATATGCAGTTCAAGAGCAGTGAGAGGAACGCCTTGGTGGTCGATCATATATTGTGTGAGAAGGAGATGCTTTGAGGCACAGCTCTAGGATCGCCTGCAAATCTTCAACCATCAATGTTTGCAGATGACCACACCTGCATTCTGCTGTACCCCCTCGCGAACTCAAGCGTGTGCTGAGAACGGAGTATACTTTCTGCAACTGTTATCGCATTCAAAGTTTGAACAAGAGAGCGACAGTCTATGCAAATTATACGGGCTATCAATACGCCAATGGGACCTCGGTATACAGGAGACTGTAGCACAGCATGTCAGGCTTGCTGCAATTTCATGCGACCCACATCGAATGCCTCGTCATGCGGGATCGGGGACGCCGCGGGCTGTGGGTAATGCCGTTCTTTCGAAGGAGCACTGTGCTGCCGAGCGCCAAACAACCAACTCTACAAGATGACTACCATGGCATCGCTCCACTCGACGCTTTTGTCACACTTCACTCGGCTTTCACTTCCCTGTTCATTTCGTGGCGAGCCTGAGAGGGCCGGGCTGAACGACTTGACCACGGAAGCAGAATCGTACCACACGCGCGTATGCCTGTACAGAAATCACAGTTCCTGAATAACACCCATTGTTTGCTGAAGAAGCCGCGGAGCAGCGCATGATCTGTGCAAAGGTCAAGTCCTGCGCTCTCTGTAGAAAGGCTACTTGAGCAGATCCCGAAAGAGTTACTTCGTCAACTCCACTGAAGTCGGCCGTATATTGACCAGCTCTAGTCCGGGGAAACGATGCTGCTCACACGTCGAGCTGTCATGCACCGATGTACAAGATACCAGGCAAGTGCACTAATACCTCTTCGACTCACCGGATACGCTATTTCCAGCTTTACGTCTCCCTTCAATCTCGCATTATGCGAAAGCCGCACCTCGCGCCCATTAATACTCCGCAAATACCTTTTGCGTGCGAGGGTTCAGCCAATAGGTGCTGGGCGTTATAGATCACTCACAGCCACGGCTGCATCTCCACCTGCATTGCCGAACAATCCTCTCGGCCCGTTACCAACCACTAACTCGATCCGATTCAAGAGCTGATACTGCTGGCTCTCCGGGGCCGAGTTGTTGTGGCGGCAGCCCCCTTGCGCGGCGTTTATGTACTCGCAGCGCTTAGTGCGGCGCAGTCACTATGCGGCGAAACCACCAGGAAGCCCTGAGGATGACCAACCACGTTATATGCACAGAAAGCCAAAGGGCGACCCTGAGTACCAACGTATCGCTCGCTGTAGCTGACCCCGATGCTGTGCAGAAGGTGGGTCATATATGCGCTATCACCACATTCCTTCCTCACTCTGTCTGTATCTGCGCTTCGAGATGCAGTAACGGTCCTAGAAGCGTTCCCTTTCAAGCTATCCTAACTAAATGAGGAATCCTACAGGAGATACCAACAAGATTCTTGTCATCATTCTGCTCACCTGACTGAAACGTGCGAGAGCGTACATCAGTCCCTATCGGATCTCTTCCGGGAACCAACGCAAGACGTCATCACTAACGTTGTTCTTGTGTTTCCGGCATTCCTACTATTGAAGGTAGAACACTGGACTTTCTCGCTTGATCGAAGCAGTGCTGTCGTGTTACCGACGTGCGTCACTGTGCTTTCGCACGAGCATCACTGCACATGCACCACCTTGGAACCCAATGTTAACGATAAACTTTAGCTTGCGCTGTGTCACTCCTGCTTGATAGTATACATACCAATGTATCGATCTCATTCATTCTGTCTTACCCAATAATAGCTAATACAACACAGGTGCGCCAATCGTACAGAGGTGGAAAAAGCGGTGAGCTTTCCTTCGACACGCACCAGCAGCGTATGCATGTTCAATTCGTTCGCCTCCACCAAATTTGCAGCTTTGCTTTGCAAATCGTACTCACCGGTTTCTTACACACAGCTGTCCCGTCGGGATAGCAAGCACTGCAGAACGAAGGTCCGGCGGCCAAGATTAATGAAAGCTACTATCGACTGCCAAAGACGGCTGTTCGTGCAGTAGTCCGGCGACACCTTCCAAATCTGCAGCATCTCGCATGCCAGAGCCGTCAGCCTTGTCGACGTCTTGCCTTGCGGCAGTTGCAGGCCCAGACGCTGAAACTTTATACGTCGATCGTTCTCGGACTAATTTTGGTGATTCAGATCTCGTGTCCGAGTCTGCAAGAACGACTTGACATGTCTCTGATCACTACAGCTGTCAAAGACAAAATGTGATCCGCGCCCAATGCCCATGCTGCCTTTGTCCACTGACAGCACCGTCCGAGTCGCTTCTTCGTCGTGTTCACTGGCATTGTGAACCGAGCGCGAGCACAGGAGTGCAACCATCGATCTCAGCGAGAGTTCCTGCTGCCATATGAACACACATAAAGACCTCAGCTTCAGCTAGCCACAAGTGTTCAGAAACGACCAGTCTTTGGACAGCTTCTTGATGGAATGGACATGGAACATCCGTTATCGTTACTGGCCTGGTAGTGTCCATGTGTCCTTTAAATAAAGCGCCACTTAAAATAGTACCGCGCTACCTACCGTGACTGACACACCTGCGTCGCTCCGTTCTTCATGACAACATCACAAACCCGTACATTCGTTGTATTCGCTAGCACTGAGCGCCTATCGCGAGATCATGAAGACCACCATCAATCTAGGGGAGAGTTACCTCTGCCGTTGGTACCGCACATACCATCCAGCACTTCAGCCCCTATGAGCGATCAATAGCCTCCAGTTCATGAAGGGGTTTTTCGACCGAGTTCAGCATCTCAGCCATCACAACTGGGCTAGCAAAGCTGACCGAGGTAGTATCCATCTTTCAGACCTTCCCTTCGACCATGCCCGGATCCAAGCCTCCATTTCATCGCCGCAAGCCTACTGCTCGTCTTCAGGTAAGCCTCGGTGTGAGAACGAAACCTCCGCCCCAGGAACATAGTGTTTCACCTCAGATTCTACTAATGCCACCTGTAGCTATTCGATGCAGGTAAAGACAAACTCCACTTCAGGAAACATGCTCAAGAGTGACGCTTCAGAGAGGCATTGCTTCATCGATGGTGTAGCTTTGTTCTCAAACCCGTCGTTGCGTAGCTCCACCTCTGCCTTGATGACTCCCTCAAGCTGGGACAGTATGTAATGACTGTCGAAACGCTTCCCACAAGTCTCGCGTCTGTATCGATTATCGTTGGAAGTCGGAGAGATAATCCACGACACCTTGAGAAACCGGACAGTACGCATCTGCACCGGTATTCTTCGTACCCATCGTTCGACAGTGGGATAATCGTCGCAGCTGAAGGTGTTGAGTGCGAATGGGAGCATCCGGGTTTCTGCATAGATCTGGCGACAGGTGCGAAGCAGCCCAAGTATGCCATGTCCGCCAACATCTGAAAGTATGTGTCTTGCCTGGCAACGTCCGTTCCACCCTCCCTGGAGTTTGAACTCGTATCCACCCAGGATGTAAGCAAAGACTCGGTTTCGGAGCTCAGCGGGAAGACATAGTAGTGGTGACATAGTAGCATTGCGCCCAAACCTAGTGAGTGTAAGTGAAGTACGGCTTCTCGATCCTATGCCAAATGTGGACCTACATTGCCGACGCGCGATCATCTCGAGGCCTCGGATCGAGCATACCGGTGTGGCATTCGTAGAGAGTTGGGTTATCATCCATGCTAGAAAGTGGCTGTGAACAATTTTGTCAATGCCAGAGAACAGTGTCCGGGTGTAGCGCTACGTTTGATGCTGAGTAAGGGTGGTGGGGCTGAGGTGAAAGAGGAACAGAGCAGCGCGTCAATTCGAGAGCCACCTCGGATCTGCGAATTGTGAAATCTGGCCATGTTGAGCAGAGACCTACGATGACTTTAGATGATCAGAATCGCTTTTTCTAACGATCACGAATTACAAAAGCGATTCCATCAGCCTTGCGCTGAGGCTGAATTGGAAATGTGAATCTTGACATGATAGCGCGCCAGATTTGTTCGCCAGAGCCCGTTATTTTTTCAGGCAGACCAGCCACTATGGCGGGTAAATGCAATCTGTACTTTTGTCGGAGGTGAATGATCCACCGATAGCCACCACGTGATAGTACTAGCGTCTGTAAGATTGAGCTTCCTCTCACCTGCAATACGACATCATAACCACTTATCCATCAACTTTGCGGCCCAGCATTTCCTCCATGTCCTTTCTCAGGTTGCGCTCATACCTGTCCAACTATTCCTCGTCTACCGCGAGAAGACTGAACTCGTACGCCATGGATTTGATGCCGTGATATGTACTAGCGTCGGAAGAGCGACAAGGAAGGGCTTTACATGGTCGTACGAAAGTGGGCAACGTACTGTATCCTTCAAACCGAAACTTGCGGATAGCAGATAGTTGAGTTGGCATCTGGACTTGCCAAGCTTTCAAACCGATAAGAGTGCAATCGGTGAACGTGTTAAGAACGAATGGAAGTAGCCGTGTTTCTGGGCATATTCGACGACACACCAAGAGGGTTTGGGCAGCGACTTGAGCGTAATCCGTCTCTCTACACTGGTAACAGAATCCGGGCCGTGCGTAGGTTTCAATGTCACCGATACATCGCCTTCCACTCGACGTGGGCCAATTTGGTGAGATGAAGTTAGAATGATGCAACCTCCGAAGACCAAGGCGTAAATGTGATTTCTGATTTCCGGGGGTAGGCGAAGGAATGGTGAAACGGTCTGGTTGCGGTGCATTCTAATCCGGAGTTAGCACAATGCTATTGCTAGCCTACTGGTGTGTCATAACGCCTTGTCGTCCCTGGAAGATTTGGAGTTGAGCATGCCGTCAACGAGTATGAACTGCGAGCTTGAGAAGGCCAGCTTGTTAGTGAGTGCCGGCGTGCCAGCAGTGTCAGCTGCAGCTGGACATGTCATAGCTGCTGGTCGCGCAGACGGTGGTTGCTCCGGTGAGCTTGGAGTGAGTCGGGAGGTTGTGGGTTTGGAGAGAAAGCAGAACGCGAAAGGTGGGTCGCGCCCGCAGTGAAGGCAAGAGCAGTGCAGAAAGTTATGACGTCAGTTTTGCGGAACACACCACGTATGTGATATGATCTCATGTGCGTTATAACCCAGTGCAATTACAAAGGTGCGCAATGCGCTGTCCAAAGCTTCAGGGACGCTCAGCCTCAGTTAGGGAACTGTTAGTGTTCTCGTTGAGCAGGCGCAAGACACCGTCAACAAAGCACTCCATAACACAATCGAACTCTTGCTCCTTCTGCTGTCCAGGCTGACCAAAGTAATATTCCTTGTTTCGGATGGATTTGGTATCGTCATCATCTGGCACGCTTCGCTCCTGCGAGAAGTCAAAATCTGAAAGACAACAACATCGAAGGCAACGTAGCGAGAATCTGAGCCCAACGAGTAGTGGAGTGGGAAACATGCTGATCGACGAAGAGACCGGGGATGGAATTTTTGTTTTGCTGGTAGGGGGTCGCTGTTGGATAAATGACCTCTGGCGTTACGCATCGTATATGCGTCCAGGAATGGTGTTGATGAGAGGGTTGAACGGAAGAGAGAACATTCTGCAAGGAAGACTGGAAGGCTGTGATTGTTCGGTAGAAGCTTGTTATCCGTTGAAAGAAGAGTACAACCGTTCTTTCTATATCCTTTCTTGAGACTATTTGTAGTGCTCAACCGAGAACAGGTCTGGCGTCGGCTTGCAGCGTATCGCAAGCTGAAGAAACAGTGTCTGCCTGCTTCGACCGTACTAGGATGAAGCGCAGGCACACCTTGCCAAATTCATCATGCTCTCCACGGGAAGAAGCTACATCTGGACCTAAAGGTACAGCTTTCGACATGTGGCGTTGTGAGTTGAGTGTAGTCAGTCTCGAAGCATGCGTAGACAGCGGGCCGGGCTTCCCTAATGCAGGTGATCGTGCACGTGCCAGCCTAGTTTTCCTTTCGACGCGAAGCCTAGATGTACGAGATGCCAATCGTATATCCGTATTGACATGATAGCATGTGAGATTCAGCTGAAATCGTATCTTGAGAGATACTAAGTCCTGTCCATTGATAGCTGAGACGATTGTGCGCTGATTTCCCCGCCACGAGGCTCGCGTATACTGACGATCTAGATGTTGCCGTATGAGTCTGGCAGAGCAGCATGCGCAAGAGCTTCCGGAGTGTCCGTGGCAATCAAGAGAGGGGGAGTTCAGCAATGGAATCAGATGACCGGAAAATATCGTTTAGCGGTGTCAATGCGGAACGCTTGACTCTGGAGGTACGACCATACAACGTGCAACTGCGGGAGACTTCCACGCAGGAAACCAGCACAAAGCAAACGAGGGCTACGCGCAGCAAGTGATCTCTAATCTTGCTCCCCAGAAACGCTGGAAATGGGCATGAGGTACGCAGCGAGAACCCAGCAATGATATGGTACATCGTCCATCAAATCCGAAAACGCGTGAGGCTGCCAACTCTTATGCTCAAGCGATGTGGTCCGAATCGACGAGAGAGTAGAATGAAACTCAACAAAAGTAGGGTGCAATGCGCGGCTTCGCCTCTGTGTAATCGCGAGATAAGCCGACCTGAGCCCTGTACAGTTATTGCCAGAGCTCGAATGTGCTTCACGCCGAGTTGCCGTGCCAATCGATGCTCATACCCTGACCTTCCTTCTCCTGGATCTCCGTAATAATGTTGGCCTTGGCCTCGACCCACATATCAATTGCTCCCTTGCCCTTGTTCTCCGGCAGGCGTCGAATCTGGTCGTAGTCGCAAAATAGTGTCCAATTGTCCACGCCAAGACGACTGATGTTGGGGAACTTCGATCTGAAGCTTCTTCGGAAGCCGGTGCGGTACATTCGCATGTACGTACGCGGGATGTCTAGCGACGCGATAAGACGCTTCTGTCCGACACAGCGGCTCTTGATCCAGCGATCGAGCGTTGCCATACTATGGAACGCGAAAGTATTCAGAGAGTAAACGTAGGGTGACGCTTCAACGTAGATCTGCCGACATACTTTGGGAAGTTGAAATGTCGGGCGTACGTAGCCAGGTGGGCAAAGCGTGTCCGGATATAACGTTCTGATGTCGTAGATCGAGTTGATTGGCTCTTCGTGGCTCAAGTCTTGTATATCCACTTGGTGCTCGCCCAGAGCGTACCTCCATATCTTGTCACGCAGTTCACCGGGTAGGTGCAGGAGGGGTGACTCTACATAATTGCGTCTGGCACTGATGACTGTTAGCATCATAGACAAACACCAATAGTACGGCCTGACATACATTTGCATCTGCCCAGACCGCAGAGGAATTGTGGTGTTGAGTAGACCATCCCTGCACTTGAGGCCTGATGATGAAAGCTTCCGTTTGACTACTCGGCTAGGTGATCGTGGCCTTGCTTGCGGTTTCGACGGACGGGCTCGTCGGGATGACTTCTGTGCTGCCATCTTGGCGAACGAATGACTTGTGGAGTTGGTCAAGAGAGTGTGATTTCCATGCTAGATAGCTGGGCTGAGGAAAAGAGTGTGTCGAATTGTAGTAAGGGAGGGACTGTATGTATACCTGACTTTATGAGCAGCGTTTGGGAGGGACAATGATAGATGAAGGTGACGAGGAGGGATGAAGGTGAACAAGCACTAGCGAAAGAAACCACAGAACACATCATGTTTCAGCTCTCATGAGATAGAAGAAGAGTGAACGATGAGAGTGAGAAAGTCTTATGAGCTTTGTGAAGATTACTTCATCGATTAGGAACGACAAGATATGCCAGCGTGGCAGAGAGCGGATCGAAGCTCATGTTTGATGGCAAGGCTGTACTTTGCACGAGAACTCGTCGAGTGACGGGCTTGGTGTATGCTGGTGGCTTCGTGACTATAGCGAGCTTTACGGTGATGGGCGTTGAAGAGACGTGACGCGAACGCGTACGTACTAAGTGGGGCAAAGTTGGAGCTAACCTTACCGTGTCCGTGCGCGTGCCCACCGGATTTAACTAGAGAAAAACTACAAAGTAGCCTATTCGGAAATAGTCATAGAACTAATAAAGATATTAAAATACTTCTAATAATAAAGTAGTAGATAATTAAAGGATCTAAGGACCTATAATAAAAAATATCAAAAAATCTCTCATATAAGACTTTTACTCTGATTATAGATATTCTTAATGTAACAACCACGACCGGAACCACTGTGACCCTGGTGTGATTCCCGCTGGTACCAGCACAGAAGGAATCCTTTGTACACCACCTCTTTTCCGTGCAAGGCTATCACATCGCACCCTGCCGATCCAATGCTCCAATTCTCCTCCGAACTGTATACTTAAGCAGTTCGACATAGTCGTTAGATAGAGTAGTTTTTCTGTATCCTTTCATACAAGACCTATAGGTCTAGGGAATTCAACCCTAGTGTTCTCAACATCCCAGCACTCCCATATGCCTTGTTGTAAGGGTATGCGTGACAGCGAGCTCAGTAGCAATAGGGGGGTTGCATCGTAAGATTAATTGCTACCGTTCTCTGGCCATTGTGTGCCCGATTATCTATGCGCTCCTCTTGCCCGCGATTGTACCTCGCAGTGTGCGGTGAAGCTCGTCAGGCCCCGTCACTATTTCGATCCTACGACTCTCTGCCAAGCTTATGCAGCTTGTAGCCAGTCTCCAACAATCTTCACGCTCTCGTCTTCGTTCTTTTGTATCAGCGACTTTTCCGAAGCCACCATGCACGAAATGTCCTCTTGACTCGAGCCGTCCAGGTCGTCCATGTCCATGTTCACGACATGCCAGAGGTCGATGTGGATGGTTTGAAGCTGCGGGAACACTGTGGCGAGTCGGATTTTGTGAGGCGATTTGTGGTAGCCTGCCATGGAGCGAGCGATCTTGAAGCTGCGAATTTGCCGGCGTTGATTCTGTGAGCGACAGGAGATCCAGAGGCGCATCGACTCCTCATCTGTGAAGGAGAACGTGTTGAGCGCATAAAGGAGACCGTGTTTCTCTTCATACATATGCCAACAAACTAGCGGGAGGAGAGTCTGAAGATTATCCTCGCTCCAACTCTGAGTGTGCGTAGGAGATATGGAAGAGCAGTAAGAGCGTAGTCACATCGTCATATCGAACGCGCTGTAGCACTCCGAGTTGATCATCACGCATTCCGCCTGTAATACCATGATGTATATCCGGTTCCTCAGCTCGCCTGGAAGACGGATCAACGGTGAATTTTGACGATATGCGGCAGCCCTGCCAAGGTCAGTATGACCGGAGAGATCGATCGGGAACAAAGACAGACTTTGCGCAAATTTTCAGCTTGCTTGTGTCGATGGCGACCGCTTTCTTTCCAGGATAATATCCACCCGGTCTTCCCTTCTTTCTCGCAACGACGACCGTAGGGCCAATTTTGTTGGTCATGTTGGAAAAATTGCGTTCTTTAGTTGCTCGGAAAAGAAAGGTTGAGGTTGTTACAAACTTGTTTGTGACCAAGTGCGGGCGCGTGTTGACAGTCTAGGGAAGTGGGCCTGAGGTAAAGTTGGCATCTAGCTTGCTGCTGCTTTCACTCAACTCTCAACTCCCTTACGATCAACAGCGCTAACTTCGACCTCTTTTCCAACTACTGTTAACTACTTTCTTGCGTAACCAATATGAAGCCACCATAGATATGTCGAAGAAGTCACAGAGAGCTCGCGCTGCGGCGAAGAAGGCGTAGGGAGCGCAAGCGAAAGCAGAAACTCGCACCTTCCTCACACCCAACGACATGATCACAGAAGCTATCGGCAAAGATTACATCGGTTTACGGAAAGCCAAGCGCCGACCGACCTGTGTCGGTAATACTTCAACGAGTTGAACAAGTTCACAGCTCGGATAGAACCTGCCTTCAGATACTCGGAGCTCGAGCGTAGCGCACACCTCGCTACAATCAGACATACCCTCTTCAGTGGCGCGACTGGTATACGGTGCAGCCGCTCAACGTCAACAACAAGACCAAGTACCTCTATCAAATGATTCCAAGCAAGCGTATCGTATACCGCTCAAGTTCCTCGATTGGGCTTTTCACAGCGACCTGCCGACAGATCTACCACAAGGTTGGCCTTTCGCCACATTCTACAAACGAATTCTCTTTCTCCAGCCCGTACGCTCTCAACGCCTGGCTTGAGACACGTCTGCCCGTTCAACGCCGGGCCATCACGACTCAATGGCTAGATATTGGATGGACGGGCTACGGCCAACTGACCTCAAGGATTAGTCAGCTGGGTGATGGAGCCAAGCTCAAGGTCTCATACCTAGCCTTGCAAGCAGTCGCAGACAGATTACTAAAAGGACAATGAAGGCCGCGACATTGGTAACATGCCATGGCAGGATATCGAAAAAGACATGGACGTGTTCTTTGAGTTCACGAACTGGATGTATAGCGCCAATATGGATGTTCTCAACTCTGGTCATATTGAGCTTTTGCATCGTCAAGATACAAAGCTGAGAACCTGAAGACTGTTCAGTCGCGGCTAAGACTGTCCTTGATATGAAACATCGACTTGAGAGCAACGTCGTAAGATTGCTTATCGAGCTGATGAAGCGAGGAACAGTCACTTATGAGTATCTCAATGGCAGTAGGATCTTCATGTAAGGTACACCATCGACTTGCATATAAAATTGTTCCAATATCGCTCCTCCGTAACATCTACCGTGCTGTAAATGCTCGTATTCAAAAGCGAATTGTGCTAAACATGTCATATGTGTAAGAACTAACGCAGGTACCGATACGAGCTGACCCTCACGACGCGTGGCCGTGCCAACTCAACATCGATGACACAATGACCCCTCCTTACCGATTGCTACCATAAACAACATTTGAATCCGGGCACATTTGGACTCGGAGTTTTCACTACTAGCATAGATTTTTGAGTCGTCAGCAAACGCAAACACATCATTTGCACTCACGTGGGTGCGCACGAGCCGTCACCCAACCCATGGTTCAGCTTCTCAAGCCCTTCGAATACATCACGCCCTGAGTTGCAGCACATAGCTCAAAAAGAAAAAAGGTAGAACAGCATGCAAGAGCCTAGCACATTGCTGTTGCTTCTATTTCGGACCGCATACCTCTACACTATAATTGTCTATGCCGCGTGCGCAGCTCTGGGCTTCAATGGTTCGTTGATCGGTCTTGCAGCAACAACAGTACTCGCAGTTGGATCAGAAATAGCGTTCGTGTACAACGCAAGAGAAGAGATGACTGACGAGAAAGAGCTGCGATATATGGTCTGATGAATGCTATTGAAACTAGAAAGAGCGATCAGACCGCCAAAGAATGTCATTACCCACGCCGTGCAAGCAACTCTCTTCGTCAGAATGTCTCTATCAGCCTCTGATGCGGAGTCTTCGTTCTCGATCTTGGCACATCGTCCCCGCAGCTCCAACGTCGTCTCGCCATTCAGTCAGTCAGTGCCCTTATGGTCACATGCCATTGACCCAGTGCCCCTCAGCCTGCCAGCAAGAAGCTGCGACATACAGCCACGACAAGCAAAAGCCCCATTTCGACATTTATCGCACACTCCACACTTGCCAAGTGCAGCATCTGTAAGGGCATCCAATTGTTCGATCTTGGCGCCGCTCCACAGCGAGTAGAACGCGCTGCAGAAGAAGTATGCGCCAAGAGCGAAAGGTGCCGTGAAGCGCATATGTCGGACTGTGATCAAATGGAAGACGTGGAACGCTGAGATTTGCATCTAGAGTTTGTACGGGAGCGGTGTCGGTATTATGGGGAGGCGCGCGAAGAGCGGATTCGGTCGTGGTCGTGGTGCGTCAGGATCTGGGGCCAGTACTTGCGAATGTCAGTGATGGAAGACTTTGGGATGTTTTGGGCGTCGGCGTACTCACTGAAGTTGAGGAAGGTGTCGAGGATTGGCATGTTGGCGATGCGGACATCAACGAGAAGCTCCATAGATGGGCAATGATGTACACTTGCTGCAGAAGAGGGAGCAAACGGAACCAAGACTCTCAAGAAGCGGAGAACAAGTGAGGAAAGCGCAAACAGCGCGCAAAGATCAGGAAGCGGTGGTGAAAGCAATTGCGAACTCGAAGCGGCAAGGCAAAGTGAAGGAGCGACTGAGTTTATACCACTTATTGCCGCTTATAATACTCAGATAATGTAATCCTTAAAAACTCTTCTTGCTCAAGTACCTTTCTCTTGTCGTCTGACAGATGTTCTCTATCAACAGGATCAATGCTCATCCTGCCGCATCCATGACAAGGCTGCGCCTTGCTTGTAACGCATCTCTCGCACTCTTCGCAGTGCCATAAATCCGCTGCAAAACATCTTTTGCACACCCAGCAATTTCTGTGCCCCGGTTTGCATGACCAGAGTGTCAGCGCAGAAACAGAAGTATGATGTATTCATGTTGATTGATTCTCTCAAAATAGTGCTCATAAACTATCATCGTCTGTATACCATTGATTTGATTCACTTGAACCTTGTTGCGAGTTGTCGAAGTAGCGGATCTTCCCGGAAGGGCCCCTGAGATGGCAATGTCAGTGGCTGCGGCGATACCCTCGATGTCTCTTCTTGTAATTTCGATCAAGGGTTGTATCTTTAGCAAAATGGCTGCAATAGTGTTGTTGATACGACTTTTGCTCTTCGTATGATTCACGAGGCGCCGCTCCTTACCCAGAAACATCTCGAAGCAAGGTGACACGAATGATTGTAGCTTAAGATGACTCACAATCCCACGAAAGACGTCTTCGAAATCGGTGTACTTGTTGCCGCAGACTGGTGTTCAACTCTTTTTGTCCGGATCTTCCCAGTCATCGTTGTCGCCGTTGTCTGCGTGTTCCCACCACTTTGCTTCGGACGCGTTCTCATCGAAGCCGGAGCAGAAACACCGGCTCATGCATGACTCACCCGCCATGAAGCAGATGTATTTTGCAGCACTGCAGAGCTGGTCGTGACAGTCGCAGCCCCATTTGGGAGCACTTGAGCAATTCGGATAGAGCTGGACGGCGTCAGAATGTTATACTATTTTTGTTGGTATTAGACATCTTACTTCGCTGATCAACTGTCGAGACGTGAAGTGCGTATCGGTTGCTTGCTCTGCATCTGATGTGGACGTGGGGCTTCGATGTCTTTTGGGATACATGACTTCCTCGATGACAAGGATTGGAGTAGGTCGATCGTGATGAATTGACGGCAATCCGGTCGTGGAAGCAGAAGACTGAGAATAGAAAGGAGAGATGCGGAGTGTGCGTGGCCCAGAATGGACTCGCTATTGCGAACTCACGGCAAACACGTCAAGCTCGCGCAGGCTGCATCATCCAAATGCCTTAAGCGCCCAGGCTTTGACAGTCCTCAGCATTGGCAAGCGACTGATGAGCTACCCATTGCTCAGAATGCGTCCAAGTCAGTGGTTCACACCACCCTGAATATGGGTTTATGGTGGCTAACGAAATCATGTGCGAGGAGCAGCGCTCTGCCGCGCACTCCACAACCACAACAAGACATCGCATGTGTAGATAGAGTCGAATATATCCTTCTGGGTCGAGAGGATCTGCCTACTTGGGTGTGGATGCTGCTGCTGTTGCTGCTGCTGCTATGTCAATCTACAGGGCATGGTTGTTGCAGAACAGTGTTATCGTGTATTTCAGCAAATCAAAGCTTGATGCCTTCACGAACGTCAGTATCATCCTGGAGGACTGTTGATGCTATTGGCGCCCATGTGGTGGTTGGAATGCGTTTCGGATAGCAAGACGCGGTTGGGTATCATTACTGCATTTCTCGTTATATTGATTATGGCAATGACGACAGCTACTGTCAACAGAACATTTGAGGTTGTAGTGGCGACTGCTGCGTACGCAGCGGTCTTGATGATGTCATGTAGATTGACAACAGGAAATGACGAGAAATGTAGGATGCAGGAACATCTGAGAGCATACTACTTGGATACATTCGTGCTTTCATCACCTTTCTCTGTTGCCTTAGGGCTCTCTTCGTCAGCTCGTAGCGTCGAAATATAAGCCCTGGCTCGTACTGTATCGACGTAGTGTGTTCGTTTACCTTCGTGGTCAAGGTGAACGAGCTTGGCCGGGCGCTTTTTATACATCTAAGTAGCGTCATGCTTGAGTTTTGATCAAGGCTCGCAAATCTTGTCGATGCAGCGGCATGGATGCGGTCCTTTCCTGTCTCAGGCTGGTGAGGCGCTCAAGTTCACTGGTAGCCCGCGGCTGATGTTTCCAAACGAACGTAAGGCGGGTCTCATGTGAGACTACGAGCAAGCTTTGAACGCGCTTCATGAAGGGGAAGTAGTGCCACAAAAGGGGAGAGTACTGGACCGCATCTGCTTCGGTAACATCAGTACGGCTGCACTATCAAAGTCAATATGACGACTCACTGCATAAGCTGGTAAACGCCGGCGGCGTGTTCGACATGTGGTGAACTACACCATTTACCAGAGTGGATCATCCTGCATACCCATTGCTTGTAGATCGTGAGCCACACTGATTGCACTGTCCGATCTCACTTTGAACAGTAGTTAGCTTCGATAATGATGAGACTTAAGCTGGCAACTTACTAGTCCCAGTAATTATGACAAGAGTGCGCTTGAGCTTGAGTGTAAGTCATGGGATCGGAGAGGACGCGTTGTAACGGTGTGACTGGCCTATCGTACAATCCTGTGTTGTTATACTGGGCATCCCAAGTACCCGCATTGTCTGTAGTCGTTCGCCGCTCCGGGATCCTTGGCCCGTCAAAGCCTTGTGCATAGCTGTTGAACATTTGGGTTTGTGGATGCTGAACAGGGTATTGTGTGTTCAAGTGAGACGTTTGTAGATACTGTGGTTGCCCGTACATGTTGTTGTCGGCCTGGTTCGTCCAAGTAGGGCTTTGTACCGACGACGATGTCTGACCTGGTCCAGGTTGGTACCCTTGCTGATACCCTGCGGTTGGTGGGGAACTGTTGTGAGGTATCATTGTGTCGGGCCATTGGGAGGACATTGAGGTTTGCCGGACTGGCTGGAAATTGCCGTAGGGTCCATGTTGAGGTTGTGCGTTCATACCATATGGCTGAGAGCCAGGCTGTGGTGAAGCTGCATGTTGGGATTGAGGGGCATTGTTGTTGTTGGGTCGTGGAATACGTGTTGAAGCGGTGGATTGCGGGTTGCCATCCTGGATGCCTCCCCTCGATGCGAATGTCTCCGAGGCACTATAAGTATTGGCCGCTGTACGCCATTTGGAAAGGTAGGACATGGTGTACGTGTTGTGGTGGGGAACCGGTCAGAATGTGGTGGCTTAGACTCGTCGTGATTCGAACTTGGGACCTAGTCAAGCTGGGTAACGTCTGCCGCGGCGAGGCTGGATTGGTAGGCGCAGTAGAGAACAAGATCATATGGTGGATTAGTCTTGATAAGTATGCTGTTGCCGGTGATGAAGGACTCGGAGCTAGACAATTCGCTGCCTCATTCGGGCCAGAAGGCAACAAGGCAATTTGGGCATCATGCGCGCCACTTCTTTAACCTTTGAGAGTAATGAGGCTCTGCACGAATGGTGTCTAGCGGCTTATCCAGGGTGACATGAGGACTGCACGACTCGACCAGTGGCCATAGCCGCTGGTGTATGCAACAGCATGAAGAGCGCATGACCCCGCTCTAGTTGCCATACGCCAGACAACCAAGGTCAGCCATGCTCACTGCCGCTCATAGCGTGTCCATTGTGGCTTGCGTAGGTCCAATGACAGTTGCAGGCGTCAGGCTGAGAATCCAGGTTTATCCGGCGCCAAGCTCAGCCTGGTCATGATAGCCTGTTGAATCCAGACAAATAATTGATGCGTCGCTGTGCAAGAGCGGACGATGTCAGAACTTCATCCAGAATGGGCCAGGACTCTTTTGAAATGCTCCCAGGTCCAGTGACGAATCCAAATGCACGGATGCCGACCAATGGCAGCTCTGCACACCTCCCCACGCCCCCCGCCTCGCCGCCCATCGGTGCATACTCAGCCGATGAGAAGACCAAACAAAACAAAGCCTGGAAGTATGAAGGCTACAGTGGATTCAGTGAGTGGATGGCCTCGGATGACGACTTCTTCATTGTTCGACGCTTCGGGACCATCAACGCTCGAGTGATTCTATGGATGCAAAACCAGATCGTGGAGAAGGAGAGAAAGCTAGCGGAGCTGCATAAACGCATGGAGGACAGATCCGAGACGTCGCCAGATGGCGAAGGGATGAATGACAGCTTCGACTGGGACATAAAAAATCTGCCTGAGAGGCACGATCTGATGCGCGGTTTATCTGATCAATTGCTACAATATAGTCAGTGACCATAGAAGCATGCATACAGAGGCTAACCGTTACTAGACAGCTACATCAACGCTTTCTCCAAAGTTCGCGCTCGCCCAGCTGCTGAAGCACGGCAAGTCCGCAATCTCCAGAACTGGTCGCTCGATGCTGAGGGCTTAGATCGAGAAGTAATAGATCTGAGAGAGTTGGAGTTCGCCAAACATAGGCACGACCTGATATCAATCAGCTCACGTGAGCGTCCCCCGTTGGGCGAGTGGCTCGAGTCATGCCAGAAGCTGCAACTTTCCAAGGTCTTTCGTGAGAAAGCCCAGAATGGAAAACACGTAGTGTCCGCAGCTACGCAATACACTAGCAATGCGAGATTTGAGTTGCTCACGAAAGGACTCATCATCACTGGAGGGCTAGTGATGTTGCTGGCACCTATCTGGTGGCTTGCATTCGTCTCGGACACCAAAAAGCGGTTGGGTATTATCACTGCCTTCGTGTGCATCTTTATATCAGTAATGGCCACGGCGACCAATAAACCCTTCGAGGCTGTCGCAGCGACGGCTGCGTATGCTGCAGTGTTGATGGTGTTCATGCAGGTAGAACCAAAGGGGTAGCGCATCCGGGTTTGTAAGTTGTAGTTGTACAATAGAGTTGCATCGTCGTTCGACTGGGTGGAGTCCTAACATGTTAACATGAGGGCACCTTACATGGGATGTCCGCTCCCACTCGGCTGCAGAACTACCACTGTGACTCTAAGGAGCGATACTCAAAGGTTGAGAGAAAGAGAAAAGCTGGACAAAAAAGTAGGTGGCCTATGATATCGTAATTTGTGGGTGTTCGTGCTCTCGTCATCTCTGCTTGCGCGTATGTGTGCTGTCTTAGGTATCTTCGAAACTTCCTGTCCTAGTATGGGGTACGAAGTCAATCTTCCGCATGCAAGTCCTTCCTGGTTTCGCTGTGATGCGCCTTACTGCGGCTTCGTGCAGCGTGATGGCCATAACTTCATCTCTTGTTATGTCGGATTGCTACCAGCCTAGCGCTCATTTCGCCTTGTTCTTCGCCGCCTCGGTCTCTCTCCGTGTCGCGTCCTCGAGGAGTGCGGTATCGACGGCGCCCGATGGCAGGTGTACGTATCTCACGACAGATCCACGGATGAACATGTCTTTTGTCGAGCACTGCCAGTCGTTAGACCATGATCCACCATTCTCTTTTTCCTGCACAATTTCATCTCCTTCCGTGTTTTCTCGATTTCATCCACGAATGCCCAACGCGCCAGATTAAGCGTGCATTTTCGGCATTTATACTCCTTTCCGTCTTTTACTTCCGTTTCCCTATTGATCTTCCTCCATATCGATGTAGAGAAGCGAGACATACTAAATGCGGCCACCGAACCTCATCCACAGCCTCAGCATTATCCAACTTAATATTCAGGTACTGATCGACGCTCTTGAGTGTCCCGCGGATCTGGACTTCGTTCTTGAGCTCTACGGTGATTTCGTGCTCGACGAGAGTCTTGAAGAAACTGTCCCTCTATCAGTACACGATACATGGAGAAGAATATGATAAGGTGGGTGCGGTGCTGGAGTATTGGTGATGTTTGCAGAGGTATTGTGAGTGAATGTAAGGGTTTGCGCACCTGAAGAAAAGCATCTTGATGGTTGTGAGTGTGTAGAACTGATTGGGGGTAGCTTCTGAGAAGAAGAAGCGTGCAAGGGTGTGTTGTCACGATTGCGATTCGCAGTGTTGTCGGCGGCGCGAAAGATGATGCAGTGAGGTTGAGCACTGGCCGCGTGGGGTTCGCGCCGCCGCAGATCCGCCGAAGGTCACGTGTGGGTACCTTCACCACTTCATCGATGAAATATACAGGCGCAGAGAAGAAGGTTTGGCAGTAATTTGCACTCAAAATAGAGAGACTAAGTAATGATGTGATCGACACATATGTTCTTATACAACAAAAGAAATTCGCTGCGTGGTATCAATCCCATCATGACCTATTCGTACCATGTCCTAACAAAAATCCAAACACCGATCCTTCCCTGACCAAGTCATCAATCTACAATTACTTCCTGGCCCAACCAGTCAGCGACCTCCATGCAGACCCCTCCTTGGCGCCCTCCTCAAGAACCTGCACAACACCCTCTAACAACCTCTCCTCCTCCTTACCCATCTCCATCTGCAACCTCAACATCCACCTTTCCCAAGCCCACGAGCCAACAAGGCCAGTCAACATCGCAGCATCGCTCGTTGAGCCAAACACCGGCGCATCCTGCATCTCAACCTCACCACTTTCACCAATGCGCTTCTCCTGCGTGCCAACCTTGGCACCAACATTGAGCTCCTCCTTCCAGTTCGCCGCAGTCTGACCCATAGGCAGTACCATCCACGCGCGCTGCACTTCTCTAAAGCCAGCCTTTGAGATACGAGGCAGGAAGGTCTTGCTAGCCTGGGCATCATACCCGCGGGTCTTGAGGTTGAAAGCGAACTCAACGCCCATAGCCTGTGCGTTGCGACCAGCGTGCATCAGCTCTGCGTCGAGCAGAGAGAACTCCAGGATGCCGCCGGGCTTGAGGCAGCGGTGCAGCTCTTTGAGGCAGAGGTCGTACTCATCGGAGGAGCGGCCGGTGGGCTTATTGGTCTTGAGGAGCTCGTACAGGGTGCGGGCGGAGATAACGTCGAAGTGCGCGTTGGGGAAGGGTAGGGTCCAGAGGTTGGGAACGCTGGTGTACTTGTGGTTGTTGGGACCGACGATATTAGGGGAGAGATTGTTGCCGGCGGTGTTGACAGTGACCACGGACGCATAGGGGTAGTCGTACGCGACATTCCAGGCCCATTCGTTGGTAGCAATGCCGCCAACGTCGAGGATGCGGGGAGAAGTTGCTCGGGTAATGCACCGCGCAGCGGGCTTACTGAGCAGCTTTCCACCGTTGAGTTGCTTCTGTGCCTGCATGACCCATTGACCAGGAAGCATCTGATCGAGCGCCTGACGCTCGGTCTGAGCACGGGCGATCCTTTCCTTGAGGGCGGTTGGGTCATTGACGTAGAACTCAGAGACAGGGCGAGCGGGCGCTGGGCGCTCTGGCTCGTTGAGTTCGTACTTGCCCATAAGCTGATCGCGGTGAGCGACAGGGTTGCAGCGGCGATGAAGATGCATAGCCTCAGCGCGAGTCTGACGGTGGATGAAGGTGTCCTTCTTCTCGCACCTGGAGCGGATGTACTCAAGACCCTGGACGTAGGTTTGGATCTTCTTTGGCTCCTCATTCTCCTCCTCAGCAGTCTGGGCAGGCTCTTCAGCGAAGGTGACGGACTTCTTCGGTGCAGGCTGGTCGAGTGAGTTGCCACGGCTGTGAGTGCCGCTGGACAGACTTGGGGACCCCATGTCGCTCATGCTGCGAAGAGCAGATGCAAGCTCGTCCTGCTCCTCGAGCCATCGACCAGTCATCTCAAGGTTGACAGAAGACAACTTCTGCAACTCAGCATTGTAGTTCTCATTGTACTGGAAGATAGTCTTGCTGGGGTTGATCTCCTTGACTTCGACGTTCTCCTCGACTGGACTGAAGATTGTTGGGCGAGCTGCGGCCATGACCTCGTCCAATCCGTCGAGAGTTTCGCCACTGAGAGTAAGTGGGCGCTCCGGCAGAGCTGGCATAGGCTCAGCCTTTTGGTTCTCCCATGGCAGGCTGTAGAACTTCTCGGCGGTGGAAGTGTTGGGGATCGACTCCTGGCGCGCTGAGATGCTCCAGGTGGCGCCAGCGCCAGATTGAAGGGAGGAGAAGAAGCCCCCCGGTGATGGAACGGAGATCGCAGAAATCGGGGTATCATCATCGGACTCGTTCTGGTACTCGGTCGAGGGGATGGACAAGCCCAGAGAAGGGCGCGAAACCTGCTGCATTTCCATCTCTCCTCTTGGCTCCGCAGGTGGCGTTTCCTTATCGTCTTCCTCCTCAACCGCGGATTCTCCAAGGTGCTGGAGAGTATGCATAGCCTGAAAATCCAGCTGCACGGGCGCCCAAGAACCCTCAGTTGAGAACGAGTCACGCCTTGAGCGCATATCAGGGGTAGCTGGACAACTCAACTTGTCCAACTCTTCTGATGTCAAACTCCCATCCAGAGATGGCGCTGCTGAGTGCTCTGGGACGTGCAGATTGTGCGAGTTGATCATCTCCAAGACATGGCGCGAGGGTGTGAGAAGAGCGGAAGGCGTCATCGGGACTGCCGAGGTTGCGCTCTTCAGCTTTTCGATTGTCGGCCATGCGGTTGGCGAGGGGATGATGAGCGATGGGAATCGTACTCGACGGTTTGGACCCGAGACCTTCTTGACTGATGCGGAGGCGTGAAGGGGAACTTCGGCCTCATCATCCGTGACGTCGTACAAGGAATCGAAGTCGCTGTCGGCACGACTCACACGGTTAATCTTGGGGTATGTACTCGACTTGGGTGGGAATGGGAATCGAGGAGAAGGCTGTGGTGTGATGTCGAACAGCCGTGCCTTAGGTGTGGGAAAGTCGTCTTCGCTGCGAGGAGACATAGCACTGTCGGCTGTAAAGTAATACTCGTCAAGGGAGCCACGGGCGCCAGCCTGGTATACTGAAGGTGCAAGTGTCTGAGGCATGTTGATACTTGTTAGGGTATATTATGTGAGTGTTATCCGGAGTTGGCAAAGTGCTGGAAGCGTTCGAAGACGAAAGTTGAGCAGAAGGAATATTAAGTCGGGCAATAACCCTAGACTACGCTGGTCAACAGCTAATTTGCAAAAACAGAAACAACGGAAATGCTTCGATCAACGAAGACTTGAAATGAGAGAAGACTCAAAAGGGCGAAGTGAATGGCAGTGGCAGCAAGATTCGCGTGAGCGCCAACGGGAGGAGGTTATATCAAGCGTAGACGCCTCGCTGTCGACTAACTTGACCCAGTGCTACCGTAGCTCCCGAGGCTGCACTGCCAACTCTTCGTACAGTGGACAGAAGAGCCTGATTAGGCCTAAGTGGGCAGTGTGCAGCGGCTCAAAGTTGGTCACGACATTGGGACCGCCTTTCCGACATGGTGGTTGGCCAGGCCGAGTACATGGCTAGGTGAGGCTATGCGGAAACGGGCGTCGTGCGCGATGCACTGCGTGGGATGGTTGGGTGTTCACTGTGTAAGCGCCCGGCTGCTCTATTTGTAGCGCTTGCGTATTGGCATTGCAGCCAATGGCATACCTCAACCACGTTCTACAGCATGCCTACCCAATAGCGCGTCGTTCAAACAGAAACCATTGAAAAGTTCCTGGATCTGTTCAGCACGTGTTGTTTCGATGTTTTCAGACTTTGGCTAAGGCAATGGCGGTCCGTTGCCGAAGCATGTCATGCCACGCGCGATGAGTACTTCGAAAATGTTGATAGCGCAAATGCGAAGACTGTAGCGCAACAGTCAGGTCGAGGGCATTAACACTGGCACAGAGGGTAGTTTCATTGAAACGAGCACGGCAGATAGCGTGAATCGAAACAGTTGGTGGATGAATGAGGAAGCAACGAGCAGTTCGCATGAACAACAGCTGAGCGAGACGCCTGATTCTTGCCCCACCGATGGGCCCCACATGGCTTGGCATCGTCACAGGGCAAGCACTGTCAACACCAAGCAGTCATCGTGAATTTTGGTCACATCAGCAATCTCCACTGCACACCTCAGCACATCCATTGGCGCCCCCAGACACTACCTTCACCGCCACAGACTATCTTTGTATCCGTGACAGAGCCGCCCAGTATGTCACCGCCTGCAATCATCGCGCCTTCAATTCTGTCGGCAGACTTCGGAGCGCTGGGCAAGGCATGCTCAGATACCATCTCTCAGGGTGCCGACTGGCTTCATGTATGCCCTCAATGAACCGATCAATACACGTGACGCAACTGATGCGCTCAGGTCGACATCATGGACGGTCACTTTGTGCCTAACATGACCTTCGGCGCCCCGGTTGTTACCAAGATTCGCTCCCACGTCGACCGCCCCACCATCGCACATGGAAAGGGAACATTTGATTGTCACATGATGATCGCAGAGCCCAAGAAGTGGGTTCGCGAGTTCAAGAAGGCAGGATGTGATTTGTACTGCTTCCACTACGAAGCTGCTGTATCTTCCACCGCTGCCGACGAGCCTTCTGCAACTTCGGACAAGAAGACGTCGCCTAAAGAGTTGATTAAGTTCATCCACAGCGAAGGCATGCAGGCTGGTATTGCTATCAAGCCAAGCACAAAGGTCGATGTGCTATGGGACATCCTTGAGAACTCGAACAAGGATGAGGTACCTGATGTGAGTACTTCCCAATCTCTTGGCATAAACCGTCTGTCGTTGTCGAAAGGCGTCGGGAACCCCGGCCTGGGTGCAGCAGCCTCGTTTCGCTGTGGTCGAGATGGCTACACTGTAGGGCTGTGCTCGTGGGCGGCTCGCTGTGGCGGCGCTTAAGCATGCGAACCCCATATCCAGTGGCGTCTTACCTTCGACCGCCTTTCGAGAACACTGCCTCAAATCTGGCTCTCGTCGCGCTATTTATTGGTGTCCTCTTCGGGTTAATATCGTAGCGCTATTCCACATGCACCCGCCCAAGCCCGTGTTGCCGTGCGGCAGGATCAATGGTCATTGTCGGAGTGCTCGCTAAGGGCATCTAAGTGCAGTGCTTCTTGCTAACATATCTTTAGATGGTTCTCATCATGACTGTCGAGCCGGGCTTTGGTGGTCAGTCATTCATGGCTTCTGAACTTCCGAAGGTGACCGCCCTGCGCCAGAAGTACCCTGACCTTCACATCGAGGTTGACGGTGGTCTCTCTGAAAAGACGATCGACCAAGCCGCCGATGCTGGCGCTAACGTAATTGTTGCCGGAAGCGCTGTCTTTGGAGCAGTTGATCCAGGCGACGTGATCAAGAAGCTTCGCGAGGCTGTCGAGGCAAGGAGAGGCAAGTTGTGAGTGTCTTGCAGGTGAGAGTGCGCACTTATGATGATGAGACGATGACAATGATAGCATATGCAAACAACAGTGTACGCGAACTTACGACTCAAGGATAGACAAAATGCACATGCGGTTCACCTCATCTCCACGATCATCCAGGTTCCACAGAGATGGCAATATTTACAGCATCCATGCTCATCACTGCTCGATGCAGCGATGACGCGGCCATGGCAGGGCATGCCTCTTCTTCTTGATGCATTGCAGCTACTCGTTCGCGAACACCAAGTGAGCGCCGCCACGAAAGCAGTGGGCTGTCCTTATTGAGGTTGCGAGCGAAAAAGTCCAGAATCAATCTACTGAACACATTCCCATACTCGATGATGACCTATCTGGAGCCATGCCGATATTGCTTCAATGAGGACACCCGAACCTTGCTTCCATGGTTGTTGCCCGAGTAGCGTTGATCTTTACAGCAAGACTCCTTGATGAGCCCACAGCCAAGACGGAACATGTCCCCCGCCTCCTGTGAAGAGCTTGTGCACCACTGGGGAAAAGAGGTCGATGGTGTTCTCGAGTGCCGCGCGTTCACGGCTGATGGTGGAGATGAGTTCGGCATTCCCCGTAAGATCCTGACAACGCGACATGCGGTGAATTGATGCGGCGCTGTGTGCAGCTTTACTCATGAGCAACCCTTGCGATATGTCAGGTCGCAATCTATGGCAGGACCATTGCATGTGGCTATTTGGCGCTTGTCGAATTCACTACAATCCGGAATTACATTGAGAACACCTCATTCAAGTCCTGGACGGCTTTTGGGTTTTGTAACACCCGATTTCCACACGCCTCGCAATCAATGTCGCTGTTGCTCAGTGGTGCAATCAATAAATATCCGGAGACGAAGCTGTGTGACGGCTGTGACTCCCCTGAGTGGAAAAGTTGTGCCTCAAGTGAGGATCAGAAGAGGAATACAACGAAGGGACAAGCATCAGCTCAAGCTGCGACAAGCTCTCCGCCTGTATGCCGACGGAGCCAAGCTTTGACTGGTCCTACGTCGCGGCGGCTCCTCCTGTGAGACACGTCTACTCAATGCTTTCTAGGGGTTACACCACATTCCATCATCAAGCCACGAACGCTTCTCATGCGTCTACTCAAAAGGAGTCAAGCTCGCAGAACCTTAGCTCTAGTTGAGGCATGGTCTCCATTATCGCTGTGGGCGTAGTTCATGGTCTGACAGCGTTGGAGTCAGCACAACACGTAAGCTGCGGGTATAGCCGGTTTCAGAACCTCGATGTCGACATTGTAAAACAAGAAACACAGCTAACCAATCCAGACCACACCCTCGACAGATCGATGGATGTTGAAACATTGCGAGACACTGGTTCGCGGAAACGCACTGTCGTTGCGCCCGTCAACAAGTGCCAGATTGATGACAGGTCCCGGAATTTTCACACTGCACGGCTTGCAGCCCGCTTTAGTGTTCAGTGCTTGTTTGCCGCGTAATTGTTTCACCAGGGCGACGTCAAGTCGTGCAGCTGTATAGCATCGAGGTTTGTATAAATGGTTTGAAGAGTGCAGCTCAAGTCATCATCCACCAACCTTCACTTCTTCACTCCAATCCTTCAACTCTTCGCTTCCCTTCCACAGCACTGTGTGCTTTCAGTCACTTCAAACAGCACCGCGTGCGTTCGTTACAAAGCCGATTTCCAACTTTCACTTGAGCATCTTCAGTCACTTCAACAACAACAAGTCATCATGGTTGCCTTCTCTCGCATCACCTTCGCTCTCGCCGTTGCCGGCTTGAGCTCCGCTCAGTCTTTCTCTGGACCGGCTCCCTCTGGTTTGCCCTCCGACTTTCCTACCGGTGTCTTCCCATCAGGTGCTGCTCGCCCTACCGGAGGAGTTGGCGGCCCAGGTGGCAACGAGGGTGGCCAAGGTCACGGTGGAGACCAGAGTGGTTTCGCTCACCCCACTGGCGGCCCTCACTCCGGTGGTCCCAGGCCCTCAGGCACCGGTGTCTTTGGTGCTCAGCGCGTTCAGCAGAGCGGCGAGGCTCCTTTCCCTAGCGGCGGCGACTTCTCTGCATTCCCCAGCGGTGCTGCTAAGCCATCTGGACACCACGGCAAGGGCGGCAAGGGCGGCAAGGGCGGCAACCGCAGCGGTCAGCCCAGCGGCGCTGCTCCCACAGCCTTCCCCTCTGCTGTGTCCGGCCTTGAGCGCCGCCAGCAGCCATCTGGCACCCCCGTCTTCTCTGGCAGCTTCCCTGCCGAGTCTGGCTTCCCTGCTCCTTCAGGTGGTTTCCCATCAGGGGGCTTCCCTGCTCCTTCAGGTGGTTTCCCATCAGGTGGCTTCCCTGCTCCTTCAGGTGGTTTCCCATCAGGTGGCTTCCCTGCTCCTTCAGGTGGTTTCCCATCAGGTGGTTTCCCTGAGAGCGGCGCTCCGTTCCCTACCGGTGCGGACTTCTCCGCCTTCCCCAGCGGCGTAGCCAAGGCTTCCGGTCACCACGGTCACGGTGGTAAGGGCGGAAAGGGTGGAAAGCACAGCGGACAGGCTCCTAGCGGAGCTGCTCCCACAGCTGCTCCGTCAGCTGCCTCTGGCCTTGAGCGCCGCCAGGAGCAATCTGGCACACCTCCAGCTTTCTCTGGCTCGTTCTCCGGCCCTGCGCCTTCAGGACCTAAGCCAACTGGTGCCATCCCCAGCGGTGTCGCTCCTCCCAACGGTGCCCGCCCTTCCGGTCACCCAAGCGGCCCCAAGCCCAGCGGAACACCTCCCGCTGGTCCTTCCGGTGTTGAGAACAACGTCGCTGCTGCCGCTGCCAAGTCTGGCTCATCTGAGAAGCCCACTGGTGTCAAGCCTACCGGTGCCCGCCCTACCGGTGCCAAACCCTCCGGCAAACCTACTGGCGCCCGTCCTTCCGGTCCTCCTCCCTCCGGTGCACCGTCGGCTGTTTCCTCTGGTCTGAGGCGTCGCGCCCAGCGCTCTGGATCCATCAAGCCCTCCGGTACTCCTCCCGCTAAGCCTACCGGTGTCAAGCCCTCCGGTACTCCTCCCGCTAAGCCTACCGGTGTCCGCCCCTCCGGCACTCCCTCTGGCTCGCCTCCTTCCGGTACTCCCGCTGCCAAGGTCAACGCCGCTGCTCAGTCCGGCGCTCCTACTGGCGCTCAGCCCACTGGCGCCAAACCCTCCGGCAAGCCTACTGGCGCTCGTCCTACTGGACCTCCTCCCTCCGGTAAGCCCAGCGGCCCTGCGCCCACTGGCTTCGTTACCTCTACCGTCCGTGGCGCATAGATAACCGTTCGAGCTTTTGGCATTGGCGATACAATAGTCGTTGACTACAGCTGAGGTATGCCACGGTGGCAAGGTGCGAAAAGGTGGATTTTATGAACAAAGCAATAAGCTGAAGGTTCTTGTACAATTTTTTGATTCTCATTTCGCGATATACCGACTGTTACACTCCTTGATCGCGCTGGTTGCACTGGGGATGCTTTGTAGATTAGAGGAAATTTGATTCCATTCGCTTCTTACTTTCTCGGGAGTTTTCTCCTATTCCACTTCAGTGATATATATCATCCTTGTAAGTATAGCTAGGCATCGGCTATAAGGAAGGTGTATAATTGCGTAAGTGAAGGTAAAAAGAAGGTGTGGTCGCACAACTGACAAGACCTAGGACAAGCCGAATGTGGCCCCCACAAGGTTCTAGCGCCGCCACTAAGCTCCTTCGTATTTAGCCACAGACCGATTCTTCTCTTCTACAACAACTCACGACTTTGCTCTCCCCGAACTTGCTTTGCTCTTCACAACATGGCGGCAAGTATGGACATTGTGCCGCGTAACCAGAAGATCACTCTCGCCCAAATACGGAGTCTGCTGCTTTGTTGCATGTTTGACATAGTTGGCGTAGAAGTTGATGTTGCTGAGAGACTGTTAGATGTCAACAGTGATTTCATGCGTGTGAATATTATGTGTACCTCAAACTCAGCGCCTCTGAGCTTGCCATCGACATGCGCGGACAGCTCCTGGACACCGGCGAAGCCGAGTTTGTGGAGTTCTCTATGCACGATAAAGTCTGGCGTGTCATTTTATGTTGAGCAAGGGCGCAAAAGCATGTGGGTGCGTGGTCGATCAAAAATCTGCTGAGTAAGACTCTGGTGCAGGTGCGTGGTCTGTTCAAGGAGGAAGTCACCGATAAGAATGAAAAGGCGGTCCATCAAGAAGCCTTGGCCGAGCAGGAAACTTTGGTGAAGAGAAAGATCCCAGAGAAGACGGTCATTATGAGGAAGAAGGAGGTTGTAACAAGGAGGAAGGCCGCGATCGTAGAGCACACCCTGACAGAGGGGGTACGCGCAGCTCAGAAGAAGCCTGTAGAGAAGAAGCGTGCTGCTGCCAGAGCGAGCGTGAAAGGGGGTAAGGTGTAGACACTAGCGAAGAACGTTATCATTGCTGACGGGGTATCCGAGTGCAAATTCGTCTCAAAAAAAAAAGCTTTCAGGCACGGAAATGCGCGTCATGTGGGAGAATATCAAAGCAGTCATGCAGCCAAACATCAACTCATCTATGCTAGCTCTTTATAACTCCTCCCTGGGATCCCATCTGTTACCAAATGCTGCTTTCTCCACTCATCTGCGCCCTCGCGGCAGCAGTAGGTATTTAGTGATCCGAAAAACACATTGTCGCCAACATCATCTGGTATTGAAGCTCAAAAGTCACTAGAGCTTGATTTAAGTACAAAAGTCATTTATGATGACGTGGCGCGTGCTGCTGAAAATATGTAGTCGTAGTATCTAAGGTTCTGACAGTTCTCAGATTACTTGGAGGCTTCCGTAAAACAGCGTGATAACGAACGAGGTGAGTAACGAGAATCGAAGTAAGCAATCAGGACTGTGCAATCTCAAAGGTCCTTGCGGTTTTACTCATGCACAGCATCGATAGCGAGTCCTGATCTGCCAGTTAGCTAGAAATACACAAACAATGATTATGACCAAGGCCACCTCGTGCTGGAGGTAATCAGCGGAACCCTTGTTATGTATCGGTTAATCTCAATCCAACCAAAGCCAACAATACTCTCAAGAAATGTAAAGAGATGCTGGAAGCCGTTTCCGACAGTGCTCAGTTGACAGTGCGAAAATGATCAATCAAGAATGCCCTGGGTTGAAGAGATAATACACCATATGCAACACGCTCGTTTTACTAGCTCTTGAAATTCCAAATCCGCGTCGTAGTCCTTTACGATCGTGAGTACGTTGTTTTATCCTGGAGGCATTTGGCGGACATGACGGTAAGCAGAGTAATGGCTAAAGTATATTGGAAGTAGCAACCCCCACAATAGGTGCCAGTATGTCGTTCAAAATTGTTTGTATACAACAGTGGCTGTGTCTGATCGCAAAGTTGCCAGGCGTCACGACCCAAGGGATGCATGTTAAGTTGCATGTTTGATATCGATGGTTTTGACGTACAGCATCCTTTCTTGGGAGGTTATCGACAGTACTTCCCAGACAACTTACCCGGTTGTCGGTTCTCAGAAAGTCCTCGTTGTCAGGGAGTCTGCGCAGTAATATCTTGTGCGCCAACGTGCAGACTCTGGTAAACCGGACACGAATTCGCAGTCGAACAGCCATATCTGGTCTAGACACGCTCGAACAACACTACTGAGAAACTCCCACTGCTTTCGCCATGGAATACTTGGCGGGTGGTGGTCGAAGCTGACTGAAAGCATAAGAGAGATGAGGCTTGCGGTACTATCAAAAACCTTCCTCTGCCATGTGCCCGCAAAGCGGCTGCACCACGCAAAGCTTCACCTTAGCGCCTTTCTGGTTTCAACTCTCACTTTGCGTTCAGAGCTTGGGGAAATAAGCTCACTGGCTGTGGTAGGACCGATCTCATCGACAGGCAGAGGTCGCCCCATGTTATCCATGACGGTTGGTATAAGCTCTTGCTCGAGAGAAAAGACCAGTGGGCCGGGTGCGTAGTCGGACTTTATGTCGACCTCGTCCGATCACAAGAGTTTTGTAGAAACAGGAAAGGTGCTACTGCGCAGTATCCTTTTGTCGGATTGAGCGATCGGCACTGCTTGAGATTGCGACAGTTACAGCTGCGAGTCTTATGGGAAAGCATCAATCATAGGGTGCATTGGTCCAGGCTAACAAGCCGCGCATGCGCAAGGAACTCTGCCACTATCTTGACATCACCTAGTTGCAAGCTACTGGCCCCGGACTCTGGCAACGTTCCCGATCAGCTCTGCGATGAGCTGCTGGAACGAGTGGCGAATAGCTGACAGAGAAGCTGTACGCGTGTATATGTGCAGAGCACGGTTTCCGCGATGATGTTATGTGACAAGCGGTGATTTGTGAACCAGGTAGCTGGCGTGACAAACGAGGCAGGCGCGCGCTGCCAGTAGCGGTGCGCACGGTAGACCGGGCACCCCTCGCATGCACACTTGGCCTTGAGCAGCACCTTGGCCTTTGTGCAGCTGAATAGAGCCGCTGCATGTCTAAAGCGAGCGGCGAGTGGGCCGACAGACAGATCGAAAGGCTCTCCCCTTGACGAATGTGTTCATTTCACCAGAATAACTTTGTTCCACGGATGACGATGATTCCACCCAGGTCGCCATATCGCAATGCGATCAAGATTCCATGCACTCAACTCCTCAATCAATCGCCACCAGCCATGAAATTATCCCGTTCAAACCACATTTTCTGTGATGAATCGACAGCCCATTGTTGATGAATCCGTCTGCCAGTTGGGCTACAATTTGCGTGAACCTTGGAAGGGTCGCTGCTAGTAGTTAAAGCAAACCAAGACTAGTGTCAGATAGAGGTTGACCCGTTCTGGATCCTTCAGGCATTAACCTATTTCAGTCATGTCCAAACTCGAGCAGCAACGAACGCGATGCAACATCGTCGACATTGAGAGAGACGCAACAAGCTGATGTGACTTTTGGTAGGATTCTATCTATGGCGCGAGGGGCGCGCTATGGGTGCGAGGGGAGCTGTCAGCCTTGCATCCCCGCATCCGAAGTCCGAAGCAATCTGGCCAATGATGAGTTGAGGAAGTGAGAATACCCGCATTTCGAAGCCCTGCATTCGCATGTCTTACTGATGGTAAGCTAACGGAACTCTCTCTTATATGTCGAAGGGTTCTCATCTAAGCTTCGTCGCTCCTACAACCCTCTCGTCGAAACCTACCAAAAATGGCCACCCAAGCTCGCAACTTCTTCCAACGCTTTCCGCCGGCAGAGTGCCTTGCGTTATTCATCGCAACCCTTGAGCTCGTGCCTTTCGGTATCGCAGGTCTGAGCAACCCGTCCACATTTGCCGATGGCTATGGCCTGCCTATACAGACAAGTTCGGGTACATCATCAGGTTCGACCAAGCGAAGCGCCGACGGCCTTTTCACGGAATCAGCAACAGAGTCTTCATCAACATCATCACGCTCCTTTGAAGAAGACCAGAAGACCAAGAAGGCATTGGTAGCCGCTATTGCGGCGCGCAATATACAGAACGGCGTCTTGCTCTTCACCTTTGGTCTGATATTGAGGGATCGAAGAAGTCTAGGAGTGGCAGTTGCGGCGGGCCTGGTCGCCACTCTTGCTGACACAGTAATCGTTAATGCCTATGGTGCAAAAGATAAAGTCGCTGGTCATTACGTCGGTATCTTCAATAGCTTGGCAATCGGTGGTAGCTTGTTGTACTGGGGACGCAACGACCCATTGTGGTAAGCGGCGGCATCACAATGGACATCTGCAAGAGAAGCTGGGGGGTATCTCATCGAGAGGATCATTCAACTGCAATACGTTTCCTGAGAAAACGAACCCGGAAACTCGGAGAGACAGAATCTTAACTTTCCAAGATGTCAATACAGGTATCAGTTCTGAATCGGGACTGGCGTTGCACAGCCACATATGGGATCCGATGTAAGGCAACAATCTACTTTTCACGCAAAACGCATCACCTTCAACAGTACATGATTTCTTGATCTCCTCTACTTTACCCAGGTGGCAATCAATATGTCTTGCAAACACACTTACTTGCGCTTGAACCTTTTACCATTCGCGGAATTGGCGGGGTTCGAGCAATCCGATGCGCACATGCGCACAGCAGCGGAAACAAAACCCGGAACACCTCAGAAAGATGCGACGAGCTGATCAACTACGATATTTCCAGGCCCGTTGGTATTGCCTTACGATGACTTGAATTACGATCCGGACTGTCCTCCACAAAGTTTCAAAGACTGGCTACCCATGAAGTCGCGGAATACGATGACAGACACAAGACGAATTTCTCTCTTTGTCGCCCGTGTACCGCAAGCAAGCAAAGAAATGGACTTCATGCGCGAGTGGATAGTGCCTCATCTGGACGAGGCCCCCACGACCCAGCTATCTAGCCTAGACACTGAGTTGTTTGTTGAATACTTCAGAGCATTTTACCACGGAATGGACCTCCGGATCCTGCCAAATAAATTTTCCTGGACGTCGTGGGACAAATCTATCTACCCAAACCGCCGAGCAAACCTTCCTAAACATGTGGGTCTCACCGACAGCAATCAGTCAACGACACGAATCCGAGTTCGCAGCGTCGCACACAAGTCCATCACTGCCCAACTCAACCTTAATGGCATTCTCGATACCGCAATTTCAATACTGCCTGCTGACGCGTATGCTCTACGCCTGTTAGTAGACCATGACATCTACGAAAACGATGACGATGACTTCTGTTGTGGCGTGCGTATGGAGGAAGCCGCGTTGCTGCGGTTCAAACAGCGCGCTACAACCCGCTACTTGACGTAAGAGAAGAAATCGACCGAGTGCAGATGTGGCCCATGAGTCATTGAAAAGCATATGTGGATCAGTTGTGTGCGGTTGAGGAGGTGGTAGCAAAAGCACCAACGAAGGAGCAAAAGAAGTGGAGCAGGGAAGGCACAATGAAAGCGGCTATTGATGCGGCGAATAAGTATACAGAAAACGGCGATTTCCATGCGATGTGGTTCGCAAGCCTTGCAAAGACAGTGTCGCATGAGCTTGCGCATTGTTTCGGCGTAGCACACTGTGTGTACTATGCTTGTAACATGCAGGGTACCGCAGGTACGAAGGAGGATGCTCACCAGCCTCCATACTTATGTCCGGTGTGTGAAGAGAAGTTTGGCCATGCCATTACGGAAGAGCTGCGCGATGGTCAAAGGGAAGACAAGGACATGTGGGTTCTACAACGGTGTGCCACGCACAGAGAATTCCGTCATAAGCTGAAAACCGAAGGGCTGACGACCGCGATGTGGGTAAGCCTGGATGCGTGGCTTGCAGAGAGACCTGTATAGGCTCTTGATGCGGCTGGCGTGTGGCACCTTTCGGAACTTGACTGAAAGAGACTGGACCCACGGAAACGGTGGTGGGTGCCACCTTAGAGGTTGCCTCGGAAGACGTTGGTTCTTTCAGCTATATGAATGGGACCCTAATGAGCAAGCAATCCTCACGCAGTCCTCCACTTACCTATAGTACTTCCGACTAATCAGTTACCATACACCTGCCACTAGCCACCCGCGGCGCTCGGCTGAGATAGTAGCTTTTCTCGTCCTTACGCAACATCGATCTCGACTTACTCGCCCTGCAAGTCTTGTGTATTAGGCTTACTGCTTGACAACCATTGGAATTGTTAAAAGCAGACATATCTAGCAACTGACCACTATAGTCTTTGGCTCCGTACGCAATATCTACGGTGAACTAAGTCGGTCTTGGTCTGCGGCCATGCTTTCCCAAGATTATCTCCTTCACCTGGTTTCTGCGGCACGTTCCTGCATAGACCGTCCCTCGCTAACGGCTCTCTCACTGTCAATATAACCTCGGAATCCTCTACCGTCAGTAACTCTATCACCGCAAACCTACCACCCGCGACTCGCAGACTTCGCCCGGACATTGCAGGCACACAGAAACCCACCACCGGCCACAATCGGAGCATCTGCAGGCCACCTGCAACTCACCCCGCAAACAAAGGTGCTTTGCGCAAGTGTCTAGAGTAAGATAGCTAATATCCTCACTTCATTACTTCTACTGTTGCTCTGACAACAGACCGCAGGCAGCTGTTGACCACTCGCAACCCGCTGCAGTATCCCATAACCTCTCACGTAGCTAGCTATAACAAGAATCCTCACCTCACGTTACACGAATCCTACCGATAGAGGCGTCTCGAGCGAGACGCCGCCACTGTAACCACAACATGGACGAACCTGACCGCAAGCTCCCCAATGACGCCGGCCCAGTCACCGCTAACGCAGTTGTGGCAGCGTGGTCCGCTGTAGGACACTGATAGCTACGAAAAATGATAATGTAGGACTATTGATTCGATGATACTGCACTAAATTGCTATCTAGCTTGGAGAAGACGACTATATACTGGCACGGGAACGCGCTAGTCCAGAACAGTTTAAGGGTAATCGGGTCTCATACGGACCGATTGATGCCGCAACAGCAGTAGTCGCTTAACCTCATCCACAGAAAGACTTTCCCCTGCAGTTCAGAGAAGATGACCTGTTTGCGCCGATTTTGCGTCAGTCCACAGAGGCAGAAGAAGAGCGAGTTTTCATGATCCAGACAGGTCTCATGTACTTGATGAACCTACTCCTGGACCCCAAAGGCAATGTTAGCTACTCGATCACAACTGAAGCTATTCAGTCTTGGGTCGAATCTCTTCTTGAGACGCGTATTCCTGTGTGGGGTTGGGAATATGAAACTACCGCCGGAGTCTGAGCATTTTGCACCTCATCGGCCTGGATGTTGCTGATAAAGAAGGGCCATTCAAGAATGCAGATCTCTGCGGCTTGATTCTGCTGAAGAAGCGATCGCTACTGTCGAAGCGCCCGATATCTCTTGCGAGGTTCACCGTGGAGTTACCCGAAGAATCTGGAAAGTTGGTTCGACTACCTGCTGAGAACGAGGCCGAGGAGACTATCAACATCCAACCTGCAGATGCGCATGTAGGGCAATCTGCCGCTGTTGAGACAGAGTTTGCTGACACATTCCAGCACGATGAAGCTACCTCTGACGACACCGAGTCTCCTATCTCGATTGCGAGCTTACGAGCGAACGGTGAAGCAGCACGATTGGGCAGGTATCGCGATGTCCCCGGCAGTCCGTATTGGGTCTTTCAGATGGAACAGCAAGGAGAGAGTACCGAACAGGTCAAGTCCTAGCTGAGTAAGTTGAACTGGAATCGCTTCGCGCTCTCACTTGATATTATGGAAGAGGTGGATGCTGCGGTGGCTGGACGCTCGGTTTCGGGGAAGCAATAGCACCGATGCGTCTGCATGGCTGGATCTCACAGTAAGAAACTCGGAACATTCTCCCAAACGCTCACTGATATTGACAGTAAGCAGCCTAAAGATCGAATACACGTTGAAGCCAAGAACGCATACTATGGGCCTGCGAGTTCCACCCAGATAATTTCTCAAGTGCGAGCCTTGATTTCAACACCCCGAATCTGGCGTCCGAACGACGAATATCGTTATTCACAAAGCGTGTGATGATATGGTCGCTTGGAGGCCATCACGAGAACTCGCCGATGTTACGGCGACAAGATATCTTCGGACAGACGTCACGCACTCTTGAGGAGCATACCAGAAGGGTTCACGAAGTAAGGTAGAGAATTACACGTAACGAATTGCATAAAAATGCACTCGTTTGCCCAGGTGGTGTTCGTGGTGAAGCATTAGAAGGAAGAAAGCGCATCCTCACGTGGAGATGCAATCACGGTTCCTTCCGCTTGCAAACTAATCTCGGCTGCAAGCTGACGTCATGGCTCGAAACGCGTGTCAACATCCTGCCCACACCAAGCTTCGTCGCCAACACAACATCCACATACATCAATGCAACACCGCCATTCGTGAGATGATGCCTTCGTTTTCAACATGCATATATTGAAGGCTCGCATGCAGACGCGCCGAACAACCTGAACGCGGTTGCATCTCCATCGGGCTTGTTATTTGCGCTCGATTGCTGTGAAGGAAATGCCAACAAACACCGAGATGTTGACCAGTCAGATTTCCTTCATTCAACTTCCATCCGAGCACCTATGAGATTCGTCACAAATCCCCACGTGCACTCGGTACATGGGCGGCTACCTAACGCGATGGAGAAGGTCAAGACTACAAGAGCCGGACAAACGACCAAGACTGGTTGTGCTCCAAACAAGCCTCCCATGCGCCAGGATGCACACCATCAACGACACAAGGCGCATGATTCAACGTGAGCTTCCCCGCATTCACGATTGGTCGGCTTTGACTTGCTTTTGCAGTCAACTCGTCGGTCAGCACTCTATCGAGGTTGTCAACACCTGAAGGGGCCGGAGTGAGGAACCAGTCAGGAAGACTACGTTCCTGAACGAGCCATATACCGTTATATGCCAAGTTCACAAGGAGATGGCCGTTATCGAAAGAGCGGGGAGACAATCGTGACGGGCATATCCAGGTTTCCGTTGAGTACACAGGGCGAGTATAAATATCAGATCGTCGTGCAAGTAGTCGCTCAGCAGCCAGCAACAGCATCCGCTCACTCCTCGCCTTGAAACGTATCATAGTCCATCACTCGTTGATTAACTTCGCTCAGGATGAAGGTTCAGGCTATTCTCCCATTCACTGCTCTGCTAGGCGCAGCCCTTACTGCTCCAGCACCAGTTGCACAGGAGGAGGGAGTCAGCTTCCCGGTTACCGATGTCATCGACACTGGTCTTACTATTGAGGAGTACGCTGAACAGCTCGAGGCCGGCAATGTGCCTGAGAAGGTTACATTGACCAAGCGCCAATATGGCAGCGACACATACAACCAGCTGACTGACGGCACCGCTTGCCGTGATATTACTGTCATCTATGCCCGCGGTACCACTCAGGACGGCAACACTGGATCTGCTGACAGCGAGGGCCCGACCTTCTTCAACGCTCTTGCTAGCAGTCTGGGTGGAACCAGCCGCCTGGCTATCCAGGGTGTCACTTACCCAGCTGACATCCTCGGCTTCCTTGCCGGAGGTGATGCGAATGGTGCAACCACCATGTTCAACTTGATCAACACAGTATGTCTCGACCTTTCCACAGATTGAACAGCTGCTAATAGACGAACAGGCCATCAGCAAGTGCCCATCGACCAAAATTGTGGTTTCTGGCTACAGCCAGGGCGCTCAACTTGTTCACACTGCCACACAAAGGCTCACAGCTGCTGCTGCTGCTCGCGTCAGCGCCGGTAAGTCACATCTTTCAATTTTGAGGATGTTGATACTGACCCTTTGCAGTCGTCACTTTCGGTGATGCCGACCGCGATGAGTCCTTTGGCAGTGTCGCTGCCTCCAAGGTCCTCATTATCTGCCACGAGGGCGACAACATCTGCGACAACGGCATTATCATCACTCCTCAGCACAGGAACTACGAGATCGATGCTCCTACTGCTGCCGCCTTTGTCGCTAGCAAGGTTGCTTAAGTGGTTTCGGCGAGGAAAACATGACTAGACGCGTACTGTGAGGCTGCGTTGTTGAACCATCACACTTTGAAATTCCAGTCTGAGGGCTACAAGATGCTAGGTGATGATTAATGAAAGTTGAATATATGCATTCTGTTCATGATACAGCTGTCTGACATGCAATTTTTGTAGTTGCACTTAACAGTCTAAATGATCTACAAGTGTCGAGGATACAGAATCCGTGAATTTAGTATAGAAGCATTGAGGTCGTCGAAAGGCTATCATTGTCTGCCTATAGCTGAGTGTGGTCGTGTAGGCATGCAGTGTAATTTTAGACGTGCTGATAGTTGACAGTACATGGCCGAGATCCTGTGTCAGACTGACGGCTGTTGTCAGATTACTTATCTCCTGCCTCGCTTCAAGAATGTCTTCGGTTTTCACCAGTATCCAATACGAGCTATGGGGGTATGGGTGACCAGTTTGACAGCATATCTTGATAATTGTGCGTGTGGGCGCATCCCGTGCAGTGAAAGCAGGCAGTGACAGACGACACATATTGCGCCTTTCCACTGCGTGACATTCTATGAACGCTCGCACATGGGCGCATGCAGAGTTACATAACTCGCCTATTGACACAGTTCACATCGGTATATAGACAAGGAGATCTTCCAAAATCTTCAACAGATTCACGTCGAGGTGGGCGGGCCTGGGATACCTTACCTTGAGAAAACCATCGCATTGGTACCGCGGGTTTCCACGGTGAGTTCGATACTGGGGTTCCCCTGGATTTACCAGTATCTTGTTGTTTCGTTCATTTGTTTTGGTCATCCGATGCTTCTTCCAATGCGATCATGTGCACAGCCTTGCGGCGGTGTGTGCTTGAAGGTCACATTCACTTCGATGTTTGCATGACCACTCGTCACAAACGAGACGCCGTGATGACAACGACAAAGAGTAGCGCTGTGACGAGAGTTCCTTGTTGTACTGTGTCGAAGACTACAAATACTTTTGCTCACACCTTCATATCATCAATCCACTCCTTGTCCTCCCCAAACATTGCCGCATTAACCAGCATCGTTTCGCCCTTCCTGTACTTCTTCACCTGCACGACCTCAAACGCATCTTCCTTCACACCACTGACTTCCTCTAGCCTCTCATCACCCCAGCTCATCTTCACCGCACCCCTACCTTCATGATTATGCTCAAAGCAATGCAGCTTCGGTTGCGCTCTCTTCACAACTTTAGCAAGCTTCTCACAACCACAATGCCTTCCATCACACGCAGTATCGAGCGTATAGTCCGCATACGCTGGGAATGCAGGCGGTCCGTGCAACATGATTATATCGACATCCGCTAGGACCGGGTTAGCGCCTGCGTTGAACCGATCTGCATGGTCCCCATACGTGAACGCATAATCGCCGAACGCTGGCGTGTACAGGCTCGCGTATATCGAGAACGTCCTTCCATCATTGAGCGTAAATGTATGCGTTCCTTCATCCAGGTAAAATACACCTTCACCTTCTCAAATACTTCATGTAAGCGACACACCCTTTGTGATCTTCCAGTGGTTCCTCGATATCATCTCCTACCTCGACATTTTCGCCCACCTACGCTTCGTCGAGCTCGAAGTCGTGGTTTCCAGCGATAACAAGTTTGAGTTCTGCGTCGATTGTACGGATGTTGGACATGGCTTTTTTGAAGGCGGACAGGCCGTCTACTTGCATTAGATCGCCGCAGTGGAGGAGCACATCAACGGTTAGGGCGGGGCGAGAGGGGGTGTAGGGCCAGGGGTGGGAGCCTTCGTGGGTGTTGGAGAGGATGAGGACGCGTGTTACTGATGAGCCAAAGGTGATCAATGCAAAGTGAGCGAATGTGATCGCGAGTTCTGCCGCGCATGAAGCAGCTAATAGGAGAGCGTTTAGAGAAAGAAACAGAAGAACAGCAAGAGATCGCAGCGGTCAAAAGAAGGAAAATACGTAGACAGCTTCAGAAAAGTATTCATACTTGACCTCCACGTCCCAGGCGTTCTGACCTACGGATCAGGTAGTTATTGACCCATCTTTGATCAATCGCTGACCATGGTATAAAAATGACATTGCGATGATAATGCAATGGAGCTACACTTGCCTATGAGTAGGTGTTCTTCCATCAAAGTCAAAGGCGGACTCCAGTTGTTCGAGAGAATTTAGACTCGAAGGGGTACGTATAGGGTACGCGTACCCTATATCTGGGGTAGTCTGTCGTTGCTTGACTGTCGGCATATCGGCGTTTTGCAACCGAAAGCACTTTGGCTCGTCACGTGTTAGCGCGCTTCTCTTGGCGTGTCGGTCGTGACTTCCAATTAAACACAACGATACGAACAATGCCACTTCCTCAATGCCCTAGACAACCCTTACGCCTCATGAGTAATGAACCTCATGTTCAGAAATCCACGGGAGAATCGCGAGCTCTCTGATACCACTCGATTGGCACCATCGACAGGTCGCGCACCCTCGCCACCCCGCTCCTCATCGAGAGTCGCAGCTATGGCCGCCAAAACCATGACGAAGAAGGCCACGCCTAAGACAAAGACAGCTCTTCCGCCGCCAAAGCAGACACAGACTACTTTGGTCTCGAAGGAATGGGGCGGCAAAACGCCAGCCAACAATGGCAAGTACAAGCCCAAACCACAGGGCCCTGCCAACGGCAACATCATGGCTTTTTTCAAGAAGGCAGAAGACATCAACAACCGCATCTTCCTGCAAGAGAGAGGCTCAAATCCCACAATCGAGCTGGAAGGTACAGAGGAGGACGCAGGCTGGAGCGATGAGGTTGCCAGTGGCGTTATGACCTCTACGATCGACGATGAGACACGATACAACGAGAATGGCGGGAGCAACAAGAAGAGGAAGCTTAGCGAAGAACTTGCAGTTCCAGCCTGTTCTCCGCCTCCACCAGAGGCTGTGAATGCTCCTGCTGCTGAAGCCTTGCCGAGCAAAGCGCCAAAGCTACCAAAGCTGCGGACGAAGTCTGGGCCATTCGTGGATGACTCAGATGATGATGAAGAGGACGCAGAGTTGCTCCTCCCAAGACGAGGTACGATTAAGCAGGAGCCATCAGAAGATTCGCCATGTTCTAAACCACTGGAGGACCCATCTCACGCAGATAACGTCGAATCGACAGTCGATCACGCGCCATCCCAGTTGAAGACCGAAGAAACATCACAATTTGGACGCGACGAGTTCGAAGAGGCCGATCTCGAGGATGACGAACTCCTCGAAGGAGAAGAATACGACGAGCGGCGGTGGATGAAAGAGCAGAGGAAGCTAGAGATGGATGCGACAGGTTTCGAGGGCGATCCAGAAGACTTCGACGCCCCCTCGTTGTTCCCCGAAGGATCGATCGACGAGAACCCGAACGATGAAGCGAACGACGCTACCGCACCTACATGTCCATTGTGCAACAGTAGCCTCAAAGGCTTGTCAGAACAAGAGAGCTTGGTGCATGTCAATGCATGTCTGGACGAGAAGCCAATACCACTACCTTTGCCAGTCAAGGTCGAACGAGACAGCACACCTACGCCAGTGACAAATGCTAAAGCGTTCAAGCGGCCAGCAAGGCCGCCAAGAGAGGCGCAGGCGAATCCGTTCCAGCTTGGAGGGAAGAAGGACACAGCATCGACATCGGCATTTTCGAAGCTGATGGCTGGTCACGCTGAAGATGTTGCATGGGCCACTGCGGCGGCCGCCAACAATGCGGCAAGGGGCAAGCCCTCGTTCGAGCGCACATGCCCTTTCTACAAGATCATGCCTGGTTTCTTCATTGCTGTCGATGCGTTCCGCTATGGTGCAGTAAAGGGACAAAACGCCTACTTTCTCAGCCACTTCCATAGCGATCACTACATCGGCCTGACCTCGTCCTGGTCACACGGCCCCATCTATTGCAGCAAGGTTACTGGCAATCTTGTAAGGCAACAGCTGCGCGTCGATCCGAAGTGGGTGGTAGATTTGGACTTCGAGAAGAAGACCGAGATACCTGGGACGGAAGGTGTACATTGCACCATGATCTCAGCCAACCACTGCCCTGGCAGCTCTCTCTTCCTGTTCGAGAAGGAAATCAGCAAAGGTTCAAAGCCCAAGCTCCAACGTGTGCTCCACTGTGGTGACTTCAGAGCATGTCAGATGCACATCGAGCATCCGCTCCTTCGACCAGATGTCATCGACGCAGTCAGTGGCGCGAGCAGACAGCAAAAGCTTGACGTATGCTACCTCGACACAACCTATCTCACACCAAAGTACGCATTCCCGCCCCAGCAACAAGTCATCCAAGCCTGTGCAGACATGTGCGTGTCGCTCAATAAGGTCCGCGCCGACGACACCGACGGCTGGGAGCAAATGAAGCGCGAGCGCGCCGGCGCGGGCATGACGAAATTCGTTCACAAAAACTCCACCGATAACCCCGAAGGACCACCTAGATCACCAGACCGTGGCCGTCTCCTCGTCATCGTAGGAACCTACAGTATCGGTAAAGAGCGCATCTGCGTCGGCATCGCCAAAGCCCTCGGCTCGCTCATCTACGCACCACCTAACAAACAGCGCATATGCTGCGCGCTCGAAGATCCCGAGCTGAACGCACTGCTCACCACCGATCCACGAAAGGGTCAAGTGCACATGACACCTCTTTTCGAGATTCGCGCCGATACGCTCGACGACTACCTCCGCGACTACGCCGATACATTCTCCCGCGCTGTCGGTTTCCGACCCAGCGGCTGGAACTACCGGCCACCGAACTCTCGATTCACCGACTCCCCTCTCGTGTCCACCGTTCTGCACTCGTCGAACTGGAAATCTACATTCAGCATGAAAGACTTGACACCGCAACGCGGCAGCACAAGTCGATCGTCCTGCTTTGGCGTACCGTACTCTGAACATAGCAGCTTCAGGGAGCTGACAATGTTCTGCTGTGCGCTCAACATTGATAAGATCATCCCTACCGTCAATGTCGGGAGTGCGAAGAGCAGGGAGAGGATGAAGGGGTGGTGCGAGAAGTGGGCAGTAGAGAAGAAAAAAAACGGTTTATTCAAGTTGGGCGAGGAGGGCTGGTCTTGATTTAGGCTGTGTGCTACTTGTGATGCCGAGGTTGGAGAAAACAATACACCCAAAGTAGCAGAGAATCCATCATTACGTATGTATGAGCATACAGACGTTTGGGCTGTTTGGTTGTGTGATTATTCAGCTATTTGTTCGTTGGCGAAGCTACTTCAATGTATACAAGAGTCCAGACTACCGAAAGCTCATCACTCGTTGCGTCTGATCGAGGTTGGCGGAATGATGTTTAGGCAGTAAGTCCTCCTTCTCACTCGTTGGGGTAGACGTACTGAGCACGCAGATTCAAACCAGAAGTCAATCCTGACGATCTCGCGGTCCGCGGTGGTTGAGAATGATGGGTTACGTTGTGAAAGAGGAGAGAAACAGCTAGAGGCGAAGATGATAGAGTGTTTTCATATGCCCAGATGTGTGTGGTTCTGCACAGCAAGAGCGAGTGAACCAATCTTGTGGAGACCAAGTCATGGCCGCTCTTTCCAGTGCAGCTCGCTCTTACACAAGTGTAAAGAGGCGGGTAGCGCGATGTGAATGAAGCAGCTGTCCTAGCTTGCCAAGAATCCTCCTTTCACTGCGCACGCAGTGCGGTCCTACGGTACACATACGCAATGCCGCTCACTGTCAATGTCCAACTACAGCATCCCACAACAACCTCGACCACTCGTCAACGACACCATGCCGATCAAAGAGTGAAAACAGCAGTCTTGGACGATCGCTCACTACTTGCTCGCATCGATGTTCTCCATCTTGTACATCACGACCGCTATGCCAGACTGAGAGTTCCACCGTAGACGCGAGTGTGCCGTTTTCGTGGTCGGTGTCCTACTTTACGTGTATTGTAGACACTGCAGACACCTTGATGCCGAAGAGGACTCATAGTTGGCCGCAGTCGATCGTGCACTCAGAGGCACCAGAGCAAATGATGCGTCTGCGCCTGTCCTTGAGCGACGAAAGGGAGCCAACGTCGACAGGCCGCGGAGGGAAAAGAGGCAACTAGCGAAGTTCAAGAGGCAAGCGCAGTTGATTGAAGGGGCATAGAGAATGCGCGAGCGGATCACGAAGAAGTACAAGCCAAAGACAGACGAGATTTTGGGACGCAAGCGGGCAAAGGAGACTCATATTTCGATGGATATGGAGGAGGTGAAGAACATGAAGGATGATGTGGACTAGCGTAGAGTACGGAAGACGGTTGGTCTGCGATACCTGCTCTGTTCATAATAAGGGCCATCACGAATAGTGATGTGTACTGTCGACTGCATGCGCTACTTCCCAGTCGAGCAGCGCCTGACTCAAATTTACACCAGCGTACAACAGCATGAGTCTCTGGATCTGCATATCAACGTACTCGTACCCCACTCACCTGTATGTAGCTGACAGCCCAATGAAGTCCTATCCACCCGGCTTGTGCGGAAGTCGGTCGTCTGCTGTGTGCTTCCGTAGACTCCAAGCGCATGCCCAAATTGGGCAGTGACAACAACGACGTCGATAATTTTCCTCTTCTGCTTCACGATGATTGCCATTTAGGGGAGTTTGCGCGACCTGATCAACCAGAAACAGGCGAAAGGTATCCTTCAGAGTATCTTTTAAGTGCTCATGCGCACGGGAGGTGCCGCAAGGGAGGTGCCGCAAGGGATCTGCGCCGTAAGATCTGCCGGTTCCTATCTATGCTGGGGATTGCTACAAAAAGCAAAGGCAAGATTCCCGACAGCATAGCGTGATAGTCACAGGGCTTGACTTCGTGCGAACATGATCGACATACAAGAGCGTTCTCAACTGCATCGCTGCTGTCAATCAAGCTCTTCCCCGGGGGGGGGGGTTGCGTTTGCTTCGGTCCGGCTGTGGGCCTTAGCGTCGGTTTGCGCCGGCACTTTCTTAGTGCGTTAATTCGTGAAGTTGGTGCATTTGGAGTTCTTCATGTGCTGTTGTCATATCGCAAGCTGTGGACTTGTCGTCGGTGATATTTGAGTACATAAATGTAGATGGAGGTAGACTGATACGGTATGTGAGCTAACCCCTGAGGGAAAACAAGGTCCTCATGAGTGCAGGCGAGTTTCGCTACTAACTGGCTGGGGCATGTTTCGAGTAACCTGTATAGGATGATAGACCGTTAGGCATGTGTTTCAACCCGGGTCATAACACATGAATGGATTCACAAATTGAGTTCATTTCCCTGAAAGATAGTGGCGGAGCAGAGTCCTTTGGTTCTCGATTGTGATGTCCACGGGTTGTTCGTACGAACAGCAATTGCGCAGTGACAGAATACGAGATGTGGTCCGCACCGCGCCGGAGCAAATCGCTAGTTCAGCATCTCTGGTTGAGATGAACTGATTGTGCGTCAACTGGAGAACCTCAGTGTCTAAACAGTTAATTGATCGCCTGACAGAGGCTGGCAAAAGGGGCTGCAACTGTGGCAGCAGACTTCTTTCAGCGCTGCAAAAATTACATCATCTCTCGGGCGAATGGCGCCGAAGTGACTCCGCTATGGGTTGTACAGCTTACGATCCGTTTCAGGATGTCCTATGGCACTTTCCCAACATTAGCAAAGTCAAGATGCTTGACGGAACCTACGAATGACAGCGGACGAACGGGAGATTGTTCACTACGCGAGTCATCGCGAGTCAGGGCAAGTTGAAGCGCGGCTCGCTCATGGTTCGGAGAGCAACTTGCTGTAACGTTGCCTATGCGAGGTGTTATCGACAAGATGTTGGCTCGAGAACTTGCGAAATTTGATTTTCGCAGTGCAACATCTCGCGTGGATGTCGGTGGCGATCCGATCCAAGATTGCGCCAACAAGCTCGGATCCCCCCGCACACCCATGGGGAAATCGTTGCCCAGCCGGCGAGCGTACGGCGACAGAAGCTTCTGGGTTTATACTTCTCGTTAAGTTAACGGAACCAAAGTTTGTAACTATGTGAGGGAAAGGACAGTCACGAGACTTATCGCGGCACGAAGCATGTGCGAATTTGAATGCCTTGCAGTCGGTCCCTGCAACTAGCGGACCAAATTGCCCGTTACTGCTGACGAAGGAATATTCCGATTTCCAAAGAGAGGGACCTCCGTCCATTAGCGACAAGCCTTCCTGCACGCCATTCCGCCTTACGATGGGTCGACCCGCTGAGGGAAAATGGTCGCCTCAGCTGAACGATCAGTTGTGATGCCTGTGCAGGGGGATAAATTGTCAGACAACTACCGCCTGGTCAATTCATTCGAGATATTAATCAATAGGCTTGAGATCATCTCTGCGCACCATGCCAAAGACCGGTACGCTTACAGCATCATCCTCGAAAATGGATCGCTGCTCCTAGTTCTGCTCCACTTTTTTTACACTCAAGGTCCCAGCAGGCTGACGCCTTTCTGATGCTTCCTTCTCGCTTCTGGGTCGCGTAAGTCTGGGTCGCGTAAGTCGGGGTCGTGTAAGTCGGGGTCGCGTAAGTCTAGGTCGAGACTCCAAGTTTCATATGAGGAGTGGTTTCCCTCGAAAGTCTAACTTCCCGTCACCAGTTCCTTGTCTGACATTTGCGACACTCAACGTCCAGGGGGAGATTCGACGGATATACTTACTCCAGTGTGGGCCCGTTCCGCTACGACTTTCGAACATTTTCCTATTTTTCTGCCTGAATGCCCAACTTCTTGGGCAGTTGGAGGTGTATATGTGATCGCCATCAATCATGAGGTCCCTGCAATTGCTGCTCCCTTTTCTGGCTTGGATTTCTCTTGGACTCGCTCAATCATCTGGACTAGCCGCGGCCGTTGCACAGCTTTCGCCATGCGCAGTAGGTTGCAAATGCTCGAGGGAACGACCATCAACTGACACGAACAGCAAAAATGCTTGGGGGCTGCCATAAAAGAGTCGTCTTGCACAGCTACTAATGTCACATGCATATGCACGAATGCGCCGTTGCAGAGCAACGTAGAGACGTGCTTGCTCTCAACATGTACGCTTAGGGAAAGCTTGAGTATGTCTTGGATCCATTGAGGTAGTTGAAACATTGACTGACCCTTGTACAGCCACGAAGAACGTCACTGCGACAACATGCCATGCGCCGGTACGAGACAAGAGCGAGACTTCCCGAGTCGCCAACCTCGTCTTGTCCGTCATCAGTGTAGCGTGCGGCTTGACACGAATCGTGTACAAGGCAATATACTCTATGGCTGAACTGGGATGGGACGACTATACGATCATCTTGACTTTACTGGCTGGCGTACCCAGTGTAGTCTTGATTGATCGAGGCGCTCTACCGAACGGACTTGGACGAGACGTATGGACCGTACCGTTTGACAGGATAACCGCCTTCGTACGCTGGCTGTACGTTCTGGAGATCTTGTACTTTTTCCAGATGACCCTGCTGAAGCTCACGCTCCTTTTCTTTTTCCTACGAATTTTTCCGAAGACGATCATCAGGAACCTTCTCAAGGGCACTGTTGTCTTCACTATGTTTTACGGCCTTACATTTGTCATCGTTGCTGTCTTCCAATGCCAACCAATCAACCACTACTGGACCAATTGGGATAAGGAGCACGAGGATGGCCAGTGCATCAACGTGAATGCATTGGCCTGGAGCAATGCGATCGTTAGCATCATACTCGACATCTGGATGCTAGTTCTCCCCTTGTACGAGGTCTTCAGGCTGCAGCTGTCGTGGCGCAAAAAGATCAGTGTGGCAGTTATGTTCCTTGTCGGCACATTGTAAGTTTCCATTCTCAAACCTATGCAGCTTTCAACTAATCTTCTTTAGCGTCACGGTTGTATCCTGCCTCCGTCTCCAATCGCTCGTAACCTTCGCCGCCTCCTCAAACCCAACATGGGACCAAGTCGAAGTAGTCAATTGGTCAAACATCGAAGTTAACGTAGGCATCATCTGCGCATGTCTTCCCACGATCCGTGTAATCCTCGTCCGCTTCTTCCCCAACATCATGGGCACCACGAAAGTCTCCAGCCAAGCATACCACGCCAAGTACGGATACGGAAATGGAAGTCGTGGCCTAGGCAACACTGCAGGGAGCAAGGTGGGACAGATGAGTGGCAGAAGAGGAGTGAATGAGATCACGTATACGAAGACCTTTGAGGTGCAGCATGCGGACAATGACGAAGTGGAGTTGATGCATATGGATGAGTTCGGGAAAACAAGTCCGAAGCCGCGAAGTAGTAACGCAAGCGTAGCGAGCTTGTAGGTTTGCGACAGCAAATTGATTCGTCATTTGTTCTGAAACGATTGTATTATTGTGCGGGGAAAATGTGTGATCTATTATGAGGCGTTATACCTGTCAAAGTTGGCAGTGCGTTTCGGTCGTTTATGCCTCGTGCTTCGTTTATTGTACCTTGCGGTTCGCAAAGACGTCCTGCTTTGCTTCCTCCACGATCTGACACTTGTACCTGACGAATTGCCTTGCGGGAACCTTAGCTTCGAAGATCTCGTCAAGCTCCTCCAGACTGCGATCCTTAGTCTCTAGTACGAAAAGGTAAAACCAGATGACGCAGAGGACCTGGAAGTCGATGAGACTGAAAGATGGCAGCGCGGTTTCGCGGTACAGTTGACGGCACACTCGTAGAGAGGTAACTTTAGTACCATGCTAGCATGGCCACTGAAGCGGACCGTCGGACAGCGCATCTTGATAGGCTTTATTCCAAATTCCCGCGGGCAGATCGAGAAAAGAGGAGTGGCATGCGTTGGAAGGCATCGCTACTACATGTAATTAGTCCTGGAGGAACACATGCAGTATCGCTATATCGATGGCTTCAACGTGCATCTTGTAGTGCAAAATCTCGGCCCGAGCTTATGACGCTGTCGTAGAGCTTCTCGCTCTTCATGAAGGCTACTTTGGGATCCTGTCAGTACAATAATGAATTGGCACATTGGGGATGCAGCGAGGATGTCGCGACAAGAAGGATATCTAAGGAAGGCACAGTGAAGGCGGAGCGCAAAATCGAGCGAGGGCAACTGCTAAATAGAGTCTATTAACATCACTGCGCTACAAAGCTTTACGGAGGACTCGAAAAGAAGGAACCATATCATGGCAGCCACTCGCAACAAATCGATATCCACATGCCGTCAAATATGTACATATTCTTCACTCCGACGCCCGTTCAAGGGAAACACCGACCTGTTGTGCATTTTAGACGCATCGGACATGCACTGCAACGTGTCCTTGACCCGCTCAGCAATCATACTTTGCCATTAAGTGTGCGTGGCTTTGACCCTCTGATGTCGGTACTGGATCGTTTACGCTTTAGGGTCCTTGTGGTTTTCGCAGATGCCTGGATGGACAGGTTGAAAACCGGAAGCGCAGCTTCTCCATGGGCGCTGAGTCTCGACGACCTCCGCGGGTTCAGTCATCATGGGTACTGCTGAGTAAAGGAAGTGTCAAGAAACAGGTTCCAGGGTTTGATCGAAGCTCCGGGATGGGAGCGGATGGCGAAACCAGGGAGACTGCTGTCTCAGAAGCACAGCCGCACTACTGGATAGGCTGGACGCACCGCTCACCTGGAGATGGGACTTCGGTATGAGATCTTTGCTGTTTGTTCGTCTGAGGTTGTAGTGTGTATGCCCGATTGACCGCTACATGCAGGCTCCCATCTGTGTTACGGAGACTGATGCGTATATGGTCAAATAGTTGTGCCGGTCCAGATATTGCGGACTCACGAGATTGCTCCCAAGCAACGACATGAGAAGCGAAGCCACCGCGAGTGGCTGCTGTTACCAGTCAGTAAGGCAGGGGGGTTGCTCGGTCTTCTGGCGTTGCCGCTTGTGTCGAGAAGTCTCCTTCATAGGCGCGATTTATCAGGAGATCGATGAGATTGAAGGTAAAGGTGCAGTCACGGAATCGACGGGCACGGTAGTTGCCAGGCTACAAGGTCGCTGACAGAACGCAGTCGCGACGAGATGTGATGTGACCAGAACAGGCATTCACAAAAACAACTGGACAAGGACAACCAGTCCATGTAACTGCACCTGTTTTATCTTGGCTGTGGCTTTGGAGGTCTGAGAAATCACAGCCTAGGAAAAAGGAAGGCGGTGACTGAGAGAGGCACCGAAAAATTGCAGCCCAGGAAAAAGAGCATTGAGAGCTCGGGTGCTGCCACACGCACATGGAATGGAAACGTTCAAAACTACAGCGAATCGCAAGCGGCATCACCGCACCGCATGTCGGCAATTATAATGTTTCGGTAAAGCTCTCGCGTGCGCTCATCGCAAGGCTGGTGTCACACGACCTTTTGTGGAGTACAAGTGGGTCTTCAGACCCTTCCCTGATCTCATTCGCTCACCTCTCACACTAATCCTCTAGCCCTGATCCTCGCGTCCTCAGCTCACAAAACGGTCCGAGGACCTCCACGATCCCAAACGGTGATGGCCTAGGGCATCATTAACGTCACGACGACATCAATCTGTTCTAATTTGTACCACTGGTAGTACCGCTTCGCCAGCCCCGCGCGGTGATCGTGAGCGACTTGGAGAGAACTAGGGAAATTGCACCATCGCGATGATGTATACGAGTCGTTAATAGGCTGGCTGGGAAGGTATGTAGCCAGGGCGCCCCTGCGCGACGTCAGTGGAGAAACACAGGTACATAGCAAACGGCAGTCGCGTGCGTGCAGCTGTTATTATGTTTGTTTTCTCGCACGTCTCTTCAGGTACCTAGGACAATAAGATCAGTCTGCTCCCGTCTCACTCTCACCTTTCATGAAACCAACGCAGCGACTACAACAAGTCTCACGATACTTGCAACTGCGCGCTTTCTCCACGACAACGCGATCCAAGATGCCGACTACAAGACAGCAAGACCACAAAGGCGAGTCCGAGCTCGTGTCAAGGACGAAGGACGCGCCCGGCAACAAACCAGTTGAGAAATCACACCGCGTCAACGCAAAAGACTGCACCGAGCACTGGGAAGACGAAGAGCACCTCGAGCAGAACAAGAAGGACTTCCAGGAATTCCGCGCCCAGCACAAAAAATCCTCTTCATTCGGCGGCAGCGCGTCAGGCGGCTCAGACTTCGGCGACCATGGTGAGGTGCCTGGCGGTATGAAGCGCGGACGCGGCGCGAATCAGGTGGGCAATCAGAGCAAGAAGGCGAAGAGCGAGGAGAGAGACCCTTCGGGTCTGCCTAGGGGCGATAAGACGAGGGTGCCGAGTGTGGGGCAGCATGTGCATTGGAAGTATGGGAAGGGATATGCGAAGGGCGAGGTGGTGGAGGTGTTGTATGAGGAGAAGGAGGTTGAGGGGAAGAAGGCGGAGGCTAGTAAAGAGGATCCTAGGCTGGTGTTGAAGACGGATTCGTCGGGTAAGCTGGCGCTGCACAAGCCGGAGGATGTGTACTTCGACTAGGTGGTTGCTCGAGGTGACAGGGTGGTGGTGAAGCCGGCTGAAGAGCACGCGAGCAACGGACGAAATTGGACAGCCCTGCATAGCAACCAGCAAGCAGCTATCAGCAACGAGCTCTCTGGTTCGTCGACCACAATGTCCACAGTTTCAGAATAGGTACAACGGCGTACCTGGATTGGATGTACCTTGAATGGGTGCAGTGTATTTTACAAGGCATTAGCTCAAAATCTACGGTCAACTCCACTCCTGCTTGAGTGGTGATCCCCAACCCTCGTGACGATGCAAGTTCTTGGTGGGAGATTAACATGCTCATCACGACAAACTGCCGAACGGAGGCGTTGCCATAAGCTTTGGCGGGTCCACAAGCCACTTCCCCAGATTCCTCTGAGCGAATACGGATGGCTCGGTGCGGAAATAGCAAATAGCCTACAAGTTCGGTTGTGTTTATGGTGAATCATTTGGATGACCGCACACAAACCGTCTTAGGTGCAGGCTTAGCGGGTCTGGATCACTCAGGAGGGTGAGGAGTGGAGGGCAACTGCAGTCGCGATTGGATGGCTGTTAGGCCGATTTGCACGCTTCAGGTTGTGCGCCCAGAAGAGCGTTTCGCAGGTGCTGCCGCGGGCATGTTGTTCTCGCGAGAGTTTGTCATGACAAAGAAATGCTGTGTGACGTTTTAGTGTCGCCTGACTGTGGTGTGAGCGAGTCGTGCTTGCCTCGACAAGCCAGAATTAAACTGTTTTCAGCCACAACGTGCACTAAGCTGCCGCTGACAGCCGTGCAGTTTGTAGACTTCAGGCTTGGACATAGTGTTGTGGGGATTACCGTAGAGGTGCTTGGGGAAGTGCACGGCTGATGGTAAGCGTGAGATGTCGCACATCTTCGCCAATATCACCAGATCACGCTGCACCCTACAGGACCCACTGCAGTGGTTTGTCTCGTGTTTCTCAAGCTGGAGGGATCACCGTGCCCTTCTGGCGGGTTCAGAGACTTTCGAAAAGTGGTGAGCTGGACGTTCCCAGCAGGGACGCAGCTAGGACAGAGCCAATGTTGATGTGCCAGGGCTCCCGGCTAAATGTGCCTCGAGTGCAGTAACCGGCAGCGTAAACAATGGGCAAACGAGCTGCTGGACGACGCTGCAGTGTCACATAGCCAAGTTATCTCGCCCCATGCCTCGACGTCTGTACCTCGAGAGCTTCGCCACCGTGTTGCTCCATTATGGCGCTGAAACATGCAGGAATGAGGGCTGTGGGCCATGTGCAGTGATGAGTGTGAAGAAGCTCGGGGCAGGCTGCGATCTTATGCACGAGACTATCTCTGACCAACAGCGGACTTTCGCGCGCCAGGGGACTTCACTACGGGCCTTCTTTTCTCTAACGCGTGGGGAATGCCAACTGGATAGCGTCGTCGAAGTGCGCCCAAGCTGCAGCCCGCGGACGCGCATGTCACGCTCGCGCCGTTTATCCTCCCGCAGTCCTTGTATGGCTGAGACAGCGTCTGTCCGCATCTGTAGCATTCGCATTGTTGTGCCCCTCCGCTGCCGCTGGCCCTAACCATCACGCCAAACACCAAAAAAATAACACTGCTCTGCACCGCACTGTCCGCCCGCACCCGCCTGCCCAACGCTCGTTTTGCCCCAATTCCACGCGTCTTGCCCTGCTGCGCTCGCCTGGCCCCGCGATGCAGCGTGTCTAGCCCGCCGCTGTCAGCACCGCATCATCCCAGCGAGCACCAGCAACCACTGCCCTGAGCAGCACGGCGCCCTCGGCCGCTGCAGTCCGGACTGCCTCCAGCCCACCGCCTCCCACCATGGTCCTGGCAGCTGCGTGCACATAGCTCAATTCCACCGGCCCTCGGGCGAACGCCCCTGTTCCCAGTCCACAGGGCTCGAACGACTATAGCGACGACACGCCCCGCCAACCATGTATGAGGTGCAGCCTACCACGCTGGCCCCGCCCGCAGTCACCGCGCTGCGGAAGGAGGCAACGGGGTGCAGCGCACAGCAACGCGTAAACATGGAGCGCACGGTCAGCCAAGACATGCGAGAGGAGAGGGAGGACCTGAAGGAGGCCGCCGAGCACAGCCTGAACATCATCATGGACCTGGATCTCACAGGCAAGGTCCGCTATGTCAGTCCCTCGTGGAAAGAGGTCGTTGGCACCATACCAGACGAAGTGGTCGGCAAGCCCGTCCTCGACATCATATTCGCTGGCAAAGATGGGTTTGCGGATACCATCGAGTCGGTTAGAAAGTACGACTCCAGGAGTCACATCGCCCGCTTCTCCGTGCGCATGGGACCGCACTCGATACTACGACGCAAGCGTTCGAAACCAGCGGTCGATGGCGAGCAGCAATCAGCGCCACCGTCGCCGACAAAGGCAGAAGACGAGGCGCAGATATTGAACCTCGAAGCGCAAGGTATCATGGTGTATGACCGTGCAACAGGGGCGGAGAGTCATGTGCGTCAACACCGTCTGGTCTAGAGTGGGATGCTAACAGTGCCAGACAATGTGGATGGTTCGGCCATCTGTGCTTCGCGAGATCACCATTGATCTCCCGGAGGAGCTCGTCGAGTCTCTTGGCGTGGGCGCAGAAGTACTCGCCCACTATCTCACTGGGCTAGCAGAGCAAGGGGCCAATGAGCCGAGAAACCACCCACCGCCACTACCTGTGTTGTGTCGAATCTGCGAACGACACATCACCCCGTGGTGGTTCGAGAAGCACTCCGAGCTGTGCTTGCAAGAGCATCGTGCCGAGATGGACGTCCAGATGGCGCAAGAGACTCTCTCAGAACACCGCAACGCTATCGTCAAGGTCTTGGATACCCTTGAGGCACAAGCTCGACCGTCAAGGGCGGCTCCTACAGACCCAGCAGCCCTGATTCAGCTACCCGAGTACCACGGTCACCTCATCCAACCACTATCGAACCCTTCCTCCGGCACACCGTCCGGACGTAACTCACCTGCTTCCCCGCCCTCGAGATCCAGAGAGCGGTCCAGTGCTTCTGGCTTTGGGCATCACCGTGCACGCTCCTTCGCTGTTCGACGGCCACTCGCTCGCATTGTAGAGCTAGTGCTCGACCTGTGCGATACGGCGCTGGAAGTGAACACACCAGCCATCAAGGACAACATCCGTGCCGCATCTGAGATCCGAACGCAGTCACCGCAGTCGGAGAATCGCATCTCACAGGTGCTGCAATGGCAGTCGCCAACATCAGGCTCGTCAGACTTCAGTGAAGGATTGAAGTTGCTCTGCGAGGACACAAACCGGCTAGCAAAAGCCAAGATCGATGCTGTGTTCAGACATCGGCAGATCCTCGAGTATTCCGAACGACTCCGCATTGAGTTCGACATTCTGGTGCAGGAATGTATAGAGGCTGCCATCATCAAGGCTGCGCGCATAGCCGCTGGAGAAGATAGTTCCTCAGACGATGAGCAGGTAGAAGAGGAACCACCGTCAGATGCCAACGACATTCCCACTGGCGATGAGGGCATTTTCCCTGGGTCGTTCGATGCTCCGTCAGCTATGGCTCAGGCTCTGCGCAACGCTTCGGACACGTCCTTACCAATGCGAGTTGGACGCCGAGAATCGTCTGTTGCAGATTCGACGCGCTCCAGTAGCCCAAGGGGCGGCTGTCAAACACCAAGATCGCATGCTGGGGCTATCAGCATTGCGGGCCAGAACAATCGACGGTCCATGCATTTCGAGAGCGATGCAGGCATGGAGAGCGACACCAGCATGCGGTCTTCGGTACTGTCCGGCCCTCGACGAGCAGACTCACCAGCCAACTCGGAGCTGGGCTTGAGCAGGGTGGCCAGCTCGCGGGAGAGGAAGCGAAAGAGTTTGATCCTACCAAGTGTATTATCGAGCCGGCAGCAGTCACCTGCTCGCACGATGCACCCGGCCCCACCAGCTTCGCCATTGAGGACGACTAAGCCTCGCCTGTCCAGTGGCGTCGAGGCCCTGCAATCGCCAATCACATCGCCTGTCCTGACAACAACCGAGTTCTCTTCTCCTGCTATGTCCATGGCCATCAATCACCACCGCAGACAGTCATCCACGGCTGGCTCAGACGGCCCGAGAGCTTTGTCACCTCGCCTCCTGCCTGTCACGCAGCCGCAACCACGCGCGGTGCCTCCCTCGATCAAAGACTTTGAAGTTGTCAAGCCAATCAGCAAAGGTGCATTTGGAAGCGTGTATCTCGCCAAGAAGAAGTCTACCGGCGAATACTACGCGATCAAGGTCCTGAAGAAGGCCGACATGGTAGCCAAGAACCAAGTCACCAACGTCAAGGCCGAACGAGCGATCATGATGTGGCAAGGCGAGAGTGACTTCGTGGCGAAGCTATACTGGACGTTCTCAAGCAAGGACTACCTGTATCTCGTTATGGAGTACTTGAATGGTGGTGACTGTGCTTCGCTTATAAAGGTCCTTGGTGCGCTCCCTGAAGATTGGGCCAAGAAGTACCTTGCAGAAGTTGTTCTTGGCGTTGAACATCTGCATAGCCGCAGCATCGTGCACCGCGACCTGAAGCCGGACAATTTGCTGATTGATGCAAAGGGCCATCTGAAACTCACTGACTTTGGTTTGTCACGCATGGGTATGATCGGCCGTCAAAAGCGTGCGCTCAAGTCTGATCCTAACGAGGCTGCTCCTGATCTGCTCAAGAGTGGGCCGTTCCATCGCGCTACCTCTGGCTCATCGGTTTCTCGGTCCGCGTCTTTTGACCTCAACCCTTCGCCATCTACGACTCCATCGATGACTCCCGCTCTTGCTGGCGATCTCGGCCAACCGTCCTATTTCAGCCTCAGCCGGGACACGTCTCACGGCCGCGAGCAGTCCAGACGAACATCAGGCAATCGTAGCGATAGCACTGACGGTGATGCTTTGCAAGCGATGTTCCGCCGCTTCTCGATCGCAGATTCGAATCTTGGGCCTGGGCAACGATCACCAATCGAAGAAGAGGACTTCAGCGACAACGGGTCTCCAGATATTCTTGCGCCTACGATGAGCAACTCTACCGTCGCCCATGCCCAGAATCAGACACCACCTGCGACATCACACATGCTTCCTCCTCACATGGCCCTATTCGACCCGGATGACAGTAACGAGAGGAAGTTCGTTGGTACCCCCGACTATCTGGCGCCAGAGACTATCGCTGGTAACGGGCAAGACGAAGTGAGCGATTGGTGGTCTCTGGGCTGCATCCTTTTCGAGTGCTTGTATGGTTATCCTCCGTTCCATGCGGACACACCAGACGAAGTCTTCCAGAACATCCTTGCGCGAAGAATCGATTGGCCGTCGGATGAAGACGACGTGTATGACATCTCGGACGATGCAAAGGATCTCATGAACCGTCTCATGTGTTCTGATCCGGCGAAGCGCTTGGGTGCTAACGCGGAGGAAAAGTATGCCAGTGGTGGTGAAGAGATCAGGGCTCACCCATGGTTTGCTGATCTCAATTGGGATACTCTGCGTGATGATGAAGCTTCGTTCATCCCAGCACCTGAGAACCCGGAGGACACGGAGTACTTTGACACTAGAGGAGCAGCCATGGCAAACTTCTCACCGGAATTTGAGGATCAAGGAACGTCGTCCGCCGGCACACCCAGTGCAGACTATCCAGATAGGCCACATGATGCACTGTCTCGGGTGCGGTCACAGGTTAGCGTCTCGAGTATGAAGCGAGGCCTCATACCTTTGCACATCCCGGCTCACGTGAGAGAAGGCAGGTCTAGGAGGCTTAGCGAACCCATGGCTACAGATGACTTCGGTAATTTCAGCTACAAGAACCTGCCTGTACTGGAGAAGGCCAACAAGGATGTAATCCAGAAGCTTCGTGCAGAAGCGATGCTACCGCAGAACAAGCCCGGCTCAGCTCTCCAATCGCCTACAATTACGTCGCCCTCCCCGTCTCTTGAGACCAGCCCAATGCTGTCTGGTCCGCTAAAGCGCACCTTGTCCACCAACAGGGCCAGCGGTAGACCAGCATCGCCATCAATCAGCGGGCCGGCTTCTTCGCCAAGCCGAGGTTCGCAACCGTCGTCGCCACTGCTTGTGCAGTTCAGTACCGGTCAGCATCATGAGCGACGTAAGACGTCCAGCAGCTCGTCAACCTTGTCGCACTCTACGAGCAACCCTGGCTCCCTTCAGCCAGGTAGCTTCTTTGACCCCAACCGCCTATCAGGCTTGCGGCCTTCTCCAGAGGTAATTTCGCCAGGCAAGCCGTCTAAGATCGGCCCTGGCATGTCTGCTTCCTTCTCTGAGAAGATGGGATCGAGTCCACGTCAATCGTCGACAGGGCCAACAAACTCGTCACCACGTGCGCGATCCCAAACGGTCGGCTCTCAGGATGGTGATGTTGTACGAGAGGTGCTACCCGGTCACCATAAGCGACGCAGTCAAGTACTCGATGTCTCGCCGTCGTCATCCGATACTGAAGAATCGCGCGCCAAGGCACTACTGCGTGTGCAGCGACGAAGACAGAGCTCGCGTAGGCTGTCCCAAATCAGCTTCGGTGACGGCCCATTCTTCCGCCCACTTGATGTCCTCATCTGTGAAGATCACCCCGTATCCAGGCTGGTCATGGAGAAGCTCTTGGAGAAGCTGCGCTGTCGTACATTGACCGTTAACAACGGATCTGAAGCCATCCGGTATGCCATGGGCGAGGTCAAGTTCGACATCATCATGATGGAGTTCAGGTTACCACAAGTCAACGGCGCGGATGTGGCTCGCATGATCAGGGATACGAAGAACGCAAATACGACTACGCCAATCGTTGCAGTGACAGGCTATCTTAAGGAGTTGCAGGCACCGCACTACTTCGATGCTCTCATTGAGAAGCCGCCCACGATTGCTAAGCTTACGGACACCCTCGGTCGACTATGTCAATGGAAGCCACCTCCACCAAATTGGGCGCCGACGCAGATGTACCCATCCATGATGCCCTCAGGGTTACGACAAGAATCTACACAACAGGAAGACAGCCAAACAACAAACTCGAACTCGTCAGGCTTCTCTCAAGTACCAGGAAGCTATCGTGGGTCTAGTCGTGAGGACTCAATCAGCTCGAGCTTCTTTGGTGACAACGACAGTCGCACCAGCGAAGATGTGCCAGTCGTCATTGCACGCCACGGCACAGATGATTGGCGCGAGCGAAATATAGCTCATGCAATGGGTGGGCTGGGTATCTCAGAACACGATGCAGCCAATGTGGATCCCAAAGAAATCGTGCAGAAGCGAGCTGGTGCACCCGACCTGCGCCCTGACCTACCCCACGAAGCCTCCGCGCCGGCCGCCTTGGAAGCGGCAACGATCCGCCGACAACGATCTGCCGAGCAAGTGGGTGCCAAACGACGCCTTCTCGAAACACGCAAGCACGAGTCTGCAGAGTCTGGCGACGATGAGGACGAAGAATTGGGCCACACCACCGCCACGAAGTCGCGAAGCCCAAAAACGCGTCCCAAATCGTCGTCTAAGCTCGGCATCGAGATGATGCGCACCAACAGCAGAGGCAGCGTCATCTCTGTGGAGACAGACATGGGCGCATCAGAATCTGCCCTGGCATCTTCCCCGCCTCCAGCGATCACGGAGGACACGGCAGCCGAGGAGCGCGAGGCGAACCTCACCACACCCGACGTGCCCCACATGTCGCTCACACCGCCTGAGGTCTTCCCTGCAGTGCCCGGAGAGGACGTTGTTGACATGGACATGGGTACGCCCAAACAGGAAGACGGTGCAGCAACACCTGACCCTGATCCTACGCCTCGAGCGAGCTTGGCGAACACGGGTTCCTAGCAGGCACCTGGCCGTTCGCCGAGCTACTTTTCCCTTCGATCGTTGCTATAATGACGTATGATAGTTTGGAACGTTTTTGTTTTCGCTTTTTGGGGTTTTTTTTGTTGCGAGCATGGTGTCGATGGTGTTTCAATGGTAGTGCACCGAAACATACAGCTGTCAGCGTTCAGTCCCGTTCATGGCTTCTCTCAACCAACAGCTTTTTTTCTTCTCACTTGTCGATATACTTTGTTGTTTCGACGTTTTTTTTTCTTTTTCTTTTTCACGTTTGGGTTTTGGTACTGGGATGGGGGGATCTACACTCGCTTTTATGCTGCGCCTTTTTGCTCTATACCCACGTGCTGCGTTCGGTGTGACGCCGCTTGGGTGCAAGACTGCCACTCGCTTCTCTGTACTTGTTCATGGTTTTTGGGGGATGGGTTGTGCGATACAAGACTGGTGTCTGGTTTGTCGTGCGGCAGCAGCTGGAGCATGTGATGTGTAGCTGCAAGGATGGATAGGATGGATAGGATGGATAGGATGGATAGGTAGCATAGGATAGTCGAAGGGGCAGCAATGGACAAACTCCCGCGTCATACACCTCCCACCAACCAGTGCCATGTGCCTGTCAACAGAGTGAACTTGCACACGGTAAATCGAGTGCTCCAAGCACCCCAGGGTGGAGCCCAGTATCGATAACGGGTAGAGTGGGAAGGAGCATGGGCCACATCCACATCGGAATGCGGGGAAAGCTCCCAAGGGGATTGCGCAGGTACACGACCGAGCAGCTGATAGCATCATCCATCCCAGCCTCCCAGCAACACCGCCTCTCACCGCCTCCCACCGCCTCCCACCGCCTCCCACCACCTCTCACCGCCTCTCACCCCTTGCTATCAACCCAAGAAGCTCCAGGCAGAGCTTCCATACCTCGAGATGGGCGGAGAGTGCTGCAGCCGCACCGGGCCAATGGCGAGGCCGGGTGGAGAGTACCCGCAGCTGGCTGCTGGGCCCGTTGGAAAGCAGATACATAGCATTTATCAGAGCAGGCTGAAGCAGTTCACGGACGGTGGGCAGTATAGGGAGCAGAGTCTGATAGGGTAGGCATTCGCATGCTATGTGAGCTTCGACCTTACGTCGCCCATTGCTAACAACCCCACAGCAAGCTCGACGAGGCCCGCGTCAAGGGCACCGACACCAGCCACGTCAAGCTCTCCGTCTACTCGCCGCCCGGCCAATCACGTCCGCTCTTCAAAGAAGCCACGAGCCACAGCTTCACACCCACAAACGTCGGCGCGTCCTTCGGGCCCAGCTGGTCGACACACTGGTTCAAGGTGCAGGTCACCGTCCCCAAGGACCTGCTGAAGAAGGAGCGCCTCGAGTTCCACTGGGACGCGGACAACGAGGGCCTCATCTGGACCGAAGACGGCCACACAGTCCATGGCCTGACGGGCGGTGGCGAGCGCGTCGAATGGATTCTCCCCGATATATTCCGCGATGGCAAGGAGCACACGTTCTACATCGAGATGGCGTGCAACGGCATGTTCGGCAATGCGCCGGGCGGGGACTCGATCCAGCCGCCCGCCCCGGACAAGCACTATACGCTGCACACTGCGGATATCGTTGCTGTGAATCTGGAGGCAAGGGCGCTGTACTTTGACTTCTGGGAGATTGGCGATGCGGCACGCGAGTTCCCGCAGGAGTCGGTCGAGGCGCATGGTGCGCAGCAGGTCGCGAATCGGATCATGGATGCATTCATCGCTGGTGGTGGGAGCACGGAGAGCATCAAGAAGGCAAGAGAGATTGCGCGCGAGTACCTGGGGAACGTCGACTCGCACAAGGTGTATGATGGCGATAAGGAGGCGCTTGTCACGGGTATTGGGTACTGCCATATCGATACCTGTTGGCTGTGGCCTTTTGCGGAGACGAAGCGCAAGGTCAATCGCTCGTGGTCGAGCCAGTGCGATCTTATCGATCGGTACCCGGAGTTGCGGTTCTGCTGCTCGCAGGCACAGCAGTACAAGTGGTTGGAGCAGGACTACCCATCTACGTTCGACCGCGTCAAGAAAAAGGTCAAGGAGGGTAGCTTCCAGCCGATTGGCGGGTCATGGGTCGAGCACGATACGAACCTGCCTGGCGGCGAGTCTCTCATCAGGCAGTTCCTGTACGGACAGCGATACTTCGAGAGCAGGTTCGGACAGCGATGCAAGACCTTCTGGCTTCCAGACACCTTCGGCTACTCAACTCAACTACCTCAGATCTGCCGCATCTCAGGCATGACAAGGTTCTTGACCCAAAAGCTGAGCTGGAACAACATCAACAACTTCCCCCACACCACTTTCAACTGGGTCGCGCTCGACAACAGCCAGGTCATCTGCCACATGCCGCCATCCGAGACGTACACCGCCGAAGCCAACTTCGGCGACGTCAAGCGCAGCGTCGCACAGCACAAGTCGCTCGACCAGGACCAGACATCCCTCCTCGTCTTCGGCAAGGGCGATGGCGGTGGCGGACCAACATGGCAGCACCTCGAGAAGCTGCGCCGTTGCCGCGGCATCAGCGACAGGACCAGCCTGCTACCGCGCATCAAGCTCGGCGACTCTGCAGACGACTTCTTCGACAAGCTGGAGAAGAAGGTCGAGAATGGTACGGAGCTCGTCACCTGGTACGGCGAGCTGTACTTCGAGCTGCATCGCGGCACGTACACGACGCAGGCCAACAACAAGCGCAACAACAGAAAGAGCGAGGTTCTACTCAGGGATATTGAGTACCTTGCTACGCTGGCAACGATCAAGAATGGGTTTGGCAAGAGGAGTGCGTATAAGTACCCGAAGAAGGATATCGATGATATGTGGGAGAACGTGCTGCTTTGTCAGTTCCATGACTGTTTGCCGGGCAGCTCGATTGAGATGTGCTATGACGATTCTGATAAGGTGTGTTGAAACCAAACGCACGCGTATTGAATACTGACCTTTGCAGATCTACGCGCAAGTCTTTGCAACGGGCGAGAGACTTCTGTCTGAGGCGCTATCTGAGCTCGGCTTCGACGAGGAGAGTTCACTCAGCCCGAACAGCAAACTTTGCACCCTCAACACCTTGCCCTGGAAGCGCAGCGAGATCGTCAAGCTCCCTAGCTCCCACCCTCACAAGTACGGCCTCGCACATGGCGACGCGTTGAGCACAATGTCCATTCGTCCGCTCGCGTCTGCTCACTCCGCGGCTACTGCTTCCATCGCAGAGACCAGCCCCGGCGTCTTTGAGCTGCGCAACTCCCAGTACACCGTAGAGGTCACAGACGGCGTCATCACCTCGCTTTACGATATCAAGGCCGAACGAGAGTTGATACCAAAGGGTAAAAAGGCAGCACAACTGGTCATCTTCGACGACAAGCCTCTCTACTGGCAAGCATGGGACGTCGAAGTCTACCACCTCAACTCCCGCCAGGAGCTCTCGCCCAACAAAGTTTACATCTCCTCCTCCGACACTGCCAAGGTCTCTCTCACCATCGAAACCAAGATCTCAGACAAGTCCTGGATCACAACAAAGCTCTCCCTGCCTGCAGCAATCGGCAACTCACCATCCGCGATCGAGATCGAAGCGGAGACCGAATGGCACGAGACCATGAAATTCCTGAAGGTCGAGTTCTCAGTCGACATCACCAACACCGAAGCCTCCTACGAAACGCAATTCGGCATCGTCCGCCGGCCGACGCACTACAACACATCCTGGGACATGGCTAAGTTCGAGGTCTGTGTGCACAAGTGGGCCGATCTTTCCGAAGCAACATATGGTGTGTCGATCCTCAACGATAGCAAGTACGGGTTTGCGGTTGCTGGCAATGTGATGCGTCTGAGTCTGCTCCGCGCTCCCAAGGCGCCAGATGCGCATGCGGATATGGGCCGTCATCACACCAAGTACGCTATCTTCCCGCACGCAGGCCCGCTCACACACGCCACCGTGCGCAAGGCATTTGAGTTCAATAGCCCCCTTCGCGTCGTCGGGCACCGGGCACCGACCACCGCTGGCGATCTCGCTGGTGAGCGCGTGGAGGCTGGTAAGCCCGGTTTGCTGAGCACGTTTAAAATTTTTGGTGCGGATAATTTGGTTCTGGATACTATTAAGCGCGGTGAAGATGATGAGGATGTTTCAAGGGGCGAGTTGCCTGTGAAGAAGGGGCACTCTGTCATTATTCGTGTTTACGATGCTATGGGTGGGAAGTCGAAGGCTGTACTGTCCTGGGGCGATATCAAGGTCAAGAAGGTGGTTAGGACGAATGCACTGGAAGATGAGGAGGAGGATTTGAGTGAGAACATGGTGGGGGTTGAGGGTGGGGAGCTGAAGGGTGTCAAGATTGAGGTTAGGGCTTTTGAGGTGGCTACTTATAAGTTGGTTCTGGAGGATTAGATGGCGTTGCATGTGTTTGACTTGGACTGCATTGTAGCATCGCAGTAATGGTATGCATGAACTATAGGGAAGGTGTATTGGTGCAGTGATGTCAGCGGTGTGTTTGTCTGCTCTTTTGGGTTCACCTTCGATCGTCTCTGCTTGCTTACTTGCGCAGCTACCTCCTGACACCACCCTGCTATCTCGACTACTCAGCGCGAACTCGTGTTACCGTCACAGGCAATGTTCCTCAACCCCCGGTACATACGGTGGATGCCTCACAGGGATTCACATATGTCTCTCCAACGCTGTTAGTATGTTGTGTTTAGCTGATGGGATATAGCGTCATCCGGAAAGAGCTGGAAGCTCTCGAGCTAGGGTACAAGGCTAGGAAAAACTGTACGTAACAACGGTACACAACACACATCAGTCAAGCGCTGACTCTTGTACTGCGAAAACTTCGACTGATGTCACTCCCTTCTCCTTCGTATCCCCAACGAGCTCCGCAACAAGATGTACAAGTACGCGCTCGGCGGCAATGTGGTACACGTCAGGAAGCGGCCCAGGCAGACGTTCAAATACGACTGGTATTATAGGACTGAAGACTTACAAATGCCCTCCCTCAAGGCCCCAAACTCCCTTCCACAAGTGAGCTACCAAACCTATTGCGAGACCGCGTCCCTTATTTTCAGCCTCAACAATTTCTAAGCAATCTCGTGTGAGTTGGCTTCATTCGTTACCTGCATTGGCCAGGCTAGGGCGAATTGGATCCGGGAGCTCGTCATCGAGGTAGAGCCACTTATGGCCATCTTCTCTCCACCTTGTGAGACCGACTGCAAGGGATTGGCGCAGTTGCTTTTCGAGTCGCTGCAGATCATGCAGGTTGATGATAAGCTGGAGTATGTCTGCCTTGTCGAGCTTGGATGCCCCGGACAATCCCCCATTCATGGTTGGCTGAAGAGTCAGCAGGGGGTTGCAGCTGTTCTGCAGAACAAGCTTAAAGTGGACGTCAAATCATTGTTGATTTCGATGCTGACGATGAGAATTCCGACCACTGATATCGCGAACCAAGGTCTGAACATTGTGCAAGCACGATTGGTAGGTGAGTTTCGTGGCGTTTCCCTGTTCAGCTCCAGCACATATTTCAGCATTTGCGTTATGTTCGTGTTGAGTTCGATGCACATGCATCTTGGGTCCACTCGAAATGTAGGAGGCTCGGAGCAAGTGCGAAAAGCATGTAAGCAGATCGGATGCAGGTAGACACGTGCTGTCATCAAAGTGGCCGAAGCACAGAAGATACTTGCAGGCGCTTGACGCAATCACAACAACGGGTTTCACGGGATTGAAACATAAGGACTTCTCGAATTACTTTCAACGTTAACGCACACCGCGACCATGCGCAACACAACTGCCTCCGTTACCCGCTGCATACCTCTTGGATTGCGCCAGGCATACACATGACCTGCGATAAAGGAGGCAAGAACGACGCCTTGCTACGTTTGAGTCGAGAGAACCACGGAGGTTTCTCATATAGGTGTCGAAGCTGCTTAGTCGCAGTGCCTGAGACAATGTGTCAGATCCAGGGTAGAGCTGACCTAGTATCTGGTCTCAGCTATGCCTCAACTTGCACGTTAACAAATCCCCTAGCGCTGCCTTCCACAGCCCCAAGTTGCCAACTCTCCGCATTATTGACAATTAGCAACAACAGCACTACAATGCATAAGGCAGCAAACGAATAAAATCTTTGACAACATCGGAGCTCCTGCGAAACAGGAGCTTCTCAGTCAGAAGACAACCCCTCGAGCACACAAAGCGCAACTTCTAATTGGCAGACCAGAAACGTCCGTAATTAGCTTTTCAAAGTGGCAGCAGCTAAAATAAGCAAATAAGCAAGAAAAAGAAAGCTACCTTGGTGTTGTTAGGACAGTAGGAAAGTAGGAAAGTAATGTGGTGGGGAAGTGACAGAGCGTTATTGGTAGTGGAAGGAACCAAGTGCAAGAAGCGTGATAAACACAGAAGGACACAGCAGAAGGATGATGGTGGAGGGAGCATAGTAGATGGATTATAGTAGAAGGAGCCCTGGAGTAGCGTAGAGTATGCACTAGGACACAACAACGGGGATATCAGGGACTTAGGCGGCAGCATATCGCTACTATAAGTTACTAGGGCTCAAGAGCAAGCCTTGATGCAGAAGCGTCCTTAGTCATAAAACCTCTGATCCATTCAATATGCCTGGCAGATCTACGCTATGCAGTTTAAAGAGAACATCTACGACGACGCTGACTGCGTGCTTGAAGCACTACTGCCAGTCTACAAGTCGCCACAGCACCCTGCGCTGCCATGTATACTGTCGCGGCCCCGCAGCGATATAAAAAGGCCGACCTTTCTGACCATCGGGTCCTAGAGGTTATATACACCGCAACACATAACAGCTGTATTGCAGAGAATAGCCCTAACGGACTCCACTCCTAGTTTTACGCCCTAAGGCTTGCCGGCTATACAAACATGACCTATTTCGAATCCGAATCAGCCGAAATTTCATCGCAAAAGCTGCAGTGTCACAAGAAACCACCGACAAGAACAGCTCACTTAATGTTTTATTCTGTTGATTACTACTACTACGTTTTTACGTGTGCCCAGCCGAGATTCACGATGCGTAATGACGCTCAAATCAACAGTGTGTTGCTCCTTCACACTGAAATGAGACGGGACAAGATGCAGCACAAGCATCAATCTATACAACACAGTAGCCATTTGTGGGCAAATCCCAGTGACACCATCTGGTCCGGCAAGGTTTTATGAAGTGCAGAATTTCAGTAGACATCTCATGAACAAGATTGATCATGTCTCCCAATTCATACCGTGGCAAACCCCATGCCACCTCAACATGGCTCTTCCTTGCGATTGAATCGTGCTGAGGCTGTGTAGACATTGACAGACGGGTTGTCACAACGAATCCTCGGCGACCTGTAGGCGCATCGCACAAGGCCATTACGTTGATCATTTGAATCGACACTTTGTTCTTTCAGTTCGCTTTATCAGTCTACAACACCTGGTTGCGACAGTGTTTTATTAACAAGGAACTTAAGGGGGATCGCTGCCAGCTTCTAATACCCTCGACGACAACATACACTATGAGACATGATACGTCTGTGGACACGAGGAGGGAGCTCCGGACAGCGTTTTTGGTATATGCATTGCTCCAATCAATGCGTGTGTTTCGCCCATAAACTTGCTTCTGACAAGCTCCGCCTTTAAGTTGCATCACGCTCGTTGCGACAGAGTTCCTTCATGTCACCATCATACCCATCTTTGCTTGTATGTTCACCTCCCATGGCACCCGTCCGAAGGTCGATCCTTGCCAGGAGTAAACTCAACAACAATCTGCCTCTCTCCACAGAATCCCGCAATGCCTTACGCACCCTTCGAACGATGCGTCTAGCGGTCTTGCAATCGCAATTTGTATGGGACTCGCACTTCTCGTTCGCGAAGACAACTCGCTGCAGACTTCCTTCGCCAAGTGTGCAAGAAGTGCTTTGTATACAAGCTCAGAACGGAGATGCGGACAATGGCAACACTGTGAAGGTTAATACCAGAGGTCAAAATGATGTTGTCTAGAAGACATCCCAAGGCGAGCTAGAAGCAGCTACAGTAGCGCGAGGGGTCGTAAATTTCGGCATGACGCACCACGAAGCTTCGATCGCTCATACCTGCCATCGATATAGGGAGACATCTTCGGGGTGTCACGATCGAAGAATCGTACTGGAGTGGGAAATGGTTGATAGGTATGAAGGGTGGTGCGGGCGGATGACGAGGTCCTTCCGCGGGACGAATGCGGAAAGCGCCTGACATGTTCATCAAAGAGAAGGATCACCCATCGCGAAACCGCAAGAGCGACGCAGCGCTCGGCTGAGAGACATTCTTTTGATGATCTATAGGCCGTGATGTATAGAACAACCCCAAACGCCTCATGTGCCAGCTGCCCGCTTTCCCTATATCTACACATCATCCCTTTCAAATCCCCGCTTACTTGATCCTGTCAAGCCTTGCCCTGTTCATAGCAATCTGATCATCGACCTTATCCGTCTTGCCAATAATACGATCAATATGCTTATTCTGCGTATCAACCTCATCACCCATCGCCCTTCCAAGCTGATTCAACCTCTTCGCCGCACCATGCAGCGCATCCAGATTGCTGTCGATCTCATTCTCCATCTCATCATCCTCGCTATCAGCTTCAAACTGGTACTTAGCGCGCTCGGCGAGTGACGACTTCTTGTTGCCCCCGGACATGCCTTGCATGGTGCGACTTTGGTTGTCCTGGCGTGAGGAGGACTCCCAGGCGGCTTTGCGGGTGGCGTCGCGGGCTTCGCGGTCGCGGTGGTGGTTCTCCATGATCTTGTCGTCGCGGGCTTGGCGGCGCGAGGAGGCGGTGAAGGGGTTCGAGACGTGCATGGCAAACATGGATTTGTTGAGAGCTGCGGTTGTCAGTATAGTGTGGTGAGGAGGGAATGAGGGACGTACTCTTCAGCTCGCGAGCCTTCTCTTCAGCGATACGGTTCTGTGTGGAGGCAAGATCGAGGTTGCGCTCAGTGCTGTAAACGGTCAGCCATGGCCCTTGTCGAACGACATTTTAGAACGCACTTGTGGATGCGCTCGCCCTGCGCTCCAAGCCTGGCAAGGGTGTCGCGACCCGTCTCCTCGGCCTGCTGGGCAAGGCGAAGAGCGTTGCGTGTGCTGCTGACATCCTGCTGCTTCATGAACTTGATCTCCTGCTTGGTTGCACCGATGTCCTCCTCTTCCTGCTCCTCAGCCGTCAGCTCGCGGTCACCATAAGCGCCATAGCCGCCCGAGCTGGCACCGTAGGCACCAGGCGTCGACTGTCCGTAGCCTCCGGGCTGTGAGTCGTATCCGCCCGGCTGCTGCCCGTAGCCGCTCTGCTGCGGTTGCTGCTGGCGCTGGGCAGCGTTGCCGAAGAGGTCGTTCCTATTGGCGTCTGTGTCGGTCGAGTTGGTGCGCCCAAGGCCTCCATAGCCGCCGGGTCCGCGAGCGCTCTGCTGTGGCGCAGGTGAGCTACCGTAGCGGTCATTTCCATAGCCGCTCTGGGCACCATAGCTGCCTCCCTGAGCACCGTAGCCTCCGCCGCCTCCGCCGCCTCCACGACCTCCGTACTGCTGGCCGGGGCCGGTCACGGCGGGTGTCTTCTCCTGGCGGTAGCTGTCATTGGGGCCCGAGTATTGTGGTGGCGGTTGTGCGTAGGGGTCCTTGGCTGGTGCGGCGGCGTCTGCGATATGTTAGAGGTATCCTCGTGGGTGCTAGGCTGCGACATACATGGGTTGCTCTGCGTGGGTGCCTTCTCGCTCTTCTTGCGGCTGCCAAAGAGAGCGTTGCGGTTGCTCTCGTCGCCGTCGTCCTTCTTCTTGCTGAGGAACCCCATCGTTGCGATGTGGTGGTGTCGAGTGGTTCGAGGTTTGGGTCGAAGTGGACTCCTGCTGCGGTTGCGGCTGAACAACGGGTGTGGGGTTAGCTGTCGATCACTTGGGCAGCAACACCGAGTTCAGTGGTGGGAGTCGAAGATTGAATATGGCAGCACTCTTGTTCGTCCGGAAGTCGAGGACAGGCGACGGCTTATGAAAGTCGCAGGAGAGTGGCAGGATGTTTGAAGGGTAGCCGAGTGCCGCGTTCTCTGTTTCGAAAGGGTGCTCAAGCAGACGCTTACGCCGTCATGAAGGCTGAGCTGCGGCGCATCGGCTGGCGGTTGGGCACTGCATTCTGCACAGGACAGGGCAGTCCATTTGCGGCCAACAGTGAAGCCACGCGAGACAGTTCCTTTGTTATAAGACTATATCAGAAAAAGTCTTCGTTAAGCTCCAATTTCTCCATGTTGTCAGGAGGAGCGACCGTTCATCGTTGGTGTTCCCGGCTTGGTCCCTGCATATTGCTACGGCCGGCCATTGAACGCATTCATGCAAGACTCGTTCAGACCCAGATTGGCCCATGCAAAAAGCAGCATCGCGGAAATCGTTTCTCAATTGCGCAAGTATGGGTATCTCAATGCCGATGCGGCCATCTACGCAAGCTCAAATACACGTGCTGTGTCAAACCCAGCTACACCGTTCCTCCAGACGCTTGTAGTCTGTTCCACGCTGTCGTTGTCCACGTCGAACCGTGCTCTGCTGCTGGTGCCAGTTCCTCGTCGGAAGAGGGCAGCTCGTCATGCTCCTCCATCGTCCAGATCTCGTTTCCTGTCACCACTGGGAACGACGTCAGCACTCTGCTGACATCACCCCACCAAACCTCGCCAAAGCGACGGTACCAGTCCACTGTGATCTTCAGTCCTTCGTCGAAGTCCATCTTGGGCTCCCACCCCAATGCAGCCAACTTCGAGCCGTCTGTCGCATACCGCCGGTCGTTGAACGGTCTGTCAGGCGTATGCTGCACCCACTTCTCGAGATCAGCCGGGCTCTGACGTGGTATCCCAAACGTGTCTAGGAGGCGGTGACAAATGTCCGTGTTCGACACTTCGTCTTTAGAGGCAATGTTATAGACCTGACCAATCACGCCCTTGTGCAGGATGGTGTCTAATGCGTCGACTATGTCTCCTGCGTATAGATATCGCCGCGTTGGTGACCCATCACCGTGTACGAGCAGCTTCTGCTGTCGCTGTAGGAGCATGATGAACTTTGGTATGATCTCTGCAAAATGTTAGCATCGAAAGATGTGTAGGCACGGGCGACATACTCTCAGGGAACTGATGTGGTCCATAGACGTTGTTGGCGCGCACAGTGATGAGCGGCAGCTTGAAGCTACTCCTGTATGCGCTGACCATCATCTCCGCTGCAGCCTTGCTTGCTGAGTACGGGTTTGTAGGCGCAAGTATGCTGGCCTCGCTCAGATCTGCCGCGCCAACTGGTACGTCTCCGTATACTTCGTCCGTAGAAATGTGTATGAAACGGATGACGCTGTGCTGCCTCGCTCTTTCGAGCAGGACATGTGTGCCGTATACGTTAGTGTTCGTGAACTGATACGAGTTGCCAAAGCTCAAGTCGACGTGTGATTGCGCCGCGAAGTGGAATATGGTGTCGATCATGTGCTTGCGGAGCACTCGCTTGACGTCGGCCGGCGATGTAATGTCGCCATGCTCGAATGCAAAGTTTGGTCGACCGTCGAGTATTCGCGTGTTGTTCAGCGTCGCGCAGTAGTCGAGTTTGTCGAAGGAGATGATGTTGTAGTGGGGATATGTGAGCACCAGATGGCGGACAAACCAGCAGGCTCTATAGTTGCATTAGTATTCAGTCCCAATTGCAAGAGTCAGTCGCACAGCCAACGACCTTCAGACGTCTCTTTCGCTATTCACATACATGAACCCCGCCCCACCAGTGACGAGTATGTTCTTTGCATCTTGAAGCGGCTCAAACTTGGTGCTGCCCGTGAAGATGGGCGCTTGCTTTGACAGCTCTTCGGCGACGTAGGACCGAGGATTTAGTATGGTGGAGTTCCGGCGCGCTGGGCCTGAAGTTAGTATCTGAGACGTGTACCTGCAGTGATAGGGACCGTACGCTTCACGTCATTCGAGCCATTGGGAGCGTTCTCCAGCGGTTCAGCACTTTGGACGGCCGTCATGTTGGAGGGACAAACTATCGCAGCAATACATAAGGAGTGTGAGTCTTTCGGGCGCGTCAAGCGCGTCCCTCGAGATTTCGAGACGAGTTATACGGGGTCGCATGTTGATGATTGATGAGAAATGGTACTAGTGCAGGATGGGAAAGCCTTCCGCTGCTTCGTTGATTATGTCGCCCAGCCTTGTCCTGAGGCCGTCTTACGAGCGTTGTAATATCGCAGTTCATTCTATCAGTATTCAAAGGTACTGTTATACTCTTATAGTATAACTCGTCAATGATAGACAGCACACGAGTCGGGTTTGTGGCGAAGCGCCTCTCCAGAGTATTTGTAAGATTCAGATAATGCTGTAACTGAGGATTAATGGGTATGTATGTCAATACAACTGAGCACAATTGATGAGGGCGGTGATGTGAAATGTCAATTGGTGTACTATCGAAGGGCAAATGTCTACAGTGTGAGGGCACGAACGCTGACTAACGAGCTGGCCAATGAGAGCGCCTGCTGCGCGGACAAGAATGCTTTCGTAGGCCAGCGAGCCACAGTAATGATAACACTAAGCGACAGCAGTCAGGAACGGCATTTCGCCCTTCTTCTTCACCGTCGCCGCCCGCTTGATCAGATCGTCACCAACCGCCAACCTCAGCCTCTCACACGTACTTGGCGAATCAAAGTTCCACTCACCGGGCACAGTCGTTGCCCCATTCATTTCTCTCGCGGCCTTAACTGCCTCCCTCAGGGCAAAGAACACCGTACTCCCCAAAAACAGCGGGGGCTCACCAATCCCCTTACTACTCTGCACGCTCCTCAGATGATTCCAGCTCAACGGCTTGCCATTATTGTCGGTGCGTAACATAGATGCGTTGAAGATCTGCGGAATGTCGCTGAAACCGGGGATCTTGTATGTACCCGGCCCTTTGGTGAAGAGTTGGCCGGACGCGGTGTGCCAGAGGGTTTCTTCGATGGTGAAGAGGCCTTGACCTTGGATGAAGGCGCCTTCAATCTGGCCGTAGTCGATGGCCGGGTTGATGGAGTTTCCTACGTCCTGTTGTGGTGTTAGCAAGTACACAATGAAATTCAAGTCGAGGATGTAGAACATACCATCATGATATCGCTCCTCAACACAGTGTGGTCACCGGTTAGTAAGTCGAGCTCAACCTCACTCGCCGCTGCGCCTTGCGTCCAGTAGTAGTACATCGGCTTGACAGTCTCCCAGTTCGTGTCGCCCCATGTGTAGCCCACTTTCGGCATCTTCCAGAACCCGTTTGCTGCAAGGTTCACTCTATCGATGTACGCTGCATGCGCCAACTCCTTCAGTTTGGCATCAGGACCCAACTTCTCTCTATATGGCGCCAGGCGCTCGTTGATCTGGTCACATGCATTTTTCACCGCCATGCCGTTCAGATCCGAACCCGATGAAGCAGCGGTCGGCGACGCGTTGGCGATTTGATACGTCTGGCTGTCCTGTGTATATATCGAGTCGAGCGGCGTCCCGAGCTCTTGCGCCGCAATCTGACACATCTTCGTGTACAGTCCCTGACCCATTTCCGTCCCGCCGTGGTGCAGCAGCACGCTTCCGTCGGCGTAGATCTTGATGTACGCGGCGGCTTGATTGAGATGCAGCGCTGTGGCGAAGCTGAGGCCGAACTTGCAGGGTATCAGGGCGATGCCGCGCTTTTTCCAGTGGTTTGTCTTGTTGAAGGATTGTACCGCTGACTTCCTCTTCTCGTAGTCTGAGGATTTGGAGAGTTGGTGTAGCAGCATGGGGACGTGCCAGTCTTCGTCGATCCTCTGGAAGAAGGGCGTGTGTTGGCCGATGTTGTAGAGGTTCTTTTGGCGTAGCGAGTCGATATCCATACCCAGCCCTTCGGCGATGTTGTACATGATCGTCTCGGCAAAGTACATGCCCTGCGGTGCGCCGAAGCCGCGATAGGCTGTGTTGCTGTGAATGTTCGTTCTGCAGACGTTGGCGCGGAGGAAGACGTTGGGACATTCGTAGGAGTTGTCGAGATGTGTAAGGCAGCGGTCCATTACTGCGCCGCTCATATCTTGAGAAAAACCGCCGTTGTTGTACACGTCGGCTTTGAGAGCGAGAAGCTTTCCTTCGTTTGACACGCCGACTTTCCAGCGCGCTTGGAATGGATGTCTTTGCCCGCTGAGCAGCATGTCTTCGTCGCGGTTCAGCATGATGCGCACAGGTCGCTTCTCTTTCCTTGCAGCAATGGCGGTGTAGACAGCAAATGGGACACTGCGGGACTCTTTGCCTCCGAAACCACCGCCCATGCGCTTCACGCGGCAATTGATGCGGTTGCTTGGTACGCCCAGCACTGAGCTGACGAACTCTTGGGTCTCCATGGTGTTTTGTGTAGATGACCAGACTTCAACCGCACCATCTTCGCCAGATGGAATGGAGAGCGCAGCATTAGTCTCGAGGTAGAAGTGCTCCTGACCACCCATCCTGGTGGTGCCCTCGAAGATCCTTTCGCACTGAGCAAAGGCCTCGTCCATCTTGTCGTCAATAGCGAGACCCTTCCTCAGGTTCTTGCCATGCGGGAAGAAACTATTTGCGGCGATGGCTTCGTCGATAGTCAGGATCGGTTTGAGCACTTCATATTCGACCTTCACCGCACGAGCAGCCGCTTGAGCCTCCAGCGCAGTATCTGCATACACCATACCTATGACCTGCCCATGACTGAGAATCTTACCGTTGGCAAAGAACAGCTCGTCCTTCTTGATGGAACCCCACACGTTGACGTCGGCGGGAATGCTGTTCTTGTCGATGTAGCCAACCACGCCTGGCATGGCTAGTGCTGGCTCCCAGTCGACGCTGATAATGTTGGCATGAGCCTTCGACGACATTACCAGGCCGCCAAACAACTCACGGTCGAGTCGCGGCATGTCGTCGATATATTCGGCCTCTCCAGTGCATTGTTTCAGAGCGGATAGGTGAACGACCTGTTTGCCAACGACACGTTGTTCGTAAGGGTTGTAGTCGTCTCTTGTACCGCTTGAGATGGATCGGTGAATCTCGTCCACAACCTGCTCGTCAACATGGCCGAGACCTAATTCGACTCCCGACTCATGCCAGAAGCGGAAGAAGACCGACAGTGTGAGCGTCTTGCGGTAGTCTGCCATACCTCCAGGCACCTCATACGGAAGGTTGTAGTCCTCGAGTAGGCCACCAAGTGCCGCATCCAGCGTTTCCGAGTGGAACCATGGCTTTCCGAGTATGGCAGCTTGGGTCTTCGGCGACTCTTTTGTCGTGGGTGCCATGCCGCCATAGACAATAGACGCGTCTTCAACACAATCTTGTGCATCAAGGCGTATTCGGAATGCTGCCGTCACGATAGCAATATCATCGTCTTTTCGTCTAGCTTGCTTGTACGCTTTCAATACTTCCCGGGTATCTTTCGCAGGAATCGGTATGTGAATGCGTGTGATAGCAGCGTCAGCTGGCAAGGCTGTCGTCCGGTAGGCGAGGAAGAACTTGGACATCGGAAGATCGACACTGCCATCCTGTTTGTTGACAGCCTCGAGCGTGGCACCAGCTGCTATCAGCACTGGGTTGGCATCGGAAATTGGAGAAGCTGTTGCTATGTTTCCGGCAAGGGACGCAACGTTGCGGATCTGGCGACCGGCGAAGTACCGAAGCTGCTTTCGCAGGGCTTCCAAGACCATGGCCCGTTTCCCTAGCTTTGCATATACGCCCTTGCAAATCGCTTCCAGCTCAGTCAACGGTGTGTTCGCAGCCACGACGAGTTCCTTCGCGTTCTCCAAGTCTGCGTCTGATGGAAGTATAGTATGTTTCAGATCCGCTATGTCTGAAACGTAGACAGATACTGCAAAGTCCGAGTTTTTGAAACGAACTTCGACCTGGACCTCACTAGCACCACCGACAAGCTTCGCTGAGGGGTAGGCATCTTTCAGCTCTACTAAATGCTCGAGTTTCGTAGGTCTGAACCAGATCTTCTTGTCATTGCCGTAGCACAACGGCTGAGGTTCATACTTCCACAGCGCTGGTGGGAAGATAAGCTCAGCGTCCGGCACGTATTCCTGGAACTCAATTCGAGGAACGCCCCTTTCTGAAGGCGCAGCCGGAGCCGCAAGTGTTGTTGAAGCCTTGGTCTCAGCATCAGCACTGTGCTCCTTGCTCTTCATGGGCTTTGCATAGTCGGCTCCAATAAGGTCGGAGTCCGCCTGGGGTTCTTTCTCTACGTCGACGATTGCAGGAATGTGTTCGTCGTCTGAAGTTGATGATGGTTCTGTGGGTGGCGACGACGGTGCAGACTCGCTGTCACACGAGCTGCTACCTGATCTCGAAGGCCGGTCTCGACAGCAGCCACCAGGTCTACCACACGACACCTTTGACTGGCCAGCACTGCTAGTCTTGATAAAGTCGACCACCTCTTTCGCAAACTTCTCGGCATCTGCTGTTGTGGGTTCGTCTTCTTCTGCAAGCTGTCCCTTCAAGTCCTCCGTCACGAAGGTCTTTGCAGCGTTTAAGATAGGCTTGTACCCTGTACACCTGCAGAGGTTGCCGTCTAAGTGGCCTTCCATCTCAACCTCGTGCGCGCTGAGGTGGAACTTCTTCGTCTCAGGGTTGTATGAGTTTCTGACCACAGCATATAAGCTCATGACGATGCCAGGTGTACAAAACCCGCACTGACTGCCGTGGAGCTTTGCAATCCGCTCTTGTAGAGGATGTGGCCTGTCGACATTTCCGATGCCTTCGACGGTGATGACATGCTTGCCATCAATGCCGACCAGTGGGAACAAACATGCGTTCACTGCGAGATGCTGTATTCTCCTCTTCTCATTTCGACGATCTCCCACTTGTAGTACCACTGTACAGGCCCCACACCCTCCTTCGCCGCATCCTAGCTTGGTGCCCTTGAGGTCTGGTTGGGCGCGAATGTAGTCCAGCAACGTCCAGTGCGGGTTCGGGTTGCTGATTATTGTTCTTTTCCCGTTGACGTAACATGTAATGTCTGGTGAGGTGTATATTGATTCAATGAGAGGTGTCAAAGCTTCGGTGGCGTTCAGACCTCGGAGAGGCGCCGAGGCTGCGCTCTTGGGCGGAACAGGCAGGGTCATGATGAAGTTCGAATATAGGTATCTTCTCCCAAACAACGCTCAACGCATCGTTCCGAAGATATACCTTCTCTGCGGCAATCATACGGCATCATGACCCCTCAGTATCAGCGGCATTCACACTGTCCTCACGTAATGTTATCGATGATTGGGTGCCTGGCAGTGCATTCCGAGGCGGCTGCCGATTCGTGCACCCCACTTTCCAAACGGCGGGCGCTTTGTGCCTGCTGCGACGCGTCTTGTTCGCGCCTGCCCCTCCCCCATTTCTGCAACACCACTCACAAACATCCAAACATGGGATTTGCGACAACGGACGATCGCGACGGTGGTATTAGCGGAGGTACAAGAGATAGATGCAGGCACAAGAAATGCAATTATTGAAGTTCCTGCGTTCCTCGATTCTAACATCACGTCCCCCCGAGAATATCCTGATCAGTATCTCCAAACGAACATTAGCCAGCATGCCGAAAGCAGATTCACCCACAGGCTTCAAGCAGCTTCAAAATACTGCCCTCTTTACACCCTTCAAGTTAGGGCCCATTCAGCTTGAGCACAGAATCGTACAGGCCCCTCTTACGCGCATGCGAGCGACCAAGGAGAGCGAAGGTGTCACAGTTCCCAATGACTTGAACGTTGAATACTTCAGCCAGCGCGCAAGCAAAGGTGGCCTGCAGCTAACTGAGGCGACTGAAATCGCGAAATTTGTGAGTGATGGCATGAGTGTTTATCAAACATCAGCACTGACGACATGCTGGCTGGTGGCTACCCTGGCGCACCCGGTATCTTCTCAGACTCCCAAATTGCAGGATGGAAGCAGGTCACAGATGCTGTGCACGCAAAGGGCGGGTACATCTTCTGCCAGCTGTGGCACACAGGACGCGCCTCGCCTCCATCTTTCCGCAGCGGACAACAACCTGTCAGCTCAAGTGACATTCCCATGGACGGCAGCTGGGCAGATGGCACAGTATGCGCAGAGCACCCACCACGTGCGCTGACCGTCGAAGAAATCCAACAAATTGTCAAGGACTTCGGATCCGCCGCAAAGAAGGCACGTGAGGCTGGTTTCGATGGAATCGAGATTCATGGAGCGAACGGTTACCTCCTTGATCAGTTCTTACATGACAATGTCAACAACAGAACAGACCAGTACGGTGGCTCAGTCGAGAACAGGACAAGGCTACCTCTCGAGGTCATCGAGGAGTGCTCCAAGGCCATTGGTGCAGACCGCGTTGGTATCCGTCTTAGCCCGTACAATTACTTCCAATCGACCAAGGACAGTAATCCCAACAAGCACTGGGAGTATCTTTGCGAGAAGATTGCGACATTGCCTCAGGATGTTAGGCCCGTATACGTACACATGTAAGCGTACTGTCCGGCAAATGATATTTGCGAACAAACTGCTGACGAGTACAGGGTCGAGCCACGTTTCGACGAGGTGCTCGACGAACAGGCCAAAATGGACGCTCTCTCAGCCTACACCTCGAGCGGCGGCAAGGGTGTCGAAGCCGAGGCTACAGTCAAGGTCAAGGGCAACACCCTCATCAACTTCCGCAACACCCTGAAGAAGGGTGGCGTAAAATTTATTGCAGCTGGTGGCTTCAATCGTGATAACGCAGCACCTAAGATCGAGTCTGGCGACGCAGATCTTATCATCTTCGGTCGCTGGTTCATTGCAAACCCAGATCTGCCGAAGAGGTTGGCTGAGGGTCTCGAGCTGAATCAGTATGACCGTAGTACCTTCTACGGTGGCAATGCAAAGGGGTATACAGATTACCCTTTCTACGGACAGAACGTCTCTGCCTGACTCAGTACAAGGCTGTGGGGAGTACACTGCACTGCTGGCGTTCAGATTGAAAGAAGGTACGGGCCAGCACCGATTATATAGAGTTGCAATTGCGAATAGCATGAACATCCACTTTAACTTGAAATGTTTCAGCGTCCTGCGCGTGTGATACTTTTCTCAAAATGACTTACTGTTCGGCTTAGCGTGGTTCTCGCGAGGAAGGAGCGTCTTGCGGGTGCCTAAAGAACACAACTACACCAACAGAAGATGGCCTCCAAGTCAATGCTCACCTCTTTATTGCGTAAGCAACAGACATGAACCACAGCGAATCCTCTTCCATACTTTCGACGGTACTTCCTGGTCAGCCAATGAGATGGACGGCCAGCAGGGAGGAGACGCAACGCATCAAACAACACACCTTGCGCTTGATCACCTGGAATGTCGACTACTCAGCATGTCTACACGGCGCGCGTGCTGCAGCAGCACTTTCTTGTCTCTACACATTGGTCACCCCATCCCTTGGAAGAAGGACAGCGGTTGTGATACATCTACAAGAAATCACAGCTTCAGGCCTCATTCACATCGCTCAAACAACATGGGTGCAGCAACACTTCTCACAGAAGATTGGATGACGCTTACAGTGAAGTAACACTCATTGATGTGTCGCGTTTACGGTTCATGAGTGAATATCAGCGGACCACTCTATTCGCAGACGTGTGCTTGCCCTTCTTTCAAGCAACATCAAACGGTGTAGAAGGTCTCAAGATTCTGCGCTCAGCAAACGTCCACCTCGACTCGCACCCCGGTGCATTGCGCCCAATAAAATGGTAAGGCCTAGCGCAGTAGGTACAACGACCTGAGCGTGAAGCAAGCATCGTAGCCGGCGACGTCAACGCAACGACCGCTCGCGATCAAGAACTATCCACAAGTCACAGCTTTCAGGACGCATACATCGTCCTCGATGGCACAGAACGGGATCCAGAAGGCACGACCTGGGGCTTTCAAAGCATAGATGGAAGTCGATATGGACCTCAACGACTCGATCGACAAGTCTTCTGGGGTGCTGTGCAGGTACAAAGCCTACAATGGGTGGGTGTAGGTGTGGAGGCCAGCGATGAGCAGGCACGAAAAGCTCTTAAAGATGAAGACAAAATCCCTTCGTCACCGATCACTATGGTTTGATGGTAGAATACGTCCTGGGCGATGGAAGAAGATAGGGAAATCGCATTTCGCCGACGATGCTCCATTCTCGGATCGCGCATCATTGTCGGCAATCAGTTGGCGGGTCCACCGCACGCCTTGCTCCCAACACAGCTCCTGCCCCCTATCTTGATGTCCTAGACCCGTCCTTATCAATCATGCACGCCCTATATACGCAGCAGCCAGGATCCTGTGGTCTTTATAGTCTCGAAGCCGTTGACTAAATGTTGAGCCGCGGATGTGTCAACAGCCATGTCGGCGTTTGTCAGCCCTCGCCACGTGCGTCAGGACGCCGTGAGCCGCCAGACCCCAGACCCAGTGCGTGCGTCTCCAAGGTATCCTATACCTCATGTGGGTTTGAGGCTTGCCAATCATCCTGTTCACCACCCCCCACTCTTGAGGTTGTGAGCCCGAAGGATCGTTAGCGACATTCACCCCGCCTTTTAGTGCGATGCCATAGCCTCGAGCTTGACCATGACATCTACCATGGTAGCGGATATGTTTGCCCTGATAAGCTCTCAGGAGAATACCGCTCCGACCCGGAGTTATGTGGAGCAACGGTGTCTTGCCTCGGACCCTTCGGACCCCCCCATTATACAACTCCACTCGCCCCCAACCTTCAATTGCGTACCGAGCATCACGATCTTGAACATCATCTTGCAAATTGGCCATGGCTTTAATTGTTTCCAATCAATCGAGTACTATGCCACGAGATCGCAAGAGAAGAAATGTCACAGGCAAAGTTGAAGGGAGGAAGTTTGTCTGTGACAATGCTGGGTGTGGGAGAAGCTTCACCAGAGCCGAGCACCTTCAACGGCATCTGTTGAATCATTCAACTGGAGAATACACTTGCGACAGATGTCGAGCTCACTTCAAAAGAAGAGATTTACTTGGTAAGAAAGACATTTCGTAACATTCGTTGGAGAGGATGCTTACACGGACTTGGCTCTTCAGCGTCACACACGTGCTACATTCTCATACCAGGCAAGAGTGGAAACCACTACCTGCATGTCTGTCTTTCACAATGCACGCTCTTACACCGTTTTGCTTTTCATTTGCACTTTCTTCTTGAGGGCCGTGCTTTCTCCCATCTGAGCGATCCTGAACTGTTGGTTCCAAGACTTTGGTTCACTGCGGTCTGCCCCCACTGTACGTTATCGAAGGGTCGTTGCATGCCTCACACGTCCCCTTGCCTTGCATGTACTATGGCAGACTGCATACTGTTGTCTTCGAGTATCATCACTGACAAGATGGGCAGAGAGGCATATGGCCCGTCACAAGCAGAAGGATGAAGAAGCTGGTGCTGAGGGTTGCGGCATCTTGAACACTCGTAAGATTCCTGCACACTAAACAACTCACTTCCAAAACTGACCCAAAGAAGGCAAGCGCATGTGGAAAGACGCCGAGGGCAAGATCGTGACCAAAAAGCCTGCTATTGCGAACGATGCCCAGAAGCCACAGCCGCCCCGGCAGCCACAGCACGACGAGCCACTACAGGCCCTTGCGGACTTTGCCTTGTTTTCAACTCACGAAGAAGGAGCACCAATATCACCACCCATCTCACACAACGCGTCACTGAGCAACTCTCTAGACGATCACGACTCTGGAATTGCTTCAGGATATCCACCTACAACTCTCGACCCCAACGCACTATCGTCACAGACGTTCTCGCCGATAGACCAACGTTTCTGGTCCACTGATCTCTCACAACCCGAGCCTGACCCGTTCGCTACTACCGTTTTTGACGATGCACCATTCGACGATATCTTTAACCCAGATACAGCAAGCTCGTTTAACAATCCATTTACTACGATGAACAACTACAACTGGCTCTTTGATATGGACTTGGCCCAGGCTACTCAAGTTCAGCAGCAGCCAGCCGTACACGATCCATTTCCCAACTTTTCATTCGCGAACAACAACGAATCCCAGCCTAGCCATGCATTCGACCTCCAGCTGGATCATATGAGCTTTGACAAGCCACTGTCAACAGGGGGTCAATTCGGATCGCTTCCATCACAGCGAACAGATTCAGTGGTCCACCATTCTCCCACGGCACCGTTGATCACACCACCGCTAAGCGAAGAGCAGCAACCAGAACGCAGTAACTCAACACATGTTCCTCATACCAGCGTTTCCAGCGTTCAGCCATTTACAAGTAATCTGCCTCAGATACAGCCAAACACTTTATTGCCTGACGTTGAGCGGCCAATGTCAATGTTTCAGCCCTCACGGAGCTTGCCTATAATTGATGAACTGGCTCGACAACAGATACTGGATCTTATCGACATTACCCAGCCTACGGCGCCAGATGGCAGCATCGTCATGCGAGACCATCCTCTTCTGTCTCTGAGCTGTCTGCAAACATACTGTGACTTGTTCTGGACACGCTTCAACACCACATACCCACTTGTGCATATGTCAACATTCGAGCCATCCCATGTCGACACTCTACTGCTAATGACCGTACTGCTCCTCGGGGCCACATACGGGGAGAAGGATGCCCATCAGCTTGCAGTACGTCCTGAACGCTTCAACAGTGCGATAGGCAGCTGCTGACATACACTAGGTGTGCATACATGATGTCTTGAGACCACAGATCTTTGCCAATGCTGGGTTCTCCGCAAAACCTGACTTGTGGGTGCTACAAACTATTCTGCTTGTTGAATGCTTCGGGAAGAGCAGGGCAGGGCAGAAGCAACACGACATGTCACACCTTTTCCACGGGCTGCTGATCAACCTCATCCGTCGAAGTGATTGTCAAAGCATTCGGCCGCCCACTCTGGAAGATGCCACTGATGACCTCGAAGACGACTGGCGGACGTGGGTGAGCGCTGAGCAGAAGAAGAGGTATGTGACCATGTACGGTGCAAGCTATGTTTGCTGACAGCAATAGACTTGCTCTCCTCTGCTTCATGTGGGATACACAACATGCAGTGCTGTTCTGTCAGTCCCTCTGCATGTCAGCTTTCGAACTTCGATCAAATCTGCCTTGCGATCAGTCGCTCTGGGAAGCTGACTCGGCAGAGACCTGGCACCAACTAAGGCAGAAGCAGCCCCCTACCCCGCTGTTTCTGTCTTGCTTGAAGATGTATCTGCATTCCAACGCCACGGCAGTCCCAAAGAACCTCAACAACCTCTCCCGTTCACTCCTCCTACACGGTCTTATGTCGGTAGCATGGGACATGCAGCGCCGCGATCAGACCTCGCTCGGCGACCCCATCACCGCCAACCCCCTCGGTAATTGGCAATCCCGTCTCGCAATCTCCTACATCGCCTGGCATGCCGACTACGAAGCCTTCTGCAACACCTACAGCGCTCGCCTTCCTTCGCAAGACCATTTCCTGGCCAAAGAATTCCAAGTTATACGCTCCGCAACCCTGTCCCTCTATCACTCTGCCCACATCCTCCTGCACACGCCCTTCCTCGACTTGCAGATCTACGCTGGGGCACGCCACATCCTTGGTCGCCCTGTCGCGCGCGCAGACTACGCACGCAGCCAGCGCATTGTGAAGAAATGGGTCACAGAAAACGTCAAAGAAGCAGGCAAAGCCGTGTGGCATGCCGCTGCACTGGTGAATCAGGGTGTCGATGTTCTCGACGGCGAACTCGACGTCGGTGCCGGGCCCCTCTGGCACCATCCTTGGGCCGTGTATCTGGGTACACTGGTCGTGTGGGGAGTGTGGTATGCGCGCCCTGTTCCTCCTGCGACGGCTATTCAGGTCGAGATGCCGCCGTTCCCGATGCATGATGATGAGGATGAGATTATTTGGGATCCAGCGGCTGAGATGAAGAGTCTGCTTGATACGATTAGTAAAGCTAAGCCGGAGATGGTGCTGCAGGTTGGGTATAACGAGGGGATTTCGGGCGCGGTGGGGAAAAGAGGGACAAATGGGCTTGTGGTGTGTGTGATTCGGTGTTTGAGTAAGGTCAGGTGGGCGGTGGTGCATGATGGGATGATGGTACTTAGGGGGTTGGTGCAGTGGCGGCTGGTTGGTGGGAGTGGAGGGGCCATGTTTTCGTAAGGATTGGACACTTAGGATGATTGATACCAGGCTAGTGCAGCGCGGTATTATTATATGCAATGTTATTATATGAACTGAATTGCAATGCCGAAATGACAACTTGTAAACACATATTGGTACATGAAAGGAAATGCCATGCCATCGAAGGCAGCGAATGAGGCCTTGAGCACTAGACATCCATCACATGACAGCGTTAACGCAAGCCCTGCGAAAACGTCTGCAAGCTTCTTTCGCAATGCATTTTGCTAGTATCTCCTTTTTTCTTGATGAACGAGATTTCTTGCCCTTGTCTCTTTGGCGGCTTTGAGGCTAGTTCCAGACCCCTTGTTAGTGTTTTGCTGAGAGGTTAGTGGGCGAGCCCATTTCAGGTCCAGCAGGCTCAGTGTCAGGTGCTTTATTTGTCGCGGTGTCTGTTCAATTGAGTCTGAGAGTTCGACGTTGCTCAGCAGCTTTCCTCCGACCTCAAAGGGAACATCAGCGATGGTCGATAACGATGCAAACTTAAGTCTCATTTTTTGAGCATTAGGTTCCGCTTTGGCGATCTAGCCTTGCGTCCACACGCATCAGAGGCAGCCGAGTCACCTACCAGATGGGACGTTAGCGTGTAGGCTCTTCACCTGCCTGTACGTCTGTCGTGGCTTCTGGTCGATCTAGCTTAATTGTTGGAGTATGTTGAGAGAAAAAGTACTACGCTGGATTGGCTATCTGGGCTGGGCTGAGCTACATATATATAGATAGCCATACATGAGCTATCCTAACTGGTACTAGAGTAGCTCTGGCCAAGGCCGTTGGCCGTTACATCAATAGCCTGAGAAGCCTCAACGGTAACTTCTTGATTTTCGTCCTGAGATACCGATACAGGTGCTTTGCTCCAGGCGCTTGTTGCTGGTTCTAATGATGGTGTCGTCAACGGCACTGTAGATGCTTTGTGGTTGGTTGAAGGAGTTTGCTATTCGACGTGGCCGACTGTGCCGTCCGTACAACCGCAGCCAGGTTGCTCAAAGTCATTCTCCCAAACCTGGCATGATGAAATTGTGTCTGACTGATGGTCTGATGAAGGGATTATTGGCGTTATCCCAGACGTTGTCTAAAGGCCGTTCGACATGCGAGGCAGAAAATCCATTGGCCCCTTCACGTATTAATGTCTATCGTACTCCGGTAGATGTCCCGTCTTGCTGCAGGGTGGCATCGAGGATAAAGAGAATTCCAATCATGTTGGTCTCTCTCAGGTTCGACTGTCTCTATGAGATAATTCCCGCCATCCCGAGACCCAGATTGTTCATGACTAAAGTCTCGTTGCCTTACGAATACAACTACACCTCCTCTCTGTGTTTACTGTAAACATTTACGCAACGGACTTCACTCAGTACGGATAAGGTGCATAATTGAAGGTGAGGTTTGCGGCCAGAAGCAGTACGCCGCGAGAACGAATCAAAGAGCATACGGAACAAACGTGCACCGCAACATGAAGGAGAGACGCTGGTTCGAATTTGGTATATAATGGTAAACGAATGACTTTGTGTACTGGAAGTGTCGAAAAGAATCGAAGTTACAATGGTCTGAGCGTAGCATCGGACTAGCGTTTAGAAAGGGCGACACTTCCCAAAAGTGCACGGAAACTAACATCCACTCCACATGTACGCATGTATGCAGTGCGATTCCGTCTTCTATTCGCAATCGGCGGGCGTTGGCGTTCGGATCTTTGAGGGTCCAGCCTTTGCAACAGCCTGAACGCTATACAAAGCTCGGTATCGTTGCAGGTCCCTCAACTGTGGACACGACTAGGTGAAGTATCTCCACATCTCACTCTCTTCTCCATCACCCAGCTCGCTTGTCTTGACTTCCTGCGCCTTAATCTTGACACCCTGCTGTTGATTCCTTCTGCGATTGTCCATCTTCATCCAGCCGCCCAACCACAACGTGAACACGATGCACGTCACATTACACGCCGCTGTCGCAGCCAGCGTTGGAATGTACTTCGGTGCATACTCCTGTCTGAACGTCGCAGCCGACACGATGCCGCCCAAATTGCCTAGACCTACTAAAAGACCTGTTGTGGCTGCACGAGCGTTCTCGTTGAGATTGTTGTTGTTGTGCCACGAGTGGAACAAGCAGCTGGGAATGTACGCGCCGGCAGCAAGCATGAAGCACGCAAAGTACGCTACACCTTTGTTGGCCAAGACATCGATTGATGCAAGGATGATGAGGCCGACGAGCGAGACGCATAGCGAGAAGACGACGTGGAAGGTGCGTTCGCGAAAGTGGTCGCTGCTGTATGTAACGCACAGCAACACCACGAATCCAACGGCATTCGGCGCAACGGTCCAAAGATTCGTCTTGACAAGGCTGTAGCCAAGCCTTTGAACGATCTGGGGCAGGAAATTGGACGTCGTATTGAAAGCGACCGGATAGGTAAAGGCGATGATACACCAGGGGACCATCTTCCAATTGCTCCACTCCTTGAAACATTCTCTCATGTCGAAGTCGTGGCTTGTCGAAGATGATAGATCGCGCAGTGTGCGGCGCTCAGCTACTGCTCGCTCGGCCACGTTGAGGAACCACGCCGATTGAGGGGTAGCAGGCAGCCAGGCGTAGGCAACGAACGCGATTACGACAGTCATTGCGCCTGGTCCCAGTCAGTATTGTACTCCATGATTTCAAAGTCCTTACCCTCAACGATGAACAGCCACTTCCACCCCGGTATGGTAGCATGGTGGATCTGGAACATACCAAACGAGATCAACCCACTAAAGGCTCCAGCAAGCAGCGCACTCCCGAAGAAGATCGCAATGCGAAACCCAAGCTCTCCACGAGTGTAGAAGAGTGTCAAGTAGAATACTACACCAGCAAAGAACCCAGCCTCAAAAGCGCCCAGCAGCAGTCGAATGACAAGCATGCCAGCAAAGTTCGTCGTGGCGCACTGGAACAGCGCCATTGCGCCCCAGCCAACCATTACTGTATCTCTGTCAGCTCTGATCTCTTCGACTATCATGAGGACAATAACCAAAGGAGAACTTACGGCTAGGCAACATAATTCTCCCACTCCACTTCTTCGTCAATATATTCAGCGGCAAATCACACAGCCCATTCGGAATGTAAAACAGCAAAATCAGCAGACTGTACTGCTCACCTGTAAACCCCAAGTCCTTGTCCATGCCGTCCGTCTTTGCGTTGCCGAGGTTGCTGCGGTCGACGGAGTTGAAGAAGTACATCAAGGACAGGAAAGGGAGCAGGTAGAAGTCGAGTTTGCGGACTGAAGACGTTAGATGGAGAAGACGTTAGATGGAGTCGTAGCGGATGAAAAGAGGGGAACTACCGTATGCGCGTTCGGCGGCCTTATCGATGGTCTCGAGAGCTGTGCCTGTGCCATGGACCTTTTCGAAACTGGTAGTTGACATGTTGCGTTTCTCTTCGTCGATGAAGATGGTTTGTGTTTGGTAGGATGAAGAGCGATAATGTTCGATGATCGACTGGAACAAGAAGAAGACAAGGTGGACTCATCGAAGACTATACAAAGTCGACAGCCGTGCCAGCTGAGGGCTTCAACGGGGTTGTCGATAGTTCAATGTTACTACTTTCCCTATATACATGGTTGCTCCGCACTCTCAAGCACTGCACCTCCATCTTTGATTTACTCCTATCGAAAGCATAAACTCTCACTTATAGTCACATCCGACACAATCGGATCATGGGGTTCAGGCAAGTGCATGCATCCTATGATAGGCTGATAGAAAGTGACAAAGGGAGAAGATAAGAGTGGGGGCACCTGAGTCTGCATGTGGTTTGGTGGCAGAGATAGACGAGAGAGAATGTGTACCACGACGTGTGCAGAACTCCACTGGAATTCCGCGCAGTCTCTGGCGTGCACCGTTTCGAACCTGCAACATCGCATTCGGGTAGATCTTGGAAGTCGTTGGCGTATGATTTAGAAGAATAGAGTGAATTTCATACATGGCAGCATGCTCTTTACAACAACGTGTATCATGTATATCGCCCCAACCCACAACTCAACGCCGTAACTATGCTTTAAGAAACGTATCCGTCAACCAAAAACTCTACTGATCCTTCATGAAGCCCTCGTAGTAGTCATCCATCCAGTTGACGGCGACCATACCGTTCTCCCTGCTGCCGCTTGCAAACCTGCGTACTGTGCCAACGTAACCATCAGGACGTACGTTCAAAACAACGACCTCGTTCTCATCGAGTCCATCAAGCCACTTGTCCGTGACGGACTGCTTACGAGTGTCTTTATGGGGCACATCGTCGAGGTAGAACGACCAGGAAGACTCGCGCAAGACAGGTGGTAAATCCTTGATCTCGATCTCATCACGGTTCTGATCAGTGACCAGAGCATATGTGAAGATGCCGCTGACAGGTGTGTATCGCTCAGGAATGACGAATTGGTCATGGGGCGCGGCAAGAGGGGGTTGCATGGTATACGAGGCGTTACCTGCGGCGGTGATGCGGCCAACGTACGAGCTCATGCCAGACTGCTGGTGGCATATTGTCTCGAGGAAGGGCATTGCTTCCTGTACGTTGTGGCAGAAGAAGTAGATGCGGAACTGACCGAGTGCAGGGATGTCGGTCTGAATATCGACGGGGTTCGAGTCGATGAAGCGCGTGACCTTGGCAGGAGGAAGGAGGAAGCCTGGTGTGAGGTGACCTCGTGTGTACCCCTTGGCGTGTACGTTCACAACATTTGGTGTGTAGCTGACACCGTATCCGGAGATGAAAGCGACGTTCTTGGTGAAGTTTGCTGCAAGCGCAGCTGGATCTCCCTCATGGAAGGCATTGGCGTGCTCATAGTCGAAGTCGATGAGGTCCTGGGCAATCTTCTTGCGTTCCTGCTCGTAGGTCTCCATCAAGCTAGGCTTGGCAAGTCCACGAACAGCAAAGTTCATCTTCCAGGCCAGATTCCACGAGTCATGCATCGACGTGTTCATACCCTGTGCAGCTTTTGGCGAGTGGGTGTGACTAGCATCTCCAGCAATGAAGACTCTTCGTTCGGTGTCGGTGAACTTGGAAGCTACCCTTTGTCCAATCTTGTAACGTCCAAACCATTCGACGTTCCTCCACTCCAGTCTGTAGGGTTGCAGAATGGCTCGTGCACGGCTCTGTACAAATTCCTGGGGAGTCTGTTCGCCTGCTGACACAGCCGCTTCTGAGCCTGGTCGGAGCTCAATGTACAGACGCGTCAGACCACGTTCGCGAGGGATCATCAGGACCGAGCCCAATGTCTCTGACTGAACAACGACCTTGCTCCAGATATCTGGGAAGTCTGTGTCTAGTACACCATCCAGCACACCCCATACTGCATCTGACGACGCTCCAACAGGCGTTGAACCCGGGATAGCCTTTCGCACTTTGGAGTGCGCTCCGTCACAGCCGACAACATATCGAGTTGCGAATGACTTCTTGGCTTGGCTGACATCCTGCCTGCAGCTGACGGTCAAGGGCCGTATCATTTGTGGTGTGTATTCAAGACTTTCGAAGGCTGTGTTTCGCAGCACCGTGGTGCCGCGTTCTCGAAGATCGTCCTCGAAGACAGCTTCTACCATGCCTTGGTGGACCAACAAAATGTAGGGATCGAGAAGGTCGACTACAGGCGGGTAATGGACCTCACGACCGGTTCGATGCAGTGGCTCGTCGGTTGAGGACTTCCAGAATGATATGTCGAAGATCTTCACACCCTTTCGCAGGAGGGGCTCTGCAACACGCATCTGTCGCAGAGTCTCAATGGTCTTGGGCTGAATGCCATCGGCGCGTCCAGTTGAGGTACGGTCGGGTCTATCGTCGATGATTCTTGTCTTGATGCCATATCTTACGAGGTTGTCACTATACCAATTAACTTTGTGGAATATATTTGTTTCATACAACGTACGCAAGCATGAGACCAGATGGTCCAGCACCAACAACTAGCACATCGCTCATAAAGCTCGAGTAGTCATCGTCCTTGGTGTATGAGAACTGTGACGCAACCTCTAAGCTACTACCTGAGGAACGGGAGTCCATTGAGTCGACAGTAAGTCCGGGCGCCATCTTCTGCAGCTTTGAATGACCAGTAGGCGATGTTCTTTGCGAGGGAGGCGGCGTCTGATCAAATCCTGAGCGCTTCATGAAGTTCCATATTGAGGGAGACATGCTATATGGCTGGCCGTTCCTGATGTCGGTCCGCTACGTTCGAAAATGGGGGTACCTGAGGGATTCAGGAGGGGCAAACGTTCGAGCATCTGCTCGAGGTCTGCCCAGTTCCAACTGATGTAGGGCTGTCATGGCATGGTCCAAGAGCTCAGTAGCTGTGAAATTCTTTTCACAGGCCCCAATCAATGAGGTGACCCGTACATGGGGTTGCCGTTCGACGAAAACAGTGCATTGCAAAGTTGTTTTGGGCGACAAACGGAAGGTGCGACTCGGAAGCCCAGAACCCCACCTTTCATCTAGCAGGGTCCGAGCTGGAACCTCCACCACACTCCACCGTCATTCCGTCCTACGCGCGCGCGGCCGATCATGGAATCAACTGCAGCATGCGATTACGCTCTTGCTGCGCTCTCATCTCGTGAATTTAGATACAAACGATGAATGATAAGGACCACGCGTGCTGTGGACAACCTGCGCTCCACGCTTGCTCCTAGCCCATCTCACCTCCACCAACTTCGCCATGACCGCCTCTGAGGTACCACAGTGGCTGCAGACCGTTAACGAGAAACGGCTCATACGCGAGAAGGCCATTCACAACTTCCTTGGTGCAGACAAAACACGCTTCGAGGTACTTCTTTGCCCCTGAGTAAACCCCAAACAGAGAATTGACGGCGTGCTAGATACTGCAACTCGACGCTTTAGGAAGCACCAAAAGCAGTGCACGAGACGTTACCGCCATTGATAGCGTCGATAACACTCTGCAAGCGATTGCTTCTGGCGCCGTGAGTGCGTCAACGCTATGTGCTGCCTACGTGCACCGGTAGGCTCCGTGCGCAACTCCAAATGATCGTACCATTCTCACACCATAATTTCATAGGGCTATTGATGCTCACAAACGTGTACCGTTCCCCACCCAACCTAAATTCCGGGCCACATTGCTGACGGGCACAGACAAACTGGCACGTTTAGCTTTATGATTATCTGGGAAGTTTGGCTGACGTTGGCAGCCTTACCGAAATTCTTTTCGACGAAGCGATAAAGCAGGCCAATGGGCTCGATGAGCATTTCGGAAAACATGGCAAACTCGTGGGACCCCTGCACGGCATATGCATGACTTTGAAAGATCAGTTCGACGTTGAAGGATTCGACAGCACCCTGGGCTATGTCGGGCGTGCTTTCAAGCCAGCTATGCAAGACTGCGTTTTGGTGTCGCTTCTGAAGCAGATGGGAGCCATCATTGTCGCAAAGTCGAACCTTCCGCAGTCGATCATGGTACGTCACCGGCACGAGGCCTCCCGTTCCGGTGCCGCGTATAGTCGTAACGCTTACAATTTTCTTCTCACAGTGGTGTGAAACAGACAACCCGCTATGGGGACTCACCGTGCATCCGAAGAATCCCGAATTTACCCCCGGAGGCTCGACGGGCGGAGAAGGCACGCTCTTGTCGCTCCGAGGCACAGTAATTGGATGGGGAACGGACATTGGTGGCAGCATCCGTATACCGTCCCACATGAACGGTTTATACGGATTGAAGCCGAGTGTAAGCTATACCCTACGAGGCAAACTGCTCGCATACTATTCTTGCAGCCCACTGATAGCAAAACCAGAGTACTCGTTTACCGTACCAAGGCGTGTCAGTGTCGACAGATGGTCAGGAGCATGTGCCATCGGTGATTGGGCCGATGAGTCGGTGCATCGACTCGCTCGTAGCTGTGACCAAGGCTGTCATCGATGCGAGCCCGTGGGACCATGATCCAAAATGCTCTCCAGTACCCTGGCGGTCAGGATTGTTCGAAGACGCGCAATCTCGGCCGTTGCGTATCGCTGTCATGAGAGATGACGGTGTAGTGCGACCACATCCGCCTGTGGCACGCGTGTTGGAGGAAGTTGCGGCAAAACTTAAGCGAGCTGGCCATGACATAGTGCCTTGGAATCCAGGCAGTCTGCATCAGGAATGCATCGATATCATGGACCAATACTACACGGCTGATGGAGGCGAAGACATTAGGCGAGACGTCGAAGCTGGCGGTGAGCCTTTCATTCCACATGTTGAGGCACTGATCAATAGGGGCAAACCAATCTCTGTTTACTCGTATTGGCAACTGAACAAACAGAAGGTCGATGCGCAGAAGCGATACCTGGAGCTTTGGAAGTCGACAAGAAGTGCAAAGACTGGGGAAGAGATTGACGTTCTCCTCACCCCTGTGATGCCTCACACCTCAGTCCCACACCGCAAGTGTCGGTGGGTTGGATACACCAAGGTTTTCAACTTTGTTGATTATCCTGCGGTGGTCATACCTGCTGGCCAGGTTTCGAAAGAGTTGGATAGCGAGGCGGCCACAATGATGGATACGTATCAGCCCAGAAATCCATTAGATGAGTGGAATTGGAGCTTATTCAATGTGGATGCGATGGACGGCATGCCGGTTGGTGTGCAGGTCGTTGCGCGCCGACTCAACGAAGAGAGAGCGCTGGGAGCGGCGAAAGCCATCGACAACATTCTGAAAGATATGCAGCCTGCTGCTGGGTCAAGGAATGGCTCTGCAACATGAACACGAACGCTTCGCGATCATCGATCTCGAGCTTGGGCCTTCCACCGTGCGCATTTGCTACTCATGAAGACCAACGAATTAATGAAGAATGATCACATCAAAATCTTGTTCCATTTCACTTTCCATTATTCACAGCTTATCCGAGAAGCAGATATTGCCGACCTAGCAAGGCGTCTCCTTAATGATAGCAATCGCGACGGCCAGTAACAGATATCACGATACATCACAGGATTGCCGACGGCGGCTTCTGGAAACGCATCGGAACGGGAGCTAACACATGCGACACACGACTAACCCAAACGATAAGCATCCGTCGGTCAGGGTTGGAGGATCAAAGGTCCGCCCCCACCTTACAACTGCTGCCCCACCACTTGAGCCCTGCGTCACGATCCAACATAAGCGGGGGTAGCTGTTTACTTTCCCAAACACTGCTTCAAGCTTGCCCTGCATTCCCCTTCACTGCTTCCTGCCATCGTACCTCCTCTCCAACTTCAATACTACCAATTACCCAGGTCTCAAACATCAGCATGGGCAAGAAGAAGGTTCTTGTGAGCTATGGTGTTGACATTGATGCTGTACGTATGGTTGTTTAGTTATCAAAAAGCGCTGACAATGTTAAAGGTCGCAGGCTGGCTTGGTTCCTACGGAGGCGAGGACTCTACGAGTGATATCAGTAGAGGTTAATTGGCTGTTGTCGAGTAACGAAACTGGAGCCTGACATGTTGCAGGTCTCTGGGCAGGAACAGTAGGCACACAACGCCTGCTGAAGCTGTTCGAAAAATACAGTACCTTCTCAACTCTCTACCTCTCCACTACTGTAGCTAACACGTCTAGAAATTAAAGCAACATGGTTCATACCGGGTACGACAACCTCACATTCGTCAGGCTTTCGCTCCCGAGCATCCTTGTGCTAACGAGTCAGGTCACACCCTCGACACATTCCCTGAAGATTGTGCCGCTGTCCGTGATGCAGGGCACGAGATTGGTTTACATGGCTACTCGCACGAGAATCCCGCGGATATGACTTTCGAGCAACAACGCGATGTTCTCGACAAGACCTACAAACAGCTCACAGAGTTCTGCGGCAAGCCTCCTCGGGGCTCGGTAGCGCCATGGTGGGAAACTTCAGTCGAAGGCACAGATCTACTGCTCTCCTACGGCATCGAGTATGATCACAGCATGTCACACGAAGATCACAGGTGCTACTGGCTACGCACAGGCGACGAGTGGACGAAGATCGACTACTCGAAGAACGCGGTTGACTGGATGAAACCGCTCACAAAAGGCAAGGAGACGGGTCTCGTGGAGATCCCAGGATCATGGTACATCGACGATCTCCCACCAATGATGTTCATGAAGAAGAGCGCAAACTCACACGGCTGGGTGAATCCTCGAGACGTCGAGCAGATCTGGATGGATCATTTCGACTACTTCTACAGGGAGTACGATGAGTTTGTCTTCCCAATGACAATCCATCCGGATGTCAGTGGGCGACCGCATGTTGTGCTTATGCACGAGCGGATCATCGAGCACATCAACAAGCATGAGGGTGTCGAGTGGGTGACGATGGAGCAAATGGCGGATGACTTCAAGAAAAACAATCCAGTACCTGAAGGCGCGAAGGTGCCCGCGCCGCCTGGGGAGATTTTGAGGCAGCAGAAGGACGGCAAGGCGTACTCGTTGATTGACTACAACGGCCCGACAGAGTTCAAGTAGCTTTGTTTTCGATAAATTCAACAATATCTTCTTGAAACTTTGCCGAGTGCCCTGACAGCCCTGGAGTTAATGTGTCTACGCCTGTTTCGGAACGCTTATGATCCCGGTTTGGGCACCGCGTGATCTTTGTGCAAGCTTCGAAACTCACTCGCACCTTTCTTAATATGTTGAGCAACGATTTGTCAGCTTGTGGGCCTTTCTGGTCATAGACTACATGCACAACTTCACATTGTAACACGTCTCACATCCACCCTTCGGAATGATCGGAACCATAGCTCGTGCACAGACCACCGCGTCTTGCCCCTCACGAGGGCTCCTGCATCTTTCCCCTCCCCCACTCTTACACCTCCGGTACGTCTAGCCCACTGTAGCTGCATCCACAACCACCACTTTGCAACCGCCAGGCGCGTCCACCAATCTTCGGCATGCTGCTAGCCCGATAAGCGGTTCCAGTAAGATGCTGATGAGAGGGGAACTGTCAGTGCGATATCACGCGTCGTTGCCATCGATAGGTGGGCAAGATGGCGGCAAGGAGGGGCGGAGTGGGAGCATGACAATGATCATTGCATTTGTGCAGTGCCTTTATACCTCAAGTTCTAGATGAAAGTCTTGATTGCTATCACGAACACTGTTCAACTTACAATTGACGAGTGAGTATTGGCTCGGTGACATCATGGCACCTTCAAAACCACAAATCATCCAGCAGAAGCAGAGGGACGCATCGAGCAAGCTCGATGTAAGTCATTGAAGCAGATAATCACCATTGAAGTTCGCGGCTGATTCTAGATGCGCAGGTCACTATAGTAGGCGCCGGACTCGGCGGCCTAGGAGCAGCCATCTCCATTCTACTCGAAGGCCACAACGTGCAAATCCTCGAAGTCGCACCAGAGATTGGAGAAATCGGAGCAGGAATCCAATGTCTCCCCAATTCCACACGTATCCTCATATCCTGGGGCCTAGAAGATGCACTATCGAAATTCGCCACCACACCGCGATTATGCAACATGATTGGGTGGAAGGGCCAGAAAATCTCTGATATGGACTTCCATGAGTATGGAGCCCAGTGTGGGACGCCGTTTTGGGACTTCCATCGTGCGAATCTGCATATGGCGCTGTTAGAGAGGGCGGTGGAGCTAGGTGCAAAATTGACGACGAACTCGAGAGTTGTGGATGTCGAGTATGAATTCAGTGGTGACCAGACAAGAGCAATTGCCGTATGTGCGGATGGCAAGAGACATATGGCGGACTTGGTGGTAGGTGCGGATGGCATCAACTCGAAATGCAGAGAGATACTGCTTGGTCATGAGGACCCTCCACTGCTGACGGGCGATCTGGCGTACAGGTTGCTGTTGGATACAGAGCAGATGATGAAGGATTCTGAGCTGAGAAGTTTCGTCGAGGACCCTCAAGTCAACTACTGGATTGGACCTGATGCACACGCTGGTACATCCAATGGCCCTTGCATCTCATTACATGCAACTGACAAGCTACAGTCAACTACGTCCTCCGTGGTGGCAAACTCTTCAACATGGTTCTCCTAGTACCCGACGACATGCCCGCTGGTGCCAACACACTCGCCGGCAATGTCGAAGAAATGCGCGCCTTATATGCAAACTGGGATCCTCGAATCCCCAAACTCCTCGCCTTATGTAAAGACGTTTTCAAGTGGCGTCTCATGATCCGTCCAGGCCTGGATCCAACGTGGTCGCACCCCTCAGCTGCTTTCACGATCTTGGGTGACGCTGCGCACGCTACGCTGCCATATCTTGCATCTGGCGCGGGGATGAGTCTTGAGGATGGACACGTTTTAGGTTTGTGCCTTGGAGCCACCAAGGACAAAAGCACGTTTGAGAAGAAGAAAGCACTGGACATCTACGAGCGCTGCCGCCGTGAGCGCACCGAGCGCGTCGTTTCACGAGGGAACCGTCAACAATACCTCTACCACGTGCACGACGGCGAGGAGCAGCAGGAGCGTGATCGTCTGCTCAGCGAGTTTGCGAAGTTCAACGGCAAGGGCAAGGTTGAGAGGGAGCAGTATGAAGCTGCGGGCTTGAGTGTCGAGATGGATCCGTTGGCTTGGAGATGGGGTGGTGTGGGGAGTTGGCTATTGACGTACGTTTGCGAGGAAGATGTTGAGAGGAGGACGAGAGAAGTTGAGGCTGAGGCGAAGTTTCCGAGTCCGAGGAGGGTGAGTGACGAGAGTGTTAGGGCTGTGTTGTAAAGATCGAGTTAAACGCATATAGGCTGTTGCAGTAGATGCAATAAATGGAGGTGTGTAACCGCGCAGGGCAGTAAAATCAGTATATTCTGTTCTTGTTGTTCTGTGTTCCGCCTCTCACCAGGCCATCAGCAAGGTCTGTTTACATGGCGTATGTATCGTGCAGTCAAGGGCCAAAGGTGCTTGTTGGAACAAACAAGAGCACTGCACCAAAACACGTGGCACACATGACCTCCTTACTCCATAAACCGTCACATAGGCGTTAGGTGGTCTGGTTTCGAGACTTGTCAACAATCAAATCAAATCTGGATCAAATCTTTATCGATAACGTACTCCCCGGGTATGTGACCGGCCCGTGTATGGGACTGGATTTTGCCAAGACTCACAAACACCACAACTACATTGCAACACTACTGCACAAACTCAAGTTGTACTCTAAGCCCTAGTATATCAAATTACTCTAAAGTACCTTGCGCATCATTTTTGCACGTTCGTGCATTGTGTCCTGCCTTGCCACATGTGCCACAGCGTCTTGAAGACTGAGTGCCTGGTTTAATGCGCGCCTTCTTACTTGCTCCTTTGTGTGCTCATCAAAGTGCTTTAGCCACTTCAAACCAAGCTCATTGTTTGTCCAGCCGTTTGCAGACACATTGTGTCGGGAAGCGTGGACAGTGCGCATATGGGAAGAATTGACGGATTGAACTGAGGTTGTATTGGGTAAAGCTACGGACAGTACATATAGGTGAGTAGCTGTAAACAATGCTAGTGTGACGTGGCAGTCACTCTCATGGCAGTCGCTTGAGTTGCTCAACTGAGAGTGATGATCATACTGAGTGTCACCGACGCAGCCCCACTGCTCGGGTCGATCAATACTACAGTTCCTCGGCTCCTCTCGTATTGTTGCGTAGTCCTGTTCGTTCAGTGTTGTTGCGGGTTGCCCTTTGACCGTAACACCTCCACATCAGTGAGCCAGGGTGGGTATCCTTGTTTGTCTAGCTTCAAAATGTGCTGAACAATTACCTCCTCTTCAGTTGCCTCAAGCCTCATTGATTTGGGCCTCCAGTTGCATTGTGAGAGTCCTCTATTGCGTTGTTGTCTTAGTGTACTTTCTGACACCTTGTAGATGATTGCAGCGCGTGGCACAGTTAGATTTGCATATTGTTTAAGAGCCTGGATGGCGAGCTGTATATCTGATTCCTTTGAGACCTTTTTAGCCTTGTTGCGTTGAGACATCATGGGTTATGTGAGGTTTAGTGGGGTCTTGGCAAAATCCAGTCACATACCCGGGCCGGTCACATACCCGGGAAGTACGTTGTTCTTTTTAAGTTGCGATGACCTAATCGGCATTTGTTGCGCATGCTGGGAAATATCCTGCTTTCAACAAGTGAGACATAATTTCTTCTTTTCGGATGGGTTAGACTCGTCCCTCGCAATGACACCCGCTTAGTGATAGCATACTCATGACGACACGTTGAATGCAGTAGGAAAGCCTTGAATGTGAAATAGACGCGTCGGGCGCGCGGACATGGGAAACATGTCGTTAGCGCCGCTTACATCAGAACCCCACTCTTTCACCTCGTCATGAGCTTAGAGAGAAGACCATGTCATGAACATACAGACCAATCTTGGAATTATTTTGCAGGTACAACGTCGCTTGAGTCCAGATATCGTCAACAGTTATGTCACATCGCTGTCGTGTCCTTCGACCCATTTATACACGGCAATGAAGAAGACAAACGTGCGGTGGCGAGGCAGCTGTACGACGCGTTCCCAACCGTGGGCTGGGTGTACCTGAAGGACCACGGTATCCTACAAGAACAGGTAGATCAGATCTTCAATCTTGTACGTCAGTCAAAACATATATGGAAACGGTCATCTGACAATGGTCAGGCAAAAACCTTCGACCAGCCTTTGCAGGAGAAGTTGAGATGGCGCCTTCAAGATGCAGAGCTGAATTAAGGCTATACTGCTGATGGAAACGAGGCAAACGGTGGTGTTGATCACAAGGAGTGTTATGAGCACCGCCGATTCGCAAATCCATGTTGTCTGACTAAGACTGATCTTGTTGCAGTAAATGCAATAAGTGAAGGTGTAACCGCGCAGGGCAGTAAGTCAGGGGTAACCGCGCGAAGCAGTAAAATCGGTATATATTGTTTTTTTTCTTGTTCAGTGTTGTCTCTCTCACCGGGCCATCAGGGTCTGTTTACATGACGTATCTGTCGTTCAGACAGAGGTAGAAAGGGCTTGTTGGAAAGGGTAAGAGCACTGCGCCAACACACGTGGCACACATGACCTCTATACTCCATTAATCGTCACAGATCTACCAGGCTTCCGCAAGACGATCGACGAATTCTACGCGCAATGCTTGTCCTTAGGTCTCGATGTTCTCAAGTGCCTGGCGATGGCCATGGACCTCGGCGATAACTTCTTCGACGACATCACAAAGAGGGCAGACCCTCAATTACGTATGCTGCACTACCCGGCCATCAAGAAGAAGATCGTTGAACAGGAAGGACACGCCCGAATTATTCCGCACACTGACTTTGGACTGTGCACGCTTCTTTTCCAGGACTCTGTTGGTGGCCTTGAGGTTGACCCCTTCCACACCGGTGATTTCAAGCCTGCGCTGCCTGTACCTGGCACTGTTCTCATCAATATTGCAGATCTCATGCAGCGACTGACGAACGATCAATGTCGAAGCACGATGCACAGGGTCGTAAGCCCGAGGGTGTCTGGCGACGTTCTGCCCTTGAGGTACTCGATGCTGTTTTTCATTCACTCTGATCCAGAAGCTATGATCGACCCTATCATCAAGGAGAAGGGTGAGGTCAAAAAATACGAGCCTGTCAATGCTGGGGAATGGCGAACCTACAACACAAGAAAGAACTACACAAGCCTACCCGCAGCTGCTGCTTGAGCATAAACAACAAAGGACTTGCAGTCAAGACACCGTTCCAGCACTTACCATCCTTAGATTTGGATGTGCAAAATTAGATATTCATTTTGGTATACCAGTCTTTGATCAATGGCCGCAGCAAGATGTATGTTTCAAGTCAAGCCACCAGCCACGCCGAGCGCATCCCTTGCCGAGCGGCCCTCATTACAACGCTTTGTTTACGCATGCACCTTTCCCTCATGACAGCCTTGCGCCACCTTGCTCACTTCGATGCATCGCAAATATAATGTCGAGGACGGCTGCTTGCTACGACCAATTTGCGCTCTCAACCTTCTCCAGGGGCAACCATTGACATTGCCCTCTGCACAAATTCAATCAATCCTTGACCTTCATCCGACATGAGTCCGCGAATGCTGCAGCGAGATGCCAGCTGCCCCAATGGTGGCGTCTTCTATAGCTGCAACAAAGGCTTCGTTGGCTGCTGCTTGGTGGAGGCATGCAATCCAGGCGTTAGATGTCCGGCAGACAAGGACAGGACACCAGACGGATGTAAGTAATAACTATTCTTGAGAAGCTCGCAACCATCGCGATCTGACCTCGATCAGCTTCGAGTAAAGATGCATCGACCACAACAACCGTCATCACCAGCACTGTGCCTGCAGCACCGATCTCGTCAACAACCACAACAAGCGTCACATTGCTGTCAACAACAACATCGGAGCCGGTATCTACTTCATTACTCGCGAGCTCAACCAATCGAGCGACAGCTGCAGAATCACCAGCGCCCGCAGCTGCTCTAAGCGCAGAACACAGTCATGACAGCGGGAATGCGACGCCGACAGCTGCCATCGTCGGCGGAGTCCTTGGAGGTATTATTCTCATCTCGATCATTGTAGGTCTGTTGTTCTGCATTCGGCGCAGAAAACGCACGAAGGTCTACAAAGCGGCAGTCTGTCCCTCGCCGCATGTCGGAAGTGACATGTCACCGCATCCTCTCGGTAAGTACAACCGCACCCTGAGGGACGTAACACCCGCATACTGACAGTTTGCTTATCAAGAGTCAAGAGTCTCAAGATTTGCTGGATTAGTAGGAAAGAAACAGAAATTTGTGCATCATATCGACAGTAGGCAAGTGGCGCCGCCAGCTGAGATGGACGGGGCGCCACAGAGGCATAGTCTTTGCACGGAGTTGCCTGCAAGTAACAATAGCATACGGAATGTTTTGATGGTAGAGCTGATGTAGAATCTGTGGTAATGTTGGCGATTTGGTGTTCTTGCGAAAGACCGTGTAGGATGCGCACGAATGGTGGAATAATGTGATACCTCAAGTTGGAAGGCAAGCTCTTTTGTAGATCAATGTGAGATAATTCCAATTGATTTATACGTTCACAATCGCGATAAGAGAGACCTATGGATGGAAGGCGCAGCCAAGTAGAGGCACGTGACCATAATTTACTGCCCACCGCCAGCAGGTGCTGCCCCATCTGCACACCGTGGTGATTTCCCAAACAACTCTTTATCACGACTTAGCATAACACTTCTCTGGTGACCCCAAACAACGCGACTTTCGTGTCTGCTACATCTGAGCTGGTATTTACTTGACCGCAGCCTAACGATGCCCCGCTGACGTCATCTTCGGCCTCGAAGCCAGGACCACTCTGGTCTCGCGACTTAGTGGTTTTGAATTTGCAAAGTGTCATCGACTTCGCTACTCGTTCAGAATCAGCAAACACACTACAACAACATGTCCGAGCAAGATGCGATGGTTACAGGTGCAGCGCAGACGCAAACCAAGAGTTTACCCCGCTACTTTCGAAACAATGCTCCGTTGGGACGACGAGATCCTCACAAGCAACTGCTAGCATCATTAGATCGACTGATTACGGAGCATCCACCACACAAGATCCCACCTGGCGGTGGTCTCTACTACGGACCTATCTCTGTGGCTTACCTTTTCTACGCTCTTCACATTGAGTATCCGGACCTGAAGCTGGACGACTACCCATTGAACACGTGGTCAGCAGCCTACATCGAGCAAGCGCAAGCAAACATCAAGGAGTTCCCACCACCATCACCAAGCAAATGCGGCGTTTCAAATGACATCATGTCATTGCTGGCGCTGTACGCCGTGACTGCGAAAGATAAAGATACCGTCCGGGAACTCTGCGATCATGCGGCCGTGCTGATTGAGCCAGAAGCATCCAATGAGTGGTTGTACGGGCGTGCTGGCTATTTGTACCTGCTACGACTGGTCCGTGGAGCCTTCAAAGATAGCAAGGAAATCACAGAGCTCATCGAAGATACAGCTGATGAGGTGATTGCAAACATCATGGACAGCCCTCGACCATGGAAGTGGCATGGTAAGGCGTACGTTGGGGCCGTGCATGGCGCGATTGGGATCATTACGCAAATTGTTCTTACGGACAAGTCATGGGCGCCCAAGCTCCAGGCTGAGTTGACGGTTCTGCTCAGCTATCAGTACGAGAGCGGTAATTTTCCATCGTTTCTTCCGCCAGGCAAAGACCGCCTTGTGCAAGTCTGCCACGGCGCACCTGGTGTCGTCTCTTCACTGCTCTCTATTCGACCATACTTCCCTGATCTCGTAGACCGCATCGATAAGGTCATATCAAAAGCCAGGGATTGTATATGGGAACGCGGCTTGTTGACTAAAGAGCCTTGTTTGTGTCACGGCATCACAGGCAATGCATTGGCCCTGAAAGAAGAGCAGTTTGAGCACTTCATGACCTATACGACAGGCCACGAGATCAAGTCTATGGCAAAGGATCACATGTTGGAGAAGTCGGACGATCCATCCGCGCTATGGTGCGGTGAGGCTGGACGTGCTTGGGCTTGGGCAGTGGCGGACAGGGGATTGGCGAAGAGACTACTCGGCTACAACGACATCTGAAGGGGTACAAGAGCGAGCATGGACAGGGAAAAGTTAAGGTCACGATGATACGAACGGCATGATTTACGAAATGGTGAGGCGAGAGCTTATCGGAAGAGTTCAGTTTGTCCTACTGGTGTACAGCGCTAGCATTCATGGCCGGCTGCATAGTTATGGCTGACCTTCCTTAGCAAATACCTTGAAACTACGAGATTAAGGAATTTCAACATTGCGTTTTCTGCGACGTATCACGCCTCTGAACTTCGCCTTCCTACTGGCCGAATGCTGAACTCGGCGCACGGCTTACCGGACCTGGGCTGCTGTTCATCCAGACGTCGGAGACCGTAAAGTGGCCTAGGTTCACCATGTCGCGTGATTTCAACCCTAGAATCTGTTCTGACGCATCTATAGAGATAATTAACGCGACAAGTCTCGGTCGTGATGGGGCTTGATCACACAATGCGAAGTTTGAGCACCCCACGCGTTGTGCGACATCCCCTGCCAATCATTCGACTATGACTATGCGCCACACATATGCTCAAAGGCACCCATCGCACCACTTGCACATCTTTTGAAATCTCTACTGACTCAAGAGTAAGTAGGTAAAGGCACAATTAGTCAGCTACACTGGCGTCTTCGTCGTTAGAGTCTTCTTTCAGAACGGTATGGACGTTGCACAAGACGGCTGTCTGCGCAATACTCCGAGACGTACCTCGTGCCACATGAGGAAGGAGACACAGCGCCGTTATTTGGAAAAGCCCTATCTTTTCCACGTCAGCACTTGCCGCTTGACTGAACATTTTCCATGTTGGCGCCTCTATCACACGCCCTGCCAATAGCGCACCGCCTACACTATCCAAGTGCGCCAGTGAAGCTCTTCGTCACCTAAATTACTCTGATCGTTGTTTTGCCACGTGCGAAGGTCATATAGATTTCTAAGTCTAATCTACGATCGCCGCCTTCACCTTGACATTCACTGACCTCACTTTCCCCTCGATTCCGCATTCTCCAACTTTCGCTCATTCTTCCCATTGCATTACTCAACTATTGAAACTTTACAAGTGAGTGACTCTTCTAAATCATAGTGTACTTGAATATGGACTCTTTGCCCGGGCAACGCGTCGCTACCACTAAAACAACACCAAAAGGAGAGCGAGAAGCGGACCCTCGAAATGTCTTCGCATCATCGAACACACCAATTGTGCATAGGATGCATTGTTTTCCTGCAATATGAGCATTGAAAACGGATGACACCTCGATATGGAACGCGCAATTTGTGCGGACAATGGCATTTTTCACACCCTACCCCAGCTTTCCTCCGTTTGTTTGTTTCTGCTGCGTAGCATCCAGTCCCTCAGCCATTGAGGAGTCTTCAGTATCGTGGAGAAGGGTCTGACATTCCTTCAGCAGGCTCACGTCTACCCCTCATCGCTCCATTTGCCCAGCATGTTCATGTCGTGGGCTTCTTGGCTTCTTGCAGCCCTGACTTTCGTTTCTGTCGTTACTTGCACACCCGCAACGCCCAACTCGAAGAGACAGTCCGGCAGTGGAATTGTCACAGGAATCGAATCCAGAGATCTGAATGGTAAGAGACAGTTCCGCTTCCAGTATCTTGAGCTAACACAAGTACCAGGCAATCCCTTCCTTCGTCTGGAAGTGCGCGATATGCGAGCCAACTACCCAGATCAATGGAACCTGTACCTCTTAGGTCTTGACCAACTACATACCACGAGTCAGAAGGAGCCTAACTCATACTACGGCCTTGCTGGTGAGTAGCCACTGCACGCTAGCCTGTATACAGACTGAATGACCACTTCACAGGAATCCATGGGAAACCGTATCAGACATGGCTCAATGCACCAGGCATCAGTTACAAGATTGGCAGCTCCGGTTATTGTCCCCATAGTATGGCACTATTTCTGGGGTGGCATCGTCCATATCTAGCTCTTTTCGAGGTACGTTGGCACCAAGTATCCAGATTTATGGCAGATGTTGACCCTCTACAGCAAGAGCTATACGCCCGCATTCAGAGAATTGCCGAGTACGCATCTGCTGATCAGATCGAACGTTACCGATGGGCAGCATATTCGTTCCGAATACCTTACTGGGACTGGTCTCAAGGCGAGCAGAGCGGCAACGTACCTGATTTCTTCATGACCGAAACGACCGTAGTCACTACCCCCGAAGGCCGCAATATCGAGATCTGGAACCCACTCTACAAGTACGAGTTCAAGCCGGTACCGTCCGCAGGTGCTTTCGATGGCAAGGTAAGGTGCATGCACAACAAATCAATGTCAAAGCTAACGCAAGCAATAGTGGTCACAGATCAATACCACGATCCGATGGCCAGCGTCAAACAGTCCTTGGGAGGAGTCGCGCCAATCCGAGTTTGCAGCAAGCTTTGTCAACTTACGACGACAGATCCAAGACCAAACCGCGCTCGCATTCCGACAAGGCACCCTCAACGGGTTCTGGGAAGCCATTGAGATGGTGCATGGCTGGGTACACGGAGCAATTGGAGGAGGGTATTCCACTGGCTTTGGCGGCACAGGTCATATGTGGCCTCTCGAGTACTCGTCCTATGAACCACTGTTCTGGCTCCACCACACGTACGTTCTGGCCGCAAGCTATTCTCCCTGAATCGAGGCTGACAAAGCTCTAGTAATGTCGACCGCCTCTTCGCACTGTACCAGGCGCAGAATCCTGGTGCCTACCTCCAGCCTTCCAACGTCGGCAGCGCCGGCAACGTATTCGTGGAAGACAACACCGTGGTCGATGGAGACACGCCACTCCTTCCTTTCCGACACAACCCAGGCAGCTTCTGGACAACAAATGAGGCTATGGATTGGAGACTTTTCGGTTACGACTATCCTGAGACTCAATCAGCCAACACTGCATCTGCACAAGCGACAGTTGCGCAGCTGTACAGTGGCAGTGTTCGAGGAAGAGTTGCGGCTGGACAGACCGGGGGCGTTGGACACCACTTCATGCCCGGTATGGAGGAGTCAAGCTACACGGACTGGGTCATCAACACGGCAGCAGCGCCACTCGACTTGCCTCCCACCTTCGTCGTGCAGTTTTCGCTCGTAGGTGACTTCTCATCAGATGCATCCACCGACGTAGGCATGTGGTCTGTCCTAATGCCTATGGATCACAACAAGGCCAAGCGCTCGCTCCGTGAGGCTGAGAAGCTGACGAAACGTGCAACTGCGGCCGACATGACATTGCACGGTACGGTCAGTTTGACATCTAGCCTACTAGATCAGATCGATGCTGGCAAGCTCCAGAGTCTTGATGAACAGGACGTGGTACCGTTCCTGAGAGAGAAGTTGACCTGGAAGGTCTACTCGGTGAGTCGTAGTAGCATTGACAGTCGTGGCCGTGATTGCTGACTTTCAATAGGGTGATGGCACTCAGCTTTCTGACTCGAGTCTAGATGCCATTAGGATCGATATCGCGAGCGAGATTGCACGCATCCCGAGTGACCCCAGTGCGCCGATTGAGTACAGCAACGACGCTATTGCGCACTCTGAGGTAACAGCGGGCAAGATGGGTGGTGCTAGCTGATCAGTTTTCTTTCGACATGCACATTCTTTTCCGCTCTGCACGTCCTAGGACCTACCTTCTCTTTGCACGAGCGATAGTCTGTAATAATGTAATATTCCTCTGCTTGATGATTCGTGGCTGCGTATTTCGTATAGGAGCGCACGCACAAGGTTCGTGTTTGCGGCAGAGCTCGCACCGAGAACTCGCACCGAGAACTCGCACGGAGATTGAACCAACCCCGCCCACGGGCAGCGGCCCCACAAGTCTCGAGTCTTATTGGTCAACCACGTTCAGCCACGTTCAGCCACGCTAGCCTTCACCTGCAGACCATCTCCACCCACTTTTTTCTTTGGCTTACAGACCATCTTTGTTATCTTTTGCGACCAGCAGACCAATTCTATTTGTCCCGAGTCAATTCTTGTAGATTCGATGAACGTGTACCTTTTCCACACAAGGCTATGACACCTGCGAGTTCGTTCGTTAGCCGCGGCCGGTGCTGTCAACTGGCTTTACATCGTTCAATAGACGGCACTTCATCGGCAGCACGTGAGCTTACATCTACTGCATATATTCTAAGAGGGAACTCATCACGGACATTCAGAACTACGCAGTCTCTTTCTCTCTCCAGAGCCCGCACTAGACACTCCTACAAACTCAGTTTCAGCTCAGCCTCCACACGCAACATGTCTACCGAGCCCGCGAAGAAAGACTGGTCAGCGACTCAGTACCTCAAGTTTGGCAACGAACGCACTCGTCCCGTCTACGACCTCATGTCACAGATAGCCCCACACATCACCACGCAGAATCCACGGATCTACGATCTAGGCTGTGGCCCGGGGAACTCGACCAAAGTCCTTCTCGATACCTTTCCGGGCGCCAACGTCACTGGCATGGACTCCTCACCGGACATGCTCTCCAAAGCATCTGCCTCCCTCCCAGACATCGAATTCATCAAAGGCGATCTTCACACCTTCGTTCCCAAAGAAGGGGAAGAAGTGGACCTCCTCTTCAGCAACGCAGTCTTCCACTGGCTGCGCAGTCCCACACGCATCGGGACTCTTACTCGTCTCTTCCAAACCCTTAAGTGTGGCGGCGTGCTAGCTATCCAAGTCCCAGATAATCACAACGAGCACACCCACCGTTTGATGCGGGAAGTTGCCACACAACACGACTCACCCTGGTACCCGTACTTTGCAGATACGCGGATCGGCAAGTTTGAAGATAAGAGCAGACCGGATCTAGACTCTATAGAGCCACCCAACATGTTTTACAATGCTCTTGCGCCGCACGCAGCTTCGGTCAATCTCTGGCGCACTAAGTATCAGCACGTGCTGAAGGATGCGGGAGCCATTGTCGAGTGGGTGAAAGGTACGGGATTACAGCCATATCTGCAGAGGATTGAGCACGAGGAACCGAAGAAGGCGTTTTTGGAGGAGTATGAGAAGAGGTTGGCGAAGGCATATCCGGAGTTGGTGGATGGGAAGGTGCTGCTTGGATACCCGAGGCTGTTTGTTGTCGCAGTGAGAAAGTGAGCATTATTGGTATCTCTCGACATGAGCAGCATAGAAAAGATCCGGTATTGCTTTTGTGCAGGGTGAAGGCTCGCGCTTGCCCACCTGCATTAGCGCCAAAGGCCATCATCAAGGCTGATAGTCGCAGCTTCCTTACGCTTCCTACTCACACTCCGAGACTCCTTCGTTGCGACGTCTCTCATTAGGTGGGTTTCTAAGGCGTGATCTCAAGCTGTGATCCCCATTTCTCCAGCTTAATTTCTTACAGCTAACCTTAAGTTAGTTAGCAAAAGTAGAAATAGTTGATTCAATCCTGTTGAAGATGGGATAGGAGAGAGCAGGCCTCCAGCCAATCTGCAGGGCAAGAGGTCCAACCCCTTGGGCCGAGTCCCTATTGTGCTTTCAACTTCAACGTAGATAGGATGAAACAATCAACCACGACGCCTACAGTAGGCCTCCATTGTTGCACCCTGGTTCCAATTGTATCACTATGAGCTTCTCTTACCAGCGATCTATTCTAATTAAAAAAGTATACTTAAACTACTGTACAAAGTAGGCCTATAGTAGAGTTGCTAAGGCAAGCTTTGACTTATAATCTATACTACGCTTAGACACCCCTTTTAGTAGCAGCAAACGTTATGCAATCGCTGTCTAACAGCAACATGGTTGTTTCGAAAAAACCAGGTACACCCCGTGACCTGAGCAATGTAAGCCAACCATTCTCCAACATCACCAAAATGGTCTTCTACCTCTAGATTCGACGAGACTATGCAAACGCTACGTAAAGAAGACCTATACAAAGAGCTAGCATAGTATCTCCTGTGCGCACGTGCACACCTTTGTTGCAGCTGATTCACCGTGACAAGGGCGCAAAAAGATATCGACGACTTCCACAAGTCGATGACCCCCCTTGATAATTGGAACGACGGTGAGGTATGGCTTTGTTGTAAAGTAGAGTGTAAGATTAAGGGATGAGATCCGTGAGGGATTGGCTGCTTAGACAAACAACACTAACTATATAAGGTAATGGGTACTGGTGGAATTCACCTTCTAATAACTTTTTGGCCTGAAGAACAAATTCGTGGGTAGATGAGATCCTGGTTTCTAGACAGAGGGGGGTTAGCAACTTGTGAAAGTCTTTATGGGCTCTTGGCTATTGTACGCAGCCTGTGGTCAGAGTTACGCATAGAGCTGGTTCGCTGTCCAGGTTACGGGATGTACCTGGTCTTTTCGAAAGGCCTATATTACGTTTACAAATAGTTAAGGCCACAACTTGAAGTTACGCCTCAGAAACCCCTCTACTGCTCTGCGTTCACTTGCATCAGTATCCTACTCTCTCTGTCGCGGTAAATCGTGAGTGATCAGTACGCGTGTGCGGAAGTATTGAAGGATTGAACTGAGGTTGTATTGAACTAAGCTGTGTGTTTAAATAGTGTGAGGACAGGGAGGTTTGACCATGAGACTGTTGTGTTAGTATAATTGTTTGACGGAGTATTATATCGGTCCGTTTATACTCAACCTTACTGTACTGATCTAACTGTACTGCGACAGTTATTCTTATGGCAGGTGAGGTACGACAGGCATTAGCACCCTAAACCGTGACACTCTCTCTCACTCACTGATCCTCATCGCCAGATGTACGACAGGCTGAAACACCGATCACCCTGGTGACATGTCCTGCAGCCACCGTACTCTAGACGGCCTTGGTGCAGCGCCTACACCCAGTAGTTCTTTGTCATGCGATCTCAATCCGGCCTGATGTATTTCCAATACCGTTCTTTTTTCTGGGTTTCGACCCACGAGGCGTACAGCTATGGACATAAATTACACACTGCATCCCAAGGAGCCCGTGCATTCGATCAAGTTCCCTTCACCAACCATCAGCCACCAAGCGAAAGTGGTCAATCGACAACGAGTTTTCGGCCTTGAAGATACAACATCCTCGCGACAGCCCTTCCAAACAACCTCCAGCGCGACGTGAGCATTTCAGTTAAAAGAACTGGTCTGTACCTGGCGTTGTGCATGGGACGCTCTTACCCAGGATCAGACGATCGAGTTTCAAGATGGGGATACACCGGAAGTCGATGTCAGCCTGCAAGTCCAAGCCCTGATAGATTCACATTGGTGGAACCAAGCGCAGACAAAAGTGTACAGATACCGCTTATGGGCAGTGTCTACCGCAAAGCCACCTGGACCAATATCTGGCTGGGTCGTGACTCCGATGGTGCGGGTGTAGCCCTGGATCAATTGTATGAACAAGGCCTCCAGGCCATTTTGGACCCAGACTGCGCCGAGAAGATACACAGCATCCTACAGAGAGCATGGTTTGGACGCATATGGATCATACAAGAGCTGCTGCTTGCGCAGTCTGATGCTCCGACACTTGTCTTGGGCCCACTTGAGAATGGGTGGGAGCTCTTTGCTGAGGCCGTATTGCAATTTGAGGCATTGTGTACACAGCACGAGTGCTTGTCTATCAAGCTTGGTGTCTTGGGACAGTACCACAGGTATGGATGATGGGCGACATTGAAGAGTCGCATACGGAGCTCGCAAGCCTTCACGCTCACCATCCACCGAAAACACTACCTGAAGGACCAAAGTAAGATCAGCAGCATGACTGCCGCTAATTTGCGGATTCTTCACGTAGGGATGTGTACCAAGTACCTTCATGTGGTCGGATCAGGTCAAACTACTGATCTTCGCGATAAAGTGTACGGCATCCTTGGAATTGTCCCATACGCGCTCTTACCAGAGTTCCACATCGACCACAGGAAGTCAATAGCGCGGGTCTATGCAGACATGACGATCAGTCTCATGTCAATCAGCCCTAGGATGCCCTATATGATTCTACTCTACAGGTATCCTGTACTTTCGACATCGACCCACTAGGAAGCGGACGCTCTGTTGTGGACACTGGAATTTTCTGGAGCAGAAGTTGGTCGTGCGCACCATACGCTCTTCGATAAAGATCCATGGTTACGGACACACACTCGCCTCTCACAGATCCCACTGCATCTGTCGAGATCACATCGAGAGCACTCGAGTTGCCGGTTGATGCATCAGTCGTGGGCACTGTCTTCCAGATCATAGACACACACCACGGGCCGCACAGCTGCAAACCGCCCTGGATATCTTCTCACAATCCGCAGGTCTCATGCATGAAGAAGCAGCACACGGCTTTGGAATGTGCTCGAGGTTCCTGCTTGCCGCACAAATTCTTTTCAGCCAAGCATGGAAACAAGTCATGTCAGACTCCCCATGGGAGAGGCGTCCGCTATGGCAGATTCTCGAATCCTGTGGCTTTCTAAAAAAACCGTTCAAGTTCACCCCGTCTACGTGGTCAGATGGACTGGACGCCGACGAGCAGACGAGACACGCGAGGCACTCAAGACCCTTACGCCATCCACTTGATGGAACTGTCTGCGGACAGCCGACCAGGCAGCCGAGAACCAACGCCAGACGTGCGGATGTCTGACGCTTGGGACGATTCCGTGCTGCCTTTCTCATGGTATCTGTACGTCCAGCCAGTCGTTCGCAATTTCTGTCAACTCTTGAAGCGTCTTTCTTTTGTAACACAGCGTGGCTTGAGTGGTCTTTGCATGCCTGGAGCGAAAGTTGGCGATCGGATCGCTATGCTGCTTCGTGAGATGCTAGGCTGCATTGAGGTGCCATTTATCATTTGGGACCGTACAGATGGCTGCTATTCCATGGTATCAGTGGCGCATGTGGCTGATGACTAGAAGAGTCTCGCGAAAGCTTGCGGGGCTTCTGAACCCCAAGACATTGTTTTGCAATGAAAGGTCTCTAGATGGCTAGCCTGGTAGCTTTGGGGCGGTTCTCGGGGGCGGAGGATGCGACTCTGCCGAATATGCTGACGCAGTGTCGAAGTTTGTTCTACTATGGAACTGTACTCGGCCGACTTGCTTTCTCCGTCGATATCGTCTCCATCCTGGTGCATATAACGCCACGTAACGCTTTCACATGTCGACGATCGAACAAGTTTTCCCAACCATGTACTGTGCTCCACGCACACGCTTAGTCCAACTTCTTCACCTGCGCCCTCTCGCCGATACTGACTTCCCTCCTCATGACAATCAACTTTGTGTTGGCAGAGTCGCAGAACTTCTCCTCCTCTTCCAAAATCTCTGCAGCAATATCACTGTGCATGAAGGCGATAAATTGCTGGTAATGCAACTCGTCCTCAAATGTCTACACAGCATCATCAGCCATTTTCCAGAATTCACAAACGACGCACTTACCATCTCACCGAAGCAGTCCCAATCCAGACCATCAGCCGTACCAATAATCTGCCTTGGAACACCCATGGGGCAGTCGTCATCATCAATGTGGTACCGACGTGTCCATGTGAGGGGGTGCACTTTTCCTGCGGTTTTCTTCAAAAGCGGGACGTAAATGGTCTCGTTGTGCTCCCAGAATTGCTTGCGTGTCAAGCCTTCTTTGCGTGTTGCGACTGTGGCCAGGATATAAGGGTATTTGGAGATGACTGTTTCCGGCATGTTGTCGATACCCTCGTGGGTGGTAGGAAAGGGCGAACTTTGTTGTTTCTGTCGACGTCGATGTTTATATGTCAGGTGGGTCTAGAAGGGTATGATGTGGGGCTCCCGTTGTCAATGTGCTTTGGTCCCTGCGTTTGGAAGGTGATGTTGGAGTGTCGTTGAGGAAAAATCGTAGGAAGGAGAGCTGCGATTTTGATAGGCAGGGGAAATTTGGGGTCTCCGCTGACGGGCAGGCCCGCTTTTGAGTTTGGGATTTGCAGATAAACTTCTGCTAGCGCATATCTGCTGAACAAGTTGAGTGGACGAGAGTTGGTCGCGACACTAGTCATGACTCGGAATATGTGCGCATCACTTCCCCTTTGTTGTTGTTGTTGTTGGTCGAGCGACACATCTTTTTTGCCCTCGCTTGGGTTGTTCAGCCTCACTTCGGGGACGATCGGCCTGATGCATAGCCAGCTGTGGTTCGATAAAAGCCGATGTCGATGTCGAAAAGAAAAGGCGAAAGCATGTCGCACGAGTCGTGTCCAAGACGGTGACGTGCAAAGTTCAACGCGACCTCCTTTCAGGGCGCACTCGCCATCTCCAGAGTGATCGCGGCATGAAGACTTGTAAAATCGACGAGCCGGTGCCTGAATCAACGGACCGAGGTCATGATGCAAACTTCCAGCTAAAGGAGCCCTCAGCGCTTTTGTTGAAGAATCATGGGATTGTGGCCTGGGTGACGTTCGGGGTTGAGGATGATTGGACTTCATTGTATGACTTTCGTGAACGGCGCGTTGCGTTTCGAAAAAGGGAGGGGTCGTGGATGCAAGAGCAGTCGGATCAATCGCGGAAATCAGCAGAGCATATAGGATTTCAACAATGTCCAATGGCATTGATGTGGAGGAGAGATGGAGTGAGGGGCAGAGAAGTCAAAAACAAAAAAAGCCAAAGATGATGAGCAGGCATGCCGCGTCGATGAACACCACACGAGGCAAGTGCAATCTACAAAGGGCCGAACATACGATCACTCTTCGGCGCTTCTTTACGACCTACTTCATAGAAAGCTGCTGCAAGCCGGAAGCTTCAGCGTTCTCACATTGGCTTTCAACCTGTTCTAGCGACAACTGTCAGCGCAGTCAAAGGAGAAGTAGATGCAGAGCTTGGGAGCATCGTGCTACTCATCCCCACTGAGGATCGCGAACGTTTCAATGATCAATCACAGGCTCTCAAAAGTTCGAAAGCAAACACTTTCCATTGATGCCCCTCTGAAAACCATAGAGGCTCCGAGCGATGGACAGCTCACCAACACCGCCGATCATGTATACTTATTTAGAACACAAACCCAACATTCGACCCATTCCTGTGTAGCTAGCTACCATGGGTACACATACTATCAACCATGGATTACTCCGGATAGTCGAGAACGGCACCAGCGCCTATGCGTAGCACTGACCATACGGACACCCCTTGCAGCTCGGCCCTTGTTGGCAACCTGGCCCCTTGCACGGGTTGATGCAGTCGTACAATCAGCAGCCCCAGTGCTATTTCACGTTAGCGTCATCATCCATGTCAAATCCACACAGAAACAGGAACAAGGGAATTTGCCTTCATGCACTCCTCCCCGTCGTGTTGGCACTTGTTGCAATCAGGGGCCGTGACGACGGTGGTGTCCCTGGAAGTAGTGTCGACGTTGGCGTTGGCGGACTCGACGGCGTTGGAGGTGGATGGGCAGACGTACTCGCCCTTCACCGGGTCGAACGTGCAGATGGGGACATTCGTGGGCGCGACTGCAGCGGCAACACCCTCTGCCGTGGTGGTGGTGGTGGTGAAGGTGGGCGATGCCGTGGCCATGGCGGCGAGGAGGGTGGTGATGGCGACGAAGGACTTCATCTTGTCGGTGGATGTCGTGTGATGTAGAGTTGAGAAGCAGGTGATGGGAAGAAATGTGGTGGAGAAGTTGCGTTGGAGTACGGAGGCTTTTTGTGTAGAGAGAGGGGGCGCGGGGAAGGTGGGAGAGAGGTTCCTTCACCGCACGGCTGGGGATTTCAGGGCCCGGTGTGTGGCGGCGTTGCAAACGGTGACTTGGGTGAAGCAACGTCGAAGTAACGTGCACAGGTGAGTGTTCAGTAGAAGAAGCACCCGAGCTGCATGTTTCATGGTTAGTATAGGCTTGTACATCATAAAAATACACTGGGGTGGGAGAATGCATGACACTAACGACAAGGAGATCTTGAAAGCCTGTCATCATCATTGAACCGGTGGTACGAATGGAGAATGCTGGGAAGGGCACGCAATCAAGGCGAGATACTCCTCCAATACCTCACCCTTTTACTCCCACCATCACTCCCCACATTATTAGCCTTTGCAGCCTTTAGCGGCCTTTCTCCCCTTGATGCCTCCCCACCACTCCCTTACATGGCGCCTGTGCTCTGTATACAAATAGACAGCTGCATTAGCAAGACCGATAAACTGCGTGCTGCTCTGCAGGATGACCAGTGCCCTGACATTGTGGCCCATGCCTTCTGCGATACGATTGGCGATACCTGGCAGCCAGAGGATGAGGTAAGTGACGGGGTACATGTTCAGAAGCAGCATCTTCCAGATTTCGCGGTCGGCCTTGGCTTTGTTATCTGGGCGGGTGACAGCACGGCGGATGGGTAGTGCGGTAAACGGTGGCTCGGTAGGGGCGTGTGGTAAGCCTTTCTCGAGGTCGACGAGAGCATGCGTCTCTTCCGGCGAGGTGATGTCGTCCATGTGAGGTGTGGTTGCGTGGTCGTCGCCATGGACGGTTTGTGGAGCGGTGTTGACCTGGAGATTGCGGGCGAAGCTGAAGCTGCTCACCGCACGGCGGTGCTTCTTTGTACCTTGTCCGGCGGTAGGGCTGTCTGAACCTGCATCGAGACTGATGCGCGGTGTCGTACCGCAACCAGCGAGTACGGCATCGTCCCGGGTCTTGTTGTCGAGCTTTTCGTAGTCAAGGTCATCTGGGATGCTTGAGCTGAGATTTGAAAGGCCCTGGGGACGGAGGCGGCGGCTCATGTATATGAAGACGTAGACGTAGGTACACAGCGAGATGAGAAAGATGGCAAAGCGCCAGCCGTGGTTGAGAGTGTAACGTTGTTGTAGGTATTGCCTCTCGATCCAGCACCAGTTGCCGGATACTGGGCCGTAGTACTTCTTCGTCCATGCGAAGATACCTAAGACTGTTAGTGTTTATGGATCGCCATTGGGATGGGTTTCAGTACTGGTGCAGAGCGGAACGATCCAGATCGAGAGGCATATGAGCGCTTTGGTTGTAGCCGAAGCGTAGATGATAAAGGAGCGTAGTTGGATCGTAAGTAGCGTGATGAGCGTGATAGCGAGTATAGAAAAGTCGACGGCCTGGGTTGGTTTTAGCGGCGAAGCCGGTTTGAGACAACGTAGCATAAGATGCGAATAACGCTTCTAGGGGGGTTTGGCGTACCTGCACCGAGAATTGACCGGCCCAGCCATTGACTTTGCAGGCGGTGCCTGGTAGCAGTGGTCTTCGTCTTGCAACGGCAGCAATGCCAGAGACGGAATTATTTAGACAATTAAGGAATTCTGTTGTTCATTAGCTCAGTTCCACTCTCAGTTCAAAGGAGAAGCCATACCGGCTACCGTGAGGTTCAAGATCAAAGCGTAGCGGAAGTCACGCCTCTTCTTGCCGCCGGCAAAAGTCCAAAGCAAGATGACGACCGCAGTCGCAACAAGAGAAAGTAAGCTACCAATCAAGGTAGGTATCGAGCTTGCCGGATCCCAGGCAGCGAGCGCCTCTGGTGTGGACGTCGCCATCGCTGTCGCAGCATCACGCACAGCGTGGCTCATACTGAGGAAGTCATGAAAGAGAAAAAAGAGAGGACGTGGAGACGAGAATCGAAGTGGAGATGAGAATCGAAGTGGAGCTGGAGAACGGGTAAGTATATGTTAGTGCAGCCAGGGTCTGGACTGAACGCATCAACGGACCAGGCGGTCTGTCAGATTGTCTAGAGATGCGAGGGTCAGGCCAAGCTTCCTGGGCTGCCGAATTGGGCCATGCATGAGTCGTGCGTCTGGGGAGTTCCAAGGTGTTGGTTTGAAGTGCGGACAGTAGCGCTAGTGCTGTGGTTTTGAGCCTGCACGCCGTCGAGTCTTCTACGCACATCCACATCTGCCTTTTTGCATCCTTGTAGTTGTGTGTTGCGGCTGCGTCAACATATCGGCCTAGGTGTCTCGTGCTCGTCCTCCCCAAGGACGTGACAGCCTCATGAAACAGCATCGGCCCTACTCTCACGATGCGACCCATTCAATTTTCCACGTCGAGTTTAGCACGTGGCCTTTTACACCGTCGGAGACACGACAATCGGTGGGCTCCCAAGCTGAACGGTCCGACTCGGAAAAGGTTCGCGGACGAAGGCGCATCCTACAAGTCGGGTGATCGAACTGCGGGATTAGCATTTACGCACAGAGGCAGCGAGGCAGGTTGCAGCGGGAAGAGGAAAAAGAGGACAAAGACAAAAAGACAAAAAGACAAAAAGACAAGTGTAGGGAGATTGAAAAGGATGCCACCGTGTACTTGGTGCTGTGTTAATTGCGCATAGCCCGGGCTGCAGCGTTCTGGCTGCAACGCTCCAGCCCCAACGTTCCAGCCCCAACGTTCTGGCACCAGCGTTGTGTCGTGACCCAAGGCACTTTCTCTGCACCCGCGGGGCTCTTTTGGCCTGCGTGCCTCTCTTCCTGCTTCGGCACTCGAGTCCCTCCGACTGGGCGCGTCTTCGCCATGGATGATGCAGCTCGAACGTGTTCGAAAGAGCAAGGGCCCCGCGTTGTAGCTGGGACTGTCTGGGGGCCCGCCTTTGGAGGGAGGGTCGTGACCTGGGTTTATCGCAGGCGGTCCTCTAGCAGACCTGTCAGTGCTGTGGTAATACAAGTGGAATACCAGGAGACGTACGCATCTTGGTCAGCTCGTCCAGTATGGCCTGGAGCGAGTCTGTGTCCATCTTGTCCGCCAGCGAGGGGATGAGCGTTGTTGCCTCGTCGGCCGAGTCAGGTGTAAGGGTTCCTGCAGTCTGTCAGACCGGGTAGTTCTCTCGGGCACCAGGATGCCGTCCTACCCAACAGCGCCTTCTCGACCGTTGTCAGCTCGGGATGTGTGTCGAACATGGCGTTGATGGCGTGCAGGCTCTCCTCCTCCTTGTAGCGCGCAAAGTTGTCGAAGTAGTCGAGGAAGTGGGTGATGGTGGGGTTGTCGTTGTGGATGCGGTCGCGCAGGGGATTGCTCTCGGGGTCCTTGTTCTTGCGGCCCTTGTGCACGGCAGTCACGACGGCGCGCGCCTCCGACACAGACAGCGCGTGCACGTCTTCAAAGTCGCCCAGCTTGATCTCGTTGCCCATCTCCTCCTCCTGCGCGGCCGGCGGCTTTGGGCGCGAGACGAGGCGCGGCGGCTTGGGGTAGTCGACGGGCGGCGGCCGCGCTGCGTTGGGATTTGTGCTCTCGCCGTAGTCCATGGCGGGCGGATGTGAATGTGCTGCGAGGGTTTGGCGGAGCGCGGGGGCGGAGGGGCTCTGGCGCAGTTGACCCGGGCAATGCGCGCGGGGGTGCGAGGTGCGAGTGTCGGGTGGACGCGAGGCGATTGTGTGCGTGGCGAGGCTGCGCAGACACCGAGCGCTTTGTTCCGCGCTGTCGAGACGCAGGCACGATGTTTGGTGTGCTTGGCGTAGAGCGCTCCGAGGGAGACGCGCAGACGCTCGGAGGAACACTCGGCTGTCCCCGCTGCCGTCCCCTCCACACAGCCAACCAGCATGCCTGGCGCCATCAGCAGGGCTGCAGGGCAGAGACGTGTGTGCGTGTGTGCGTGTGTGCCTGGCAGCCTCGCAGTGCGTGCAAGCAGGATGCGTGCAGTCCAAGAATACATCTAGGCAGCGTCATCGTCGGGCCCCTCGCAGTCAGCGCTGGGGGGGGGGGGAGTGTCCCAGGACGTGTCCCAGGACGTGCCCCAGCACATGCGCCAAAGCCCTCTTGTTCCCCGAAGCTCCCCTACGCTGCACTGCTACACGAGCACAGTAAACACGCCTTTCGTTCACCGAAGAGGACGATCCGTGTTCGATCCGTGTTCGACCAGTGCCTACCAGTGCCTACCAGTGCCTCTGGAAAGTGCCGTGCAGTGCGTCGTTCTTCAGACACAGGCACCCAGGCGCTGCCCTGACTAAGCCCGCGCCGTCTCAGGTGGGAGTGGGATCGGCGCTGGAGCGCCAGAGCCACGGGCAATTTGACAGCCTGTGCATGTCGAGTCGTCGACGCTAGTCTTCGGTCGGGGGACGTCGTGAACCGCCAGCCTCAACTTCACTGCACCACCGCACCACACACCACTCGCCCCCCGCCCCCAGCACCACGCTGCCCCCAGTCGCTCCTCGTCGCGCCCCGACTGCGTTGCTGTGCCCGACCTCTCCTCGCCCGGCTGCCCTGGCGGTGTCGCTCGCCGCTCAGGGTCTCCAATTGCACCTCCCGTCCTCCCGTCCTCCCCCACAGCTTCGCCGGCTGCCGCACGTCGCGTCCTCTCCCGAGCCTGCGAACGCATGTCGACAGCCTCGTATTCACATCCACCGCACACACCAACCTTTCCTACCGACGCCGGTCGACTGCACCTGCCGCCCCAGCACCCACACGCCTCACCGCCTCGTTGTCGTCGCCACCGCCCTGCGCCGTGCCTGCATCCCCTACGCCCGCCGCCGCCGCCGCCAGACACGCGCTGCCGCCCATGGACTCGACGGCACCGCCCGCGATGGACGCTCAGGGTGCGCCGCAGCACCACGCCTACGACCCGCGCAACAATGGCCTCACGCGACAGCCCACCGACCCCCTAGACACGCTCTCGCCGCCCAGGTCGCAGAGCCTCACGCCGCAGGACCGCACAGACGCCCCCGTGCGCTCCATGACAGACCCCATACACAACGAACAGCAGACGCAGCCACCCCAACCGAAGCGCAGCGCGAAGACCTGCGGCAAGTGCGGCGAGGGACTGACTGGCCAGTTCGTCAGAGCATTGGGTGGCACATACCATCTGGAATGCTTCACCTGCCATGTAGGCACCCTCCCCTCCCCTCCCCCCCCTCCCCCCCATCTCCTGACCCCCCTCCACCCCCCAGTCTTCGACCGTGCACGCGTTTGGGCTGTGCAGGCTGTGCATCATCTTGGTCAGATGCAATGGCGCATTCCCCGGGCCACTAGCGCCTGTCGAACCAGCTGTTGGAACGCAACCAACCAGAATGGCAGCTGACAAGACCTAGGATTGCGGCAAGATCGTAGCCTCCAAGTTCTTCCCCGTCCCCGAGAAGCCCCCGGGGCAGTACCCGCTCTGCGAGACGGACTACTTCCGCCGACTCGACCTGCTGTGCCACGAATGCGGTCAGGCCCTCCGCGGGTCTTACATCACCGCGCTGGAGCGCAAATACCACATCGAGCACTTTACCTGCTCCGTGTGTCCCACTGTGTTCGGGGCGTCAGACAGCTACTACGAGCACGAGGGCAGCGTCTACTGCCATTACCACTACTCGACCACATTTGCGCAACGGTGCAATGGCTGCCAGACTTCGATCCTCAAACAGTTCGTCGAAATCTACCGCAACGGGCAGAACCAACATTGGCATCCGGAGTGCTACATGATCCACAAGTACTGGAACGTGCGACTGCATTCGACCGGCCAGCCCGTGATTGAGAGCATGCAGGCTGCTGAAGGCGACGCTACAGATGCCATCCGCGAAAACGTACGGCAGCAGGAAGAGGAGATCGAAGCCAAGGTCAACTGGATCTGGAAGACGCTGTCAGCGTTCGAGGAGAAGTCTGCGACATGCATCTCCGACATGCTACTGCACGTCAGCAATGGCGCCTATGTTGACGGCGTCATGGCAGCCAAGAAGTTCATCATCCACGTCGAACTGCTGTTCAACGCAGCCGACGACCTCGATGCGCAGCTGGTCGCCAAGACACCCAAAGGCCTGACGTACTCGCGTGAGGCGAAGCTGCTCTGCAAGAAAGTGGTCGCGTTCTTCTCGCTCCTCACACAGTCCCAAGGGACGGGCGTTCGCCGCCTTGGCGTCACCCAAGAGCTTCTTTCTCTGGTCACTGGACTTGCTCACTACCTCAAGCTGCTGATCCGCATCTGTTTGCAAGGTGCTCTGAAGTTGGAGCGCGAGACAAGAAGCTCGAGCGGGCTCACAAACTTCCTCTCACAGGTCAACTCCCTAGACGCAAAGCTTGAAGAGGAGGCTTCGAAAGACCAGTCAGCCGAAGCAGCGATCCTCATCCCACGATGGGCAGACGCATGTCCCATCTGTGACCTCCAGGTCGAAGACAAATGTCTGCACCTCGACAACATGTCCTTCAACTACAGCTGCATGGTCTGTCGCAGTTGCAACGCAGACCTACGCCACGACGTCCGACAAGCGTACTGGAGCCCGTCCTCGAAACGTGTCTTCTGTCCCGCATGCGCAGCAGCACAGCCAGACGCAGAGAACGGCTTCCGTCACGTTAGCAAACTACGACAGTACGTCCACCTTCTCAAGGTGGCTCATGCTCGCCTAATGGCTACCCTGCGTTCCAGTGGTGCGCTGCCTCACACATCCGGTAAGCTGCCCCAACCAACACCCACTCCCAACCAATCAGCATCCTCATCTTGACACCTTGCCCCAGAATTCACACGTCGCTTCCAAGAGTACATTCGCCCAACTAATCATGACCTGTAGATGACCCTAACTTGACAGGCTATGATTCGTCCGTTGGACACCGGATGGACAACAACGGTACTGCACTTGCACCTCCTCACCTGCGAGCTGATGCTAGATCAAAGTCCTACAATGGCTCTGACACAAACTCTACTGGTCAGGGTAGTTCGAACGCTGCGTACGAGCAGTCCATGTCTGACATCAAGCGCCTGCGATCCACCCGTCTGGACAAGCACCTCTCCAACACCATGAAGCGAGCTCGCGCATCGAGAATCATTGACGGCACAGAGGGCTACGAAGCCGGTGCCAACACTGAGATGCGAGGTGGCATGCAGATTGTGAATGAGCGCGACCAAGTCGACATGGACAGTGCCACCCTTGCCGTCAACTCGCTTGCTCTGGACGACATCGCCCGCATGGCCGCCATGGAACAGCAGCGTGAGCAAAGACCCAACGCCTTCCGCGCAGGCGGTACGGCACTACTTGGGCAAGACCATGCAAAGGTGCGCCATGGTCATCGTCGGGATTTCTCCGGCGGCCAAGAGCTGAACAACATTGGCGATGGCCGCGCCCGTACCTTCTTCTCCGAACTGTCTCCCCTTGAATACTTCAAATTGAAGGGTCTTGCTGTGCTGCAACTCGGCCTGCTCCTCGACGACAATCAGTACAACCAGGAAGATTTGCTTGACCTCATCGAATCAAAGAAGAACAACTTCTGGGGCAAGATTGGCTTCGGCAAGGCCAAAGGGAAACCCAAGAAGCCTTCAACGGTCGAGAAACCGGCATCCGACAATGCCACCTTCAAGCAGTCGTTGGAATGGCTAGTCGAGAAGAAGGGCTGCGAGTGCACAGAGGGCGTTGGACCAGGAGCACTCAAGGTCCCAGCGCTACTCCAAGACGCCATTACCGCCATGAGGAATATGGACATGTCAATCGAGGGTGTCTTCCGAAAGAACGGCAATCTGAAGGCGCTACGAGAGCTCGAGGTCGAAGTGGACCAGAAGGGTGTAGAACAAGTCGACCTTAGTTCAAAAAACCCGGTCATCCTCGCCAATCTTCTCAAACGCTTCCTGCGCGTAATGCCGGATCCGGTATTGACATTGAAGCTGTACAGGCTGTTCATGACAGCCAATGGTATGTACATCGACCATCAGCGACTGAGAGCACCACTAACGGAAAACAGACATTGAGGATGAAGAGAAGAGAAAAAAGGTACTTCATCTGGTCTTGTGCCTGTTACCTAAAGCCCACCGCGATACGATGGAGGTCCTGTTCTGCTTCCTCAACTGGGTGTCCTCCTTCCATACCGTCGACGAAGAGTCGGGTAACAAGATGGACACGTGGAACATCGCCACCGTGATCGCTCCAAACATTCTGCGTGAAAGCAACGACAAGGAAGTCCGCAGCGTCGACCAGGGTGCGGTCAAGGTTGTCTTCGATCTCATCGAAAACAACGATGAGTTCTCCGAGGTACGTGGTCATCGTCGCTTGTCGGTGATCCTTGCTAACCCCAATCAGGTGCCTCCTGAGATCATGGAATTACTCAGCGACGACAGCGCAACCGACATGAGCGCCAAGGAGATCATGCGTCGTTGGGAACAGCGAGGGAAAGACCCCAGTGCCGCTGCCCTCGCAACATCGCCGAAGAACCAAGGCGGCATTGCAAAGCGAAAAGACGAGCGAAATGCTCCTCAGATCACAGACGCGGACAACAACCCTACCGCGTTGGCAAGCGAGTCGTCGTCGGTACGACACATCGCAAACGCTGGTGCCAACAAGAACATCTCGCCCTCGCGTCACCACGACATGGGCGCACCCAACCCGCCTTACGGCCAGAACCCACAGGCTTCGGCGGAGAGCCATCGTACCGCATCACCGCATCGGCATAGCTACCGCTCACCGCAGTACCAAAAACAGCAGCAGATCAGCACCACAGGAGCAGGGTGAGTGCAACCCATTGGACCTTACAATTGGAGTGCTTGGCGTTTAGCGTGTTCTGCCTTCTTTCTTCGACATGGCGTGGCATGGTGGAGAGCTCGCATCATGCACAGCAAAACGAAGTTCATGTCACATTCCCCGGATCTATATGGTCCATGTTCTACTTACGAAAAAACGGTTGTTTGGCCGGTCGTCATTCACGACGACTCTGCATGTCGAGCAGCCACGTTTGGGCTGTTCACCGGCGTTTTGGTGGGATTTGGCATATCATCACATTGGCACAGTGGAGATTGTTTGCGTGTAAGAGGTGGGTGGCTAGATCGGTGGAATGTATCCTACCATGCAGCTGCGACTGACGCGCTGTGTTTTGGGCCGCTTGGGTCGTTGCTACGACTGTCCAAGTTGGTATGAAGGTGTGTGGATAATGCGCGAATTTGGGGTAGTGGATAGTAGGCAGCAGCCCCGAGCTGGATGAAAGGACTAGCTCTATACTGACCCAGCCGTGCTTCCTGCCTCCGCCGCCTCGTGCCTGCCCTTCCACTTTACCCCAAGCAATAGGAGACGTCATAGCATAACAAATCGTTGTACTTCCCTTGAGGCATTCCGCCTGACCGCCCACATCGCAGTCATTGCGGCCTCGATTTGCACACCAACTCTCGGGCCACCCGCCACAACGCGAGCAGAGTCTACCCATTGGCTAAACCGGCAAGCCTGTTGGGCTAAGCACGTCTGGCTCACAATAAGACAGTGTAGGCAAAGTGCTCTGATGCAGGTTCCGCGCCGACTGGAAAGCGCCCAGTAGCAGCAGAATGAACCCAAAGCGACCACCAAGAACCATGCCAACCCACCGAAAGATGTTTCATCGCACAAGTCCGCCCATGATGCACAACTCACTGTGCAGTACTTGCTATCAGTCTGATCACGGTTTACGTGGTCTTTGTATTCACACACGCGGTGACCGTCTTCCATCGTGACAACCCGGATAACAGTCTCACCTACAACAACAACAACAACAACAACAACTACCCAGAGATAGTGTTCGATACGTATGCATGACACATCAGTGGCTGCTCTTGACAAACCTGCAGGTCCGACACTTTACCATGGATGGTAGCTCAGCAACCACTCGGCTTGGAGCAAACTACACAGGCAACAATGCCTCCCGCAGTTCCTCTGTGCTTCGAGACTTCCCGTGCAGCTATTCGAAGCTTATGCGAGGCTCCGATCAAGCAGCATGCTCGCACCCTCGACGTTATCACGAAGACCAAGCCAGGGCTCGTGTACGCATTGAGGATTTGCAACGCGATTGGCTGCCACACCTTGAGGCTCGACACGCGATTGGTCGAACCGTTCAGCCTCACGCTAAGGTACTACCCTTCCAGGGAAACTCGCAACGAAGCTAACCTCTTTACAGCCTACCAATCCAAAGGTCTTGCCCACGCGATGGTTCCTATCAGACCTCGCGAGTCTCGGATTCCGGTGCTGTCTTATGTCGTGGCGAGTCGCGCTCGGTTACCCCATGGTCTGGGAAAATTGGTCACCTGGCTCAGGTAAGTGGTAACATCTTGACGAGTGGAACCGCACACGTCCATCGTTACAAGACCGCGCGGTACGCTGCACTTCCTACAGCCTCATCACTATCCGCAATACCACCACAAACGCGCTAGGATACTACTGGAGCCTGTCAGCGCCTCACTGCATCCTCATTTACAACAAAGCACATCAACATCACCAACATGTCTGGTCTCCTCAGCTACTTTAGCTGGGATAGGAAGAGGGCGGTCGAGCCAAAGGAGGAGGTGAAGAAGGTGGAGGAAAAGCAACAGCCCGTTCGAGCTCTACCTGCGTCATGGTACACTTCCCCTGATATGTACGAGTTTGAGCGCCGTGCTGTTTTTGCCAACCGATGGCTCTTCATGACAACAACTCTGCGCATTCTCAACGCCGGCGACTACATCCGATACCGGTTTGCGGGCTACGACATCATCATTATTCGTAATCAGGAGAACGAGGTCAAGGCCTTCCACAACACATCCAAGCAGTCTCAGCAGGTGTTGATTGACAACAACACTAAGGAGGCTTCAGGGCACATCAACCTTGCTGATTTCTCGACCCCTGCCGATGACGTCTTCCCTATCCATACCAGAATCGATCGTAATGGTTTCATATGGATCAACCTGGATGCCACGGCGACACCCGAGATCCCCTTCGACCAGTGCTTCAAAGACGTCGACATCCAAGAGCGTTATGCCCCCATCGATTTCAAGAACTACGACCTCAACCACGTCTACACACTCGAAACCGAGTACAACTGGAAGATCGCATCCGACAACTTCAACGAGTGCTACCACTGTCCAACCACACACCCCGACATTCCCGCTTTCCTCAACCTCGACTCCTTTGACAGCGCGCTCAAGGACGGACACATCCAGCACGCCTGCGCGCCCACACAGGAGCAAATCGATCTCGGCGTCAACGTCCACAGCACATACTACTTCCCCAACGTCTCCATGACCGTGGGCAAGCACTTTCTCATGATCCAGAAGTTCCTGCCGCACTCGCCCAGCACATCGACGAGCCACTACGAGGTCTTCAAGGCGAAGACGAGCTCGGACGAGGAGTTCCATCTCATTGCCGACATGTACGAGCGCGTTATGCGTGAGGATAAGGTGCTGTGTAATAACGCGCAGAAGAATTTGAACAGAGGCGTTTTTAAGGCGGGGTACCTGCATCCAAAGTATGAGAAGGCGCCGATTTTCTTCCAGCAGAATTGCCGCGAGGTTGTGAATGAGCATTGGAAGAGGGAGAAGAGGGAGGGGAGGGAGGTGCATCCTGCTAAGCAGCCGGGCTTGACTTTCGATGGTCCGGCGCAGAAGGCTGAGATTGAGACTGGAACCGGGATGGAGCAGGGCGCGCAGAAGGGGGTACTCGCTTGGTAGATGTGGTCTCGGTAGGGTTGTTTCCTTACGTAGTACGTAGGAAGTTGAGCTATGATGGATTTTGGTGTAGATATGTCGGCAAAGTTCTTTTTCCCCTCAAGTTTCGCGAGGTCTAACATACCCTTGCTTTTCATACGATTCAATCGGCACTAACTGCATGCAAGAGATGATGTCAATGATCGCATGTGTGGCCAGCTGAGAAATGAGGACTCGAGGGGCAATTAGAATTATCGATCAAACCTTGTGGCCGGTGTATTCCGACTAAAAGGGAAAAAAAATTACAGGAAACTTGAGTGTGTATTGATGTCGTTTGTTGGGAGGGGGCGCATTGAGCGGGTGACAGGCGTGGCAGTATTGAGATGAAGATGGTAATCATAGAGTTGAAGTCATCAGCGTGCTCATAAGTAGTAACCGCCGAGGTATCTTTGTCTTTGGCGTGTTTGAGGTCAGTGTTGATCGCTTCTGCGCAGCAGGAGCTTCTCAGCCGCAGGGAGCCCATGGAGCTCACAAGAAGCACAAATCCTTCTCGCTGGTAAGTATTGTCAAAACGAACTGCACACGACTCAAACGAGCTTGCTTGTACCAGCGTTATGCGCACAAGGAAGGGGGACGTGTCGCTCGCACCAGTGAGAACTGTTTGGTGATGACATCGAACAACTCCTCCAGAAGATCGAGGCACAGCTAAGGCAATGGTTTCTCAACCATCATCTCGTATCGAAAACGCCGCCCAGAAGATGGTGGCTGTACCTTATTAAGGCAAGCACCACGATGCAGAATCGTGGCTGCAGCTTCAGTGCGATTGTAACGCGTTATCTCTCGATCCGGGGCTCTTGGAATTATGGATGGTTAGTGGGCGCCGCTGTCGCCATGGCAATAGAAAAGGAATCAACTGAAGCGCCCCCGTTCTTCCTCAGGTATGCTTGGTGTAAGTTACAAACTGCCTAAGACAACGTCAAGTTCGAGAATTACCTACTTCGTATGGCCAATTCGCAAGCAAGGACAATTGCTTATAAGAACGTGATCCCAGATACGAAGTCGCCGGATGTTACCAACACGATCAAGGATTGGATTACCCAGTGCAAGACCGTGCACAGTACCGCAATCATTCTTCGGGAAGGAATGCGCTTCCCTCTCGACTAATCGACATCCATGACCGAAACGGAAGTGCACCCCGCCTGGTCTTAACCGGAGACAATTCAAGCTTTACCGAAGCCCGAAGGTCTGAGGTACGCTATGTTGCTCTGAGTTATTGTTGGGGCAAGCCAGAATTACTAAATCGAAAATTGTGCCATACTACCACGTCTGGAACGCCCGCCTCGTACCCTGAAAGCTCTTCCGCTTCATCGCTTACCCAAGACGATCCGGGACACGGCGACTTTGACCAAAGCTCTGGAATTACGCTATCTCTGGGCGGACAGCATCTGCATCGTACAGGATAAGGACTCTCAGGCTCGCGCTGATTAGGCAGTGGGATCTTGGCGTCCGTCTACGGTGGTGCGTTTCTCACCGTTGCTGCGTCGTGGAGCTCATTCATGCACTCTGGAATCTTCACCAAAAGACCGGGTGACGATGCCGCCAGTGCTGTAATTGACCTAGGACGTCTGGATGATGCCACCATCAAGGGCAGATTGGAGCTTGTCCGCTTGAACATCTGTAGGGTGGATTCTACCCGGGAGCCTCTGTTCAGCCGTGGCTAGGCGCTGCAAGAGCGGATCTTGTCACCCTGCGTATTGATCTAGAACCGGAACCAGATAGCGTGGGAATGCCAAAGTGAATGCTTCTCCGAGAGTGGAAACAGGATGGAGTCGCTTGGTTCGATGAGGTTGGATACTACTTTCTCAACCAGGATGAGATCAAAGTTTGCACCCGACAGCTATCCGAATCATGAAAAGGGTCACCAACCGCCGGCGACCGTTTTTTATGAGAGCTGGCAATGCATAATCACAGACTATTTCCATAAGCAGTTGACTAAACCATGGACAAACTCCCCGCGGTTGCTGGTCTGGCGAGAAGATTTGATGAACTAAGTCCAATACCTAACAACGAGTATCTTGCCGGACTCTGGAAGCATACCCTGCGGTACGATCTTTGGGTTCACGACTCCGTCCGCGATTACGGATGTCTCAACGATGTAGATCGCAGCTGAAGGGTCCGGAAGTATCGCGCACCTTCGTGGTCGTGGGCATCGGTCGACGGAGGAGTCCGGTGGTCATACACAGCCGAAAGAAACTATCATTCAGTGCTGAAGTGGTTGATTACAGCGTGACATCTCGCGATCCTTCGAAAAACTACGGTGAGATTGAGGAAGGGGCAGAACTGGTACTATCCGCACCATTTTGGAAGGTATCAGACTCTTCTAAACACACTGTACTTGCCGAGAATTTTCATGGGTATGGCTGGCGATTCGAAAACTCGTTCGACTGGATCGATCATACGTGGCTCGACGTACAAAAAGAAGGCATGTCGCTGCGTGAAGTGTTCAGCAAAGCTAAAATCGCCGCTACAGAAGACTTCTTCTTGATGATTACCCGACGCCACGCCTTGGTTCTCAGCTCCGAGTCCCGGTCACCCACGGTGGAGTCGAGGAATCTGGTATGGGGGGCCATTGGTGATACTGCAGCAGAACACGTCCACAGTCGCGATTGTCAGCATCGACGTGTCGGCGTTGCACGCATGACGTCCAATGCTTCTGAAGCCTTCATGACGGCTCCCGTACGGACAGCCTGTATCATCTGATCCTGCTGTTCACGAAACCACCGGGAGCGAATACCATCCAGAGCGAATGACGCCCCTTTCGAGGCTGGCAAACTAGTGGCCCTGTGTACAGCTACTACAGCAATATTTTGAGTTCGCACGCTTCGTTCTTTAGCATGCGCCACTACGGCATAGTGTCTGTAGGTTTCGGTATTTCGTTGGGTATCATCGCGTTCGTTCGAATCCTGCGATTTGTTCAGTGTCGTGGTTCAAAACAGCAATTGGGGTGACTTTCGTCGATGAGGATCCTGGCTACATCTTTTAGTCCTTTGAGTGCAGGGCTTCAAGAACCTTTATTCATTGCAACTTGCCACACTATCGCCTCGCTGTTTGATGGCTTTGTGCTCGTGTTATTGTAGGCCTGCTACATGTATCATCGCATGGGTAAGACACCTGGACTTATTTTGTAGAGATGTTGAGTGACCTTGCGGGCTCGAGTTCCAGGCAGTGGGCGATTCATCGTCATTGCTCGCACTTGCGGAGCAGTACGTTGCCTCCCGTCAACGTAACATTGCAAAGAATTGAAAACCTATCAAGAAGCTGCGGCAAGTGAGCAGTATGTCACTGCCGCGAATTTTGGAGGCTCGGAGAAAGAGCGATGCATGACGTAGGCGGGGCTAGCGCGAAGTTTTGGCTTGGCCACTTGAGCCGCATCCTCGACGCGTGGTAAAGCGCGACAGCTTGCAGCGAGATGAACACACTCCTACTCCTTCCATCAATCCGTACAACTTCCTCGTATCTAACCGCTTTATTGACAGTCGTCTGCAGGTTTCGGGCCTGTCAAATGTCTTCTGCAGTTGTGTCGAGACGAAATGTCTCGCACGGTAGGCCGACCATTTTATCCCGGAACCACAGCAACGCGGAGCCACGTCCAGTCCACCAATTGGAGTTAGAGGAGGCCGCACTTCTCGGAGGCGAAAGCCTGCTCGGAGCGTATTCACGCGGAAAGGGTGCTGAAGATGGAGATGGCGCCGATATGCTGCTCGTCGACTCGGTGACGTCCCCGACCCCACCACCCCACCATCCCACCTCCGACATTATCCCCGCGCCCCTCCATCTTTTTCTTCTACCAACATAAACTTTCCTCTTCCTGCTTCCTTTCTTCTCTCCACACTTCAATACACATTTCACATCACACATCATGTCTCTTGGTCGCACAGTAAAGCTCAACACCGGCGCCTCCATCCCGTGAGTACCTGGATGAATAGCTACAAGCTATATCATTGTGAAGAACGACACTGACAGATTCACAGTCAATTGGGTTTTGGAACATGGCAGGCCGAGCCTGGTCAGGTTGAGGCCGCCGTCTACGAGGCCCTCAAGGCTGGCTACAAGCACATTGATCTTGCCAAGGTCTATGGCAACCAGAAGGAGATTGCTCAGGCCTTCAAGCGGGCTTTCAGCGAGGGCATCAAGCGTGAGGACCTCTTCATCACATCGAAGCTCTGGAACTCGCAGCACAGGCCCGATGATGTCGCCCCTGCTCTCGACGACTGCCTTGCTGAGCTCGGTCTCGACTACCTCGACCTGTACCTTGTTCACTTCCCGGTTGCTTTCGACGAGCAGAAGGATGTTCACCAGAACCTCTTCCCTCTCCAGGAGGACGGTGACGTCAAGATGCTTGACTCCATCTCCATTGTCGACACATGGAGGGCCATGACCAAGCTCGACAAGAAGAAGGCCCGCGCTGTCGGTGTCTCCAACCACACCCAGGAGCACCTCCAGGCTCTGATCGACGAGACTGGCGTCACCCCCGCCGCCAACCAGATCGAGCGCCACCCTCGCCTCCTCCAGACCGAATTCATCAAGTGGTGTGGTGAGAAGGGTATTCACATCACGGAGTACTCTGCTTTCGGTAATAACATGGTCGGTGAGCCTCTACTCATCCAGCACAAGACCATCAAGGAGATTGCCGACCGCGTCGGTGCCTCCCCCGCACAGGTCATCCTCGCCTGGGCCCAGGTTGGCGGTCACTCCGTCATCCCCAAGTCCGTCACCGCCAGCCGTATCCGCGACAACTTCAAGGAGATCGAGCTTTCCGACGATGACTTCAAGAAGATCGAGCAGATCGGCAAGGACGAGCCCCGCCGCTTCAACATCCCATACACTGCCAACAAGCCCAGGTGGCCCGTAAACATCTTCAATGAGCCTGAGGAGAAGGAGGCACCCCACAAGGTCATCGTCAAGGTCTAGCTGTCCTGGGAGTAGTTAATGATACCACATAGACAAAATAGAATAACAAAAAGTCTCTGATCACTCACACATTCGCCTCAAGGAGCCATTTGCATGTGAAACTTACAACAAAACACATTGCAGCTTCTTTGATGACGCGCAGTGGGGCTCTCGTTACCGTGGTGCTGACTAACCCTAGGCCTAACGAGCGGAGCCATCTCCGTTTCGTTTCAAGCCCGTGCAACATTGTGAGCGTCGACACAAAGATTTCTCACACATGAACATGTCACTTGTCTGCAGTACCTCGACGGCAAGATGGTGGCGAGCATACACAATAACGCCATATCCGCCATAGTGGATAGCGACTTGGCTTCCAGTGCAAGTCAACAGAACTCACAGCGGTAGCGCAGAATATCATGTGTGCCTACCCTATCAGCGACATCTCCGCCCCGGCGCCTCGACTTATATACTACTCTTTACTTTTACTCACATTTGCGACGCTACGATTCCGATGGCTTTCCAACATCTTTCCTACCGGAGCTGTGGCCTATGCTGCCAGTGCTGCGATACATGCTTTCATTATCGTCTCTAACCCACCGCAAGTCCAACAAGCAGACCCCGCTAGTCTGCCTTTCGTTTCATCCGCTTCAAATCTTACAAACTGTCGTATTCCTAGTTATCGAGCTTACTAGACTTTTTGTACATCCCGACGCCGTTGAGCTGGACATCGATCCCATTACCGCAGTTGTAGTGACTGCGTATTTCGTTGGCTTACCCTCCAGATCTAGTCATGTACGATGCGATCCAGTATCATCATCCGATACATGATACTGCTATGGAACCTTTGCATGTTGGCAGGCACCATGTCCGCTTTGAGTGCTTGGCCAGCTACATATCGTACAGCCTCACAATACCGCTTCTGTTACGCCGGCTTCCTGGATGCAGAGTCACAGGGTAGCGACGGATGGGACGCATCGTACTGGAAGGGCGATTAGAACTCCTCGATCTGGAACGTCTTCAGTAATCCGGATACAGCGTGGCAATAACTCTCAAACAACTGCTTCTACCCATGCTTCAACATCAGCCAAGACATCCGTCAAAGTTTGTCACTCACAGCCGTTGTTGTAACACCTTCAATCAAGTTCGCAAAGCTACACAATCCGCAGCATGGTACCAACGACGAATTCAAACCGCTAATCTATGTTGCCATCATCGTCTTCTCGGTTGCGCATTTCTTCCTCTACGTCGTCTCTGCACTGAGACTCAGCAGCGAGGCAATGCGCGTACCAATTCACGAGCCGCACCACTTATGGCGACACAGGAAGAAGATATGGCAGCAATTAAGGAGCGGAATGTTATGGAGTTGGACATCTTCACGGGCGTTGTGATTGCTGGCCAAGGAAGAACAAGCAGCGCCGCCCCGGAGCTGGACCATCACCACACGCGTCACGCGGACCTTCGTTCCACAGCCTCAATGTCATCCTCCGCCTGATCATCGATATCCTTGCCCGTATGACCCTGCTTGCCGGCATCATAATCTCTCTGCCGCTGGTGGTGGCATTCATATGCTAGATCGAATGGTACATCCGCAACGACGGTTCGACTAACGAGACCGTCAATCAAGTTGGCCAGTGGTCATCGCTGATATTGGTCGTGGTAGTTCCGGTTGCCGCAGTAGTGTATCAGCTGCAGGGGAAGTTGGCTTCCAGAAGCGAAATTCGTGACGAGATATGGAGGACGGAGAAACATCTCAAGAAGCCGTAAGGGCAGTACTTACCAACACGTTGTGCTTAGCCACTTCCAGTGGCTTCTTACTGCCTGGTTATGACAATGAGTTCATGCTCTTTCGGAGATGGGACTTCACTGATTCCAACTGTAGAAGGTGTCATGAGTGATATCATCATCGAAACCGAGTTTCTACAACAGTTTCAATCGATGGATACGAAGAAAAAGTCCGGTACTATTCAGGTTCTCGTAATTGCTATCTACGAGATCGGCTGTCTTATCGGTGCTGCCGGTATCATCGCTTTCGGCGACAAACTAGGTCGACAACGCGCTGTCATCGTTGGAGCATGCATCATGCTTGTCGACACTGCCATCAAGACACCTTTTGGCCTTGCACAGCTAATCGTGAGTCGACTCGTGGCTGGAATCGGTAACGGAATGAACACCAGTACTATTCCGGTATAACAATCTGAGATGATACCACGCAAGATCCGTGGCTTCCTTGTGCTCTTCGAGGGCGCACCCATCACTGCTGGTATCATATTCACCTACTGGTTGAACCAAAGAGTCTGGTTTGTCACGCAGTGCGGCTCGTTTCAATGGCGCTTTCCCATTGCTTCCCAAGCAGTCTTCGGGGAAACTGTTGTGGAAAGAGCTTTTCACTAACGGCAAGGATATGGATCTTTGGCGCTTCAGTTGCGCTTGCGGTTCACAGGAAATGGACTAGATCACGGTAAGCAGCGCAGCCCCCAAGGAGTACCGATCCATCGAACATCTGCTGATACATTCATGCAGGGTATCAACCTCTGTTGAACTGATGTGATGATTCTTCTAACTAGGAATGAGGCAGGCCTATATACCTGCCTTCAGGCTGAGAATAGATGTGAAAGAAAGAAGAAGGTGCGTCAAAAAGTGTTGGAGGGAGTGAAGGTATCCACCGATCGCCATCTGTTTGCTGCTAGCGGTCCGTTGCAGTGTTTGCTAACGGTCCGCTGCACTGATTGTCCAGCTCATTCGGTTAGCTCAGTTTGCTTCCCTAACCCTTCACTGCTATCCCCTTCTACTATATAGTCTCGATCGATTCTAGCCCATAGCTCTAAGGATCAATCAACATCTCAACCCTTCCACAAAAAGCCTTGTTGTTCAATTTCCAAACAACGTGGCTTAAGACGCCAAGAGGTGAGGTGTGAAAGATCCCTTTGTCCAACAACCTCGTTACGTATTACACCACAACGATTTTCGGGAGCTCACTACAATTCGACGGCAAGCTATCACGCTTCATGACCGCCTGAATCGGTACTGAGTACTTCATCGCAGCATGCCTTGCCCTCTTCGTCGTTGATCGATTCGGTTGCCGCAACTTGACGATGTTCGGCTCAGGAGGTCTTCTATTGTCCCTGCTTATTATCGGCGACTCTCTTTCGCAAGCCACCGAGACCAATCGCAAGCCTGCCATTGCCGCAACAGCCTTTCTCATCGTGTACGACACTGCCTTTGCGATCGGGTGGCTAGGTGTCACTTGGCTGTACCAGGCTGAGATCACATCTATTCGGATCAGGACGGAGACGAATGGCTTCAGTACTTGCTTAAACTGGTGATTTGAACCATATCAATGTCAAAGGTGTATCAGCTAACTTGTGCTCAGGCTGTCTAACTACGCTGTCGTGCAGCTGGCACCCATCATGATCAACAGAATAGCTTGGAAGACATACTTCGCCTTCTTCTGCTTCAACCTTTGCTTCATTCCCATCGTAAGTGAAAACCGTAAGCCTTCATACTGCGCCACGCAGACGTAGTTTAGATTCACTTGCTGTTCCCCGAACTCAACGGCTACAAGATCGAAATCGTCGAGTGTCTATTCTCACTTGTTCGTTCTTGAAACTCTTATTGTTCCGATCATGAGACAAGATGTTTCCAGCAGTCGCACTTGTTGCATTGGCAGCGACTGCAGTTTATACCTCAACATACAGACTCTTCTTCCACCCACTTGCCAATGTGCCTGGTCCATAGCTTGCGCGCATCACAGGATGGTGGCTGGTGATGCAAGTTCGGAAAGGGCACAGCAACATCTTCATGCCCGACCTCCACAAAATATACGGCTGCATCGCCAGGATAGCCCCAGATCAGGTCCTTGTCTGCTCTGAAGATATAATTCGAACCGCATACGGTGCCGGAACCGACTCCATGAAAGGTGACTGGTATCAGACGTGTGCAGCACCAGATAAGGCAGCTAGGGTTCGAGAAGGCGAGCATCTTGACCTGCTTACCGAGACGAGTTAAGAAGAATATAGAATGCAGCGTCGTGCAATTGGGCCTGCATACTCTAACCCAAGTCTTAAGAAATACGAGCATCACCTCGACACATACATCCACCATTACACAAATAAGCTACAGAGCCTCGATGGCAAGCCTGTGGACCTCGCAGAATGGACCCACATCTACGCTGTCAATGCATTGGGAGCATTTGTGTTGAACCCTGACTACACTGGCCAAGGTCATGACGGTGAAAATCTTGCTGCGAACGACACAGTCTGGGGCTGCTTCACCATATTCGATCTTTTCCCATCTTTTGTCAAACTCGTGCACTCACTTCCAAAAGTCTGGCCGCTGCTCACGCTGCCGTTCTGTCTGCTCCTCGATCTTCCCATACCCAAGATTTGGCCAATCTTTGGTTTGCAGTACCAATCATCAAAGACCGCTTGTCCAAGCTCGACAGCACGAAAGATGCAAAGATGCCGGGAAACCATCCGGGGCTCAATACAGCTGTAGACTATCATGCAAAAGCGGGTCTTGATGATGACAATGAGCTATTTGATATCAACAGCGAAGAGAAAGACCTGCTTGCCACCCTCATGAAGCTTCACCATAACAGGGAGGCAAGATTCAAGCCATTGTGGGTCCTGGGCATCAGCTTGACCAACTTCAGCGCAGGACATGACACTATCATGATCATGTTGGCTGCCTGTTTGTTGACCGTCTCCCGCCACCCAGAGATTGTGCAGAGGCTGAAATAAGAGTTAAAAGATCCATGGCATCACTGAGCACTCGCACTACACAAAAGTCGTGACCAAGATTCCACTCTTCCTGGCCATCATGGAGGAAAGTATGCGCATGTATCCCACCGTAGGCTTTTATCTAGCTCGGGTCGTGCCTTCCACCGGAGCAGAAACGTGCGATATGTACCTCCCCTCTGGCACAACACTGGGCGCCAACATGTGGGCGATTCATCACGAGGCTTCAGATTTGTTGCGGTATCGGTTGGTTCGTACAAGGTCTGACTATACACCTGGTAGACTACCCTAGTCTAGTGTGTTACAGGTCGCTGACCTGAGGTCAGGTATATAGTCGTCATCTCACAGCTAGATAGCAATTCAGCGCAGTATTCCATCGACCCGATAGACCTACGTTATCGTTTACCGTGGCTATCAGTATTCTACAGCGGCCCACGCGGCTACAAGATTTTCCTATATCCTGCAAGGTAGATAGAGGAGACGATGAACCTGACCCACTATAGTCCTCTGTACTAAGAACAGAAGACTAAGGGCGACTGGGGTAAGGACCGTTGCTGGGTGGGTTCTCTTTTGAGATTTGGTCCTTCGCAGGCTCTGTATGTGGTCGACTTTACAATTAGTTAGTCAGAGGACGTAACAAACATTACAAGCTCCTCTGAGGATAAGAAGAAGATATGGCATGTGACACAGGCTATACAAGTTGTGTTCGACCAGTGTGAGAAGACCATGCGCCGCACCGGTCGTCCGCTCTTGTGTTGGCTGATCACCACGCGGCCGACGCCCTGCTTTCCAAAGCCCTTCAAGTTTCTTAGCCGTGAGAATTGTTGCGGTGTATATAACCTTTAGAACCCAAGGGTCAGAAAAGTCGGCCTTTTCGTATCGCTGCGGGGCCGCGACAGAAAAGCAGCAGATCTTATCGCCGGTGGCTGAAAGGTTTTCTCGCATATGTCTTCCGTGCGTGGCTTTTGGAGCCAGACATGCGTTCATCCTTAGCTAGGATTTGACTCACTCGGAAGCAGTCGGTTCGCTTGCGGTTGATCTGAGAGCATCGTCCATGGGATTTTCGTATGGGTCTGGGTTCATGGTCGGGCTTGGAGTCGATCGCCAGCTAAGACAGGGTATAAGGGATGGCCTAACAAGTGCTACTGACGGCACAAGTGAAGATGAACTCAATGGAGGGATCGACGAAGAGACTACAGAAGAAGATGAAGAATCAAAAGTGCGTTGCAAGAGTGCGATCATCTCTTAGTTCTACAATCTTACTATTTTGGCGGGGGATGTGGCACGTGCGCGGAATCACGAGGTGTACCTGGTCTTTCGGAAACGCCTATAGCAACCCCGCCATACTAAAGCATCCTCCATTACATACAACAACCAATCCCAGAAGCAACAATTTCAGTCAAACTTCGCAACTTCGAGGCGCGCGGAATGATTCGTGCTTATACCTACCGCCATGGCCGAGTTAAATCTTTGCGATTTCTGTTGTAATCTGGCTCTTTGGAACAAAGACAAAGCCAAAATCAAACAGCCTGCCAACGACCCTCAATTTTTTCGAACAATTGAACAGCTTCACAGCTCGACCATCACGACATCATGTCCATTTTGCAAAGAATACTACACCGATCTGCTGGCTAAGCGCCCTTCCGCCCTAGCCGACACTTGGTGTTTGTTCGACGTATACGATTTTGGAGACGAGGGGTACCATGTTGGGAACTATTTACAGATCACAATATCTTTATGTAATTCTTGTCCGACAAGCGAAACTTCCAATGAGCCTGTCGCAGCCTCTGATGACTTTGGTGGCGGCAAGTACCGGGAGCATGTCTCTTGTTGGATGATTGGATCAGCTGACCGTACGATCACGACCATGCAACGATCAGAGGATACACTGACTATTCTTAGACAACGATGCTGAACATTGGCAATCATTTTATACACGCCCCGCTTGGCAGTCTGGTATCATGGACATCACTACGAGATTTGACATCATAGAGCATTGGCTTGATGCTTGCACTGCCGAAAAGCATGACAAGCACAGGATGTGTTCTGAGATCCTGATCCCAGGTTACCCTAGTCGACTACTCGATGTGGCAGAGTCTGAAAGTTCTGGATACATACGTTTAGTGGAGACCAAAGACTGGCCTGATCCGCGACCGGAATACACAACTTTGAGTCATTGCTGGGGATCGTTGACTGGCCCACGCCCACTTGAAACGACTTCAGAGAATATACACAGACATGAAGCACGAATTATGATGAAGGACCTTCCACAAACATTTCGAGACGCTGTTGACATTACTCGACGGATTCGAAAAAACTTCCTTTGGATTGATAGCTTAGCCATCGTTCAGGATGACAAGCAGAATTGGGAATTTGAAGCCTCTCACATGGCTGCAATCTACCAAAACTCTTTCCTAACAATCGCCGCGACAGCGGCTGAACACTGTGAGGTTGGCTGCAGTCTAGAGCCCTGGAGAATAAACATCACCGAGGGGAAAGTTCGGAACATCTCTCGCATACGCGACGACATGCCTGAGACTTTTGAATTCCAGGCAAGACTCAAGCGTGCCAGTATATCTTGGACAGGTCGGCATACATTTCCTCTTCATACTCGCGGATGGGTTCTACAAGAGGCATACCTTTCGCGACGAATCCTCCACATGACACCTCAACGCATGCTTTGGCATTGCCGGCAACATTTTGACCATGAAGACGCAGTCATCTTTGACCTGGGATATTTTAAGACGAAGGTCGATCCACAAAAGCTCGGGTTCTCATGGGAAGAATTCCAGTCAGACAACCAGTGGGGGTTCTACAGCAAGCAATGGTGGCGAATGGTCAACAACTACTCGAAACTGAACTTCACATACATTTCTGACAGATTGCCTGCAATGGCTGGCATCATCCAGTTTCTGGCAACGAAGACTGGTGATACGCCTTTACTTGGACTTTGGGAAAGTAGAGTGGTTCAGCTTTACCGCGACTTGGCCTGGACTTGCAAGCAACCACAAGCCTCTCGGATTCCAGGAATACCTACGTGGACCTGGCTGTCATCGCTCAGCGAAATTAATGCGGCTGTGGGCACAGACATTCCTCTCTGGGACGAGGTAAGGCTGGAAAGCTGTAACATAGACTGGGAAGGCCGGCCCTACGTCTCAAAGCTCAAAAGAGGCACACTCAAGCTAAAGGGCCAGATCTTCGAGACTACCGTCACTGCGAACCCGGACTTCAACACCGCCATCCAGAACAACTTCCGCACAACTATCCTACAACCGTCTCCTGAAGACCTGCTACACATGTCCGTAGAATGCAAAGCAGCAGTACAAAACTCGTACGTCGACTTCCACAGTGACACCCTCGAGAACAGCTCTGCAAACACAGATGCCAAAATCACCTATCTATTGCTGTGGTACACGGAACACCATTGGTCTGACAGAATTGAGCACATTGTCTTCCTCGCTCTCCGCAAAGAACACGCCACTCAGGGCGGGTACGTCCGCACAGGGTGTGGGACCGTGACGTTAGATTCTTGCGCGAGTAGAGATGTAGAGAGATCTCTACGTGAGCACGGCAAGACTAGGACAATGAAATACATTTTCAAAGACTGGCACGAAGCTACCATTGAGCTGTGCTGACACACGAATTGCGATTACAATACATCTTATCTCGTAATCGTCGTCAGTGTGTCTATCGTTCCTTTATACTATCGTCCTAAACAATAAATTATCAGTCTTCAACATAATCAACAACCCTCTCAGACAAAAAAGTAATAACCTACCACCTTACTACCTACGTTCTATATCAACTCATACGGGCGTTGTGCGGGCAGGTCCACAAGTGACTGTTGCCTACACAAACACAATACCCCAGAGATACATGGCTAACTGAACTCGACCTTGCCTGCAGTTTTACATGCTCTGATTGGCTCGCATACATCCTGCTGATCTGTGCTTACCGGTCCTTTACTGCGCTCGTCTCATCAAAATGCTTGACTTGTTCCTCATGCATCCGCTTTTCCTGCCTCTGCGTATCGCACACACTAATATACCTATAGCATTCCTGCAATTTGAAGATTGAGTATGTGGGTAGGATTAGGAAATTTGAAGGAAAAGGCTTTTGAGTGTAAGACACGAAAATGTAGAGCAATGCAGCGCAAATCAAACGCACATCTGTCAACCTGATTTACGCGGCTCCGTGCACGCCTGATACCCTTGTTATCTGATTTCTGACCACCCACGATGAGTGGTGTACAACACGAATCGCATGTCGCGTGTTGCGTGTCTCCTCGCGTCGCGTCGCATCGCGTCGCTTGCCTAAGAACACAGCGTGTACAGTGCCTGTCGTTTTTGTGGTCCATACTATCTCCTACATGGCTTTCCCAGAAATTCAAGCACGCCAGGCTGAGCTGTTCCAGAAACTCGTTCTCTGTAAGCCCAGGACACTACATATGTCACATGGTCACTCACCAACCACACAGTCCACTACTTCATGTTTTTAAGCTTACATCATGAACATCTCAGACGAGCAGACACAACAATACACAACAGAATATACACTTGTGCCAACTTTATATTCAACTGCTTACATTTTCTACGTGGGTAAGCCCTACTGCTTTCAAACCTGCGGTGTTGCGCTACTCTCAGCTGCGTTGCAAAGCACTTTAGCCAATCCCAAGGCCACTCCTACTTAAGGAGTGACTGTGCTTGGGAAGCTGTCTACCTCTCTTCATGTCCCATCAAACTCCGCGACAAAGCCAATCTTGTCAATTGGGTCCTTCTCCCCGCAGCCAGCACACCCATCCCTCACCTCCTTATTTGGAGCGTGTTTCATTGTTGATTCACAGACACGATCACAGGTCGCCAATGCAATACATTGCTAAGTGGTCTATCAGATATACAAAAGCACTGCAAAATGAGGCATAGGTAACAGAACAGCATGAAACTATTGAAGTCGTACTTAAGCAAAGTTTGTAAGCACGGTATGATTGGTTCGTGGGGATGAGTACGGTATAAAGAAAGGGCAGGGTAATTGCCTAGTGAGACATTGTGACAATTGGGCACTAAGACGCGTTGTGGTTCTTTGCTTTGAAGATAATGTAGGGTGTAATTGCCCAGCCCATCGCCTTGATGCCGGTGATGAGCGTCGCCCACTCACGGTCTCCTTTTCGGACGCCTATCGGCTGCTTATGTCTCTCTGAAGCAGTACTACTTTCACTTGATTCCTTTGGCCCATTGTAAAGCCAGTCTCGTCAAAGTTGTAGGTATCCTCGTCCGGTATGCCATACTTTATCTTCACATTCTGTACAAGGTCAAACCAGGGCCAATAAGTTTTGGATCGCTGCACAGAACTCTTTGGTGTTTTCGCTGTCGATTCAATTGGGATTTGAGCTCAGGCCTGCGACGGACGAAGTTTGTCACCCAGTTTTCACCAACACACCCTCCACCCTGTGCCTCAAGCCGTTGACTGCCCATCCCTTTGTACATATGTGAGTGTGGGAGCAAACCTTCGCGCCTCAAGCTTCTTTGTGTTTTGTAGTAACGACTTCTCTAATTTCTTGAGCTTAGATGGGTTAGGGTGGGTATCGCGTCATGCTGTCCAGCCGCATCTCCGCGCTCGGATTGTGCTTCTGCTGACGTTGTGCGACTTAGCAGCGCGTCTTTGGGTAATTTTTGGGTGTTGCTTTATTGCTGCAGTCGCAAGCTTAACTCGGTCTTCCTAAGAAATTCATGGGTTGTTGGGTTATTGTGACATTGCAATTGAATGTCAAATTCTATTGTAATAAATTCAACGCTATGCCGATCCTGTTCAGCCCTCGAAATAGGTGTGGCACATACTAATGGCTTTGTATAAGCATCTACGACTGCCTGCTTGTCCAAGCCTGTTCTTCCTTATTTAAATCTCTACATTCACAGCCTCGGAGTGCTCAGCCACTGTCTTCTTTTTGCCGTCATCCCAGGACTATAATCAAAATGTATGAACCGAACTCTTTCCCTGACGTCGATCAGCACCCGCTGCAAGCAGCATCCTGACTACCTGCCTGTGGCCTCTCTCTGAAGCTGCCTGCAGCGCGTTGCCGTACTGTCCACCCTGCGCGTTGACCTCGGCGTGTTTGTCGAGCAGCATCTTGACTACATGCTCGTGGCCTCTAGCTGAAGCTGCTTGCAGTGCGTTGCCGTAGTATCCACCCTTCGCGTTGACCTCAGCGTCTTTGTCGAGCAGCATCTTGACCACCTGCTCGTGGCCTCCAGCTGAAGCTGCGTAAAGTGCGTTGACGTAGACTCCACCATTCGTGTTGACGTCGGCGGCTTTGTCGAGCAACAGCTTGACCACCTGTTCATGGCCTCTCTCTGAAGCTGCCTGCAGTGCGTTGCCGTAGCGTCTACCCAGCGCGTTGATGTTGGCGCCTTTGTCGAGCAGCAGCTTGATCACCTGCTCGTTTCCTCTCTCTGAAGCTGCCTGCAGTGCGTTGCTGTACTCTCCACCCTTCGCGTTGACGTCGGCGCCTTTGTCGAGCAGCATCTTGACTACCTGCTCGTGGCCTCCAGC